TTAAGGTCCGACCAAGAAAGGGTCTCTTTTACTTCTGGTGCCTTGGCCCGCTCCTCCGGACGTTTGACCGTAGAGAAAAGAGCGGGGCGATCTGAGAGTTGCAGCAAGAGACTCAGAATCTCTGGAGACCAGGAGATTGGATTGCTCTCCAGCTCCGCAACGCGGATTTGAAGGGCTTCGGCAAGTTCATCTCTGTTCAAGATTTGAAACTTTTCCTGTAGTCCCTCGAGTTGCTTGGCGACTGCAAACTGGTCGGTGCGTGTATGAGAACCAGTTCGGAGACCCCCTTGTACACGACGCTTCAGACTCTGAACACGCGCAGACCCCTACATATATATTAGTACACCAGGCGTGATGAAATGAGAATAATGGAAAGTCAATATATTACCTTGTGGTCCGGTAGTATCTTAGCAACGGAAGTGATCAAGGCATCGATGAGCGTACTTAGATCAGCCGCGAGGGCCATTTTCAGACATAGACTCGGATCTAGGATCCAAGATAAATCACATCGAGATGTTTCCAGACATCATAAAGTGAAGAAGCATAAAGTGAAGAGACCCGGATGTTTTGCTTAGACGGCGCTAATCCCGATGAGGTAAGATGGCCACTCTTATGCGCGCCTCTCTCTCCCTCCGACCATCTGCCCCCTTTAAGCAAATACAACCATCATGGCTATCGCGCGACCGATTCGCATGCTGGGTGCAGCATGCATCCTTCTTTGTCTATTTCTTGTCTTCCAATTACACCAGAGCTCCTCTGAAGAAGGGTCTAAGTTGGCTCATGGCATGAAAAAGGATCCTCTTGTAGATCGTGCGTGACCCCATTTTCTTGCCACACCTCCTATTACAACCAGCGCACTTTAAGTGTCGTACTAACTAGTTTTATAGCGACCGGTGAACCTGTAGGAAACTTATGGCGAGCGGACGAACACGATTACTCCCCCGATAGCGAACAATCGGCCCGCACCAATGCTGCGCTCATTACCCTCGTCCGCAATGAGGAACTGGGTCAGCTGCTCTCGACAATGAGTGACCTGGAGCGAACATGGAACAACAAGTTCAACTATCCCTATATCTTCTTCAACGATGTGCCCTTCACCGAGGAATTCAAGCAGAAGACTCAGGCAATGACCAAGGCCAAGTGCCAATATGGTACGCATTTCAGTCCGGTTAGAACTAGAGGAACCATACCTAACTCTAGATGCAGAACTTGTGCCCAAGGAACACTGGGACGTCCCCGAGTGGATCAATATGGACCTCTTCCGTGAGTCCGCAAAGTTGCTAGAGGAACAAGACATCCAGTACAGCTCCAAGGTCTCCTACCATCAGATGTGTCGCTGGAACAGCGGCATGTTCTACAAGCACCCTGCCCTCGCAGGCTACCGCTACTACTGGCGTATCGAGCCCAATGTCAAGTTCTTCTGCGACGTCGACTACGATGTGTTCCGGTACATGGAGGATGGCAACAAGACCTACGGTTTCACCATCAACCTCTACGACGCACCACAGAGTATCCCGTCCCTTTGGCCCGAGACTCAGCGATTCCTCGCCGCCAACCCGTCGTACCTCAGTGACAACAACATGTGGGAGTGGATTACGGATGACGTGGCTCGTCCCGAGCACACCAAGGGCGCCAATGGATACTCCACCTGCCACTTCTGGTCCAACTTCGAAATCGGCGATCTCGACTTCTTCCGTGGCGAAAAGTACGAGGCGTACTTCCAGCACCTGGATCGCGCCGGTGGATTCTTCTATGAACGCTGGGGTGATGCTCCCGTCCACTCCCTCGGCATTGGTCTTTTCGCCGATGCCGCCAACGTCCACTGGTAAGTCACATACCCTTTCTCTCATTTAAGAACCCTCACTCACATGTATCTTCACTAGGTTCCGCGATATCGGGTACAACCATATCCCGTATCTCAACTGCCCCAATTCTCCCAAGTGCTCTGGCTGCAAAGCTGGCCAGTTCTTCCAAGGCGCAGACTTCCTTTCCAAGGAGGATTGCCGACCTACTTACTTCAAGTATGTTGGAACGCACTAATTATCATGATGTCCCGTTTGATCTGTTCTCTTGTCTCTTGTCATTCTGGAGAGTGCCTCACGACTCGATTCCCTGCATCAACTTGCATACCCCTATGACTATATTACTGAATATCAGTGGCTTGGTACCCGGCGTTTGAGCGGACACATACCTGTGTGTATTGATGATTTTGTGTTCCCGTTTTTCTCTTCCCTGTTTTGGTTTATTTCCTTGTCACAAAATACGTTTCGGCCATGTTGCTGCCTCATGGAGAGCTATGGGGGGCCTTGTCTACATTGTACTTATATCGATTACGCGTGGTCACTGTTAGAGGCTGTTTGTTTTGGTCTAGTGCCTCTTGGCCCGCTTGTCGCAGTCGTCATTTTTGTGTGATATATTAGCTACTTAGGAACAAAACCGAGATTCAGACCAGTCTAGTCTGGCTATTCTACCATTTTGAGGAAGCAATATACTCCATAGGATAAGTGTAGAAGAGTTGATAATTATGGAACGAGGATTGAGGATCAAGGATCGAGGACTGAGGACTGACTTGAGCGGTTGATAATACAACAATGCAGGATGACTGAACAAGACGGAATCAAGATAGATTAAGCACCAACCAAGTAAGGCACTGAGGACCTTTTTCCAGACAACAGCAGCACTAACAACACAAGAGATCTCTAGAGTATGTATACAGTTTTCTCTTCTACCTGACCTAATCCTCAGCCAGTCAAACAGTGCTGGATAAACAACGTGCGAGGGGGTACTGTTAGTTTAAGAGAAACATGACGTAAAGGTAGAATTGATGATGAAAATTTACGCCTCCTGGGGGTAGAGCTCCTCCCGGAGAGCGACACCCAGCTCGACGCGCAGACCCTCGAGAGACTCGAGATATTGCTTGTACTGGTCGGGGTTCTCGACCTTGGCCTTGACGCCTAATCACGAAGTAATGTTAGCTTGAGTTCAACGACGATAGTGCTCCAAGATAGGAAGTTGTGGAAACGTACCCTCGAAGACGCGAACAGCGGTAGGGAAGTCGTTAACACGGCGGGCGGCCTTGAGGGCGGCAGTGAGGACCTCGACGGAGGGAACGAGATCGTAAGCGAAGCAGTTGTTCAGGTTGCGCTGTTTGCAAAGATATGCATTAGTCATTTGTCGAATTGGTGCGGATATGGGAGCCGCATGTTGAGTGACGGGTGTGGCTGATGCCATGTATCGCATGCCGATCAATATGCCTCGGGTGAAGTCGAGATAGTCATACCTGAAGCTCGAAAACGTCCTGCACACCATCGAATTCCTTCTCGAATCTGCCATTGTGATACACAGTCAGCATGAGATGCCCCTATCATGTCCAGACGATTGCCGATGTTCGTTCCGGGAAGCGCCTAACATGGAGATGCAGGGCGCTTTTGTCCGACTCCTCCGGCCTCAATGGCTTGCGATTGGGGGCGTACCTGGCAGAGAACTCTTCGTATGTCTCATCCTCGTGGCCGGAGCGGAGCATGGAGGTGGTACCGAAGTTGTGAGCGCGGGCGGCGGCCAGAGTCACCGGGGACTGCATCCGGGACCGGGTCAATTGGGGAGCTCTAAAGAAGCCGGTAGGGCGAACGGCGCGGGTCGCCACGCGGAAGATGGATAGGGACGACATTTTTAGAAGGGGACCACGGTGGACCGGACAGGAACAATGGCGAGGGGAGAGGTGTGGATGGAGACGGGAAGGGGAGGTGTGAAGTGCCTCTAGGATTTTGCGGGTGGTGTGGTGTCGACGCCTGAGGCAGCGACACGGGTGCTGAGTCATTATCCGATTGGCCCCGTTCCAAGTTGTCTTGATCTCAAAGGGTGGCCGCTGATTGGCTGGACGGTTGTCACTTTCTAGATGCGTGTCATTGGTCGAGTCTTAAGGTCATGACAGTCGAGTTCATATTATATCCCAAGGTTGTTCTTATATTTACTCATTATATATCTATCTGTCCTATATGCCCATAAGTCTAAACATTAAAGAAGTGTGTAATTTCAAAATAAGGAGGATAAACTAGGATGGTAATTGGATGTTGAAGTACATATGTTGTATATTTGACCGAATTGTTGGGAAAAGAAACCGACTCAAATGATTATATGAGCAATTAGCTCTAATTCCTTTTACCCATTGTAAATATATTACTCCCCAACACAAGAAAGTTGGCAAGAACCGGAGAATTTGACTAGGTACATGAGTGGTGGCTTTCGAGCTTATACCTCGGTTGAGTACTGCAATTGAGGTTATTATACAGCTAGCAAGATCTCAATCTAAGATCTTTAGAACTAGATAGATCCATGAATATCGTGCAACTTTTACCTAAAGAGGGAACTGACAAGAGATGAAATAAAGTATATATTGATCTACATGTCTTTAGTCTACGGATAGTTAACTATGCTCTATAGTTATCATATACTGTGGGGGTTGACGCAAACTGGGATAAACGACCTTTATACTCCTGCCAAAGCTACTGCCAATGGCAATCTTCAATGGAGTAATAGAAAATGACTCGATCAATTTTCAATGCAACGCTTCGGGTGTGGATCTAGTCGACTAGAATTCACCTAAAGCATTAGCCATCAAGTGGTCAATTTATGTACAGTAGTGAATTTGGATAATCCCTCGGTAATTTTATACAATTCGTTTCTTTGTAATATATAATGCGCTATTGGCATTTGAATATACCTAGGTAGGCTAGCATGTGATAGTTTCACACCAAGGACAACATTGCATTCAGCAACACAGTAAACTACATATTTTGTGATCTGGGGTTGTTATTAAGATTCAAAATAAGATCTAATTCTAATAGATTGAATCTGTTCACGTTTCACATCTTCGGACAATATACTCCAGTCGATGCGATCGGAACCTGATCTTCCCCTTTTTTTTATGGCACGCTAAACCCTTTTGGGTCCTCAACGGACGCGCCGGACGCAAAAAGTAATTGTTCTCTTATTTCTCCAGCTTTTCCCTCTCTTCCCTCCCCCTTTCCCACTTTCATTTCTTTAGCTTTCATTCCTTTCATTTCTTTGCTTTCCTCATTTGGCCTTTCTTGTTTGGCGGTTTACTGCAGTCCCATTACTGCCCCGTCAAGAAAAGAACAGGTTGCCTTCCAGGGCTATCTCTATCTTCAATTCATCCATTTGGTTTGAGGGAACAACCTAATCCTGTCACAATGGCATCCGAAATCCTTAAACATGTCTCGGTCCCGACCCTCGATCGACCCTTTGGTGTGCACTTGTGGCCCCTCTTCGACCAGGCCTACGAGAAGGTCATGGGGTATCCCGCTAGCGAGTTCAACTTCACCCAGGGTGTCACCCCTCTGTCCACCTTGAAGGAGACTACAATGATGCTTGTCACTTACTACATTATCATCTTCGGTGGCCGTGAGGTCATGAAGAAGTTGCCTGCGTTCAAGCTTAACACCTTGTTCATGATTCACAACCTCCTTTTGACCACCGTTAGCGCTATTCTGCTGGTCTTGTTCATTGAGCAGCTTCTCCCCACTCTCTGGAGACATGGAGTCTTCTACACTATCTGTGATCAGCAGGGTGGTTGGACTCGCCCTCTGATCATTCTGTACTACGTAAGTTGCGAAGCGCTTAAACCATTGGAAGAAGAGAAACTTACACAACCTCGATTAGCTCAACTACATCAACAAATACGTCGAGTTCATTGATACCATCTTCCTGGTCCTCAAGAAGAAGCCATTGACCTTCCTTCACACCTACCACCACGGTGCCACCGCCCTCCTCTGCTACACTCAGCTTATCGGTGTGACTGCCGTGCAATGGGTGCCTATCTCCATCAACCTGCTGGTCCACGTTGTCATGTACTGGTACTACTTCCAGAGCGCCCGCGGCGTTCGCATTTGGTGGAAGAAGTACATCACCATGCTGCAGATCGTCCAGTTCGTCATTGACGTCGGTAAGTGGCTGAGGCCCGGAATCCTGCAAAGAATGGAATACTAACAGTTTCAAGGCTTCATCTACTTCGCCTCGTACACCTACTTCACCTCCGCCTACTTCCCGTGGCTCCCTAACATGGGCAAGTGTGCCGGTGAGGAATTCGCTGCCATGGCTGGTATCGGCATCATCAGCTCCTACTTGGTCCTGTTCATTTCCTTCTACATTGCCACCTATAACAAGACCGCCAAGACTGGACGCCCCCGCCGCAACACTGGCCAAAAATCGTTGATCGACATGAAGAACTTCGAAATTCCTTCCCCGGCCGGTACCCAGAACGGCAGCGCCAAGTCCACTAGTCGCTCCAACGGCCCTGTGACACGCTCTCGCAAGGCCTAAATAATCAACTGAAGCACAGTCGCGTTTGAATGTTTTCAGCGTGTGATTTGGAAGAATTATATTGCCCCACGAGTTTGATTGTTGAATCATCTTAGGATGAACCATTGAATCAAATGTTCATCCAATGCTTGTGGCCAAACAAAGCAGAAGGGCAGAGTGGCTGCTCTTGGGTGATGCGTCCCTATATTTGTTTAATGAATGACCACCTCATGATGCCAGGTCCATTACCCGGGCATGGGGTATGTGCCTCGGAGTTGTCGGAATGCATGCGCCGAAACTTTTGTCGAAAAACCTACATGGGGAACGCTGTTGGATTACCCCAGCGATCTCGCCATGGTTGTATTTTATAATGTCGTTTTCTTCTTCTGTTCATGTTTGTCGTTATCACCCTCCGTTTGGTGGCAGGCCATTGGATTGTACCTTTCGCTCTTATTGTTATTAAATTATTCATTGATAGACGTTAGCTCATAATATCAAGATAAATGTAATCACGCCTGTTCCTGAAACAATAGTCTGCTTGATAGGATAGGCACCCAGGTCAGATACCATATGGCTGGGTTCGGATCTGGGTCAGCAAGGCATGTTTGCGTTGATTGCCTATGCTGTCAGCATCTTTCGCCCAGCTGGGATTCAGGATGCATCCCTCATGCAGACACAGTCTGTATCTCAAGAGACAATCCAGCTAGACCGTCTCTCGAGGCTATCCATCAAGCCCATCCATTTCGCCCCCCAAACAATTGGAAACCAAATAAATACCCAGCCTGTTGATATGGCAACATAAAGCTTATCTACTGATCTCTGTAGCACAATGTGCAGTATCACACTGAAGACTGCACAGAAGAAACAGAAACGTCAGGTGGAGCTTCTATGCGCGCATCATGGCCTGTGCGACGAAGCACGAACAACGCCACGAAAGTGATGTATCTCATATGCCCCGGACGTTGACCCAGTTAGCAGGGCGATCATTGTCAAAGTGTTGAGTGACAAAACGGGCAGAGCCTCAGCCTCCAGAGAGAGGAACCCCCCAAAAAGGACTTGGACTCGGAAGGCGAGGAGCAAGGCAGGTTATATCCAGCCACCCAGGTTGAAAGAGCGGTGGCAGCCATCACCAAGCCCAGCCATTGATACAATGGGGCTGGACAAAATCCAATAAACCAGGGCAAGAGGAAAAGTCAAAGACAGGAAAAAACCATGGATTATTTGCCCATTGCCCATGCTCGTCCAAAAGTTACAAGCGCCTTGCTTGGATGTCATGCGCGTGGTTTATTCGGAGACTGGATGGACATGCAGAGCCGGTCTTTGCTACCGGAGCATAGACGCCAATTCGAAGGGGAAAAAACACATGCAGTAGTGGGCGTGTCGACGCTAATAGTGAAGATCGGCCCATGAACTTCCGGTGGCCCTGGTCGGATTTGAAACGTTTTGGATAGGTCGACGGAGCTATGGCGCCGAATCCTTCTAGCGTAGAGACCCACTGGGCACGGAGGACTGGTTGGTCAATGTAAGTAAGTTGAAGCAAATGTCAAGAGCTTGACGTGCAGAAAGTGCATGCATAAAAGAGGGAATATTGAGTCCTTGCCGGTGGCTGCACTAGTATAGTATTATCGCAGATGATACGGAGTATGATAGATGATGGATGATATACATGGATGACGGGTGAGATAGATTGGAAAATCGCCGAGATATGATGTTGAATGTAAGGAGCGTATACGAACTACGGAGTAGGAGAGTTCTTGAGCGTCATTGAGCATTCTAATCCTTCGGGAGTGTTGAGTATAACCCCCTGAGTTCTCCCTGAAGAATAATATACCTCCAACCTCTAACCAACCCCCTCAAAGTTAAGTTACCACCTTGGTACCCCTGGCATTTTTTTATCAAGGAGAATATTTTCCAATTATTCCGACGGATGCCGAGTCAATCCACCATCGCTAAAGAGAGGAGTTCGTTAAGTGTGTTTGAGTTATACGCATGGCCCCACTGATCTCGGGCTTGACTTGGCAACTTGTCAAGACTGCCCTAATGTGATTCGATTACTTGTTGGTTCATGACTCCCGGTTTCCACTGCGGGCGGGTTCCAATCCAAACGGCTCAACTTGAGTGTCCACATGGGGGAATGCTTCCAGGACAGATGTCTCATTCATGGGCCAACATCCCGCTCTTTTCTACTCCGTACTTACATGTAGGTATTTGCCTGGATATGAAGGTTCTTTTGCCCTTGGTGCATAAGTTCAGGCCCTGATACATACATGTATGTACCTTGATACCCTGATACCCTGATACCCTGATATGCATAAACGTCCAATCATATTGACAAGGAACAAATCGCGGAGTATTAGGCGCATGGGCCTTGACCAACGATAGCTCATGGTGATCTATCAGATTTAGCCTGAACAGTATTTAGTTTTTAATCTTTTACTCTTTTTCTCTTTTTCTCTTTTAATCTATTTATTTCAAGGTTTCAATTCAGTCTTCCCGCCACGATATCCAGTGTAACGCGTTTTCTCCCCCTGCTGAAACTGCCAACCCGCCCTATCTTGTCCTGCAAGGGTGAGACACCAATCACAATCCTCTTCAACCCTCTTCATTACGCGCTGGGTACAAATTTAGAAATAGTACGGAGTAACAAATTCAGGGTTATTGAACCTTTTCATTTTTCTGCCCTTCTACACGTGTGGAAAAATGTCCCTGGATGCCTCTTTTTCCTTCTTCTACTCCGTACTCCGTATATTGGCTTGATATATGCATCCCCTGCCCATAGCTCCTTGGTCCCACTCCGGTCCACTTCCTTAAAAGGTCCTTTCTGTCGCCCTGCTGGATTTTTGAATCTCCTTTGCAGCTTTGCACTGGGATATTTGACAGCTATTACGTCTCCCTGGGTCTCATTTTTACCCTGATATTCTTGGTCGAGGGTCCCATTTTTTTTTGGTTTTGCATTTCCCTTTCGCTTCGGAACTGCCTATACTTCGCAACAGTTGCTATTTCTTCATCTATTCTATCTTCTATCCCCAATTACAACCAGATGACTGCCGGGAACATGTTCGAACCTACTCCCTCGCTGAGCCTACACCGCTTGAGCAGGCATAGCCTCCAAGATCGATACGAGTCAGACGAGGAGGCCGTGTCGGAATCCGATACAGGCGTCCAAGATCTACTTTCCTCGCCCGTGGGCTCACAAGCCGGAATCTTTGATTCAGATCTCAGCGCCGACGAGAATTCTCATATGGACCCTGATTCTGACCGGGATGAACATATTCTGGCTCCGCCAACAGTCAAACGGACCCGGCCTGTCTCGTCTGCTACTATTAAGAGAAACAGCAATGCCACCTTCGACGAAGATACGTATGTGTTTGATCCGGAGGAGCAGATGGTTCTTGAACTGCCACCGTCAGATTCTCCACCACAACTGGCATCCAGCACCTTTTTACAGCCATCGATATACGTCTGGCCAAAACCACCGCAGCCGGCCAACTCAAGGTCTCGCTCTACTTCACCCTCGTCGGTATTTTCAGTAGAGGATGCAGATATTCAGGTTGCAAAGGAGGTGACCTTCATGGAGCCCCGAACTCGTCCTACAGTGGTCTTGATCAACGCCCTGGGGTCACGATCAAAGACCTCAAAATCCCGTCCCAGCCATTCCCGCTCCCGCGAAAGCAGCCGCAACCGCTCCATGCTTGTCAGGGTTGACAGCCGCCGACTGACAATGTCACGCTTGTCAGACCCAGCCAATAAGTCACCACGAGTATCTGAGAAAAGGAGCACCATGATGCAGGCGCCCAAGACAGCTCCAACGCCAGCCCTAGAAGAAGATACACAGTTCGCACCCAGTGCAACCATCAATCGAGTCTCGGAAATCCCCCCAGTCCACTATTTCCCAGCACCACCACGCACACTCCCAACCCAAGAGTACCGAACCCGACCGCGAACCTCAGCCTCCGACAAACCGGTGCCACCACCACTAAACCTGCGCACCCGCGGACCCCCTCAATGCGCAGCGCAAGCAGCAACAGCGGGCCCACCTACACTTCCCGTCCATCAACACCCTTCTCAGCCGAGGACGTCAAAACCAACAGCTTCACCGACACACCCTCCCAATTCACTAGAGTCTGCAGCCCGGCCTCAATCTCATCAGCCTCCTCACCACCGCCATACATCACCTCGAAGCGCAGTGGCCCCTCAACATACAGCGTATCGGATATTCTCACCAGTCGCTCGCCGCTTATGATGCGTCACATGACAAGGAAACACTCTGCATCCAGCGTGCATTCACTGAGTAGTCTGCGCTCAGAGGTCGGCGTTAATGGTCCCTCTTCCTCGCAGATCTCCGTCGCTACACAGCCCACCCCGCTTCCCAGTGCTGACTCCCGTGTCGTGCGAAAGTCTAGCCAGCGTCGCCATACAAGGCATACTAGCGTTTTTCCGAGTGGGAGGGGATTCATGGGATTGAAGCTGGGGAAGAAGTCGCATGCTAAGGCTTAGAGATGGGCTTCTTGGCTTTTTGATTTTTGCTTTTTGCTTTTTGCTTTTTGCTTTCTGGTACTTAACATATATTGATCTAGTAATGTTTTTATGGGTAATCTCTTACATGTCTTGGGGTTTTTGGGTTCTCATTTTGGTGCTGTCTGGTAATGGAGTTTTGGTTTATCTGTTTCTTTTGGTGGATATTTGGTTTTCATGTCTTTTCCTCTCACCTCTGTTTCTGAGACAGCTAATGTATGGCGGTCCTGAACTTGGACAGGGGCAGCATCAAGTCGCAATCTGGGATGGCTAATGTCTACTTCAATGTTTGGCGCATGGTACCTGATTTTGGGAAGACTGCTGGGTGGTTTTATTCTGAATTAGATAGCTAAATAGCTATTGAGGCATCTATTGCGTTGACGCAGTGTGATATCTGTGTCTATTCAAGTAGGTATCTTATACATCATTAACCAAGTGTCCTCCACGTATCCTCAACTTATATACTCCCAGGATGTGGAGGTAGATGGTCATCAATCTCCCTGGAAACAAACATACGCATGGAGACAAATTTCTTGGTCTCCCATCATTTCGGTAAAACGCAAGCGATGTTATGTATTTTGTTGAGGAAAATTACATGTCTTGCCAGCGTATAGAAACCCTAGCAAGGGGTAGTCGATGAGTTCTTGGCGGCATAGACTGAAAAGGACTGGCGGGAATCGGGTTGACTGGCTTGATGCAGGTGAATTCCTTGCTACAGTGACAAGGGAGAATACCGTCAACTTGATCTCGAGTTGGGGCTGTGCTATACTCCGTATTCTGTACAATATATGTTGTAGAAGGACATGCGAAAATTTCGTCTTTACTTGACCCACTGCCCCGATCTATCCGAGACAGGGTGGTTCAGTGTTCAGTGCCCGTTTAGTGCCCACTACACTTGTCCGCCAGGGGCTCGGCCGGGGACTCCACTATGAAGATCTTCATTAAACGCCAAGTTTGGCATTTCTCCTGGATTAAGAGTGCCTTTTAATTAAAAAAAGGATTGAATGATTGCAAGTGCTTTAAATAACGCGACTTACTAAAAAGTAAACCGATGACGAGATATCAATTCATCCAGCGTGAGCGTGGAATAGAGCAATAAAACAGCCACTAGGGCATAAGATTTCGCAGTAAACAAGGAGCAATTCAAACATAGCATGCAGTCATAAAAGGTCCATGGGTTCTAGTCGAAGCCTACTTCTGCGCCTCCAGGGCAGCTTTGATGGCTGTTTGAAATGAATTAGCACCATTTCTTTTTTGAAGATATCCATGCAGGTGACACTTACCATCGCAAGAGGTCTTGGCATCGCCGAATAACATCCGAGTACCGGGCATAAAGAACATGGGGTTTGGAACATCCGCTGTGGAAAATGTTAGATGGATTCATTTACCAGGAATGACGGGGAGGAAATCATACCATATCCGCTGGACATCCCCCGCTTCATAACTATAACCTCCTTACTCTTCCATGCATGGAGGACAGGCATGCCGGAGATAGCGGAGTCTGGCTCCATGGCGATAGGGTTAACGGTATCATTGGCACCAATAACGAGCGTGACATCTGTGTCAGAGAAGTCTTCATTGATCTCGTCCATCTCCAAGACAACTGTATCGATTGTTAGCAAATAATCCACAGATTTCAATAATAGAAGTCTTACTATCATATGGCACGGATGCCTCTGCAAGCAGCACATTGCATTGACCGGGCATTCGGCCAGCAACAGGGTGAATAGCGAAGCGAACTTTGACACCACGGGCACGCAGCAAGCCAACAATCTCCGAAAGAGCATACTGGGCCTTGGCAACAGCCATACCATAGCCAACCACAATGATGACATTCTCAGCGCTGGATAGAGCTTCCACGGTGTCATCGATGCTGGTTTGCTTAATCTCACCCTCAATCTTCTTCTGGGTTTGCGCAGCTGGAGTTGAGATTCCGCCGAATAGCACATTTGCCAGCGACCGGTTCATATTCACGCACATAATGTACGAGAGAATGGAACCGCTGACACCGATCAGGGACCCGACACTGGTGAGAAGCGGATTGTCGAGCATCAGGCCTTCAGCCACGAGGGCGAATCCGGAATAAGCGTTCAAAACCGTGATGACGACGGGCATGTCGGCACCGCCGATGGCTGCTGTCGTGGTGTATCCCTTTAGGAAACTTAGGATGGTGCTTGTTCCTAGACAGATAGCTGCGATTGCAGGGCTTCCTGGTGCCAGGGTAATGAACGCTCCCATAGTTGCCATGTTACTGCCCAATAGTGTCGAATTGATAATGTGTCGGCCGGGCAGAATCGTCGGCTTGGAAGACATGCGCCCTGCCAGTTTCAGGAAAGCGACGATCGAGCCGGTAAAGGTGATACCACCAATCAGAACACCCAAGTACGCTGTCGTCAGGTGCAGAGTTGTAATATCACCAATATCGGCCAACACACTTCCGGCACTAGTCAGAACAGCAGCCAATCCCACCACCGAGTGGAGAGCAGCGACAGTTTGGGGAAGACCTGTTGGTGTGATGCGACGACCGATCAAGCCTCCGACCAATGCACCTGTTCCAGCAACAGTCATGAACTGCGTTAGCGTCTCAGGAGAGAAGCCTACCGCAGCCAGTGAGGCCAGAATACCAGAGACTACTCCCAGAATACCGAAAATGTTACCGCGTCGGGCTGTTTGCTGCGATGCCAGACTAGAGATTGAGCCCATGCACAGCATTGTGCTGACGAGATATCCAGCTTGGACCAGACCGGACATACCAGTGCTGGCAGCCGCAATGAAGCCACCACCAAACACCACAGCAGGGACGGCGTACAGCCATGGGTACTCGAGAGGGTCAGTTGGACGCTTGAACATATCCAACATGCGCTTTGTGACCACAAAGCCGCCGGAGATATTCACGAAAGCCAAAAGCACGGAGGCAGCACCGAAGTATTCGGGGATGGTAGTCGGCACGAAGCCTCCTCCCATGATGAACAGTCCACCAATGCCGACCATACCCGAAATGGCATTGGTGACGCTCATGAGCGGCGAGTGGAGCGAGGGTGCTACACCCCACACAGCACGATAGCCGACCAGACCAGCAAGTCCAAAGGTCATCATGTTGCCCATAAAGACTGGACCAGCTGCCTTTCCTAGCGCCAGGGTGGTGCCCATCGCACCTGTGACCGCTGTCACATCGCGTGTTGCCTTTTGCCACGGCGTCAAAGCGACTACCTCCTTTGCCTCGACAGCTTGTGCCTCTAGCTTTGGGGTTGGGGGTGGAGTGGGTGGAGCAGCAGGGGGGATTATTTCACCATTTAGAGTCACGATGGAACCGCGCACAACTTCATCTTTAAAGTCAATTCCAAACGACTTCTCCTGGGGAGCCATGGAGAGAAGGTACTTGGTGATATTGTTCGAGTAGAGAGTTGAAGACTGGGTAGGGAGACGCGAAGGAAGATCCGTATAGCCAATGATAGTAACATCCTTGTAGCTGCTCAATTCCCCGGAAACAGTAGCTTCGCAATTTCCACCTGCCTCAGCGGCAAGATCGACGATAACAGAGCCGGGTTTCATTGCAGCAACCATTTCCTTAGTAATGAGCTTCGGTGCAGGCCTGCCTGGGATCAGGGCCGTGGTGATAATGATATCAACCTCTTTAGCTTGCTCCATGAACAGTTTCATTTCAGCTTCGATAAATTCCTTGGACATTTCTTTGGCATATCCACCCTGACCAGAACCATCCTCATGGAAATCAACCTCGACGAACTCAGCTCCTAAAGACTGGACTTGCTCGCGCACAGCAGGCCGGGTATCAAAGCCACGAACAATAGCACCCATGCGGCGGGCAGAGGCGATTGCGCTCAACCCAGCTACGCCAGCACCGATGACGAGGACCTTACTTGGAGGAATCTTTCCAGCTGCAGTAACCTGACCAGTCAAGAAGCGACCAAAGTGATTAGAAGCCTCCAGTACCGCCTTGTAACCTGCAATATTGGCCATGGAACTAAGGGCATCAAAGGTCTGCGCACGAGAGATTCGTGGAATGCGATCCATCGCAAAGGAGGTCACGCCACGAGCCGCGAGTGCCTCGACGAGGGGCTTGTTCTGGAGGGGATAGATGAAAGAGATAACGGTCGAGCCTTTGCGTAAAGCCTGGATTTCATTGAATGGTCCCTCTGATTGAGGGCTGCGAACCTTCAACACGATTTCACTCTCAGACCAGACCGTGTCCCGGTCGACCATTGTCGCGCCGGCCTTTTCGTAGGCATGGTCCAGCAGCTGAGCGCGCTCGCCTGCACCGCGTTCGATGAGCACACGGGAAACTCCCTTTTTCAGCAGAAGGGCGACATTTTGCGGGGTGATTGCCACACGGCGTTCACCAGGAAAAATCTCCAGAGGGACTCCAACGGTCAAGGCCGAGTAGGGGGTGGTAGACACGGGCTCGGAGGGAGGTGACTCGGGCGAGGTTGTAGCAGTTCGTTTGGAAATGGAGGGCCATCGCGGCTGGCAAATGGACAGGCGTTTACTCTGTGACGTCAAAGATGTAGCTTGCCGAATTTGAGAGACTAATTAGAGGAAAGTGGTTAGAAAACAGCTCAACTTGGGCTTCTGATCCCGCAATTTGGAGAAGCTTACTCGACGTCACCGGAATGAAAGATTTCCCCGCCCGAGCAATGGACGCCCCAAAACACGGCCGCAGGGCTGACCGCAGGGATACTGGAGCACTCATTGCGAGTATTCCTGCAAGCTGCACGTTGTGTCCGGTCTTTTTGTCTCATCTAATACCTATTGGGCCCAGGAAGGGGGAGCAGGACCGGGGTACCGCATCCAGTCCGGACTGAAAGGCAGATAGAAGCAATGCTAGAGAGCTTTAAAAACAAAAGCCCCAAAGAGCATCAGGAGCCAAGCAGAGGACAGAAAGGCAGAAAGACAGGAAGACAGGAAGACAGGAAGACAGAAAGAAGAGAAAGGAGGGGAAATTGAAGTAAAAGCACCGATTCTCGGCAGAACGCAGAACGTCCAAGCAAAGAGGGGAAGTGGCTATGCACAATTTCTACCTTGCGATGAAACCCCCCGGATATTTGTAATTTATATAGACTCGTGTTTGTATATATAGCCTATATCCTATAATCTGTAACCTATCGTGTTTCTCCCCCGCATAATCATGAAACGCGGGGGCGTTGGAGAAGATCGATAAGCCCTTGATTCTCCACATTTACACATTTTAGGAACATTTTAGGAACAATGATAGTATGATAGTATAGCAATTTTTAATTAGCTAGAATTAGCTAGAATATTATATGGTTTAAGCCCGAAAGCTATCTACTGCAATCTCTAAGGCATTATATGCCCGAGACTAGGAACTGGTGGCCAGTTCCCTCGGCATTCCTCCACATCACATCATCGACCAGTGCTCGATTCATCATGGTCAGTGGAGCTAACCTCATCCACCGTCTCAACAGCACCCTTGCTATCAATGAAGTGAGTGATGCGGTCTCGAGGAAGCCAGGCACTCTCAGGCATCATGAAGTAGGAGATCAATGCCAAGATGGTGACTCCAGCCATGATAATTGGGGCATCTATCCAGGAAGTTAGCGAGATAAAAACTTATGCGAGAGAACAACATACAATTCAAGTTCTCGCCAGTGACTGGGAACACGTAGGGCGAGAAAAGGACAGCGACAACCCAGCCATTCCAGAAGACACCAATGAACTGGAACGGCTTGCTCCAGCGGCCGAGACTCCACTGCGGCTTCGGGAACCGCTTAGGAGTGCAGAGTAGTCGACCCAAACAGATCAAACCATAAGCAGCAGCGCTGGGGACACCGGCTGCTGAGACGAGGGAGGTAAAAGCCGTGGCGGATGGAAGAATGGTGCAAGTGACCAGGGCAGCGACACCCCAAACAACAATAACTGCGTTCCGTGGCTGACCGTTGTTTACACGAGAAACCCAACCGGAGAAGGGGAGAACACCATCACGGGCGACCGCGAAGACAAGGCGAGAGGCGGCGATGATAGCAATTGCAGTATTCTGGAAAACAAAGTCAGCTATGAGATATCCATGCGCATAAACAGATGATAGCTCACCAGCCATAAAGCGAAAACGCAAATGATGTTCATGAAGATATGGCCACCCTTGCCTAGAACAACAGCGTAAAGGGGCACAAAGGGCTGGGGCGAGCCGAAGCCCATAAGGGTCTCGGCGTCGGGCTAAAGAAAAACTAGGTTAGAAGATCGAAATTTGGATTCGCAGAGACCAATGGAGACGAACCGCGCAGAACAAAAAGAGAATAATCGTAGCCAAACCACCGAACCCACTGGCAACAGTACTCCAGAAGATACCACGGGCGGCGGTGATAGAGGCATTCTTGGTTTCTTCTGCAACGTGACCCGAGGCATCGAATCCAATCAGAATGCCAGCGGTAGCAAGATAAGAAAGACACCAGTTCCAGCCAGCGGGGGCTCCGGTACCGTTGTATGTGGTCATAAAGGCCTCGTGGGTGGTACGGAATCCCCATGTTTGAGCGGTGCCAATGGGCAGCCAGATAAGGTTCAGGACAAAGTCGAGCATCACGACTGCGGATGACCACCAGAAAACATATCTGAAATATCGAGCTAAAACGCTGTCAGATGTAGTAAATCAAAGTTAACACGTCTGTACATACGAGGCAAAAAGTTCAACAGGGCGGCCAGAGCAAGCAAGACCTCAGTGCAGATCCACTGGACTGCGCGGAATTTGACACTGCTTGCGTCTGATGGGAAATCGATGTTAAATACGGTTATTTCCTAAAAGCGATCTATCAGTCCAAATCCCGGGAAATCAAGAAAAAAAGAGCATACCGCAAGCATATAGTTCGTCGCAGCCTGGGTGTTGCCTATGATCAAATTAGCATCATGCGAGCCTTAAGGGCAGATACGCAACATACTTGCACAGAAAGTCGTCCAAGCGGTTGTACTCCACCAGGCGACGATAAAGCCAAGGAGTCGGCCAAATCGGGGCCCACCAGCTTCGGCGGCCCACAAGTAGATCGATCCGGCAGATGGAGAAGCCGAACAAACCTCAGCGATGACAGCAGCAGTAATGAAGGTGAACACCATGGTTACTAGGTAACTAGTCCAATAGGCCAAGTTTCCACCGGCGGCAATACCAGTGCTGAAAGTAACGCGAACACCACCGACAAAGTAAAGAGCAGCTAGATAAAAGTCAGTACGAATGCGCCCCCAAAATGGTGAACAGCCAAAAATGTACCGAATGTGGTCGCAAAATTCTCAAACAAAGTGTATGTCCGATGAAGAACCTGTTCAGTGATTCAGTTGCTGATCACGGATAATCTTAATATACACGATTCAACATACCGGCTTATAGCCCAAGGTCCGCTAGAAGATTATGATGTTAGTTAATTTGAGATTTACAAAAAAAAGCCTGGATGCACCACTTACCAGCAAGGCGGCATCATCCTGACTCTTGATCTCAGCCCGATCACCTTCACCTTGGTTGGCGAGGAGGTCAGCGGAACCAGTGACAGGGTCGTGAGAAGCCATATCTGACAGGTATATAGGGAAAAGAAAGAACCCAAGTGTCGTTGACAAGAGGTCAGAAATTTCGAGGATAGACTTTCTAAGGTTAGTCCCGCGGTCCAAACGTGCTCGAAATGATCCACCGGGAAGATTAGACCCCACACTACGGCCTTGAGTGGATTTGATTTGATCGTGACTATGACTATGACTATGACTATGACTATGGTATGACTGTTTATCATTTACATTATATATATGTAGTCTTTTCCTTTTTCAAGGTTTGATATTCTATGAATATTAAATTGTCCGGGTAAGCATCACGTCGATTAAAAAAGTTGGATTAACTTTCGGGAAGGGTCCAATATAACCTTGGAAGCTCCCGAGGTCGGAGCTGTCTGATCCGTAAATTTTACTTTATTATATATACTCCAGACCTCGAGGATGTGGTGAGGATTAGTAATTCTTATAATAATCTCCGTATAAATAGACGCAAGTTTCTTCTGTTACACAGACTAGAACTCCAATGTGGCCGATTTTGGTATTTGTTAGGTGCTTGTTCCACCCCTGGCAGGCTAAGACTATTAGCTTGCCCTGCAAAATGGCTATAATGTTGGCAATCATAGCTCTACTTTCTCTTTCTGTTTTAGTATTTACAGAAACAAATCCATTACCTAATGTGATATTCCAGGGATCCTAGTGATTACACATGTTATGAGTCAGGTATCGTTTAACAAGCTGGGGTACTATATATTAAGAACATTTGCACCTTCGCTATAATAAATCCCTAATATTGAAGGAGCCGCAGTGAGTCATTTCACACGACAACCCAGGCCTGTGCACAATTTTGACCCACTCCGCGATAATTCGGTCACGTACGAACTGGTCTATTCGTTAGCACATGCAGTAACTAGAAGTAGTGCAATATAGAAAATGGCCCCAAACCAGGAACTACCTCTAGGTACTAATGTGTTTTCTTTCTATCAAGGGTCTGAGGCTCTGCCTCTCTGCCTATATAGGGAGACTCTTGTGATAGCTTCTCTTTTTCTTCCTTCTTCGTGCGCTTTGGTCAGAATACATGCCTGTTTCTCCCTCTTGCTTCTTTATCACTTTCTTTGTTGTGCGAAATGTCTTCTAGCGCGCCTATCGATATTGAAACTAAGTTGAAATATCTCCAATGGCAAAGCAGTTACACTCATACTAGACCATATCGAATCGCCCAATTCGGCCGCAAAAGGAAGAACAATGAGCAAAAGAAGCCGCACAATCTAGTTTTCCAGGAAGGGGATTTTGCCGAGACAATCAGAGACATCAGAGGAACAACAGCAGCAGAAGAAAACCCGAGTTTCACCCTTGAGACCAACGGCTTTGTGTATCGGAGATACCCACCACCTCTATTTACAAACGCAAAGGAGTTTGGCGACCCAGATCATATTCAAAATATCTTTTTGCCGGAATGTGAGGCAATCTTGAGAAAGGAGATTGAGGGGGTCGATCAGGTTTTTATTTTTGATTGGAAAGTGAGTATCCGAAGGACCTTGGAAATCGAGGCTTGATCTATTGAGACTTACCTTCTGCCTTCTGCTTTTAATAGATAAGAAAGAAGAAAAGCGCGAAAGAGCGGCGAAAGAGGAACCCGAATTTATTGACCTTTGCGCGACAAGTGCATGTAGGTAAGTTAAACCGAATATCTGACGATTGGTTAGGTGATAAAATGCATGCTGAGACCGAAATTTTCAAGACACTTTACTCACCAAAGATGAACCTGGGACCTCCATGATAGAGCGCATTCGCAATCATCTCCCCGAAGAAGCACAGCACCTTCTCTCCGGTCGAGTACAAATGATAAAGTAAGTGTTAAGAAACATAACTGGCGACTTTGCAACTCCAACTCCTTTCCTTCAAAAGCTATACATATGTATGCTTTTAATAGCTTTCTTAGTTTTATCTGACATGAAAGTTTCAGCTTATGGCGGACTATTAATGGACCTGTCGAAGAGCAACCCATTGCTGTATGTGACGGGAGAACTGTCGACACATCTAAATTGGTCGAAACAGATATGATCGGCGGTGACTATACAGGCACGCTGCTTTATCCACTTTATGAGCCAGGGAATATTCGCCAATGGTATTATTTGAGCAGACAAGGTGTTGAAGATGTGCTGCTGTTCAAGAGTTTTGATTCGAAAGAGGGGAGTTTGAAATGTGAGTAATATTCCAGCCCCGGATTCCATATTCTATCCTACAATTGATTCGAAGATGCGAAGACGGGAAATGAGAGCAAGATGATTCTAACAGAATATATCTGTTTATAGATACTCCCCACACATCATTCACACTGCCGGATACCCCGAATGATGCATGCCCAAGGATCAGTGTTGAGGTCAGGGCTTTAGTGTTTACGCGCTCGATGCAAAGTGCTTTGTAGTTACTTTGCCCTTCCCAAATTATTGATCCCAAATAATGAGTACAAGCCTCTGCTATAGCAGAGGCAGAAATATAATGACAAAGGGTTGGTTCCAAATATACGCCCATAACATGTTGGAAACCGTTCATGCCCTCTCACATGCCCTACATAGGTTCCATATGGGGGTTATACAATACCCTTTCTCATTTATCTTTCTATGTTATCTATCTTGCTATTTGATAAATGGGTACGATTAGAGTGATGCAGAGCCTAATGCCCCTATCGGGAGAGCTGATGCTTAGCTACGATGGAAAAGGAGGTATTGGAAGGGTAAGGGGTTGGCATTATAGATCTAAGCAGGAGAGGGGAACAACAAGAGACAACAGTAAGAGGCAACAAAAAAGTGGACAGAGCAACAAGACAACAATGAAAGTGGAACCATAAAAAGGTAGGAACCTTCAGGACACAAACTGTACTCAGAAAAATCTTCAGACAACAGAGAGCTATCTCTGCAAGGTAAGCACGAAAAATTGACTCAAAGAGCACGTGAAAGGAGATGCGAACAGAGCCCCTTGGTTGTTCAGCTCCTGACGGACAACGGGAGCACCTAGACACGTACAGTCTGTATCCACAGAGGTCATAGCAAAGCACCGGAAGCATCCGAAGATAGCGTGTAGGTAGCCCGCATATACATACTTCGTGCCATTCGCAGCCTAGCCTAGGCCGCCTACAGAAGACCCGTCAGAGTCCTCAGGATAAAACCGATAACTGGACAACAGGAGACATATGTTGAATATGACCCTGAAGCTGAGAAAGTTCAAAAAAATAGTGGGTGTCCAGGGATCCACGGAGTGCAATGTGGGCCCGGAGTGTTGAGGAGAGAAGAAAGAAGAAGAGAGAGAGAAATTTGGGGGGAGGGGGGTATTTATATTTTCCCAGTGGCTTAAGGATGAGGAAACTGGGGTAGGTGACGATTTTTGTTTTGACCCAAAAAGGAAGGCACCTGATCGGGGACGAGATAGCACACGTAAAGAGTCATGCCCCACCATCTGCTGCTCTAGAATCTCTGCTCATCTTGGCTTCACCCTCAGTGTCACATTACGAGTTGCATCCTAGCCTGGAACTCGCATATCGGATGCCCAGGGAATTTTACCGTAATTCACGCCACGCGCCACGGTGGTAGCACAGCTTATGATGATGATGATGATGGTGATGATTATTATATTTCCATTTGCCTGGTCTATATATGTTGCTTGATATACATGCTGCGATGTAGGAAAGCTATCAGACCAAGTCCGTAGCTATAAAAGAGTCAATTTGAAGTCATGGGGTATCAAAGAAAAGCAAGGCAAGATATGTAACGATGATGTCGTGAGGGAATCGGCGTCGTAGAGAGAGCGGAAGAACAAGCGGCGGAGGAGAGTGGAGCTGGTGTGTATTTTGGTGGTTGTTTGAGAGCGCCTCCGGGAGTTGACGGCCTCCCCTTCATAAGCAGGGTCGAGGCGAGGGAGTTTGGGGATGTCGACTCTAGCCAGCTTCACATCAGGGAAGAAGGATATTCGTCTGAACTTCCTCCAAGGTCTGGATCCAACCTCCAGGAAAGGAGCGTCGCTTGAACCAGACCCCTTCTAGGGTTTCGAGTGCTTTGTCGACGTTCTAAGTTGTGAGATATTAGCATTCGGACTGGCCTCTTGATGAAGTTGGTTTGCGACATACCCTGAAACCAAACCGCTTCAACTCCTGCATGGTTTGGCGAACGTATTTTTGCTCAGGCTCACTCCGAGTCTCCTGCCCGGCGATGAAAAGCGGCCATATAAAAGCCAATTGACCGACATCTTTTGGCAATTTGTAAGCCAGCAGAAGAATCCGACTGACAAGCATGTCCATATACGTCCAATCAGTGATCCAACCGACACGCCCAGCTCCAGCGACCTGAAGCAGATGAACGAATGTCGCCTTCTCGTATGCTTCAATGCAACCCGCATACTCAAGAACGTCAGGATATGGATACTGAGCAAGGCTCTCATCGTCCAGATCGGCGAGCAGCTGTAGAGAGGGCGGGGTCATTGCACGCCATACAACCAGCTGGTTGAATATGTCTTTATACATTGCATCTGACTGGTCGATTGTCATCCATGTTTTCTTGTCCGATGCAAATGTACTGATAGATGCCTGCACTTCCATCAGGCTTGACCATGCCTGCCGAAGCTCGACCAGACGTGGATTGTCCGGGATCGTCGACAATAAGCTTGGTGTCCCGAGATTGTATTCCCACCCTCCACCCATGGTCTTCCAGTAATTACCTTCGACCACGGTTCCGCCGGGAGTTGCGCATGCACCCGCCACATCGAGATAAGACAGTAGGGAGACGAGGAATGGGCGGAGCGGATGGTTTGTCTCGGCGACGCGTTGTACTTCGCGTGCTGAGTCCCCGGGTTGAGGATAGAAGAGGATGTTGTAGATTTCGCGAGCTCCTTTGAGATGTACTGCCCAGTTGTGGTGTTGGGAATCCATCATCTGCAGGAATGTTAGTTAATTGATCATGACTGGCAGGTTTGAAAGACAAATGGAAACGAACCTCGAATAAGGAAAGTAATAGGCACGTCGCGAAATCCGTTAATCCAAGCTGCTGGCTGGGATCTGAGTATCTTGCGCGGAAGCCCTTCACCACCACACCGTATTTGCCCATTGCCTGCTGGAAATGCCTATTTCGCTGCGACCCCACCGAGGTATTTGCGAGATGTAATGCGCCCAATGCCTGCATTGCATTGGCCATTGTTGGAGACGACCGGGCGAAATCCGGGAAATGTGTGCGGTAGGGATTGGCATTGTGAGGGGTGTTGTAGATGGTCAATAAGGTTGATACCTGATCTGCAAAATGAGTGAGATAACGCTCTTCGATGCGCTGAATCGTTTTCGCGATACTGATCGAGGTAACGGGATCCTGGAAGCGGAACTTGGTTGTTTGTTGTGGCAGCGTTGTGGGGGCGATCATAGCCTTGCAGCTCGCATTGCTAGCAACATCTTCCCTTTCCCCTAATGGGAAGACTGCAGAAGCGTCGCTTGACTCTGGGCTGGATGTTGAATTGCTGTTCTGTCTCTTCGGTGCCCTGGATGACTCTGGCGGTGAATCCGTCGGTATCTGAGAGGGTCCGTAAACCTTGAAGGTCATCCGCCCTTGAGCGCCATCGCACTCCCGTCCAAGACGGACACAGTTATTACAGGCGGGAGATGCCTCGTCGCAGCGAACATGGCGGCGGCGACAAGTAGAACAGCCTGTAAATCCTCGGTGATGCCATCGGCGGACTCGCTTCGGGGGTTCGGTGGGTTGTGTATCTGACGTGTCCGACAACGGTGCACCATCCGTGCGTGTCTCCATCGGGCGCGAAACTCGAAGGTTAAATAGTGTTCAGACATGGACACTTAATATAAAGGCTAATCGTCATTAATCATGGTGGATGTTAATCAGGAGAATCCAACCTTGGAAGCTCTCTGGGTTTGGAGGGGCGCTAACGGCACACATCAGCTCTTGGCCAATGGCTTCACATTTTTTATATTAAAACATCTCAACATTCAAAATTAAACACTTTTATACCCCTGCATATCGGGTTTCCTGACGCTTAATGACGCTTAAAGCTCTTAGCTCGACCTTAGCGTCACGGCCATGTGCAGGGGCTGAAAATAGTGCTATTCTTCAAGTTGGCTGCTTTTAATTAATGCCAATCAAAGCGGGAAGACTCGAAGGATTCATCTAGTTCCAGCCCAACCCAACACATAGCATAACCAGCTTCCTTCTTGGGAGCTCTACCCCAACCCTGTGGGGGCCGTTGGGTTGTGTATGTCAACCGCCGTTACTGGTTATATGCGTCAAACTTGAGTGAAGATCAGTTTCAAATCTTACCAATACACCAAGCTAGCTAACATCAAAATGAACGCTGGAGTTCAGAATGTCCCCCATGGCCGCCCGGGCAATCGTTACTGGAACCCCGATATGCACCGCTTGTTACTCTGCCTGCTTGAGGACGGCCTCATGGGAGTGGCCTCGCGGACATACGCGGCTCTATATGAGTCAAGGTGTTAAATTAATGTCAATATCATAACCAAGGATCATAGGATTCTTGATTAGGGGCAGGCTAGAGAGGGTATGGAGCACAAAGTACAAACCGCCGAGATAGGAGATCGACTATTTGATCGTCGATGTCATAGAGCGCGATAGGAATCTTGTCAAAAGAGTCACAGCACGCAGTTAGCGTGCCATTTAATGATGAAAAATGGACACTTGGGGTGCCCCATGGCACAGGGCGATAGTCCGCTGAAGGTTTTGAGAGCACATTGGAACAATAACAGGCATTCGTACTGACATTGACATTGGCTGTTGAACTAATAGCAGTGAAAAGGGTTAGAAACCCAAAGAGAAACTGGAAAATCATGATAATACTAACCTAGATTTGCTTTTTCCTCGTTGATTGCCTACCTTAACGGGTTAGGCTGATCATCGGGGAAGGGAATGTTCACTAACACGATATTTCATGCCCCTCCAAGGATATACTTCACTGCGGGGAAAATTGCGGATTTCACTCCGAGCTTCTTACCGAAACCCCTCTTCGGCTGTTTGGAACTACTTCAAAAGGACTTGTTTCTCTATTACTTCTAATAACTCTCAATTCTCTTACTGAAGTTCGTCAAGATGTCTCAAGGGTCAAGACTTCAAGGCAAGGTTGCCATCGTCACCGGTAAGACTGTTATTCCAGACCATTCCGTTGTGGATGCTAATACCCTTGCTTTTAGGAGGAGGTAATGGATTCGGTGCAGCTATCGCTCGACGATTCGGCGAAGAGGGTGCCAAAGTAATCGTTACCGATATCAACGTTGAGGGCGGCGAGAAAATCGCCGCGCAGAACCCTTCCAACCTCATCTTTCAGCGCCAAGATGTCACACAAGAAGCGGACTGGAATACGGTGTTAGATTTGGCATTCTCCAAGTTTGGGCGAGTGGATGTGTTGGTGAACAATGCAGGCACTACTTATCGCAACAAGGTGGGTTTAACATGTTGTATGATGGGACCTCGCTAATTTCCTGATTTCAGCCAACAGCAGAGGTCACAGAGGAAGAGTGGGAGCGCGTGTTCAAGGTCAACGTGAAGAGCATTTATTTCGCTACAAAGGCCCTGATGCCGCGTTTCATCGAGCAAGGCCAGGGTGGGTCGGTGATCAACATCTCGTCCACGGGTGCGAGTCGACCACGGCCTGGGTTGGTTTGGTATAATGCCACTAAGGGGGCAGTCACCAATGTGAGTGGATGTTTAGACTGTGAATGAATTATGAATCGCTAACAATCTATATAGGCCACCAAAGGTCTCGCTGCAGAGTACGGTCCCCACAATATCCGATTCAACACTGTTGCTCCTCTTCTTTCTGGTACTGGACTATTTTCCATGTTCACCGGTATGGAAGATACCCCGGAGAACCGAGAGAAATTCATCGGAAATGTGCCACTGGGCCGCCTCACCGAAGTGGATGATATCGCCAACATGTGCCTGTACCTGGCTAGTGATGAGGCTCGTTTTATCAACGGCACCGAGATGGTGGTGGATGGTGGAAAGTGTGTTTAGATAATCGAGACAAGTCAGACAAATCAAAGTCAACTTTGAATTAATTTCTCCATCCCGATTTACCCCGCAGAAACGTGGGGTAGAAGACTAACCTTGGAAATTGTTGAGATGTTACGCCATGGCTCAATCTATCTGCCGACATAACTTACATCCCTAAGTCACTGGTGACTGCCACTGACCTGGACACAAAAATGACATCCAACTTCAAATCCATCCCGGTCATCGACCTATCCCTCGCCAAGTCGCCCGTAACCCGGCCCAAACTTATCCAAGAACTCCACCACGCCCTCACCTGCATTGGGTTCCTGTATATCACGAATCACGATGTTCCACAGGACGTAATCGCCGACCTGAAACATGCCCTCCCTAAACTATTTGCCCTCGATCCAGCCGAAAAAGAAGAAGTGGCTTTACACAACTCCCCCCATTTTCTGGGATACAGCCAAGTAGGCTCAGAAACAACAGCCGGAGTAACAGATAAACGCGAACAGTTCGAGTTTGCAACCGAGCTACCTGACTTATGGCGCGTGGGTCTTCCTCTTTATGAAAGGTTGAAAGGACCGAACCAGGTACATCAACACCTATCTCACGCAGCTCATCGGTCATCTGGTTCAAAAGTTTATACTGATAATATTTAACAGTGGCCGTCGCAAGACCCATCTCTTCGAACGGTCATCGAGAGATATATTCGCGAATTAACAAATCTCAGCGAGCGATTCTTACGCTTGGTCGCCGAAGCACTCTCCCTGGACGTTGAGACTCTATTCTCATTCCTCTCGGAACAGCACCGTCTCAAGCTAGTCCATTATCCCGCCTCAGATCCTAGTTCAGATCCCAACATTCAAGGCGTGGGCCCCCACAAAGATTCCTCTGGGTGGTGGACATTTCTTCTCCAAGCATCACCTCCAACTGTGAAGGGTTTACAGGCTCTTAACAAGACAGGTGAATGGATCGACATCCCTGTCATCGAAGATACGTTCGTTGTGAATATTGGACAGGCTTTTGAGGTGGTTACCCATGGTGTGTGTAAGGCGACAACTCATCGTGTGTTATCAGGTCCGTCGGAGAGGTATAGTGTGCCCTTTTTCCAGGGTGTTCGGGGAAGTCTGACGAAGGAGGAGGCGGTTGAGACTCTAAGGAATCATTTTGCTATACAAAAGATGGCGCTGGAGGCGTCGGAGGGTGCGAGTGTTGACTCGGCCTTTTTGAGGGGCAGGTATGATACTTGGGGTGAGTCGCAGTTACGGACAAAGATTCGGAGTCATCGGGATGTAGGGCAGATATTTTATGCAGATGTGTTTCTTAATTATGTCAATGACTCTAGTTGAAATCAAGGATTGACTGAGAAGTCGAGTTTATCGCGGAAGAATGTGGCAAGCTAATGAGCGAAAGTAGAATAGGGTATGCAGTTTGAAAAAGCGCCACCCGCGATAAATATTGTTAGCAATCTCACTAGCTAAGCAGGGGATGAACTATCCCGAGATGAAACATTGCAGCCAATAGGCGCCGAGGTCTCAATAATTGAACAGTGGCATGACATGCGTTTTGACCTTTTACACCTTGTTATATCGTAGTATGCAAGGGTGACATTCCTTATTGCCCTAAACATTTCTTTTAAATTCAAAAGATGTGATTTGAAACAAGATATATTTTAGAGCCCCTGTTTCCATAGAACTGGTCCTGGAAATTAAATCACTTCCTCTCAAAACGATTTCAAGTCCAAGCATACGTCAGAGTACGGGTTATTGCAGGGTATAACATATATCGCCTAACAAAATTCCGTTTAATCTAAATAGTTCATCTATATGACACCCGATCTAGTGTTCATATAAAACTCCCGCTCGGGATTGAAATGCCGGTACCCGGCGACGGCAGCCTCTAACCGCCCGTGCGCCAATTTCGGATTTTACCAGCTGGCGTACCGGCTTTTCATTGCTTACTGGTTAGCAACTCCGTATAAAATCTTTGAGCATTACATGGACATAACGCTGGCCTATTCAAGTGTATAAAATACTTAGTTATATTACAAAGTATACTGCAAGCAGACCCTGAATTGCGGGGAATGCCATGCCAAGGAAAAACACGGGAAAAGACCTCGGGTTTCAAGTTCGCTTATGTCTATAGTTAGCCCGAAATGAAACCAGTGATCTTCAGGGACTTGCCACTTTTGGACTCGCGTGGAGATATATACGCTTTCTGCTACGTGAATATATTATAGACATACGAACCTACTCCATATGGGATTTGGAGATGTAGATCTGGACATTTGCAGGCGTACCTGCATAATCTAGTTCGTACAGAGGCCCGGGCAGGGGTAGTACTTTGCACATCGTGCACACATGGGATACATAGATCAGATCTCAAAGAAGTCCCAAGGTTGCTTCCCTGTGAACGATCAAGTCCGGTCCACTTGTTAACCCCACATGCACACAGTGGATTCGACCAAACAGCCTTCCAAGATTGGAAGGAACCCCGTAGCATATTGGTACAGAAATTTACCTTCTAATGTACGATTGTAGTGTAGAGGCTGTTGCTGAATTCGGGGTTTGATATTCGGTCTGCAAACAGCATGCAGATGCGAAATGCCCAGACGTTCGGACCAGAATTATTATGGGTTTTATATAGGTAATTGAAAATGGGGAGAGAATAATAGGCACCTAATATATTAAATTGCCACTCCAGTGTATTATACAATCATCGTTTGAAATAATCACTTCAGTGTTTCATCTTTATCAATTCCTAGGGTGCAAGATACTCCGTAAAATGCAGCATTTCTATATAAAGAGCATTGAACAACCCGGTTGAAGATTTTATTCCACACAATCAATCCTCACAACCCGTCAACATGAAGTTCTCTCAATCCCTCCTCTTCGCTCTCCCTTTCCTCCAATCCGCCGCAGCCCAAGGCGGTGGCATGGTTGGCCTCGGATGGTCCGTCGAGAACGTCAGCGATGCGGGTTTGAGTGAGATATCCTTCCCAATGGACATCTCCGGCGCTCCCCACAAGGGCGGCTTCTACTTCGCCCAGCAGTTCGGCTTCGTCAACCAAGACAACGTGGGCTACACCGGTTTGCAGCCCCGTGAAAATGACCACGGCCTTCCCATCATCCACGGAGTCTTCTCCAGCTTCAATACGGGCACTACCTCCGACGATCCCAACTGCTCCAACGGTGCCGACGGCGGTGACGGCGTGAGCTGTGCTGTTGAGATCGTCAGCTCTTACGATCACCAATATCAGCTGCACGTCAAGAACACCGAGGGAACTAAATGGGTCGGAACTCTGGTTGATGTTGTGAAAGGAAATAGCACCCAGATCGGCTCTTACACTCTTCCCGCTGGATCGAAGGGTATTCAGAGCTCTCAGTTGGGCTTCGTTGAATTGTATGGCTGGAACGATGGCAAGAAGGAGCATGTGTGCTCCGATGTGCCAAAGCAGTCCGTTATTTTCGGCGCGCCTATCTCTAAGGGCTACAAAGGATCCCTGAGTGCGCCTTATGAGTACGGTGACTGTGTTGGTAACTCTCAATTCGAGGCCCACAGCCACTCTGATGGTAGCTACTCGGTCACTGTTGGATGGTAAATGGAGGGAAGAAGTTGAGGCAGAGACCTTGCATGACTGTGACTGGTTCATCAGGCATGAATTGAACTTGGACAAATCCCAAAAAGCCCAACCGTTAATGGATTCTTCATGAAGGAGATCCAAAGTTCATTTCTCTCGTTCAGGGTCGACTACATATATGACGGATTTAATTCAAAGAACCTCTTTAGCTGCTGGGAAGCAATAATATTGTTCAAGCTCAATTCAGTGCTGCACCTCTTTGCTATGTAAAATATCTAACTGTTTGATTTTGGAAAATGACTAGGTCTGACTATTATTGTGAACAGTCACTCAAAGCCCCAAGACTGCATAAGTCTCTCAGAGCAAACCCTTTATCATCTACTATCTAAAACCGCCTAACCTCGACAGCAGGCTTATTCCCAACAGCGATCTCAATCTTCTCAATAACCTCATCCGTCAACTTCTCCACCACCTCCAAAGCCCGAATATTATCAATAACCTGCTGCGGTCTCGACGCACCCGTAATCATAGACGAGATATTCGGGTTCTTCAGAATCCACGCAAGCGCCAACTGCGCCGTCGAAACCCCAAGTTCCTCAGCAACAGGCTTCAACGCCGCAACCTGATCCAGCTGACGCTGCCAGGTATCATCGCCAACGGTCTTGCGCAGACCCTTCACATATCCGTCCTCCGACTCTGCCAGCCGCGACCCAGGCGGAGGCGCAGCAACATCGTTATACTTGCCCGTCAAAACGCCGCCCTTCAATGGCGAGAACACCGTCAGACCGAGCCCGTGCGCCTCGTACAGCCAGCGGTACTCCTTCTCCACACGCTCGCGCACGAGGAGGTTATACTGCGGCTGCTCGACGACAGGACCGACAAGGCCGAGTTTGTCGGCGATGCGCCAGGCATCCGCAATTTCACTCGCAGACCACTCCGACGTGCCCCAGTAGAAGGCCTTGCCGTTGTCGATGAGGTAGTTGAAGCCGCGGACGATCTCTTCCATTGGCGTGTCGCGGTCTGCGCGGTGTGCGTATACCACGTCTACGTATGGGAGGCCTAGCCGTTGCAGCGAGAGGTTCATCCCCTCGATGATGTGCTTGCGGGAGAGCCCGTTGTTGTTGAGTGGTTTGTCTGGGTTGGCGCTGTTGGCTCTGCCCCAGTAGATCTGAAAGAGGGGTTAGTGGGGGCAAAAAAAGGTGGATGGGAAATTGCGCTTCCTACCTTGGTGGAAATGACGAGGTCGTTTTGCTTCCAGCCGAATTTCTTGATTGCCTCTCCGAGCACGATCTCAGACTGTCCACCTGAGTATACCTCGGCGGTATCGAAGAAGTTCACGCCGGCATCGTAGGCAACCTTCATGCATTCAAGGGCGGTGTCTGTTGTCTGTTAGCTTCGATCAATTCCTTCGATAGAGGTGGTCATACCATTCCCGACGTGTCCGCCATATGTGAGCCAGCTACCCAGCGAGATAACCGAGACTTTCAGTCCGGTCCTACCGAGGAACCGGTACTGCATTTCAGGAAGAGCGTCAGACATTATGAATTTTGTGAAATTAAGATGTACTTCAAGGAAGTAAATTCCGAAGGGGGGGACATATCTTTATATACATTTTGTAAGTAGACGGACCGATGCGGGGTTAAGAGACGGCGTCCAGGCGGGACTTGCCCTCAAGTTTCCCCGATTGGGACCCCGAGCGCGGCTTTGACCTTCCGTGGCGTGCGAAAACCGGGGCAGCGACTGTTTTAGGCTAATTAGATTCGAAGCATCTGGAATTTGGCTTTGTCTAAGAATTGTGGTGCAATATTTGGTGACGATGACCTCAACAATATAATTGGATTGTGTATACTACACATTACTTAATTCTCTCAATCCCCCACTTTCAGTGACATCAACGGTCGCCCATGACCAAACTCAATTGAAAGAACCAATATCTCATTCGATTAAAAACTCGCACCCAGTTGGATTAGCACCAGGCCAGTCAGGGTAGACTGGAGTCCGCGCCGCGTCGGCACATTGACAAAAGTTGGTTTCCAGTGGTATATCTGAGCAGACGCCCACCGGCTGAGTGGCGCAGTACTCATTGATCGAGACGGAGGTCGTCATACCCCGTGGACAGTAGCTGTGCGGCATACAGAACGTGTCATAGTTCGACGAGCCTGGCAGTAAGGTCATGCTGTACCATTGGCTTGTAGCACAGGCGCAGGAGACGGCTACAAGAAGCGACGACATTCAAATTAGCCTCAGCGCTCAACTATTGTCCAGAATAGGAACGAAGTTGTAGAAAAGAAACTTACCCCTGATCACAGTTGATTCTCCTCCCACTAATGTGCCCTCATATATGGTTGACGTCGAATACGGAATAGCCCCATTCGAGCACTTAGTGGTAATCCAGGGTTCGCTGAGCGGGAAACAGCTTGATTGCTCCATGCAATGATCTGGATGCCAAACCGACGGGAAGAATCCCCGTGAGCACTCGATTGGAGGCTCCTGGCTGAAGCAGTACGAAACTGGGGTCCCCAATGTACAGTCTGTCGTATAGACGGCAGTTTGTCCATTCGAGCACCAGAGCTCGGGGCCTTGGGTGATCACAGCTGGAGCTGCAGCCATGGTGATCGAGGCGGTTTGTTGGGGAATAGCCATTGTGGCCGAGATGAAGAATGTGAGAAAGAGATAGACTCAGGGGAAAAGTCCCATTATGATAGTCTCAAAGTTTTTAGACAGGCGTAGAAGAACTTGATATGAAAATTGTGATAGGGAGATGTGCGGTTGCTGTAACTGAGCCAGAAACAACTTTCTCTTCGGGGCCCAGAGCTGGATCTTGTTTTATAGTGGCATAGATCCAACACCGAGGACAGCCCAATTTGGGCTATTCTCGATATTCGGAGTTCACTCAGCTTGGTTGATCAAAGCTACCACGGTAAAGTAGTAGTGGCTGATAGATTCGCTGGCGCATCAGAGACAGTGAAGTTCAACTCATACTACCTCGCAACTGCATGCAACCCTTTGATAGATACCGATCACTAGGTCGAGAACACTGTTTCCAAAGGCCTCAGCAACCTAGCTGGACACAAGCTTACAAAAATAGTAGCTTGCCCCTCGTCGACAAGTCAAGGGATCCTTATTTGGGAAGTCCATGACACAGAAAATGCTTTCGCGGTAACGGGGTCAGTGGCTAACGATGTCACTTTAATGGCCAAGTAAAACAAGGTCATAAACCGACGGTAGTGGAGCAGATAATGGGTTTTCATGTTGCGCAATCAAGTATGCTACACGGACAGCTGGCTCGGGGGAGATACACCGACGCAAGACAGTTGGCATCATTGCAACGCTGACTTGACCTGTCTGTGGTAGAAGGACATAGATAGTTCTTAGCGACAGAGATAATTGCAAATATTATCATACTTTATCACCTTCTAGACCATCCATTTTTGTTGTTCTGTCATGGAATTGATGGTCTCGACGCTCTTGTCGGCCTCGTTATGTCCCATCTGTGCCACGCGATTGTCACACGGATTAGTACAGCATGGCCGTTGCCTACTAAACTAAGGTAGGCTGATCTTTGCTTTGCATCGAGATACTGAGACACCTGCTAAGAGGTTGGGTTGAAATGACTGAGGCCGATGTTGTACATAACTTAGACTGGAGATAACCAAAATAGCGGACAGGGACGGAATGCAGGCAAGTAGCAAAGAAGCTTGTATGTTTTACATAGACCCGATTATTATCGACCAATGAAGTTCAATTGTGTACCAGCCAGGACTATTTAAAATTTCATCACGAGAACGACAGTATGGTCAATGTACACCCCCGACTGACTGGAGGATGTCCAACAATCAGAAACAAACAAATGTACATGAATCAAAGCTCCCAGGTACAATCCAGCAAGTTCAAGGTCCAACTTGATGTAGAAGCATGGGGTATATCCTCTCGGTCAAGGTGACAGAAAGGAGAACGACGCGCTGCGTACTTTGCACATTGGGTTCCAAACACCCACAACGGAAGTTCTTATACTTAGTTGTGCGCGTGACCGTGGCGGTGGTGAAGATGTCTGCGGGCATGGCCAGCAGCCTGCACCGGTTCCACAGGTTCCGGGACAGTGTCCTTCTTCGCGTAGGAAACAGCCGTAGAGGTTTCGATAATGGTGGTTATGGTAGAGGAGACAGTCCGCATGGCGCCAGTGCTAGTCGCAGTAATGGCACCATTTCCATCACAGAGGACGACAACATCGCGTTCGAGATAGATGATCTCTTCGGTGATAGGATCGATAATAGTAGATGTGACGGGGGTCGGGGTTGGCGAGGGAGTCGAAGTGGAAGTCGAAGTGAAAGAAGTAGTAGTAGCTTCGGCAGTGCTGGCCGCCGCAGTGTTGGGCGCGTGAAGGTTGTCAAGGTAGGTGTTGGGATCGATCGAAATTCCAGCAACGGAAATGGTGGGAAGTGAGATCACGTTGGGGGCGGTTGTGCTTGCAGCCTCGGCCTTCATCACGGCACGCTCAGGACCCCACTCGATGGGCATACCGCCAGGCAATCCACCGTGGTGCATTTCACAATCTTCGTTTTTGATCGCGAATGGGATGGGGAACTCACACTGACGCTGTTCATCTTCCGACTGAATGTCGAAGATTTTGCAATCGTCAACGATACCTGTCTCGCTTGTGCAAGTTTCAATGGCCTCCTGTAGCACACCTTGATCCCAAGCCTGCATGAAATCACCGTGATATCCGTATCCAGTGGGGTCACCGTTGGCGAGCGCGAAATATCCATCGACGTCCTTGAATGCGTAGGTATCCCAAATAGTCTCATAGAAGAGTGATACCAGGCGAGTTTCGAATCCCTCGGGGCAAGTACCATCCATAACAAGGGACGGGTATGCGACATGGGATTTGTGGTCATGGGAGTCGGCATCCTTGCCATTCCAGCAGGATGGGAACATCAACTCGATGCGGACTCCATCGGTGCAATGCTCATCGAGGTAGGTCTTGTTGGGCAAGAAATGGCGGTGGAGGGAGTCTTCGGCAGCGGTCTGATAGTTCAGGCAGTTGAAACCAATGGCCTTCTGGCGCAAAGCAGTTTGTGAGGCCTGGTCACCACTCCACTGGGACTTGGGAGGGTCGGGAACTGGCCAGGTGAAATTGCGCTGGAAGGGGTCGCCTGCCAGCATGCGGAAGTCATCTGGGAAGGCAGTGATATTCTGTCCGTACAGAAGGTAGTAGCTGATCGAGCGGTGTTAGTAGTGCTTCACCACGAGAGCCAAATCAAACTTGTCAAACTTACGCAAGCATGCCTCCAACCTCCTCAACTACCTGGGCACTGCCATTGGTGTGCATAAAGTACAAAGCGGGAGCCCAGTAAGCAGACTTGTCTTGAGTCACTGCGCACGAAGTGCAATCAGCACTGAGGAGCGAGTTCTGATCCGAACTCATGCCAAAGCCTAACCATTAAGTCAGCACATCCGTAGAAGAAGTTCCAATCTTTGGGACAATGTGCGCTTACTTCCACCTCCATGGACCGCGTGAGCGTGTCCTGAAACCTCACCCGGATCCACAATGGGGTCAATGCGGGCGAGACCAGATCTTCCACGGCAAGGAAGACGCCAGAAAGCATTTGTGTAGCTTGGGAACAGAGCAAAGCAGGCCATCACAATGGCTGTCAGTCGAATGTCCTGCATTGTTGCGATTGTGGTTGAGCCGCGTCCACGGGCTCGGTTGGATAAAAATAAAGAATGAATGATCTCAGGGAATTGTAAATGACAGACTCGCCAGGTACCGAATCAACCGGTTAGGCGTGGAGAAAGGATTGTGAGAGACAAGTGTAGATACTAAGCAAGATGTTAGTATGTAAAGTCAAGGCATTAAGCACAGCTCCATGTCGTAGATTGAAGATTCCAAGCCCATCGTCATCCAAACAATCTTATATTGATGCCCCTTCCAGTACAAGGGTAGAGGAATGACCCCTTGCTTGTGGACTGAGCACAACACTTCCCCCGAGGGATGATGGATAAAAAGGTAGCAAGGTATGTGACTTACCGATCAAACGCGTTTCTCCTGACGTCAGTAAACAAAGACGATTCACGATTTCTGTTGCGATCCCTGAAGATGCGCCATTTTATCAGCCTCAACTCTATTTTTCCAATAAAACGCCCCCAAAAACGCCTAAACAGAGTACTCACTTGAATTTTGGCAAACAAATATAGAAAAGAACAGAACAGTAAATGAGCGACAAAAGTAATGAGTGACAGACCCTGAGATAGGGTAAAAAAGAGTGCGACGCAGGACGAAGTAAGAGGGGGCAAGGGAACAGATTAAGGAGCAGCACACGGGGATCAAGTACTTCAGGGCAAAAAAAGGTTGAAAAATGCACCAATACATCACCCTCAATGACCCTCAATAATGAGGCGCCAATCCCCCTTTAGTGCTTGGAGAGGGGCCTGAGTTTAATGAGCGGGCCAATCCCTTGATATTCTGGATATTAGGTAGGCTGGGGACCTCGTTATATTAGAACAATAGCCTTCCCTCTATATCCCTACTGTATTACGATTGGGTGTTCATCCGGAATTAAAATGAGCAATTCTTGGTTAATCTGGAATTGGCGCCAGAACACGAGGGAAAAGAGAGGGGTTAGAAGATAGAGAAGATTCTCTCAATGTGGAGGGTCTTCCCGTGTTCAATTCGATATCTGAGACGCTGAAACGAACGGCGCGTTCCTGGTCTAAATCACTAGCCCCGTCTTGGTGACCCACGTTGACCATATGGGGATTGGCTTAAAGGGAAGATGAAACGACCCGTAAATTATACCCCTATTTGGTACGTATTCGATAAGGGAAATTTGCAATTACGGCGTCATAGCAAGGTGCAATATAAAATATAATTACAAAGTATATAGTTAGTTAAAGTAGTAACTATACTTGGGATACAATGTTATATATTGCATCCTATCGGATATATATAGTCAACTTGGATACAGAGTATTATGGTCAGACTATCTCAGACAGGAGCCGTTTGAGGTTTGACGAGGGTTTAAGATATTATTCCTATGCCTTCAATGTCCCGATCCAATACCCCGTACTCCGATGTCTCAGATCTCACATTGGCTGACACTGAAACCGCGAAGCTTTTTAGTATTATCCACAGAGTACGGAGTAGTTCACCGGCACTTCAGTATTTTGTATTGTAGTGAAGTCTTTTATGGATTATATCTTATTATTAGATCTGCTGGGGAGATAGAAAATCCTACTAGGATTACAAAATATATATATTCCTGTTTCAAGGTTGTGGTTAGGTCTTGATCTATCTATAGTTGAGAATTGGAGAAACCATATCCCATTTTCGTACGTGCTTGCATGAATAAGTTTTCTCGTATCCAACAAAAGAAAATACCGTTTCGTGAAATACATATACAGGGAGAGAACCAGACGCTTTAAAGGTGAAGATTCATGAGTCTGATGGTGTTTCCTAAACGGGATCATAATTTCGGAAGGCGATGGCAATATTGGCGTTGATAGCGAATATCATACAGATCAGAGTAGATTTTGAAGTTCTAGGCGTCTATCCTAAAAAGGCAATACATATACAATACACTGTTCGATGTTGTACAGCCCAGATTACACCTTCACCTCCTCTAAAGCCTTTCTCGCTCTTGCAACGCACTTTCGTGCACGGGGTTCAGTGAGATCCTCGACAGTCTTACCACCATCCCGCACAATACCGCGAAGAGCAGATTCGGTTTCCAGCAGCGATGTGCGTCCTTCCTCGCGGACCTCCTCCTCCCAGAAAGTACGGGCAACATCCCACCTCTTCTGCTGGCGACGCATAGAGTAAATCAAACCCACGGCAACAAGGGTACATGACTCGTACACCCCGGCCGATGGAATAGCCACATATGTTAGAGCGGAGAGAGCAGAAGTCAGAGTCGTGGTGGACACGCTGAAAAGCACCAGACTCTGGGCGAGGGCTTGAAGGGATGGCACGGTGGTGGTGAGGAGCTTGGTGCGAAGGTCGGGGATCTGAGTTGGCCAGGGAGCCATGGCAGAGTCCTTCGTGGAGTCAGGGCTTGAAAACGAAGGCTCTTCCAACAGGCCGGCCTGGTGGTACTTGCCCGCGGTCCAGATGACCTCCTGCTCTGCCCGGCGAAGGAATTTCTTTTCCAAGATCTCAGATGTAATCATGCTCACATCGTCAACGCGCCAGAAGAGTTTCCACCATGCAAGACCGCGCCAACGTGGACTGGCCAGCCCCGCCTCGAGGGAACTGCGGAGCTCAGAGTGAGCACGCTCTGCCCAGGTAGTCACGCCCCGGTCCAAGTTGGACCGAATCTCTTCAGGTGCTACACCGGCGGTTTGATCATGGAGCGCCTTGGCGTCTCTAACAATTACACTAGCGTCGGCTGCGTCAATAAGGGACTCCACCAGAGGGACCAATGCCGGATTCAACGCATTTCCATTGGATGCTTCCGAGGAAGTTGCAAGCCAATCGATGAGAGGTTGCACGCCACTGCCATTCCACCCACGTTCGTAGTCGGAAGCATTGTGGACGGATTCCCGGAATTTATCCAGTGCTGTGCTGGCACGGTCGACATCTACCAGGGAAAGTCGCTCATTTGTGGACTTTTGGTCTGCCACTGCGAGTTCAATGGCTCCGCGTACTGAAGAGGCCTCGTTCTTCAGGTCTGACCGACCCATCATTGTGCTGTACGACAGCAGGCCGTCCACACCACGTCCGCATACGATAGTGCGGTGCACGGGATACCGAACAACATTATGCCGACCGGAGTGCGAGTTCTGGATGGTAATTGTGGGGACGAGGAAGGTGTCGGCGTGGAACGTAGCGGCGTGCTGGTCAGGCTCAGAGCCTAGGGTGCTGACTAGGATCTCTAAGTTGCCTTTCCTCAGGATAGGCGATGGCACTGATATCGTCGGTAGCAGGTCATTGGGGATGGATTGTGAGATTTCGCCATATCTAGACAATACATCCTTAAAATCAGTATTGGTCACAGAGGGTCAACACGCAGACTAAAGAGTTGTTCATACCTGATCAGCAGTCCTCGGGATGAATCGGCATCATATGAGTCAAGGATGTCTTCCCAGCCTTCTCGCGGTGCCAATGGATCGGCAAGTAGTAGTCGAACAAGTTTGCGTGCAGAGGTCGTATCGTTCAATCCAAGAACTAATGTCCAAATCGAGGAGAAATCAGTGCCATGCTTTCTTCGAAGGGGAAGATCCAGTGCCGAAGAGAGCAATAGCCTGATCGTATAACCAGAAACTCACCAGCTACTCTAATAAGAGGCGTTTCAGACTCCAATCCCCGCAGTGCAAATTGCAGCCGACTGAGATTCACCTGTTCCAGCGCGGCATCCTTCACTCCCTCGAGGGCGGCGTGTAGCTCTTTGAACCGTGGCGGCACGCTCTTCGCAGTGATAATAGAGGATGTGGTAAATGTCCGGGGAGCCGATGCTGTAATTGTATTTTGAGCTCTAGCGACTCGTCGAGATGTGTCGGGTTTGTCGATGCTGCGACTGGTGTTGGCGCGCGTGGACAAGGTTCGTCGCCAGATCGCGCACGAGGGGCAGTAAAAGACAGCGCTACTATCCAGTGGGCGCGAGAGGCTCTTTGCGAGCGCGCTGCGCAATCTTGGAGCCATTGAGGCGCGGTGAAGCGAGGTTTGTAGGGTATGTAGTTATCGCAATGGCACTTCGGTGGATGAACTTGGTCGAGCGGAAGTGGACGCGGGAACAAGGCTTGGCACCCATCACTGGCTTGGTAGTCTTTATATTCTACATCTCAGGCGATGGATATACGTAGCCACCAGATAACTTGGTCAAAATGAGTGATCAATATATCAATATTGACAATAAATGAAACCCTTTCCCTACTATAATTGCAGATTCGGCTACGAAGCGTTGTGGAAAAAGCACACGTATTTAACTGAACTGTCCTATTTATCGCTAGAATTGTGGATTCACAGGTTAAATCGCCAGGCGAGTGGTAGCATCAAGCAGATAGATAGGGTATCGTATCGATCGTTTCGGGACAAAAAGCGTGTGCGCTGGAGGACAGGAAGAAGAAATGCATAGATCGTGTCATAATATCAACTCGGCCACATCATAGTTTGATCAGGCATCCTTAGGAGGATCCCTCTGTCGAGAACGGGGGCGACCTGAGCCAGCAGACCTGGTTATTTCAATTAGTATGTGAAATGGGATGGTGACAAAATCTCTCAAGTGAACACTTACATGCTGATCCGTCGAGCAACTGTGGCGAGTCCAGCATCGTTGGCAGCCTCATGCTCAGCCCGCTCCATGGCTACACGACGACTCTCCTCGCTCTTTGCGATAACTTCTTCTTGGCTAGGAGGCACGTGCTCGTTCTGGATATCAACCTTACGGGCATCCTCGAAGTTATGAATAGCCTGTTTGATACCTTCCGCACCCAGCATGAGGGTTCCAGCAGGAAGACGACCGCCAGCCGCCGTCTTCAGCTCAGTGACACTCTCAGACTGCTCGCGGAGAACCTGGAAGACACGAGAGAGGCGGCCAATGGCAAGAATTTTGTTTTTGATAGCACGTCGTTTGAACTCGGTGGACTCGGGGTCCATTGACGGAGGCGAGATTGGGTCCTTATCCTTGTTTTCAATGGGAGAGACAGGTGTGGGGGCCTCGTCCTCCAACTCTTCCTTCGAGCAGGTGTTGAGAATCGCGATGAGCATATCCGTGATTTTCTCACCAACGAACGGCAAAGACCAAGTGAAAACATCCATGAAGTTGGGCAGCCAATATGGGTGGGGGGTGCAGTTGAATTGGCGGATGTTCATCACATTGTTTTCATATTTGAGGACGGCCGCCTTGTTGTTGTAAACATCCAGGTAGTTGGGCGCACTGAAAATAGTCATAACACTAGGGAAGCCGGTGGTTCGCGTCTTTCTGTACATGCGATATCCGGCATCCTGGGCCTCATGTGCTCTGATGATGGAGAGCAAATTGTTCTTCTCCAAAAACGCGCATGCCGCGGGATAAGAGAAAAAGTAGGAGCAACCACGGACACTGTTATGAATGAAGAAATCGCCTGTCTTTTCTTGACCAAATTCTTCCAGAGGGTCAGCCCAAAGGAGGTCGCACATGAGCCCGTGGGTTGGGGGTTCGCGGAAGCGATCAATCTATGCCTGTAAGTTGTCTGCCAATACCATTTAAAATGCGGGCAGGGGAGATACATACAGCCTTGATGTCTTCGAGGGTATGCAGCTCGGGGCTGAGACCACCGTGAATGCAGAGGAACTGTTTGTTCATAACCGCCGCCAGCGGCAGTGCACAGAAGGATTCCAGACACGCCTCGTAGATCCGTTCACTATATTTGTGCTTACACTCCAGCTTGAAGGTGAAGTAGTCCGTCAAGTGGCGACATTCGTGATTACCCCGCAGCAACCAAAGTGAATCGGGATACCAGATCTTCAATGCCCAGAGATAGAGAACGCACTGCGGAGACAAACAGTCAGAGTAGTTCTTCTAGATTCGAGAACGAGACTCGGATGACCCACCTCGATACTGAAATAACCACGATCCACATAGTCACCCAAAAACAGATACCTTGTTTCTGAAGGGTCACCGCCGACCTCGAACAGCTTCATCAAATCGTAGTACTGGCCGTGAACATCGCCACACACTGTAATGGGCGCATCCATTTCGAGCAAATTTGGCTCGGCCTTCAAAACCTGGGTACCGGCGTGGATGATCCATAGCGCCTGTTCTTCTGAAAGACGACCTTCACGATAGAGGTGTTGCTTGAGATACTGGAGATTGGGCTTGGAGGGATCCTCAGGCGACCAAAACATATCATCCGGAGGATAGCTGAGAGCGGGCGCTTGGACCTCTGAGACCACGAAAGACCGTTAGCGATCAGGTTACCACATCTTGCGAAAGCGACTGAAACGATTGCATCATTACCTTTGACCACCCTCTCCATTGTCGACACCTGCGTATTGTCCTCCATCGTGTGCAATGTGAAATCGATCTCCGGGACCGGCTGTTTGTCGGTCACGGCGCGCGCTATAGCCCGATCCATTTTGGCAGAGACTGAAATGTATTTGAATTTTGAGTTCGGAGTAAGGGGGGAGGGGGGATGGGGGATGGGGGGAGAGAAGCGCGGAGGTGTGGCGGGGGTGAGTTCAGCCCGGGCGGGATAGTGCTCCCACGACGAAGAAGAGTATAAGACTGATAGAACTCTAATCAAGCCGAAGTTCTAAAGGGACCGAAGAAAACAGAGCCCAGGGGGGTAAAATGGGTGCTGGGGGTTGTGTGTTTTGGGAGGAAATGTGAAGTTGGGAAAAAGAGAAACAAATTGGATAAGCGGCTTCTGGGCCGTCCTGAGATCGGTGGGTCTCACACCAACCTTGATACTGTATCTGAGACTTTTCTCGTGTTCTTGTATTCTTGTGTTCTTGTGTTTCTTTTCCTGTTTGGGGGGAGAGAGTGTGATTGATATCTGGATGATGCGAGAGACAACCTTGGAAGAGTTAGATCAAGTTCAGCCTCATGTCAACATGATGACTTGATGCCTAAGGCAAGAATGGTTCCCTTTTTACCCCACGCTATCAGATTCATTCGATTTCAAACTTCGATTATTTCGACATTTTCATCTGAACAGTGTGGGCATTTACTCTTGAAAATAATTATGCTTCAGTTTTGGCCTCAGCTTCCACTTTTCATCTGAAGCTGCGATTAACGTTTATTGCGACTAGCCCCGATTTGCCCAGACCGCTGGACTTGAGGTATGCAGGATGGATGGTTTGCATGAGAAAATCCTTCATAGCTGCAGCTATTACTCTTGAATATCCTTCACTCGATGTGGAATCTTATGAAAAGGACATTTTCATATGATGGAGATGCCGAGGTAATCATGAACTGAGACAACTTGCAGCCCAGACCTGCTGTCTTGGTAGATCGGGCTAGATCTACTATAATACCACAAATCTCTCAAGGATACTCTCATAATTGATATGATATATGCTCCCACATCAAGGCGCTCCGCAACACACCCTTTTCGGCTTGACACCTAGGGACCCGAAGGGAACTAACCCCCCGGCTTTATTTTCTCAAGAGTCCAACATCACTCTAGCAACAAAGGAAAGGAGAGATACTCTTGGGATATGCAATGACACTATCATTGCCAAATGATGTTCGGAAGTTGCATTTCCGCAGTGTATTGGTTCGATTCACTCATTCTAGATAGGTTGAGTGAGAGATACAACTGACATAGAAATCAAAGGACGAATATGGTCTAGACAAGACATATTGTACGATCAGACATCATACAACTGTATGGTGCAGCAAATAACACCGAACTGCTTTTTGACAGATATTCTTCTTGTCCAGGGGAGAAAGACCTAGAGATCTCACAACAACAACTGGCAGCAGGGCTGGTAGGTCTTTGGGGTTTTGTTTTCTTTCCCTTTTTTAATGTTATTATTGATCTAGGATCATACAAAGGGAGATTGATGAATGCAGATCCAAATAGGTTATTTCCGTCTGTTCAAATATTGATTTATCAACTATAATGTTTAATTATCCAATCAACCACTAGCTCTAGGGGTAGCCAGGGATCTGAAGTTAACTTTGGTGTCAATCTCCTTCGCGAATTTTGCAATTACTGTCCCTATTTCGACTAAGGACTCCGATATCCACGGCAAGATATCTAATCCACTTGAAGAGGTGTTAATTGAGAGTTTGGCTAACGGTATTCTTAATGGTGAAAATAATGTGGATGCTGAGATCTTATCTGAATATAAACTATCTTTCAACTATTTCAAATTCTTTGCTAGCTCAGAGAGATATAACTAAACGCATTATACTTCGGGCTCTTTTGTGAGATCTGAACACTCACTCATACTCAACATCAGAAACCCATTCAAATATCCATTGAATCCACTCAAGCCTTGACGACGTCAAATCCCTCCTCCCAGTTATCTAGGGCCGCCCGAATCTCCGCGGCATAAGCGGGGATACCACCGGAGTAGCACACTGGCTCGGAAACCTTGCCAGGGATGCTGCCACCCATGTACGTCGACTGCGCCGTGGGGAAGAGGGTCCTGTTATTAAGATCCACCACATGATTCTTCCACTTATCAGAGGCCTCAATCTTGGGGTTGATGTACTTGACGCCATTGGCCTCGATCTTGGAAATGGCGTCGGAAATCCACCGGCCCTGCACCGCAACTGACGTGGGGCCATTGCTTAAGAGTGTCGGGCCGTGTGCGCCATAGATGTGGAACATGTTGGGGTAGCCGCTAACGGTGGTACCGAGGTAGGTCTTTGCACCTGGAATCCACTCTTTCTCGAGCTCGGCACCGTCAATGCTCTTCAGGCCCAGTTGGGTCATGACACCGGTAACAACATCCTGTGGGTATTAGCGCGTGCGCTCTTACTGGTGTATTGAACAGAACTTACAAATCCAGTCGCGACAGCAATGACATCAAGTTCATGGTGAGTTCCGTCCTCGAGGGTGATACCGGTCTCGGTAAAGTCCTTGATCGGGTTATTGTTGATGTCAACCAGATGCACTGATTCCCGATTGAACTGTTCGTAATAGTTATTTTCAAGACATGGCCGCTTGATACCGAAATAATGCGGCATCTTCTGCGGCGCAAGCAACTCCCTCGTCTCGGGGTCACCGATACGATCACGGGTCTTCTTGGCCCAGAAATTGTACGACTCTTTGTTGGCCTTGGGATTGATCAGGTTGTCCTTGTACACAGCAACCCAATAGCGGAACCCACCTTCCTTCCAGAGGCTCTCGTAGAAGGCCTCGCGCTCCTCGGGTGTGTCGTCAAAGGTGTTGCGCTCGCACCAATCGTATAGGAAACCAGCAAAGTTGGTCTCGCGGTACCGGAACAGCTCTGGGTAGTAGGGCTTGATGCGCTCCTGCTCTTCGACAGTGAGTTCTCGCTTGCGCATGGGGATGGCGAGGTTAGGAGTCCGTTGAAAGACCTTGAGGTCGCCAGCCTCAGGGCCCCAAGCCTGCGTGATTTGCACACCTGAGGCACCGGTACCGATGATAGCACAGCGCTTGTTTTTCACGTCGATTTTCTCCTCAGGCCAGAAAGATGAGTGGTGCACGATACCCTTAAATTTATCCATGCCGGTCCACGGGGGAATATAACGCTTGGCGGCCTAAGCGGTTCATTAGTAGGTCTTTATTTGATTGATAGGTGTAATTACTCACAAAGCCGGTTCCAAGGACGAGGTATTTGGCCTTGGTCGTGCGACCATCTGCAGTTTTGATATTCCACCTCCCCTCATTCGTATCAAACTGAGCTCCAATCACGACGGTGTTAAAAGCGCAGTCCTTCTTGATACCAACTACTTTGTCGACGTGATCGAAGTAATCACGCAAGTTTTGGTAGTTAGGGTAGTTGTTGGGCCAGTTCCACGTGTTGTATACCTCGGGCCAGGAGAACTCGTACTCGGGGACTTCGGAATCTACGCCGGCGCCGGGGTAACAATTCCATCGCCAGGTGCCACCCGTGTCGTTGCCGGCCTCGAAAATGACCGTCTTCAGACCGCGATCGCGAAGGGTCTTGAGCATAAAGACACCGGCTGTCTCGTTAGCTGGTGAATAAATGAACCCTATACTACCGACTTACCAAAACCGGCGCCGACGACCAAAGCATCGACATCGAGATTTTCGGCATATGGCCCAGTCTTATCGGCGTGAACAGCTGAGTAGTCGGTGAGCTCGGTGTTATACTTCTTCGGCTTGGAGACTATCTCTCCTATGCTACCCATTTTGATTGAAGATTGGAATGATCAAGTGTTGCAGTTGTTGTAACTAAATATGAAGATTGACTGTTGAAATGTATGAGGTTTTCTCTCTCGCGAACCCCCTCCTATTTATAGGTATTTTCGTCCACGTCTTACTGCTGATGTTAGCATGAGCTGTTTAGACATAGTTGCCCATGATACAGGTAACTGCAGGGTACCCCTCCTTCATGCACCACGTGCGGCAGAATTTTGAGGCCATCACGACAATGTGGCTTTTTGCCGAGGAATTTAGTCCTCAAGTTATTGGACTCTGATTTGGAGTCTGGTCTTTGAAGACCTCCCACCGGAATGACCTCTCATGTGCTTCTTAGGTGTATTTCCAAGCCGTCTTTAACATAACCAAAGTAGTTAATGTAATCTTCCAAAAGGACCAAAGCGCTTCAAAGCTGCATTGTCATGATGGCCCCAAAAAGCCGCCGTACACCACGTCACGTTAGGGCTATCTAGGTATGCATTCCTCAACCTGTCATCACAAAGAAAACTGTAGCTGTGATTGGACCCCTTCGGCCGTTAGTTGCGGATCCGGAGCCGAGACAATCTTGGAACCTTCCCCGCACCCGGTTCCGCAAGCCACAGCGGTTCCGCAAAGTATATTGTATAGCCGTAGAATCCAAGGAACTCCTCGGTATCACGGCGTTATGGGAAAAGCTGTATTCCACAGGCTGTTTGGAACTGTTTAATAAGGCACGCTTGCAGTCTCCCGCCCTTCCTGTTGATTTTGGTAGATCTGACCTTTTGTCAACTCATACACACGATTCCCTGCACAATCGCCTATCCTTGTCTATACAGACATCAACATGTCTCTAAATCCGCAAGTGCATTCGCATATCTGCGATATCATAGACAAAGCCTGCGAAGACCAAAAGTCCGGTATTCCCGGGACCACGGTCGTGGTCGTTGGCAAAGAAGGGAACGAACTATTAGCTCACTCTGCGGGTAAGCGAGGCACGGGATCCAAAGACCCCATGAACTTGGACAATATCTTCTGGATTGCATCTTGCACTAAGATGTTGGTTGGTGTTGCCTGCATGCAACTGGTTGAGCAGGGTATCCTCAAGCTGGATGATGCGGAGCAGACAGAGGGTCTTTGCCCTGAATTGAAGAGTCTCAAGGTGTTACTGCCAGATGGTAGTCTTGAGGAGAAGAAGCATGGAATTACCCTGCGTATGCTGTTAACTCATACTGCCGGATTCGGCTATACATTTTTCAATGAGAGACTGAGACAGTGGTCGTACCCGGTTGGCGTGGATGAGTTCTCCGGGCGGATTGAAGATATGAAGCGGCCTCTGCTCTTTCAGCCCGGTGAAGGCTGGGAATATGGCGTAAGTACCATATATTCAGAGCCGCGAAACACATCATTAATGAGAACAGGTTGGTATCGACTGGGCGGGAATCGCGCTGGAACGCGCAGCTGGCGTGACGCTCAATGACTACCTACAAAAAAACGTCTTTCTGCCCCTTGGAATCAAGGACATGTCAATGATTCCGAGCGAGGACATGCGCCAGAGGCTGGCGTACATGAATAATCGAAACCCAGATGGCACCCTGAGGCCCCGGGACCATGTTCTTCGAGCGCCTCTAGTTGCTGACTTGAAAAATGACGCTGAAGTCGCCAGAGTATTCAACAGCGGTGGTGCGGGCATATTTGCCAAGCCGCAGGAATATTGTAGTGAGTCGCGAGTAGCCCCGAGATCCTGTCAAGATTACATCCACTGACTTGTCTCCGCAGAGGTACTCGCTGTACTGTTAAATGATGGAACGTGCCCTAGAACGGGCAGCAAGTTGCTTCGCAAGGAGACCGTAGATGAAATGTTCTCTAACCAGATCCCCCGGTTCCCCAACTACAGCCGTCAAAGCATCCCGGATGCAAAGCCGGACCTGACCAACCCCGTTCCCGAGCTATACCCAGTTTCCGGGAACCCGCCACAAGGTTGGGGCCTCACGTTCATGCTGAGTAACGGCGGTGCGACGGGGCGGTCGAATGGAACAGGGCACTGGGCTGGGCTGGCGAATTTGTGGTGGTGGGCGGACAGGGAGAAGGGTGTTGCGGGGATTGTTTGTACACAGATTCTGCCGTTTGTGGACGCCAAGGTGCTTGGGCTATGGGGAGCAGTTGAAGCTGAAATATACAAAGCCCTCGATGAGGCTTGATGTGGGAGACATCCATTAGTGTTCCATGTTTGTCATGCTTTCACAGTTAGCGTCGGTTATGGAGAATAACAGATATTTTTTTTCCTTCTGTCTCTCTTCTTTATCCACACAACCCCCATAGTCAATCCATCAATTCTTCCTAGCACCTCTTATAAAATAAGAAAATGCCACCATTCATTGGTGTGCGGACTAAGGGAAATCCGGGGATTGCGGGGGTCGGGGCTCACGGAGATTCGAGAAACCCTAAATACGGAGATCTCCTCCAGGGGCAGTTCACCTGGTTCCCCGCTCTTTCGTAGCATCTCAGATTCTCACAACCCCTGGGGAAAAAAGAAAGAACACAGAAAAATAAATGAAAGTCAACAACAGTGGTCGACATGTCTGTCCAGAAACGAAGCACAGCGCTTGCACAAGGATCCAGATCCAGGCGTCAATACCGCTCTTGCGACCAGTGCAGAAAATCCAAGCGAGCATGCGATGCACCATGCCTGGATCGGACTAGACGAACATTGGTTAGCAACGTCGATGGCCAGCGATCACCTTGTTCCTACTGTGCCAGAACAAATAAACGCTGTACTATGGAATGGGCCCGATCACAGGCTGAGTCTGCCCTGAGATCGCCTCGCCAGTCCCATTCTGAATGTGGGAGTCGAGATCTTCTCTTCCCATGGAAAGCCAATGAACTCCAGGTTGAAACTGGACCTGGATCATGGAACGATTTGCTTGAACCAAATTATACCCAGGAGCTTATGAGTTGGGACTCGGAGTCAGGCAACGTGGATTTGTCTGGGTCGTTTCTTGATTCTAATTCAATGCTCCTCAGTTCAATGCTCGGCAATACTGAGGACCCCCAGGAGAAGATACGGGCAGAGATTCATGACGCGTTGATGTCTACACGGCCTGTGTCTGATCTCATCCCGCCATGCTTCTCTAGTTCACCAAACACCTCGACACAACCACCCTCGGACCTCGAACTTGATCCAATGTATCACCAGATGTGGCTGGTGTCCCAGGATTCCCAGATATCCCAGACATCCCAGACATCTCAGGCATACAGTAGCCTCGGATCCGCCCGATCCCAGAGCTCCCGGCGGCCGAGTGACTCTGCCTGGATGTCTCTCAACCAGCAATCCTCCGACTGGAAGAGCCCGCAAAGATCACTTTCCCCATTTTCTGTCGATCAACAAATGATCAACACATCCAACTACCAGCTGACTTCAGCGAACCTGCTCCAAATCTACCACGACGTGCTAGAGCATAATCTATCGTGTTGGCTAAGCGACATGACTTGTCCCTACCAAGCGGGGTCACGAAATACTACTCGTATTGTACCTGAATGGGGCTCCTCGCGGTCAAATATGATATACCAGCGCACGATCAGGCTTGATCGCGTCGCACAATCTTGCAATCTTCTACAGCTGACGCGCGCCGAGGACCAGGCCGCGTCCAGGGCTCTGCACCTTACGATCATGGCGTTTGCTACGCAGTGGGCACAGGGCAGTCATCGGCAACGCGAGAAATATCCGACCAGGTCTCTCGATGATGGCGAGGACGAAGTCGACAAAGGCATCGCCGACGAGTTCGACCGCCTTCTCCAGCACCACTTTTGGGATCAAGCGCAGCGCGCACTCCAACAAGTCGCCGATTTGGAGTCATATAGAGTGGCATGTGCGGAGCTGATCTTCGGCTTGACACAAAAGCCATGGAATCCCAGAAATCGGTCTCCTGGACAGGAGATGCAAGAACAAGGCAGGGAGTTTGCCACAGAATCGGTGTTGACAAGGTTACATGATATAATAAACAAAGAAGGGCCACCAATATACATGGAGAGAGCAGCTCGAAAAATGCACGCACTAAAGTATCGCTGCGACGCGCTCGAAAAGGGCCTCGTCAAGCAGTGCGGCAGTCGCGAGAAGGGCGCCCACGGCATTGAGGCTATGAGTGCCGAAGATCGAGGGACAATTGGTCTACTTTACTGGATGGCTATCATGTGTGACACCCTCTCCTCGTCCATGAACGAACGGCCCGTCGTGGTAGTGGATCAGGACTGCGATCACGAAGGGCAAAAAGATATCCAGCAACCCGGGAATATTGACAGATCTGTTGGAAGAAGTCGGTGGAACCTCGATCTCTTTTTGCAAGGAAACCTCAAGCAGACGCATCGAGCGCATTGGCCCTGTTCCTATGAGGCTGCCGCTGAGGACGTCACCAAGTCAGCGCCAGTCAAGGTTCTTCTGTTCCGCCACCTGTCTTACCTACAAAACGCCGTTCGCAAGAGTGCTCCTGAAGAGCAGATCGAAGACATTATCCGCATGACGATGTTGCTATATCAATACTGGAACAGAACGCATGGCGCCTTTTTCGGCGAACTCGTGGAAAAATACAGTGCGGTTCCACAGCGCATACAGGGCTGGTTTCTCTGTATCTCTGCACACTGGCACCTCGCCGCTCTGATGCTTGCCGATCTACTAGAATTCATTGACGAGAACGCCCTAGGTATGGAGGATGTAGCCCGGACTCGTATCACCGGTCAAGTGGCTAGGGAAATTAGGATGCATAGTTCCAGGGAGCTATCGGCTCTGGCAAGAGTCGGCACGCCGCCCACCATAAATGGTGATTACCTGGCCGTGCCGCAGATGTCGGACTTTCACCACGCTGTCAACGAGGGTGCGCTCTTGACAGACCCATGGACAATGATTTTGATCAGGGCATTTACCAAAGCTTGCATGGTCTTTCTAGGTGAAACAGATGAGTCCTTGCGCGACGGTGGAACTATTCTCGGGCACAATGGTCATAATTTCGAGGAGAGTATAGAGCAGGCTGAGGACTGTATGAAGGGGCTGTGGCTACTGGGTAAAAAGTCGGATATGGCACGGGAAATTGCGGATATACTTTTACTCGCGTTAAGAGAATTGCGGACGGGGCGTGTTGTATAGCTTCCATAATTCTATAATCAACTTCGCGTTCACTTATGCATTTTGATGTCTATCTCGGTAGACCAATCCGTCCACCGACAACGGAAAATAAAAATAGAGAACATACAACAGTGAGAATTCGCAGCCGTAGCCATCACCGTAGTTGCTGCTGCTGTGAGTGATGTGGTCGACATCGCCCGAGCGAGCGAAGCGCTCGCCACGAGAATGACTCCCCACATGCCCTTAATCTTGGAGGATATTCACCAACACAAAAGAAAAAAAAGAGAGAAGATGAAGGGCTGATGATCAGCTAAGACAGAAGATATGGCCAACCCCCTGTCAACAATGTGGACAGGGGTACTAATTAAATATATCTGCCATAGTAGGCCAGCCACGCACCCCTAAGAAAGCTTTCCGGCACAAGCGATCGAAGAACGGAGCTTTGAGAGGTTTCGTTTAAGCCGCTCGTTACCCGGCTCGTCCCGAAGCTCTTCGGGTCGACCCGCACCGGCCCGTACATATAACGGCTCCACCAACCGCAGCGGTCGGACCCGTTTGGGCTACAACCTCGAGGAAACGTCAAACCTCGCACGTCGCACGCATGATCAGACTGTCACTACCGTTGAAGCTGGCGATGGCGAGCTCGTCTACATTCCTACGAAATTGAAAGCCAATAATATGATCACCATGACCACGCAAATGGAGGTTACTTGGAGTCAGTCTAATTGCGAAGACCAGGATACTAGCAGTACAGAGAGTCTTGTCCACGGGAAGGGAAGTAGCAGGCGTTCTAGATAATTTTGGAAAGAGGATTACTTTGTTCATTCCATAGCTACATAAGGACACCCCCCCCTAAAGGATACTTAGGAATAAACCTGGTAGCTCCTTCCCTTGTAAGCAAGTTTGGAAGAGATTAGTTAGAAAAAGGCTACAGCAGCCGATCAATAGAACAGTCTCTTTGGTTTGGTCAATTTATATAAAAGGTTATATATAGGATAGAATCTTTCTAGTGGATTCTACAATACGCTATGGACTTGCATCATACGATATCTGCTTTTGAAAAATAAGCTGTGTTTGACAAATCCCCAGATCTACCAAGAACTAAATATCGACTTGAAGTAACGTCAGCCGTGGAAGAGAAGGGTTTCCATTCAATACAGACATATGAACACATGGTTTGATTTAGCAAACAATCTCTCAATAGGCATAACGAACATCGGCAGCACCAGGCAGAGCACCCCTGCTAATCTTTTTGTTTGTATTCTGCAGCCACCACCTCAACGCCCAAGCACTTCCAATAGTTGCAATTCCAAATGCCGTGTTGGCCGACATTCCAGTCAAGTAACGAGGCCCATCACTCTTTGGATAGAGGTAGGCTGTGTAAATATAAGACGCATTGGCCACAACGTTGATAAAGCCAATCGAAGCGGCTTTCTTCTCTGGAGTCTGGCCCAGTGTAGCAGACACCCAGCCCAAAATGACTGAATTGACGGCGTATGCACCGCTGGCAAAGAGGAAGCAAGCCACATATCTTGCACCTTTGTTCAGCGTCACGCAGGATATAATAAATCCTACAACAGCGACACCCATGGATAATGTGATATGCCATGTCCGCTCATTGTACCGACCAGAGGTGATACCAACGATGATACAGCAAATTCCGGAGAACACATATGGAGGGCATGTCAAAACCAAGGTGATTGTGCTGCTAAACCCGAGACTTCCAACGACAGTCGGGAAGAAGTTGTTGAAACCACATGCGCTCAGATGCATGTTCTGCATAAAAGCCAAGAGGTACACGCGTGGGTCGGCCATGGCTTGCTTCAAGCCGGCGAGAGCACCCTTCGACTCCTCGCTGCTGACTGTATCTCTTTGAATGCGGTCGTGGGCAAGCTGGCGCTCTTCCGGGGTCAGCCATCGTGTTGTGAGTGGGTGATCTGGGAGCATGAAAATGCCGAGACCGGCAACACCAAACGTAACCGCGCCCTCAATGATGAAAAGCCACTGCCATCCTTTGATATTCATGTGCTGGTCCAAAGTCGCGAAAGTTGCAGCTGCGATCAGACCAGCAACAGCGGTGGCAACAATATTGCCAGTATACAGGATGGAAATGCGCAGAGCAATTTCCTTGCGCGTATAGAAGACTGACAGCAGGAACAGCGCACCCGGATAAAACGGAGCCTCAGTGACCCCCAGAAAGAATCGAACAAGTAGAAGACCGATGTAGCTTTTTGTCAAAGCCGTACAAGCCGAGACTATAGCCCATGTTGCCATGCACCCGCTCATGTATAGAGATGGTCGGAACTTCTTTGTGGACATGATCATGTTCGACGGGATTTGCATCAAGAGATACCTAGTTTCCAAGTCAGGCTAGGTCTCATTTCTCATTTCTTCGCTACTGGGAGATTCTCCAACATACCCGACAAACAATATCGAGATGCAGGTGTTGTACTGTGTTCCGACAAGACCAAGATCCTCTTCGAGGTTGTTGAGACGTGCATTAGCGATAGCATTGCGATCGATCTTAGTTTCACTTGCATTAGTTTATGAGCTTGCAATATACCTGGTAAAATGCTTACATAGTTCAGAAAATACATTGCCCACAGAATGGGCATGATTCTCAAGTCCAATTTGCGCACGAGTTTGATTTCCGCCGGGTCAATCTTGGCTGTAGCCCCAGAATAATCCCCTTGAGCTTTCTCCTCTGCCACTTTAAGGGAGTCAACATCTTCAACATGAGCATTGTTAGACTCTTTGTCTTCCATGGTGGGAGCCGAATGTGATTTCATAGTTTTAGAAAAGATTGCCATGGCTCTGAGCTAAGATACCTCAACCGGGGAACTGAGTATTAATAGCAGTAAAGCAGGAGGAGGTAGTAGCGATACCTTCACCCGGTTTGTAAAGGAACAACCATCACGCCACGAGTCAAGGCCATTTATAGCCAATACTTCTCAACTGAAGCGGACAAAGAGAGTCCGTTCCACCCGTCTCGCGCCTCATGAGATAGGCTTGAGAACTGCCGAAACTCGTAGTGAAAACAGAAAGAAAAAGCATTGCCAAGATACCAAGACTCAAGCTCAACTAATCCGCATCATGTACTCCAGGCTTCGCCCACGAGCCCCAGATTTTCCCCGCCTTTGGCTGGGTCATGTCCGGGGTAGCAAAAGCCGGAGGGTATGGGGTGGCTAAATAGCGGGCACGTTCTAGAGCTCTTAAGCGAAATTGACGTGCCAAGTATGCCTTGAAGGGATTAGTTTGGATCCTTGTCGCCTCCAAACCCCCTGCGGACTATATCAACACCGCCGAAAAAGACACCCGGGCTTTGGAATGTCCGCTCCAACACAACAGGCGACAATAAGAATATTTGTGTATCGATACAAGCTTCTTGCTTGTCACAAAAATCTTGATGAAATGAAAACGATCTATTATGGGCGATAAAAGGCGGTAGGACTAACTTTGGCATTGTAGTCAGCGTTACTTTCGAGGCTTACATGGCTCCGACGTTCACGACTCGAAATTGGGTTGCCCCGCTAAGTGACAATCTCGAGGCGCGGCGCAAGCTTAGCGATTTTGATAACTTCGTCGCTAGTTTGGCGTCAATATTCAACTCCTTCTGGTTTTTGATGATGCCTAGGAAAGGCGAGAATGTCGGAACCTTGGAATTTTGGAGTCTTAGAATCCTAGACTTGGGATCAAATTCAACTTATTTCCTTTTTTTAGTGTTAATATGTATGCATTTTGCTGCATTTACCAATTCCTTCTATCACATACTAGCCTTCTGATTGTCCCCGACCACTGAGAAGTCAATGGTTGGCATACATTTTTATCAGATCATTGGTAGATTACCGTAATAGTGTGAATTATGTGAATGTTGTGCCCACGGGCTTTACCACGGCTCTCCCCGGGGGCCGTGATGTGCCACCTCCGTTACTCCGCTACTCCGCAGTTGATCAGCCTCATCTTCGACAACTCAACCATGTACGACTCCTATCGTCAGTATTTCTATCACTCTCTTACATATCTGAATAACTAACACTCTTTTAGGTCCACACCCTCTCCTCGCCCAGGTCCCGCTGACCGTCTCACCCTTCATCAACCTCCCCACCTCCGTCACATTACCCTACACATACAAATCTGTCCCCTCATCTCTACCCCCCTCAGTGACAGTCGATCCAAGCAGCCCTGATGGTAAGGCTCGCTATGTGGTCTCTCCAAGCGGTGAGCATGCAGCTCACCCAGACGACGTCCTCGCCGCGTGCCACTCCCTCGAACAACATTTGAATATGGCTCGCGCCAACGCAGACCAAGCGATCAACACATGGAAAGAGTCCATTAGAGAACGCGAGCTAGCCGAAAAAAGACGCGTCGCTCCTGGATGGCTCGACCGTGAGGAAAAGCTCCTTCAGCCTAGCCGGACCAGTATGTCCCCTGACGCACAGGGCGATGCCCATCCAAGCCTGCTGGATAGCTCTTCCCCTGACCAGAGCTCTTCGCAATTACCGACAATGGTACCCCATAACGATGGAGAGGAGCTGGATAGAGCGTTCGGTGGTTTAGGTGTGAAATGAGGAAGGTTGATCTTGCAAGAGAGTTAGCCCCTCCTTGCTCTTTACATCACAGGAGTGCTCGGGAATCAAATTCTCAATGGGGCACGGTGGATCAACCTCTGACATACGGTCTCTAAAGGATACACCATGTTTCGGGTGGACTTCCCAGCGCCGGGCTCTTCTAAGGCCTTGTCAAAGCAGTTTAATAATCTTCCGAATATGCGGCATTTCGCTTTGCCGTGGTGGCAGTGGGACTCTGACTGTCAGCGCTAAGATTATGTTGGATGAATTGGGTGAATGAGTTCGCAATCGTTCCTTCGACTGCCCTTGTGGTTTATACTATCGATACATAGTCACATGGAGGCAATTATTGCTACGAAGAAATACTCAAGATTTGTAAATAATGCTCTATATAAGATTCCTACATGTGAAGTATAACAATAATAAGTATAAAAATAATAGTAATAGATGTTTCTAGTGATGTGAACCAAAAAATACAGTTATATATTTCTCTGAACTGGGAGCTCGCGGAAAAGCTCCACCCCGCGCCGGAAGCTCTTTTTCATTCCACCCCAACTCCGGAAAGCACCCTTGTCGTATCATTCAACCGTATCCCTCTATATTTCCAACCACACATATACTACAACATGGAGGTCATTCGCAGCTCCCCTGAAGCCTCGTCATTCGTGCCGCTGGCCGAACACCAGTCGCGCACCCCAAGCTCCTTCTACTCCGGACCCCCGGTATTGTACCACCACAGCCAGCGCTGCAAGATTGTCATCCTTGAGCGCGAGCTACTCGCCACCCCAGCGCTGAATGCGCTGCGCGGTCAGGACGCTGTGAACAATAGCGCTGCAAGCCAGGACCAGCAGGACGGCGACGAGAAGGAGCTCGCAATCTCAGGCGTTGATACCTGGGTGACATCCGAGTGAGTCTATCAATTCCCCCTCCCATTCCAAGGCTAGGACACCGACTGACCAAATTCATCATTCAATAGCAAGTTATTTTTCTTCTCCCCCACCGCCTCAACAGGCGTGTCAATCCCCTACCCCTCGATCTCACTACACGCACTCCAACGGCTACGCGTCCCAGACATTGACGCGGAAGTCCAGGGTCTGTATATGCAGGTCGCGACGCCTGGTGCGCCCTCTGCCGACGACGAAGAGGAATGCATCACAATGACAGTGGTGCTGCCCGCCGACGCCACGCTACAAGAGCCCGTGGAGACGGAGACGGAGACACCCACGCAGCAGCTTTACAACGCTGTCTCGGCTTGCTCCAATTTACACCCTGACCCTGTTGAGCAGGGTGATGAGGATGACGAGGAGGATGGGCCTAAGTTCATTTCGGCTGAAGAGCACGATGGAGTCTTCCAGCTTGGAAGTGGTGATCTGCCCCCGCCTGTTGATGGGAGCTCTGGGTGGATCACTGCGGAGAATATGGATCAGTTCTTTGATGCGGAGGGGAATTGGATTGCTGCTGGTGAGCCGCCTTCTTTCCCTCTTGGGCCTGGGGCTGGAACTGTTAGGGCTCGAGAGGGGGAGAATGGAGCCGAAGAGAATGGAGACGAGGACGAGACGAAGTGGCGGAAGACGGATTGATTTGGATCAAGCTGCTTTGAAGGAAAATATGAAATACACGGTGTAGGGTTGGCGTTCAAAATACTTGAGTGGTTACGTAGTAAAGTGCCAATGGATAATTTTGCTTTATTGTTTAAGGAAAACATAGTTAGAGAATGATTGGATTTCTACTAACGATTTCCTGTTTCATGAATATCAACCTCAGAAAACACACATCAAACATAAGAACCGAAGAAAAAAACGGACCACCAAGTGACGAGCAAAATAAGAAGTAATTGAACAAATAAAAACAGATAGAAGAAAAGGACACTGAAGCTTTTGCACCAACATCAGTATTAGATACTCACGATAAAAAGAAATCAAAATGAATCAAAAAAGAAAACTGTCGCTTTCAAAATCCACAAAAGATAGCAAAATCAAGCTTATTCCCGTAGGAACCCATCGCCGTCGTAAAGGCTAGCAGGCGTGGCAGTTCCAATTGCAAGTCCGAGTCCCTTGCCAGCTGGAGTGGTCATCCCTCGACAGGGAGAAGTAGGAGTAGGGGGGTGCATGGTGGCTCGACATATGAGGCGGTAATTGTTGGTTGGTTGGCGTGAAACGGGGGACACTGTTCTTGCCACGGGTGGGGGAGGAATCAGGCGTGCGGAACGACCCAATTGGGGGTTGCATGGAGGTTTGAGGAGTGGAGGTGGTCTGGTTGGAATCCTCGAAGATAGTGACGTGATCTTGGAACATGGAGGAACGGCGGGTGCCGTAGAATGCAGAACCGCCAATGGGGCCCAGCCCATTGTCCAGGCTAGACATTGAAACACGATCTTGGCGGAATGAGCGATTTGAAGCATCAGTTTTGGCGCGGTGTAGTGAGTCTGTAGATCTGCGCCAGTCACTACCTTCTGTTCCTGTAATACTCATGACAAGAGGGAGGCGGCTGGGCGAGGCCAAGGGACTGTCTGGTGTATGACGGGAGGAGGTCAGGGGTTCGCAAGTTGACTGCCTGCGAGTTGGAATGACGCCGGGTTGGTTGCGAGGCCCCTTTACCGCTGAGCGTCTTGGGCTACCGATAGCAGGAGAGTTCTCGTGGGATGGCAATGGAGTTTCGGATAGTTCCCATACAGGTGGTACTCTTTCGGGAGAGGGAGTGTGGGTGAGAGAGTTGCCGCGAGACAAAGGGAAAGATGTTAAGAGTTCAGGAAGAGCGCGATTGTTTTCGAATGGAGACTTGTTGGTAGCCGTGACAGATGGAGGACGGTTTCTCTTCTTGCAAGGACTGCCGTCGTACACTGGGGGCTGCGGCTCCTCGACTAGTGGTCCGAGAGAGCCTAGGCCGGGCTTTCCATGTCGACTGCCGTACTTGCTGCGTCTCGAAGAGGACAGAGGGGACGCTGGAGTTGGTGGCAAAGAAGGCAAGGGTTTTGCTGGGTTGTTGATTGTGGTATCACGTAGATCCAGCTCCTCCATCTTGTCGAAGTCTTCTGGTTCTTCTTCGACGGTAGGAGAGAATGTCGATGACCCAAAGGTCATAGGTGGATGGATAGAAATACGCACACAGTTCTGACGTCGGTGGCCCTTGCGTTGTGGATTTCCACCCTTGAGTGCAGAGGGAAGATTGCCCTTTAGAGAGAGACTGGAACGCGGCATCGGGCTTGGTGGCTTCGTGGTATTGGCTGCGTTGCCAGGCGATCTAACCTGGTGGAACAGAGTCCCTCCCCCGGCGAGCCAACGTAGAAGGGATCATTCTCCATTTCGTCATTCTCGTAGCCTGTACTGTTTTGGTATTGATTGAAATGCGGTACAGAGGGCATGTGAGAGCCCGATGATCGCCAGGATGGGGCTGAGGTTTGATATCCCAAACGCCCCACTGGAGTCCCAGACCGCAGGGAGGCATTTCTTGAAGGGGGGTTAGATGAAGACATGGAGTCAGTTCGACGTGGGGCACCACTAAAACGATCGCTGGTGTCACCCGAGTGGTAAGTCGTCAAACTGCGTCGAGGTGACAAGGACGCAGATTTATGACGAGTTTCGGTTGTTGAGGAGGAGCGGACAGGGAAGTTATGCATAGGAGGAATGGAGGTGTTGGTGGCAATGAAACTCCTGCGACCATCCTTGACTCCAACGTCGGCAGCACTGAAAGGCACAAACGTGCCTGAGGGGAAGGTGGGTGAGGTCAGGTCGGTGTCAACCGACCTACCATTTCTCCCGTCATCCAAAATCGAGCTATTGGTAGTATCCAGACTCATGGAGGAAAGTCTCATCACAGAGTCATTCCTAGCGTAACTAAATCTGTCTGGAGGATATGCAGTCGGTGGAGGAGGAGGTATCGAGTGACCGGGCATCATCCCGGCAGTTTGACTAGCAATACTTCCCCCACGAAGACGAGTAGGAGACTCTTCGTAAGTGGTTGAATCAAACATGCCCCAGGAGTTACGGTCTTCCGAAAGAGGAAACAAACTTGACCGCTCTCGTGCTAGAAGGGGCCATCCAGGTGAAACGGGTTTCATACCTAGATGAAATCCAGTATCCTCTTCGTTGGGATCTGGTGTTTGCGTTGGAGTTCTTTCTGCTGGCAATTCCAAAATCCCCTCGACAGCCGAAAGTGGGACGTCTTCTTTTGATATTGATATTGATGCTTTATGTTGGGGGCTGGGAAGATGATTTGATTCACTCAACGTAGCCAACGAGCTCATGCGTTTGTGGGATGATCGTGATAGGCGCCGGGAACGAGATCGAGAAAGGGAATTGCGGAGAGATCGTGCTTTCTCAGTCAACGGAAAAGATGTTTCTGAGTCATGTTTCGGACGGTGCAAACTCTCCCTCGACGTTAATTGTCCCCATTCTGATGGTTTGCCATATGGAAGCTGCCCATGCGCCCTTAATACGCTCCCTTCTGCCTGGCTCAGTTCAGTCAAGGTGTCCACCGGGCAAGATTGCAAGCCCCGAATGCGCCGTCCCTGCCTCTGCGTGAGGCCCATCAGCCTCATTGCATGGCGCTCTTTGCGACACCTGACCCAGACAATAATGCTGACCACCGAGAGGACAATGACGATGGCCGCGCCGCAAGCGGCTATGGCGATGACGGCGGGCAGCGCCAGCATGGTCGCCTCGCAGGCGTTTCACTGGGCGGATTCGGAGGATTTATAGACGCAGTTGACGGAGATGGTCCTCTGAATTCCTCATCCGTGAGTGGCGGATTGGTTTTGAACATGCGCTGTTGCAAATTATCGTTGTATCAAAACGGCAACAGTGAGGCTTCACAGAGCTGGGAACTTCATCCTCATGGAACACAACGAAGTCTCACAGGAACAAGAAACAACAAGAGTTGCTAGCATTCCATCAAGGGGACCACCATTTGTTATGGGAACATTGATTCCAGCCGAGGAATGCTCATTCATCACCACCCGGTGCAAAGAATGCTGGCGGCCACACTACGCCCTTCGATCCCGTTTCAAATGTGACAACGCCACCGAATATCCTTGTGCAAGCGTACCACTGACACATCCTAGGACCAGCATTGGGTGGTTGGATGTTGAATGTCCCAATCGATCCTGGGTTATACTTGACACGAACTTATCGCCATCTATCAAGTGCCCTTTCCACGTCTTCTTTGACATCTATGTTCGATGGAATCTAGGGTGCCATTTGAGACATATTTCTAATGGCTGATAAATGGCAAACACACTTTCTTGGGTTGTGTTCAACCATGAATGACGCGTTTCAACTGGTCGCTTTTGACGATACTCCGGTGATCAACAAAGATCAGTGCGCACACTTGACCAACCCTATTCTGGTCCGGATAAGTGATCCATTCTGATTCCAACTGAGTGGTTTTGTTAGTGCCGGATATAGATTAATAGATTAGCATACGTAATAGATGCGGAGTTTGCGTTAGATTGTAGAGTGATAATGCATTGCCCGGGATAATTACCCCTTGGGCGCATGGTTCTCGAGTTCAGTTGGATCCTACTGATAGCAGAACTTCAAATCTGTACAGTTTCAAGTAATTCTTGCTTATGAAAAGGCAGCTCAAGTATCTGTACTTCCTTCTGCAGTCGGGAGTCGGGATAGATGTCGCCCTCTTGGAGGGAAAGGTCAAGTTTCCTAGGATCTCGGCGTCTTTGGAACATTTCCAGAAGAGTGGCCAGGTATTAGTTAGGGAATTCGTTCCCTATAGCTCGAATCATATGAATAAATCGTATTGAGTAAACAATATATTTCTAAGGAAAGTGCAGAGTCCAAGTTCCACGTTAAACCCGTCCACAGTACCTTTTCCAATGGTCCCCACTATCTCGCTTCCGACCCTGCCAAGACAATCTAAGCATCTACATACAAAGTAGGGTCCTCAGGGCCAAAACTAATACCCTTTTCTCCTTACGGAGTACTGGTCGTTCTTTTGGAAGATGTTAAATTGTCACCTGCTGATCACTTCCGCTTGATTTTGGGGTAAAGTGCCGGTAACCTAAGGCTTGAAAACGTGAATGGGCATGGCCTCTTTTAACCTCACGTAACATCTTTCGCTACTAAAATCCCTTAGGCCATTCTAGAACCTCCCTAGCCGGACTGCCCGGGCTTGCCATGCTCAAAGTTTCGATCTTTTTCTTTTTTCTTTCTTTAACCTTGGCCCTACGCTTTTTTATCTGATCTTCATCCATCCCGCGTCTATCCCCATGCGCAGTTGGTTGGTCTGCCTACTCGGCTTGGCTGGCGTAGCCTTGACTAATGCATTGAGTCTGGAGAAGAGAGACAACCCGGCGGTTCTCGAGGTGCCAATGGTACGCGACACTTCGCGTCAGCTTTACAGTCGATTGTTTTTGTTTTTGCCATTTGCTCTCTGCACGGCAATTATTAATGTGCCCAAGCAGCACTCTAGGGTGAGTGCAGTGCTAAGGAATTTACTCCCAGATGGACGTGCAAATACCAACGAGTACGCACTAAGTCTAGACGACTAAATGGGAAAAAGCTTGCACGATCCATAAGATCTCATTCATCTATAAAATATACACAATTTCGATATCAAAATCTGCAAGACCCACCACCTATGAACCACCTGTACCGTACCAGCTAAGCTAATATTCCACCGAAGAACTCCGAACACAACCACACGCCGAACTCCACACTCTGCAAGCATGCTCTAAGCTGGAGCATGCGGTAATTCGACTTCAAAACACTATTCCCTAGTGAGTGACATGTCTGTAGAGGACTAGAGTTATAACAAACCTTTTACCATTGCCATGCGAAGTTCGGATCTATCACCATGGCTGAGCCTGGTAACATCTCACTGGACCCTATGAAAGGGAATCCATAAGAAAAGTTCTCTTCCAGACCATTTCCATCGAGCACTCCAGCGGGAAAGGTCATCGGCAGGGCTAAGCTATCGTAAGCAAAGACAGGGGTCCCGGGGGGAGAAATTAAGAAGGCAGACTAACCTGAATTTAGGGCGAAATCATTGTTCATAGCCTGGTCCTCTGGGCTGATATTAGAACCATCCGGCTTTTTAGCCAGAACAATGCTGAGAGTGTCTGCGGCTGTCTTCGCTTCAACTGACAAATTCCTTGACCTTATCCAGATACCATGTGACCTTGTTAGCGCTGCCATGATTTGGTCCAAATTGTGGCTATCGGTTATAGAATCTGGGATACTATGTCTCTGTCGGGTAAGAAAGCATAGTAGCATCGTGGCTGTCAGAAACTCATGCTTCATGAAGGAGGAAGCTCGCCATCGTATCATATAAAGCTGCCCATCTGGGCTGGTTTCCTCGTCGAGTATTCGCTGGATCTCCAAAATACCCAACGCTGCCTCTATACAAGAGCTACGCGAGTAGGAGTATGACGTTTGGCAATCGGAAGATGCGGCTAGGTCCGGACTTAAGTACTTGCAGTGTAGCATGATCTGACCCTTGTGGAACATCAGTCTGAGAAAGAGCCGATGCATAATCACTTGCGGGGGATCGGTGACCGCCGCAGCCATGCCCTTCATGCGGAGATATGCTGGGACCGTCGCCTCTGCGTCATGTAGAATCTGATCTAGTCGCATTACCTCGTCGTAGGCCACCTGTCGCACCGACGCGGTGAAATCGACAATCACACCCAAAGCGGCAAATATACGCCGCCGGGCAACCAGGTGCGAGACTGTGGTGATCTCCGTTACTGGCCTGGACGGGGGAAGCTCTGAGCAATCCTCATCGAAGTCCGAGTCATTCAAATTACGGGGCTCTATGGTGTCACATTGCCAATCCTTGATCATTCGTGGCATGCCCATCTGGGTGGAGATTAGAATATCTCCCTGCAAGATGGTGGCCCAGGCCCGCCGTCGCATCTCTCCCGCAAATGGGGATATCCCTGGCAAGTGCGACGGATCCCGGTGGTAACCCATGCGCAGAGCTATATTGATCGAGATTCCCGAAAGGATCCAGATGTCCCGGTCGGCATCCTTCCGGATGGAATACTCGATGGTCAAGTAGTGGTATAGGGTTTCAAATACGTAACGCCCGGATTTGGTGTACTCGCCTAGAATGAGACACTGTACTATCTTTTCGCGGTACGTATCCACCAATGGATTGCGGACTCCCGGAGATGAGCTGGAGTCTGCCGCACTTGAAGCCAGCACTGCGAGACATATCATAGAGAAGAGGAGACCCAGCCACATGACCGAGGCCTCGGATGGATTTTCCCAGAACTGTTCATACTATAGTCATTATCGTTAGACCCCCACTATATTCACGTTATGCGGCAAAGTCGTTCACATACCTGGCGTGAAAATTGACCACTGTGTAGACACGCTGAAGAGGATGATGCCCTGCATTAGTCCATGTTCGCATATTGCAGGTCACGGGCTTACATGGTGCCAAGTCCAATCGATTAAAGTACTGAGAAATGTAGCGATCGACAGCGGGTCTATCGGGCAGAGCTGCCAATATGTCTTCTTTACTTGCTGATTTACACCCATACAGCAGGAAAGTATGCAGCATAGCAGGCTTTTCAATGTTCTCATCGTCTTCCTGTTCAAGCTGCTCCTTGAGGTCGGCGATCCCATCCAGGATGGCAGCCCAATGTGTTCCCCCGACGTACCGGGCATCTGAAGTGCTAAACCATACACTTCCGCCGTCAGACTGAGCTGGAGAGTCCTCGGAGTTGATAGCCTCTTCCGATGAGCCTTCTTGGGTGTGATCTTGGGGAACCGAGGCGACGGGATGCTGGTCTGGTAGGTCTTGGCTATCGGAGGTGGCCTTCTGCATCAGCGAAACGACAAGCTGCTCCAACTGGCCCAAACGGTCCTGAACGGTTGCTTTGGGGAGACCCCTGTGGGTCCCATGTGGCCTGGGCGATTGTGGGGCTTGATTGTTGGGATAGGCACACGAGAGCGCCAGTCCACGAGCGGTGCATGTCGAACAGGGCTGTTTGCGATTGCATCGGAGCCTATCGGAGAATTTGGTCAGATTTGATTCAGACAGTGGAAAATTTTCGGTGCTCACTTCCTCCGACGACATAGATTACAGGAAAGCTGGGGTTTGCCCCGACGATTGATAGAAGCCGGTTGGAGGCTAGGCTCGTCCGCGGGCAGAGGATCCATCCTGGGTGTTGGGGGTATGCAGGTGCACGTTTTACGGCTATGCGACCGTGTGATACTGTATGCAGTATGCTGGGTCAGACCACTTGTCTAGCAGACAGGTCATTTAGACTAGACGACACGTTGCCTGTTCCAGGTTCTCCATCATACGTGTGGTGGGATGGGTGGGGTATGTTTTGGCCGTAGAGCACGCTTGTACCGCCATGGAGACGATGGAAAGAAAGGAAGAACAATAGAGAGAGAGATCAGAAGTGAGCATGCATTAGTACGAAGAGTGATGGTAGATGGAGAGGAAGTCGGATTGTCTGATAGTGATTGATGTTGAACTAGGAATACATGTATGGCCCCTCTAGGCCCTAAACAAGAACCGAGGTTTCTGTTAATGCTGTGTATTTTTCCCATTGATCGTCTCAGCCTGATCGTACACTCGTCCATCCTCTAACCCGATCTGTGGGTCTAGAAAGGCGCGGGTGATGCGCAAGGATCCATGGGTCAACAACTTTCTGACCAATCGGACGAACATACAAGTTCCTCCTTCTCCGCTCCAGCTTCTCCTTCGATTCCACATCCATTCCTCTATCATTTTAATACACTTCTTCACCATGTAGGAACCATCTCCGTCTGTTCGTCCGCTCTCCTCCTCGTACTTCCATCGCCGACAACAACCGAGTTGAGCAGCCATGAACCCTCCGAACCCTGGTCCTGGCTTCAAGCCAGTCGGCTTGGCCTTTCTGATACGGAGGAAATGACCTGCAATCAAGCCGGTGGACAGTAATCCCCGAGAAAACACATTATCCACCTCCGTTTGCGACCAGTGGGGGCGCTCTCTATCAGTACAAAGGCACAAAGCTCGCCTTTAAACGACAATTCCTCTTCATCCAATCATTGAGTACAGCCCGCAGAATGAAGCTCCCTAACAATGACGAAGCCAAACGGGATCGGGTTGAAGTCAACTTAAAGACAGATGAGGAGGTGGCCAAGGTGCCGTCACATAAACTGCAGGATGATGTGGTGGACTGGGATGGCCCAGATGACCCCAAGAATCCCCTCAACTGGCCTGCCACCAAGAGTTTTGGTCATGTTGTGATTGTGGCCGTTTTGTCGATGGTCGTGTAAGTGGACCCCCAGAAGAGACAAAACAACTGACCATGCTAATCAAGGTACTAGCAACATCGCCGCGACCATGGTCGCTCCGGCGATGGAGGGCGTCGCCAGGGACCTGGAGATCACTAACATGACTCTGGCAACCTTCGCCGTCAGTATCTATCTGCTGGGGTTTGCATTGGGTCCCCTCATCATCTCCTCGCTCTCTGAGATGTACGGGCGCCTCATCGTCTATCACATATGTAATACCATCTTCGTCATTTTCGTTATCGCCTGCGCCCTGAGTCACACTCCCGCTCAATTTCTGGTCTTCCGGTTTATATCTGGCTGCGCAGGAGCGACGCCACTTTCCCTTGGCGGTGGGACAATCGCCGATGTCATCCCGATCGAGAAACGCGGTGCCGCAGCGGCCCTTTTTGGCCTGGGCCCCCTTCTCGGACCGGTATGTGACTTCCACCCACTAATTGAACTATACTAACCGATCTAGGTTCTGGGACCGGTGATCGGGGGCTTCGTTGCCGAAGGAAAGGGCTGGCGATGGACCTTTTGGGTGGTCGCGATCCTCGTAAGTGGTCTTGTTCTCGGCTCTATATCCACAATTCTAACCGTGTGACAGGGAGGAGCAGCGGGTATCGGGACGCTCGTCTTCATGCGGGAAACACATCCCAACACCCTGTTGGCACAGAAGACCGCACACTTGCGGCGCGCAACCGGGAACCCTTACCTCCGATCGAAACTCGATCGCGGCCTCACAAAGCAGCAGATCATTGTCGCCGCCCTCGTACGTCCCACCAAAATTTTGATATTCTCGCCGATCGTGCTCGGCATTTCCATCTACGTGGCTCTCATCTTCGGCCTTCTATACCTCCTTTTTGCCACCTTTAGCATGGTCTTTGAAGGTCAGTACGGATTCAGCACCGGCATTTCTGGTCTGGCCTACCTAGGCCTAGGCATTGGCGAATTGGTGGGGCTAGTGACATTTGGTATCCTGAGTGACCGGATCTTGAAGGCCAAAATGGCAGCGGACAATGTCAAAGAACCTAAGCCCGAGTACCGGCTGGTGCTGATGATGTGGTTTCCGCCAGTCATTGGACTTGGGTTCTTCATCTACGGTTGGACGGCATATTACCAGGTGCATTGGATGGTTCCGATCTTTGGGGCGTCCATCGTTGGGTTTGGGTCCTTCTTCGTGATCATGCCCTCCCAGCTGTACCTGGTGGATCTGTTCGGGTCGGAAGCGGCAGCATCTGCGCTGGGGGCCAACATTCTCCTCCGCTCGATGTTCGGAGCCTTCTTGCCGCTTGCTGGGTCGCATATGTATTCCACGCTCAACTACGGATGGGGTAATACGCTGTTAGGATTCCTGGCACTCGCATTTGCGCCCGTGCCGATTCTGTTCTATCGGTATGGAGAATGGCTGCGGAGTCGGACAACAGTCACACTGTGAATGTTCTGCAAGATATTTATAGATAAGGCTAGACTACACGAATCTCTTACGCTGGCGTTCTGCAGCCACGCGGTTGGCAAAATACCAGGGGCGCTGTAGATTCGTCCAATGTTACTCCTCCATCTCCGCAGTACTACTCCCGACACCTACTGGCCCCTACCTAGGTAGTACGAGAGTAAATATAAGCTCGGATGTGGAATTACCCTGTCAGAATCCTTCCGCCGCCTCGTTGCCAAGGCTCTGCACACTATCACTACATGATCTTATCTTTATAAGGATCGAGGTTAATTTAAGGGTGCCTAATAGGCCCCGGGGTATAATAGGGGTTATATAAGGTAGGCGAAAGACCTCGGAAGGGAAAATAGGAGATTAGGTATCTACCTTCTCTCTTTCAATTTCTAATAGATCTGACATTTTTGAACAGGTTTATCTGACCATTCGAAATTATGATAGGTCTCATTCCATCCTGTCAAATGATCACTCTGCATAGTGTCGTCATTATCCACTATGGATAGGAACATCGAGGCGCAATTCGAGAGCTCCCCACCAAGGTCTATACACATTGGGGAAGGCCACGGTCTGGTCTGATTTCCCCGCCAGCGCATCACTCACCGTCTATCACCTTGGGGTTTGTAGGTTTGCCCCTCAGCTCTATATTTAATTGATCTCCCGAGCTTGCCTCTACTTTCCCTTTCACTTTTGTCATTTCCTCTTTATCCCCTCTTCTCTTGCTACAATGGCTGCTAATCCTATTACCAAAAATGGACTATTTGTCCACAACAACACCACTGCTCCAGAGCACCCCAGCCTTATGAGCATGTTCTCCCTCAAGGGAAAGACTGCCATTGTTACCGGTGCTGGCGCCGGTATCGGTTTGGCCGTTGCTCAGGGTCTGGCCGAGGCTGGTGCCAATGTGGCTATGTGGTACAATAGCAACGCTAAGTGTATCGAGAGAGCTGCCGAGATCGCTGAACAATACGGTGTTCAGAGTGTGTACCGAATCTACTCAATGTGATTGGCTCCACATCATTCTAACACGATTTCTTTCACAGCCAAGGCTTATCAAGTTGAGATCACCGATGTAAAGGCTGTCGAGAAGGCCGTTAATGATGTTGTCAAGGACTTCAATGGCCGTCTCGACGTCTTTATTGCTAACGCCGGTGTTCCCTGGACCCAAGGCCCCATGGTCGACGGCCCCCTCGACCACTACCGCGATGTCGTCGCCATTGATCTCGACGGTACCTTCTACTGTGCCAAGGCTGCCGCTGAGCACTGGCGCCGCCAGAAGGAGGAGGGCACCGATGCAAACGGCAACAAGCTCACCAACTTCACATATGGCAGCTTCGTTGCTACTGCCTCTATGAGCGGTCACATTGTCAACTTCCCCCAGATGCAGGCCGCCTACAATGCCGCCAAGGTTGCCGTCATTCATCTTTGTAAGTTGTGATTCAGACTCCATCAGCTCCGTCGCCCTGCTAACACCATCTCAGGCAAGTCTCTGTCTGTCGAATGGGTCCGCTACGCTCGCGCAAACACCATATCCCCGGGTTACATTGCGACTGAAATCTCCAGCTTTGTGCCCGAAGACACCAAGAACATCTGGCGCGACAAGATCCCTATGGGCCGTGAGGGCCAAGCCCACGAGCTGAAGGGTGCCTACCTCTACCTTGCCTCCGATGCTTCCACCTACACTACCGGGGCCGATCTCATCGTCGACGGTGGCTACTGCGCCCCCTAAATTCTCTCGTAACGAATTAAAAAGCAGGATCTTTGGTTTGGAGCATAGATTTTGGAGAGAGTCAGCGGTTTCAAATCTAAACGTGACGATAGAAGAACGTAACGATAAAACAACAGATTAGACGGACGAAACTGAATCAAAATATTGTATTTGCAACATTTCCCCCACTTAGTAAGCATCATGCCCAGAATGACTTCCAAGGTAAAACGGTGCCCAAAGCACACCAATGGCAGACCCCAACGGAATCATTTTCCCATCACTGGCACGACCAGCCAAATTTCAGCTTGTGCGCGATTGCCGAGCCAATGACACTATGAGACCATGCCATCCTTGTAAAACTTTTATCTTTGGATCCTGGTATCCTTGAAGGAAGAAATGGCTCAATCCCTTGCGTGGCGTTGTAAGCCCCGCCAATAACATCTGGAATGCGCCCTACCCCCGCGTGACAGGCGCATAGATCATTGTGACCGAGTGGACCAGGTGGTTTGACCAAAACACCTACAACCTACGGAATAACCAGCAAGATGAAGGCATTACTGGGGTGAAACTTGAAGAGGGAAACGACATTTCATTCATAAACGTCAACTTGAATAACGACATAGGAAAGTAGGATCATCGCTCAGCTCAGGCGCTCGGACATTCTGCTAAGCCCGCGAAACGAATGTTGTTTCTGTTCCCCAAAGTCTCATATACTGCTCACCCCCGTTGTTCGATGATATCGGGTGCAACAAAAGCAAAAACGCCCTGGGATGTCCACTCGACAATCTCATCCACCCAAGCCACCGGTCCTTGGTCGTGTTGGTCAATGGTATAAATAGGACGCTCGAGTTCGAATTCCCAGATGGGGATATCATCGACTGGGTTGTGTGGCTCGAAGACCGCCTCGTCGACAGCGGAGTTGGACCAGTCAGAGTCATACTCGTCGGAGGACACTACAGATCCAGAAGGACTTGAGAATCGGCTGTGGCTGGAGAACTCGGCGATATCTGCCAAGGTGGACCGGCTTCGCGGACGGTATGGGCCTCCAGCATATGTAGTGGTCAAGCTGTGACCGTCCATTTCAGTTTCGTTACCGCTTTCTGGAAACATGTTGTCTCTGTCGAGAGCAGGAGGTTCGCCATATCGATAGTAGTCAGGTGCTGGCATGGATGAATTCGCGAAGGGTGGAGAATGCTGTTCTTCTTCATCTTTGTTATCGAGGTTGATTGGCTCGTACCCTGCCGCGGGGAGGCGGTTTGATGGGTTTTGATTGATGAGATTATGGCTGAAAAGCTTGCGCGCAATCTGTTGGTACACGGGAAGGATGACGCGATGATGGAAAGCGCTCAGGTGCTGCATAATCGAAGCATTATAGACGGCAACGACAAAGAGGAATGAGAGGGACAGGCAAATCATCGGGAAGGTAAGAGAGGCTTCTGCCATCGTGACTTTTTTTGATCGCAGATGTTCCTAAGAGTGAACGGGCGATGTTGAAAAAAAGAATGCATGTGTGGATTTGGGAGAAGGGGGGGAGGAAAGGGAAGAAGCAACACGAAGAGGAACAAAAGTCAACAGTTTACAACTATTGTAAATTGGTCAACAATACAGCGATAGAATTGTCAAACTGGCAAAAACTACCTAGGCTCATTCAACATATTCACACTACGTGTCCAAGCCTTAGGACATATATGGATGCTTACATACCTATATAAACTGATATCAATATGCCTAAAAAATAATAAGATAGCAAGTCTCTATAGTCGATCACTGACATCGACACATATATATCTAAATCACATTGCAAAATTGTTATAGGGCAAACTTCCTAGTTTTCACAAGTATTTCTTGACCCGATGATCTCCTCGAGTCACGATGTTCATTCACGATATCCAGTCACGCCCGAGCTTAGTTGCACCTTCCCCATATGACCTTTCACACCCACACGTCATAACCCTTGAAAAGGGTCATATTTAGGAAAGCCATCTCGACGCCTCCTATATTTAGATTAATGCTACAGCTCTCCCATGGACGTTGGCTCAAGCATAGCATATCCAAGTATCTCATTGTGCAGTGAGACATTCACTATTCATTGTTTACCTGCTCTGCTTTCTTTGTTTGACTCGAATCAATGGGTTTGAAACTAAACATCTTTTGTTTGTCCGGATTTAAATTAGAATCATGGAATCTATTGTTTTCTCTCTTCCTTTGTCCACGGCGTCGACACAAAGGCCTTTCATGCATTGTATAAGTGCATGCCAAACTGCATCACCCTTCGCTCACATCTTTCCCAACTCTCGATCAGATCACAAAACTTTGCATATACCTTATTCCAATCATCCCTTCAACCTTACCACGTGTGTTCTCACCCAACCACTCACCATGAGAATTCCCACAAGAGGAGATAAGAGCCGCATTGTCAAGCGCAAGTTTGAGCCAAGAAAAGACTGGACAGAAGCTGTCAAAGAAAAGATTGTACAGTCCTTCACTTCGAACCAGCCCCTATGCGGTCCGATTGCTGATAAACCCAAGTCACCGCAAAGTGCCGCTCTACAAGATGCCCTCGAATGCACCCAGTGCAGAGATCTACACATTATTCCATATATGATGAATGTAGACATTGCTGCAGGCTCGTACATCACATCTCAATACCCACCTTTCTTCGCCAGCAAAAGCGTACCAGATGATTCTATATCTCCCTTCGACACAGACATAGTAGCCCACCAAAATAGGAATGCGACATTTTGGGAAAATATTACACCTTCCCAACAGCATCATTACTACGACAAGATTGATACCATTCTCAAAAAAGCCGAGGCTGAGTCAGGCAAGCCAGCAGATGAAGCCACCGTTCTTTTTGCCCACTACCAAGTGGATTTCCACATCCGCCAACACTACCTCGCCCCCCGAAGTATCCTGAATCTATGCCGCTCAAAGGATGATATTCGGGCGCTGACCTACTGGCAGTGGAAGACCGCCGTCTCAGATGAGACAGCGTTTGCGGAATTCCACGACTGGGGTGTGGGATGGGTGCATGAGCCGAGCAATTCTATCGGCCACCAGATTGCGGCATGGCGGATGGGGGAAGAAAGACGAGAGAAGCACCTCGCAGAAGTGAAAGCCCGGTGGGCCGAGATCAAGGACGAGAGACAAAAACAGAGGATGCGGACAATCAAAATCTCTTTCAAGGGTGTGCATGTTAAGACTTACAAGTATGAGCCATGCGGACCTTGTCTGACAGAGAAGGAGATTATGGATATTGCAACGGAAAGGGGTGCACATTATGAAGCCTTTTTGAGCAATATGGACATATGAGGCGCGAGCGATTTATTGAATGCTACTATATACCCATTTAAGTGGTTTTTTAACAATAAAATAGAAGTGAGGGCCTTTAGTACTTTCATTGCATAGTATATACTTCCCATCTTGTAAACTTGAATAAAACCGATAAGACTGTATATAAATAAGATGAAGTTTACATATACATGGATTTGGTCAGTGGTCTGTGTGGGGTAAAGTACCAAGGAGAGAGAGAGAGAGTAGTAAGAAAGAAGTAAACCCAAACTAGGGTGAAGGGGAGATAATGTTGAGAATCAAGAGAGACGGGGATGAGACATGTTTATGTCTACTCAGATAAAAAGCCAAATATGCCTAGTCCTTGTCGATTTCGCTAAGACTCCCGGCATTAATACTATCCCTACATGTTTCTACAACTGTGGAAATGTTGTGACTTTATGCGAAAGATAAGTGAAGCCAACGATAAATCCAGTGGAAAGTAATTTAAGGCTACTTGAAAAGTACATGCGTATCACATGAGGACGAAACTTCAAATTAACTGTAATGATTGACGTAGAGTGAGATTCCTATCGAAAGGGAAGAGAGACTGTTAGTTTGGGTCAACGTAGAATGAGTGTAGATCCCAAAGATTCGTAGGAAGAAGTTGAAGAATTATCGCCCTAATAAGCAAGGTCTTCCTAAGCTTGATCTTGCCTGTTTACATTCCAAGCCCCCGGTACCTAGGTATCAGTTTCATTGCCACTAAGCTATAACAAAATAGATAATTCAAGGATGATTTTGCTAAAGTGACTTATCATAGAAGGTATGCCGACATCTACAAGTGAATCACATAGATGCTCACGTGCAATAATAGGATCTTCTTGTCTCGAGGACAAGGCGTATGTACTCCGTACCCTAATATGGACTAGCAACGGCTGAAATGAAAGCAGCCCCAGCCTAAGCCGGGATCGATCTGCGATGAGGCATTATTGGTCTGCAGCGCATATTATTCGGGAAGTCAAAAGGGATTCGAGAATTGAATTTTGCTCAAATGCTCCTGGTTTGCTGGCCCTTGCCTAGTTCTTTCTCCAATTCCCCAGTATTTTCGCCCATCCTTTCAACTAGCCGCCCATAACGACGATCAATGTTCGGCGTGATGACATTGGCTAGAAGGGTTTCGGGTCCAGAACATCACCATGCTTAGGCCCTCCCACCATGCTGCATTCCCCGCGAAAATTACCAGCGGGACCCGAGATCTTCCGCTTCTGTTACTTCTTTGGGAAGAATCCCCAAACTCGAGAAACCTTTACCCCACCAAATCCAGAGATTAATGCAGGCGAACAACGAAAGTAATGTGTTCCAAGGCTCAAAGTTGAATTGGACTTTTGATCCCGTGTGAAAAGGAGGGGGAATACGCCAGGCACAGATCTTCCGGTTGTGGCTGACCTCTCCTTGGCTGACAAGGTTATCATTTGTGGTCAGCCCCCAAGGCTTCCAAGGCTCGGTCTTGGGATGGTCACAAGCAATTAGCCCGTGTGCTAACCGACATATAGGAACCCTTGGAATCCTCCCTGAATCCTCCATGATTGGTGCCCCAAAGCCCTCCCCAAAGCCCCCATTTTTTCAGAGGCGCTGCGCCACCAATGAAACCCAGACTCTGACTAATCCTTGCCATTTCGTCACTCTCCACGGGACTGCGTGAAACCTGACTTGAGAGCCGTAACCACGCAGATCGGGATTTGTGACGTGGGTATTCAAGATTCTGCACGACGAACAAGGGGGTATGTATAAAGAGGCCCTTGCTAGCTACGAGTTTGACGGGTCTCCGAGGTACTCTCGGACCAGACTAAAGAGGCAGTCCGTGATCTCCTGATCAGAGGGAAAGACATGTGTATATGTATACGCTTTAGGTTCAAATGTATCCGTTATGTATATCTAATTTATGTATAGCAGATTGTTATATTGTTAATAGCCACAAAACATCATTATTATCCCATTTTCCTTTGACCGGGAAGCCGTAACATATGACGTAACATCGCCGACCTATTAGGGTTTTCCCGAATCACCGGCCCGTGAAGGAGAAGGGCTTTCATATAAAATCTACAGATTGAAATTTATAATAAATTGACTAAATAGAAGTAATGTCACTAATATATATGTGGTCATGAGCAATAATGACACAGGGGGACCAAAAAGAAAAACTTCCCCCTCAAACGAGGGGAACGAACATCCACCGACCCACTGCTGCGGATGAGAAAGTGGGTTGAGCCTTTGGGAATTTATAACGTCGTCAGGTCCTAAACCTGTTACCCAATCCCTGCTTCTCTTTCTCTCTTCCCTTTTGATCTTCCCCTCCATCTTCAAATCTTACCTCTTATTCCAAACCCCCCCAACCATCTCGATTTTGAATAACCTGAATAATTATGTCCACCAAGGTTTTGCTCGTTGGAGCAGCGGGTGAAACCGGAGGTTCTATCGCAAACGGACTGTTGGATACCGGTGACTTTGTAAGTCCAGCATCCTACAGGGCTACCAATTGACCCCAGACTAATCATATCGTTTTTCACTGCACAGGAGGTCATCGCCCTTGTTCGCCCTATTTCCGCCCAAAAGCCAGCTATCACGCGCCTTCAGGAACGAGGATGCCAGATTCGGAAATGCGACTTGAAGGCCCCAGAGGAGCAACTCATCGAGGCGTTGGCTGGTATTGATGTGGTCATCAGCTGTGTCGGTCCTGCCGAACAACAGGACCAGATCCCTCTCGCCAAGGCAGCGAAAAAGACCGGCGTGAAGCGATTCGTTCCATGTGGTTTCATCACCGTTTGCCCACCGGGCGGTATCATGTGGTTGCGTGACGAGGTATGAGGAATGTGACGCGGTACTTTTTATCAGTGGACTGACCTGGCTTTTACTACTCACAGAAAGAAATCGTCTACAACCAGATCCGCCAGTTGTGGCTTCCCTACACCGTCGTCGATGTCGGCTGGTGGTACCAGCTCGCCTACCCCCGCCTCCCCTCTGGCCGCGTCGACTATGCCATGACATCCGGAAACGATGAAATCATTGGTGATGGCAACATGCCCACAGCACTGACCGACTTGCGAGACATCGGTCGCTACATGGCTATGATCATTTCCGACCCCCGCACTCTCAACAAGAAGATCCTCGCCTACAACCTGGTCTCCTCGCAAAACAAGATGTACGATCTCATGGAGGAACTCAGCGAGGAGAAGATCGATCGAAACTACGTAAGTTGCACAGACTCTCGGCTCCGAATGAGTCAATGTGGCTAACTGATTTTTCTTTTTCCGGAGCACAGGTTCCCGAAGAAACCATCTGCAGCAGAGTCGTGGCGGCCCGACAAGCCAGTGAAACCTACCCCTTCGACCCAATCAAGTTCATTCCGCGCTATTTGGCCGAATATCAACTGTCTTGGGGAATCCGCGGCGACAACAACCCCGAGTACGCCAAGTATCTCGGCTACCACACCACACAGGACCTGTACCCCGAATTCAAACCCACAGATTTCCGCGAATATCTCGAGTCGGTCATTCGTGGCTCGGCTAAGGGTGTCTACACCGATCGTGTGATCTCACGGAAGCACCAACGACACTTCCCACGTACCGAGTCCAGCGATTCCCTCTACACGCGTATATTCCCTCGCACGGAGTCGAGCGACTCGCTTATGTCGCGATGAATTGATGATTAGGAACCCTTTTTACGTATCTCGCGTTACCTCTCCGCCTCACCCAGGGAGCGACTGTTCCAGACAAACGCCGGCCCCGCCGCTACCATTTGGGAATATTTGACAAAGACTTATGACATCTCTCTTCTCCCCCTCTGACCCCATTTGACGGGGCCATGGAACTCAGTATGCAACCGACTGGTGCTTTTTTTTGGGGGTGTCGACAACGTTTTGGGCGTTTGTGATTTTGTGGCCTTTGGATAGACGCTGGCTACTTTTGATGCCTCCTCGATGGGCTTGGTGGCAATCCTTAGAGCTGGCATAGGAAATGCTTCTATTTTTTTTTTGTTTATGCCATTCAATTTCGATTGTCCCATGATGGGATTTCTGCATATAGAAAATATATCCCAATCATCTGTGATCCCAACCAGTTGTGCCTCGTTCTTTCCCTCATTCGCACTTGCATAATCACTACCATCCCGAGCTCCCCGGGGCCATCCCCTAGGCTGTTCATTCGATCTCTGATCTCTGATTCACGGTTTTTGGTACCTAACTCATTTGCTTAACCTAACCTCGACGGCCGGGGATTCGTACTTTTGAAATATACCTTCGGAGATGTTTCCGCGACGCCGACCAGGATCGCGATCCTCTGCCTGCGAACTCGGGCCCATCAGGGCTGAGCCAACGACCCCACAAACTACCCCGGAAGCTCATCAGAATGAACATGCCCTGGGCTTCACCGATATATACGGGTCATTGACACCCCGTCAAATCAGTATCATCAGTCTGTATCCCCCACCTTGTACACGGACCTACATTCTAACACAGGCTTGCAGCCATTGGATCGGCGATTGGAACGGGCTTGATGGTGGGTACTGGAAGAGCATTGTCCATGTAAGATTGGTTCCTCATAGCGGATTTCTTCTATGCTAAACAATGTTGACTCCAACACAGGAGCGGCGTAAGTTATTCCCTAGGAAGCTCATTGGCGAAGATACTGATCTGTTATAGCCGGCTGCTATAATAATCTCCTACACCATCGTGGGTCTCGCGGTTTATCTCGTCCTCTCTGCCTTGGGTGAGGTGGGTTCATGGTTACCAAAACCGTATACCGTTGCAGATCAAGCCGTTCGATTTTGTCATCCTGCACTTGGATTCAGCTTGGGCTGGATGTAAGTCCCCCTTTGCGACAATAACTACATCTACTCTGCTCTGTTTCCTGACCGTGCCCCCAGATTTTGGCTGAAATATGCTGTTGTCACACCGAACCAGCTCACAGCTGCAGCGCTGGTAGTCTCTTATTGGGTGAGTGCTGAGCGAGTCAATCCTGGTATCTGGATCACAGTTTTCCTTTCGGTCATTGTGATTCTCAACTTCATCAATCACCGCCTCCCGAGCAGAATTGAGTTCTATGTCTCTTCATTCAAGCTTGTCGTCATGCTTGGACTCATGATACTTTCCACCGTCATTGCTCTGGGAGGGGGTCCGGATCAAGACACAAAAGGGTTTCGATATTGGTCGTACCCCGGTGCTTTCGGTGCCCTCCACCATCACGATCACGCTTTACTAGAAAAGTTCTACTTAACTTGCTCGACGATGTCATCTGCCACGTTTGCGTTCATCGGAAGCGAGCGATCTGGCATAACGCACTTCCCGAACGTTCGAAAGGCTACCTCGAGGGCTATCCAGAATACCTTTTATCGAATCATGGTTTTCCACCTTCTAGCAATCACCCTTCTCGGGATGATTGTCCCCCAGGACTCGGCGACTGTGGCATTTTCTAGCGATGCCTCCCACGAGGCTGCCGCATCGGCATTTGTCGCTGCTCTGTATTTGGCAGGCATCTCTGTGCTACCGGACTTGTTGAATGCATGCATACTGTTGTTCGTCCTGTCAATCGCAGACTACGATCTCTATCTGGCAACCAAGGCAATGTGCGACCTCGCAGTGAAGCACCGTGCCCCTGCTTTCCTGTCACGCACTACCCGGAGAGGCGTCCCGATCTACGCTTTGGCTGTGTGCTCGTCAACTGCAACATTGGCATACCTTAATGTCCGCCAAGACTCCACTGTTGTCTTCGGATACTTCGTGGACATGGTCACAATGCTCGGGCTGCTCACATGGATTTCCATTCTCGTAACCCACATATCTTTTGTGCGAGCTAGAAAGGCTCAAGGCATTCCCGACAAAGCTTTAGCTTTTAGAGCTCGCTTCGGTCTGCCTGGGACGTGTTTGGCTCTGGTTCTTTGCTTGTTCATCTCTGTCGCCATTGTCTTTGACTCCTTCAGCTTTGACTCGGGCGTTCGGACATTCGACGTCAAATCCTTCATTGCCTCGTACATCAGCATTCCTGTCTACATCATCTTGATGGTTGGCTACAAGCTCGCTGTCCACAGTAAACGTGTTGACCCCAAGGAGGCTGATCTATGGACAGATAAGATTGAGCCGGACAGTGAGAGAGGGGAGGGCCACAGCTGAAGGGAAGTGGTTGTGATGGAAGTCATTATTCTATAGGTCATTCTGGTCCGTCCTTGGGGGTCAAGTTTCTTGACCATCTTTGTTGATCATGGGGGAAAAAGCAATTTCCATTCACTGCATTCTCCTGAATGTCTATTCCGTACCTACATTTAGGTACTAATTCCAGCCTCAACTTCCATTATTCATCCACTGTCTAGACGGACATGTCCTGGACAACCTACACCCCACAACTGTTAGCAGGTCCTGACTTGACTGGTCTGAAACCTCCAAGGCATCACCCACTAACCATGCAGCCCTGAATCCTCGATATGTAAAATTGCACAGTTGTCACAGTGACACGTCAAGTGGGGACGCTAATAGCAGCTACCCGAAGTTGGCGCAACCCGTGGACCTACTCCCGTATAGGAAGGAGTAGGTTGAACTTCCAAAGTTGACGAGTCAAGTAAGACATTCTGCTGATTTAAGGGACCTTATCCCCCTCAATTCCTCAATTTTATGATTCTTAGAAGACTGCTCTGCTCATAAGGAAACTCAATGCATCTGCGGTTTGTTTACCCCCACCATGCCTTCGCATGAGACTAACAGAGAACCCTCAGTCGCAGTCGAATCCTGTCATTTCATTTTTCTTCTAACACCCCAACACGAGATCAATTCTTTCTCTTGTTGAATGGGAGCTCCTGTGCTCCGCATTCCTCACACCATGAATCATCCAACTACTCCGCAACACCAAAAAGAGGATTTCCGCACTTTTATCACAAGAGTGAACGTCAAATTTGGTCTCGAGATTCCCCTCCCTGGAATTGAGTCCCCCTCGGCCAGAGAGAGAAATACCAGCCTCCCGAGTCAGATCTACAAGCATATCCGCCCGCTGTTCTTCAATAACAAGGTCGACAAGAAAAGCCTAATTGGCAATCTCGAGGAATGGGTCCGCGGGAACCTGCCGTTAGCCGGCCAGAGCCATGTCCAGAACCATGTCTATCAAACCAACGCAGATCGCCGGGCAAGCCAACGCCATCACAGCGAGGAACCCGCGCTCCCTCTCTCGCTCACCGGCCCTGAGAAGGATATGTGCATGAAGCAGCTGCTAGCGCTCATGGAAGACGAAGAATATTTTTTGGCAAATGGTCGCGTTGTAAACACCAAAAAAAGGTTAGCCGCTAATTCTTTTGGAGATGCCAAGGGCTTATCACCAAAGAAACAAAGGTTTGATGATGAAGATGAAGACGAAAACTTCCACACCGCACCGAATTCCCACGTGAAAGGATCTGTGCTAGCTCAGTCCCCTTTGGGAAAGAATGGGGATGGAGGTTTACAATTTCCCGAGATGGTGCAGGCTGCCTTTCGAGGGCCCCGGAGGAATTCTGGGACCGTGAACTTGCCAGTCAATAGTCATCGAGCAATTCAGTCTCTTGTACAGCCGTCGATGGGAATTGCGTCGCCAGCAAAAAGTCAAGTTCACCGGTCGCCCGGAAGGAACAATAGACCCATTCAGTCGCCTGGGAATAACAAAGAGGACTTCCCTTCCCCGGCGAAGTATTCGGCGACCTTTCCTCCGCCAGCAAAGGGACAACCAGCACAGGGCCAAGGGTATAACCAATCGCCCCCTCGGAAAGTGGTCACTAAATCATCATCCAAGCCTCAAGGCAATGTTCCCCCTCGGACGAGAAATTCGACGAGCACTTCGTCGCCAGCGAAATCTCCAGGGAATGCCCAATCACTCGCGAAGAACCAAGGATCTGTCCGATCGCCCTCCAAAACCCCGAAATCGGTCAAATCACCCTTCCAATCGCCGTTGAAACAAATGGATCTTCGATCGTTTGGCTTTGGCAACAGCTTCAGTAAAGAAACTTCTCCTGCTCAGGAAGATGTTGAGTTCAAAAAGCCTACTTTATTTGAAAAGCTTAGCGCGGCATCCAATGAATCGAAGCGCAACAATATGACACAGTCAGCCAATAATAGCTTTTCAACGACGATCACTCCGTCGGTCTTTATGTCTCGCGATCCTAGCATGGGGCAATCGTTTGATTCGGTCATGACAGAAATGACCGAGCCAATGGATACCCAGTCAACCTATGCAGACTCGGTGGTCGGGTACATGGCTAGCGACGAGATGCAAAGAAGCGTGGACGCTGCTGCTATCTCCATGATGGTAAATGCTGACCCCGCTGAAACGGAGTATTCCCTCAAACAGGAGTTTATTGGTGAGCTCCTGTCCTACGGTCCTTTTTCAAGGGAAGAATCCTTCTCGGCGTCAATTCCATTGAGATTCCGATATGAGCTGGAGCGCATTGCACGTGCGTGGGGAATTCCCTTCAAACAAATACTCGTTGGCGACCGTGTTACGTTCAACACTCAAGATGATTTCTGGTCATGGGTCAGCGGGCTTGGTCGACGTTATGGTCATCCGTTGCCAGGGAGATCGCCGCGCCGCGCCTGGGATGCTGCTATTGGTGATTTCAAATCCGATAAGCACTCAGAGGTGGTGGTACTTTCAGGAGACTTGGACTGGTGTGACGAGTCCGAGCCGGGTATTTTCAAATTAAGACTCAACCCCCTCAAGCCAGAGCGGACGTGTCGATTCCACCGAAGATTTGGATCGGATAGATTCCTGACTCTTACTGTTCCAGCCGCAGATCGGCCTCCAAGCCATCAGAAGCAACCTTCTTACCCATCTGTCCTTCGCGAGAGTATCGCTTCCTGGCTCACACGGAATGATCATCGTTGCCTCGGGAGGACGTGGCGGGCTTTCTATGTTGAAGAAGTAAAGACCAAGCGAAAAGCCAAGGGTGAGCCTCGGTTTCGGGTCGAGCTCTTCGCCATTGATGGCGATGACTTTGATCATGGGCACCAGTTACCACCACTGGTGGCCCCTCCTCGACAGCAAAGTGACAACTATACTCCGATGAGTGTGGATGCTTTGCTGGAATGGCATATGCCCAAAACTGCGAATGCGAATCAAAGCAATTGCAAGCTCTTCCAGCGTATCTCTCTGGGCTTGTCGAAGACATTTGCGACAGTTAAGTTAAAGCCAACGCAAGTGCTTCGTTTGAGAGACGATCCAACCCGAACTGTCATGAATGACGGATGTGCTTTGATATCGAGGACTCTTGCGAACCAAATTTGTGATCAACTGGGCATAACCACCGCCACCCCCAGTTGCTTCCAGGGCAGAATAGCAGGCGCTAAGGGCCTCTGGATGGTTGATTGCCACCAATCTAGTATCGCTGCCATAAGCGACGATGGCATCTGGATTCAGATCTCGGACTCGCAGTTGAAAATACACCCTCATCCACAGGAATGGGTTGACTCGGTTGATGATGAGAAGTTGACCTTCGAAGTAGTCAACTGGGCTAAGCCATTGCACCCTGTTGATCTTAATATCCAGCTTCTTGCAATTCTGGAATTTGGAGGGAACGTGAAGGAGTATATTGCCAAGCTCACGCGTGACGGTGTGCAGAGTCTTTACGATGACTTCCTTGAAGTTCTTCGATCAAACAGTCCCGTGGTTTGTCGAGCACTGCTTCAGAAGCTCAGACCCACGGGCGAGGATGGAACTGGCAAAGCACGACGATTAGAGCAGTGGGTGACTAGTGATGCTGAGTCCATCATTCGTTTCTCGGAAGCTGGCTTTGCGCCACGCGACTTTTTCCTCTCCGGATGAAGATCCGCCAGTATTTGACATGGCTTCTTGAGCGACATGTCGAAGAGCTCAAAATCCAGGTCCCTCTCTCAACCTATGCTTACTGCATTGCGGACCCGTATGGAGTTCTCGGACCGGACGAAGTTCACTTTGGCTTCTCTAACAACTGGCGGGATCCACAGGGCCAGTTTGAAGACAACCTCCTGGATGGGATTGATGTTCTCGTGGGCCGACTGCCAGCCCATTTACCGTCCGATATCCAACGGCGCAGAGCTGTATGGAAGACTGAACTGCGTCATTTTAAAGATGTGATTGTGTTTCCCACCACAGGAAATTTTCCTCTAGCCGGTATGCTATCCGGGGGAGATTACGATGGTGACACGCCGTGGATCTGCTGGGATCCAATGATTGTAGAGATATTCCACAATTCCCCAATGCCCTCACATGAATATCCTGCAGAGCATTACGGGCTCACGAAACACTCCGTCCCAATGGCTTCGCTGGAATCGACGGAAGACTTTTTGGAAAGTGTGTTCGATTTCAACCTCAACCTTTCAAACCTGGGTCGATGTACTGTCGAGCATGAGAAACTAGCATACGATGAGTCAGTCGACTCTTCGAAAGCGAAAGAGCTGGCCTGTCTCTTAGGTCATCTCGTGGATGGCCGGAAAGGTGGAGTTCATCTTTCAGAGCAAGCCTGGAAAGAATACCGCAAAACCATCAGCCCTAAGCAACGTGCGCTTCCTGCGTATCGGAACCCAGAGCGCAAGTCCAAATCGTCGAACATTGTCGACTACCTCAAGTTTAACGTCGCACAGTCGGAGCTTCGCAGAATTCTCTCGGGTCTCAATGAGGCGTTCCCCGAGAACGATATCCAAAATCAGCTCGACGATGACCTCATTCGTCCATGGAATGAAGCCGATGAAGCATCGAAGAGCAAGTGTGAGCACAGTCAAGAATTAAAAGACGCCCTCGGTGAAGTTCGACGCTCGATAGACGAGCTATACAAGCAGTGGAACCAAGGACACTCTGCTTCTACCGGCGACGAATTCTCTGCCATATCACGTCAGGCTGTTGAGAGTGTGGGTGCACTCCTTCCTCCCCAGGCGGGCAGACATCCGCTCATCCACACGTGGCAAAACAGCCGCAATGAATGGCGACAGTTGGTAGCTTCGTATGCCTACCGTCGATGTCCAAATTCACGGTTTATCCTTCACGCTTTTGGCGAGACATTGTGCGAAATCAAGGCCTCCGTCTCGCCATCCCGCCTTATCACTAATGAGGTGATCGCCTGCTACCGAGTGAATCAGAAAATGGTGGCACATCTCACGGCCAATGAATTGCCTGGGGATGAGGCCGACAATGCAGACGAGTATGAAGACGGAGAAGCCATTGAAGCTATGCTATCCTTTTAGAAGGGACCGATCGGTCATTACGATGATGGACTGGAGGACAAATTGTCCATCGAATGAGATACGAATGGCGCCAACAACGACCCTGCATTTGATTTGGCCATGATTTAAGCGATATTTTTGATGCTTCCTTGCCTGTGACTGTTGAACACAGCATGATATAGATACCTTGTCATTTTGCACATGTTGGAGTTGATATTATATGTTGTACTCCGTAGATAGCTCCCCATCACATGTTGTCACTAAACATCCATGGATAAAGTACTCGGTACCATTAGACTTTTGCCTAAAAGAAACTCCAACACTAAGCAAAGAAAGTTCATCCTAGTCCCCAAATGTCAATCGCTAGAATGCCCCCCACATCACATGCCGAGCTCAAAGCCGAAACAGACGGTATATGGCCCAACAAATATAAGATTGGGCTTACACGTTGAAAGAGAGATTATAATTGGGGGAATATTAAAATACATCAATGTCCTTGGCAAAGACATAGCAGGCTAAGTACATTTCGTACCGGTAACAGGCCAAAGATCAGTCGCCTTTCATGTACATAAGGCATGTGAAGGACGGAGCAAGGTCTTCCGGGACAATGTCAATCTACATAGTACATTATATGCAGAGGTGCAACCGGCATTGCGACCCAAACACAATGCATAACTATAATTGCACCGTCCGGTTCGTGGATAAAAGGTGTCAGGGATCAACCGCAATCGCAATCGCTCTCGTATTCGACGTCGAGCACATCCTAGCGCATGTTGGGGTACATGCACACAAAGACTAGCGAGTTACAGAGTACATTGGCAACGATAAAAATGGAAACTTAGGGAAATGATGAACATAGGAGGGGTTCATGGTGCTTTTTTCCGGGATCACGGAGTCTTTTCCGTAGGTCCGTAGGACAGATGTGTTTATCCCGTATACTGTAATACTTACTATGTATGTGGTTATGAGTTGCGATGGGTGTACATCGACTTGGGCGGAATAGGAATCCTCTATTGAAACACCCTACAGGCAAGCGCGTAAGAGTGCGACTACATTGTTGTAAGACACAATTGTCGGTGACTTCAGATTTTTCATATCAAATCAAAGATAAATAATCATTTTCGGTAAGATCAAAGGTCCAAGAGGGGTGAATAGATGCGATTTTGTTGGGGCGAGGAAAAACCGTATATTTGACATGTGATAAGAAAAGGTACATGAGCGACCATAGTGGAATGTATGGCCGAGCAGGTACCGTGAGAATGTGATTACCTCACTCCCGTCATCCTTCCAGATTGGGCCTAGTGGCCAAGTGACACTTTTTCACGTGAAAGACAATTACCATGCGAAACTCCGACATCTTTGGGGTTCATGACTCTCTCTCTCAATGGATGATCTCTGACCCGCCATGGAACCCCCAAAAACCGCTAGGCCAAAACAACCTGCCCGAATTATTAACGCCACATCTCTGACCTCGACCAATTCGCTCCCCTCCGCGCTTACAAGTAACCTCGCCCCATCACTTACGGCTCCGCCTTATCATAATGCTCATCCATCTGTGATGGATGTCGATAACGCAGAAGACCGATCACGTCGAGCTGCCAGTGTATTATCGATGGATGATCTCGAAGCCGCGCAGGCTCTTGAGGGGCTCCGCTCCGGTATGTGGCTCTGATATCCCGAACCAGCCCACTAAAAGTGTCGCAACTGCGGATTTCGCTAGATTCGGATGGCTGTGCGACGGACATTTAACTAATCTCAACAATAGATTTTGGGCAATCGCCTCGAACAGCGCGACAATCCCTTCCCATCACTTCACCGGACCCACCACCGCCAGAGCCACTATTGTCTCTGCTAACTTCTTCCCATCCACTTATATCCTCTGCCATCAACGGCTCAGTTTCTGCTTACGCCACGTCGAAATCATACTCACCGCGATTCAAGTCTGGTGCTGAGTTCATCGAGCGCAATATTGGATCACCTGTCGCGAACACCGTCGGTACGGTAGGCCGCAAGACTGGTGTTGAGAGCGGTCTCCGCTGGGCGCTGCAGCGACGAGACTCTACAAGCGAAGACTCAAAACACATTAATAAGCGACGACGAAAGATGGATGAGAATGTGTCACCGAGGACCATAAATGCGGAGAAGGGACCGGACGGTTCAGCTCACCCACGGCGCACACGGAGCTCGTCCGATCTCTCCATGGCCGAGTCGCTCCCCCCGTACGACGAAATCAGGTCTCCTCATTATGAAGAGAAACCGGGAAGACGTACTGAGCCGACATGGCAAAGCCGACTAGTTATTTCGACTTCTGGACTCGGGGTCGCCATGAGCGATGAATCGCTGCGTAGTCTGCAATATTGTCTCACTTGGCTTCGATGGGCAAACGGTCGACTAGGCAAGTCCATTGTAGCACTACATGGTGCCGTCAACGACTGGGAGAACCACAAATTACAATCACAGTCGGATATCGAGGCGGGAGGCAGTGGCCAAGAAAATGCCTCGTTGCTTATCCAGCGCATCCAAGCTGTCAAGGCCGATGTGCTATCGACCTTGAAACAGGTAGTGGATGTGGTTTCCAAGTATGCAGGAGGCGCCCTGCCAGAGAATGCCCGCCATCTAGTGCGTCGACACCTGACATCTCTGCCACACCGCTTCCAGGTTGCATCCACTTCGCAGCCACCACCAGACTCACCGGCTGCCTCATCCGATGCCACAATCAGTGCTCATCGCATTCTGGTGCTGGCCCAAGAGGGTCTAGACATGATGGCGCAAGTCAGCGGTGTTGTCAATGACACATTGGTCAGTGCTGAGCACTGGTGCGAGCGGCTTGGTCGGAAACGACCCGAGAACGGAGCTTCATCCGACATGCCAGAGAAGCAGGGCGAATCTGCTTCCGACGCTCAACCGTATGGCATGGATATCAAGCAGTCTCTCCCAGAGAATGCGATTCAGGACGACGTCTCAATGTCCGGGATGGAGAAGGTATGATGTCGTCCCAAGACCTTCCTCTCGTCTTTCTTTACATATTTTCTATTTCTGTCACTTCTTGCCTCTTATCTCGGCAATTCTCTTATGTCTTTCTCCTCCGAGGTCTTGTTTTCTTTTTTTTTTCCTTCTCATGATTGATATCCTCTTTGCTATCTTCATTCCATCTGGAGTGATATGAAAACCGCTGGAAATTATGGTGTTTCTTTGTTTAAGCGTGCGATTATTGTTTCATTTTGGATGGGCTCGGTCATCCTCCCTATTATAGTTATGGATGTTATGGTTTTCGGTATAGATATACGCAAGAGGCTGCGCGCTCAAGCTGAATGAATGCAGGTTATTCATCGATTTACACTTGAAATTTTCACAGATCGTGTAAGCGATCTAAGTCCCCGGGGCCTGCTAATCACATGTTTTCCGGTTGTACCAGCCCCTGACTGTCAATATGCTCGAGACCGTCAATCACACGGGCCACGGCTATGTTTTTCGTTCTAGACCCCGTTGATATGCCGTGTCATATATCATACCATGTGCAGCTTATCCACAATGGCCTCTTCGAGCGAGAGACTGGGCCACCCCCATACAAATGGCTTCAAGACCACAAATACCAAAATATCATGACACCGGCTAATAGTCAGGCAACGTTTCACTATTGACATAAAATGTGTCATAGGTGCTGCTGAAACCATTGAACTGAGTCGCAGTGGTACTTGTATATGCTAGAACTCCGTCAGTTCTGTTGAAATTCCAAGTATAAAATGGCAATACTCACCTCCCATGTTTTTATATTTGAGCCAATCTCCAACCTTAACTTCAGAATCAAGCGTCACCTCGCGCACAACACAATCGGTGCTGTCACATGTAGGCCCCCAAATCGAGTACCGGTGATGATCTGTTACTTGCAAAGCATCCTCTGGTTTTGGCTTATGCAAGAAACCCCTGGCCTTCTTACTCTTGACCAAATAAGGAACCATGGTCTCTTTCTCCATAATCACATTCATGAAATTTCCGTATATGCCATCGTTTTGATAAAGCATGTCTGGAACACCAGATCGAGCAGCACTCCCAAGCTGACGGCGACGTGAAATCACTCGACATACAAGAGTATACACACTACGAGCAAAAAACCGACCTGGTTCTGCAATCGTTGTGGTACCAATTGGGAACTCCGACCGAATCGCGTCTCGAATAATAGGGGCCATAGACTCAAAGCAATCATCTTGAAAGCCGCCACCGATATCGAGTATTTTGGGGTGGAAACCTAGACGTTCAGCTTGTGAAAACGCCAGACGTGCATCTTTGATGCCCTTGCAAAATGATGCTGGGTTGGTAGCACCGGTCCCTAATAGTTCCGAATGGTCAGTAAATCTGACCAGGTTAAAAAAAAATCCGAAGTACCCAAGTACTTACCAACATGAAAGCTAACACCAATCACATTCAGTCCAAGCTCCCAAGCTCTTGAAAGTAGCTCCTCGGTCGTATCCAACTGCGCACCAAATTTTTCACCGAGACAAATGAAAGCACCCTCGTCATTTGCATAGATCCGAAGTAACAATTGAGCTTCCGGCATGTGTGCCTTGATGGTATCCAATTCGTCGATATTGTCAAATGTTGTTCGCAAGACGCCAATCTCGCGCGCAAAAGCTACGGCGGCGGGCGCCTTGCATGGATTGGCGAACAAAATCCGGGTTGGGTCCACGCCGAGGCTGAGAACTGCGCGCATCTCTTCAATGGAAGCGCAATCAAACCCTGTCCCTAGTTCTGCAAGAACTTTGAGAAAGGTTGGGTCACAATTGCATTTAACCGCTGCGAGAAAAATGTTAGTTTTCTATTCCAAGAACAGGAACATAATAGAGGATGAGTGTTATACCATAATACGGTCGTATTCCGGGCATATGCTGGGTCCAACGACGATGCTGTCGAAGTATCTGGCCCAAATCTGCGATGAAGAATGATTCATCGCCGCCAACGAGAGACCGTTTGACTACACGGGCAATGTGACTCTCAATTGCGAGGTCAACTAGCTCATCTGGTGGGAGATTTCGATATCCGCTAGCATGTATGACTTTGCCAGTGGCTACAGGTTCACTGGGAGCAGGGAGGAGAGCCATGATTGTGGAGAGTAGTCGATCGAGAAGAACTAGGGAAAATGGAGAGTTCTGTAACTGAAACAGCATTACAGAACATATGTCGGACTATAATACAAAGTCCTGGAGTATATGGAAGTCCTTTTCAAAAAGAGGTGCTGTGCTCTTCAGGAACTCCGTGCGAATAGATCGTTTGAAGAGGCTTGAACTAAAAGGTGAAGAAAGGCCATTAAAAGGTAATTTTGTACGCAATTGAAACTCTGCATTACGTTGGATCTCACGGAAAGGAATAAGCAATAAGTCGCACGGGATAAAGGCCACACTTCCCCAATTAACCTGTGAGAGAGCCAATTATATCTTCATTGAAACGAGGTGATGTGTGTTTTCTGGGGCTTTACATATTATGTGTATGTGGATGAAGATCACCAATTAGTAACTAGATCGATCGAGGCACTTCTGCATGATTCGATGTTGGGTATGGAGTACTCCATATGGCGAATGTGATCAGCTCAATGGTTAGTTCTTATGTGGATTTGTAGTGGAGACGCGATGAGGGAGGACGTGGAGCTGACCGCACGGAGTAGAGCAACATCATCACACAAGTACATCAAGGTCATATCTACATTAAATATCCGAGTAGTGCGACCAAGATGTTGGTAATAGCATGTTTAGAATACACAGCTGAAATGCTGAGGTGCCTGATATTCCCCGTGAATGTTGAAATGAACTAAATTGTCTCTGAAATGAAAAATCTACCTAACAACGCATTGATACTTTTTATGTCATAGAAACCCAATTCAAGTTTCAACATGCAGGAACCACTCAACTTCCAAGTGTGATGCGTCGATCTAATGGGGCGCAGCTGAAGCCCTAAAAAATGAAATTTCCACAAAGCCCATTCTTTTGGAGGTGAATTGTTTTCGGTGCCCCAGATCATCCCGCTAGGGCCTCGATCTTAGTGCTTTAACTGTATTTATCGGCTTTGTCGGGCAATTATACTGTTACACATCGGATGCACCACACAACACATGTCGAACTTGGGAGGCCTCGAGCTCTCTAGGACTTACTAGTATATTTGCTTCTTTCATGGAAATTAGGATATCCCTAGCTGTGACCTCTAGGGGTGTTTCTTATAACATTTAACATTGGAATCCCCACTGGGAGCTTCCTCAACCCACCGAAGGTTTTGGTTTCACGGTCTAGTTGAAGTCAGAATGACCGGGAAATAGAATACCCGCGAGTTCAAATAAATCTTCAATAGCATGTATGCTGTGCAATGTCTGAGTAAGAATTGGTCTATTCCCAGACCTAAATGTGTATGCAGGTTGACAAAGCTTTGACCGATCTTATTTTTAAATTGACTGGAAACCCAAGTGTTCTCCTCCACAATGCCACGTCCTTGGATTCATTGGTTCTCACTTCATTGCAGGAACCTGCTGAGTGACGCAGTGAAGCACCCCACCAGTAAGGGGAATGGCGTTGGCGTACACCTGCCGAATCACCCGCTCAGGGAGCAATGCCTGAAACATTTCCAAAGCCTTTTGATCCCTTTCTCCGTCACCGAATTTGGGGATTATCAGGCCTCCATTGACAAAATAGAAATTCACGTAGCTTGCCGCTAGTTCATCGTGTTCTGATTTCACCAAGCCGCGTGGGTCTGGTTCTTCGATGGTGTGGATCTGCAAGCGCCGACCCTTAGCGTCTGTCTCACGGTCCAGAATCTCCCGGATCTCTGTGGACAGCTCCTTCCACAGGTCAATCGCAATGGCATGTGGTTTTGAGTAAGCGATGGCACCAGGGCGTACGAATCTTGCCTCAGCGTCCATATGCACGTCGGTAATGTCAACATTGCGCCGCCCAGGGAACCATATCACTTTTTCAATCCCGAGCAGCCGCTTCAACTCTGTCTCGATCTCGGCCTTGGACATCCCTGGGTTGCGCACATCACATACGATGCTACTCTCCGTGATAAGCAGGGTTCCTTCACCATCAGTAACGAGACCGCCTCCCTCGGCGCGAATCGGAGTCTCGATCTGCGTAACGGGGCTGGGCTCGCGGTCGTGCTCGATTACCCACCGTGCAAAATCTGCGTTTTCCTGTAGTGCATTTTCGTTCATCACGGGCCATCGCTGACCCCAGCAGATTCTGTCGTCTTCGGGTTTCTTCCCACCCCATTCATTGAACCGGAAGTTGATTGCGAAGCGTCCATTTGGGCATGCTCCTGTCTTGTCGCGCACGTAGACTGGGCCTGTGTCGCGTACCCAGCAGTGGTTGATTGGACAGGGGATAATAGATATCTTTGATGCGTCTTCCACCAAAGTCTTGACTAGGGACTCGGCCAATTGGATTTCTTCGGGCCTCACGTACAGCCGAACTGGTTCGAACTCGGTGATTGCCGCCGCTAGTTGAGCTAATTCGTTGCACATAGCATCATACTGATCCGGGGGTAGGGAACATGGAGATGGTAACCCCATGATTGTTGCTTCATGGGGCTCTGACTCTGCTGGGAAGATGTAGCTGCCTTGTTGAACTTTGATTTCATCACTGCTAATACCCGAGGGTTGAAGCCAGTTACGTGTGGTAGCATAGAGGTACGACAGCAATTTGCCGAATCGCTCGAAAAGCTTCATCTTGATAGTCACCCGTGAATTCTCGCCCTTCCCATGTCAAGCTGGAGTTTCTGTCCTTCTTAAAGATGCAATTCGGTTGCCTTAGTCCTCATTATTCTCGTACATTATCTACTTGGTGTAACTATGACCGCTTCAACGTTACTCACGATTGCCAAGTTGTGTTCTTGGTACGGAGTGGTATTTCCCCATTAAATCACCAAGACAGCATGGTTTTCGGATTCATGTAGAAAAGAACTAGGCGTGAGAGATATTTCAAGAAGAATACATACAGCGGAAGACTTCTATGCCAATACTAGATACTCAAATAGTCCGATGGCTAAACTTTACGTTCAATGATGCGAAAGAATAGTATATCTGAACTGGCTTGTCATGGTCTCAAACCAAATACGATAAAAAGCCTCGTTTGTACTACTATATACAGCCTGACGCATGCTATTCCATCAGCAGGGGTTCACGTTCCATCTCTTCATCGGCAGACTCAGTCCAGGAGACTTCTTCCATAGGACCACTGAGCCATAACATAGGCATAGCAGTAACCGCAGAAAGAACTCCCAGTCCAAGAGTCATAACTTTCCAACCGTATTGGAACTCCACAAATCCACCTACCATAGGTCCTAATGCCAAACCGCCAAAATGTGCCATATTCTCTAAGCTAAAAGCTTGAGCCACGGCACCTTTACCCCCAAAGATGCCGGGTTCTCCAGCTTCCATATCATCCAGGACACGCTGCATCTCCACTATCAAGGCAGGCTCGCTTAAGTCGATGCACATTCCGACAACGCCCAGAATTACACAAAGAAAACCTATGTGGGATGGTGAGTTTTCCTGAACAAAACGAAGACAGATCAGACTCGGGGCTAGAATGGCAAAGCTTGCGAATGTAATCACTCTCGATCCAAGACGATCAGATAAAAATCCTAGAAAAGCAGGTCAGGAACATGCAATAGAGTATGGTGATATGATGTCGGCGTACCAAAAAAGGGTTGGAAAATGGCCGCTGCAGCACCTGGCAAGAATATCAGACCTGCGCCTAGAACATTCCACTGGAATGTGTTCTCCACAAAGACTGGGAGTGTCTATATAGGAGCGTCAGTGAAATTTCAATATAAAAGACCGAATTCCATACTGCATCGAATGCCGAGACCACAAGAGCCCCAACTATAACTGCCCAGAGGCTAATAAGTATCCGTGGCTGCTTTAAAAGCTTGCCCAGCGCAAAAGTACTCTTAGAAATTTCCGCGGCAGTTTGAGCGCTACCGGTTATAGTCCCCAGAGTTCCGTATGGCGGCTGCTCGGGGATATAACCATTCTCCTGACTTGGCCGCTCGCCATCAGTGAGACACAGCCAGCGTTCAGCAATCCTCTTCTCGACAACAGCGAGTCTAAGAAAGAAGTCAAGAGCAACGATCCCAAAAGCCATACCAAAGACTGCATAGAATCCTCCAACTTCGTAAACCAGCCCGCCCAGTAGTGGACCAGACATAAATCCCAGTGTCATGGCGGTGCCAAGATATCCAATCATTTGTCCAAGACTCGCTTTATCTACTGCATCTGTCACAATTGAAAGACCAGCTACCGAAACCATTGCCGTTGCTGCGCCTTGGAGCACTCTGGCGATGATATACCATGTCACTGAGTGTGAAGCTGTGAAAATGACCATAGATGCAAACAATAGCACCAGTCCGGATAGATATGGGCCCTGGCGTGTTCCGGAGACGTCTAGCATGTATCCAAATATCGGACAGCATGTAAGTGCTGAGAGGGCTTCAGATATGAGGAGGACGCTGTTCCAATATTCTCCTATTAAAATGATAGTCATCAGTAAATGAGTATCTATTTTCGTAAATCTTTCGTACTATCTTCGAATGCTACTCCAGCTCGTGAAACTAATGCCTGGGGCATGACAGGAACAATCTGCAGCGGTCAGGTAAGGATCAAAGGTATTAGTCAGAACATGTGTACCATAGCATAGAGAAAGAGATCCTATATGAAATTTGATTAGCTGCAGCTTTACTTTTCTGAATGTCAAGGGGGCGGGTAGGATACCGTAAACATCGAAAGAGAAATCGTCGTCACTATGAAGGATTGTGACGACCTCAGCGGCAACAACCACGGTCGGTGGTCGCGAAGCTTCAAAAATGGCTTCGACCAAGTCATGATTAGTGACCTGGTTCAACCACCGTGCTGACTGGATATTTTTGACGGTGTGATGATGGAAGTTGAAGCGGACGATTCGACTCGAAAAGTCGGATAAGTGGGCTTGTTCGTCTTAATGTTTTCTTTTTTCTGTAGGCAGTCCAAAACTTAATCGGCATCAGCGGCCGCAATTTGGTAAATATTCTAGTTGAGAGGGGCGATGTGTTCGATTGTAGCTGCATTTGGAATCAAGTTTTGCGCTAGACCCTGTAAGGGAGATCCTCGAATAACTGCTGATCACTGGGGCACTGTGGCTTATATGTGTGGATGACGTTGCTGCATAGCATATGGATAACAACGAATATGGATGCCTATTATCATATCTCAAATGTTCGTTGGAGCAAATCGTCGCAGTAATAGAAATGGTCGTGATTCCAACAAATCAAATCAAATTGAATCAAATCCACTAACAGAAATAGTATAACAGTTCTTAGTCAAAGGCCCAACGCACGAGATATTATCGAGTTGAATGCAACATTTCAAAGGGAAACCAACGGAAACTCAGGTCGGACAGATGTCTTTATAAATGCCTAGCCACGAACCAACTCTGTGAAACGCAATGGCATAACTCGGCTGATAATATGAGCTATGTATTGTTTTATTGCTTAGGTCCTCGAACTAGTCTTATACGCGGGGTTGGAAACTTGTAATCATGCTCAACCATCCGCAATGCGACAACAACACATTATACGCCTATACAACCGAGGCCGTGAACTCGGGCAGTTCACCATTTTTGGCCATGGTAAATCTTGCAATCCCACTCTTCGTAGTGCAACAACACCATATCAAATCCGACCTGTGGGTCTTCGGTAACAACATGGCAGGCTCTGTTTCTTCTCCTAGCTCTTCCGCGCCCGCTATCAAGTTCCTAACTGCTTGATTGTCATTTCCTCTCGGCGACTGCGCGGTAAATCTGAGCTCCATGACTATGAAAAAAATTGGCTCCTTCTCTGATTCCATCAGCCTCGGCCAAGCTATAGCGATAAAGCAAATATCTGCGTCTCAACAAACTATAGCGGTAAGTGGATCCCGAGAAGAGGAGCCTCAAGTCTGAACCTTGGAACCAATCAAAGGTTATTTTCTGAGCTTCCATCCTGTACTTTGTAGATGTATACTTCATCGCATCACAGCAGAATGCAAATTAACAGTTCAAAAAGTTGTTGATCTTTTTCAACATTGATCAGCTTGACCTTGAGCATTTTACTTCGAAGCCGGTTGCTAGTTGTCCCTGTCGCTAGGAAATTCGCACTCGACAAAGGCAAAGCCATTGGATTCATGATTAACAAGAATAGTTGCATATGCGGCCTTGTCACGTCTTTTTGGTAGTCTTTTTGGTAGTCTTTTTGGTAGTCTTTTTGGTAGTCTTTTTGGTAGTCTTTTTGGTAGTCTTTTTGGTAGTCTTTTTGGTAGTCTTTTTGGTAGTCTTTTGTTTAGATATCTCCCCTTGTCAGTATTATAGGTAGAGTATAGGTGGTAAAAACGGCTTAGAATGTGCAAGTGACCTTTCCATGTATAACCTTTGAAGAAAACCTGAATTTCATTGTATAGAATACTCGTATGACAAAATGTACTGCAGGCAAGATTGAACTGGCGCACTGGCAGTTAGAGACTGCGGTGCGCCGCAATCAACTTCCCCCAGGTAATCCGCTTAAGAGCTTGATTCCCAGTCCTCCTCTCCCCCTTTCTCAATCATCTCCTCTACCTCCTCCACGCAGCTACAAACAAAGTCCCGCACAGAGTCCCAGTGACAGATTCCACTCCCTCTCCAAGATGCCCAATGCCAGTACTGATACTCGCCATCTTTGACTTCTTTTCCCGCCCGCTCCTTGCCCTCCTTCCAAAACCTAGGAGGAACGATGAAATGGTCAAATGAATCGCATTCGGTGCCGGGCTCGAGTTGAATCATATTGTACTCGATATCTCCCAGCTCATCTTCGTAATGCTCATAGCCAATGTCTGCATAGCCGTATCCCTCTGTGGTGATATATTGAATGCCCGCTATGCCACCTGCGAAGAAGTGCCAGCCGCCCTTGAATCTAGATGATCTAGTCAGTCATGACTTCCTTCTATGGTGTAGGTAGGCATTCTTTCTGCAAGGACAGGGGGATTGCAACACTTACCCGTTCGCCAATCGAACCATCTCCTTTAAATCAGCGGGCAGCTCCCCGACTTTCTCCTCCGCCGCCATAATTTCCTCCTCCGTGGCAGGCTCATACAAGATTTCCTTGGCACTCTTTATGCCCATGTCCTGGTACTCTTTGGGGTGGGCTTTCCATGCCCCCTCAGCGAGTCGATCCAACAACTCCCTCCATCCAACCTTGGATGGATGCAATGCCCACTGTCTCCCATGCTCAGCCCGTAGCTCCAGTGCAGCAGTTATCTCCCTCACCATAACCACTGCATCCTCTTTGGGAATAAAGAAAGGATTGCTTTCCTTCCCACCACGGGCCAATAGAGGCAAGACATCGTAGATACCAGGCACCATCAAAAAGTCACTCAATCCGCCCCCGTTAGTAAATAGATCCTGTCTCAGCCCTTGGCCAAGAATATCCGCCGCTGTTTGCAATTCACCCAAGCGAATCGCGAGCTCGACAGCCAACCGCCGGTACAGTAAGTATGACTGTCTTTTTGGCTTGGCGGACCCCGAACCACACTCTTCCCTGGGTGTGTCCGGCGTTGCATAGAGTTTCTGCGCTACCTCGAGTGCTTCCCGCGCTAGATCGTTGGGCGGATAGGTACATGGGGTGGCTGTTTTCGCAAGCAGTCGCGCACACATCGCCAGCATGGCTGGGTCATCTGTCTCGCGCCAGATAGCAGAGGGGTTCTCTGGCTCGGCGAGCCCAACATGCTGCAACATCCAGCCTGTACGGGTACATTCCCGGTATTTGCCCCATTGCTGTTGGGGCATCCAAGTTTCAGGGTCTCCTCGATCGGAGGGTGGTGCCCTCCTGGGTCGGGGGAAGGCTGATTGATTCACATTCCAGAAAATCTCTAGAGTGGCAGGTGTATATATCTCAAAGTCAAGGTCTTCGCCCTTGTCGGTGAGTTCAAAATCTTTAACCAATCTATAGACCGCCGAGGCAATCAGATGGGCCTCGGTGAGGTGGCTGGACAGGATCAGGAGTTCGGTTAGACGTAGGATTTCACGAACGGCGTGTGAGAAGTCTTCTTTGTCGACGTATGACTTAATCAACCTTGGGAGTGTTTGGTGAGTTTTATCTTCCCAGTCGTCTGTCCATTGGATAGACATGTCGTGCGGAGGGTCCGGCAATTCCAAGGTGCGTTGGAAATGTTAAATAGGTTGAATAGTACATATGTAGAGGGTAAATCTACGGGTGTCTGGGGATAGTAGTTTTTATGTTGAGTGATGATAAGTTAGGTTTGCTTGATGCCGAGGCGGCTGCCTGGTGCTGCCTACATATGTAGGTACTAGTGCCTTGGCCGGCCTGATGCGGTTTAGTGCATGTGGGGGCGATTGGGGACTATCAAAATGAATGTGTACCTAGGTATTTTGTTTCCTCGCAGAGAGATCAGCTGGATTCATATATGCTGACTTCGAGAATATATCTCCAGTCACGGGGGAAGCAAGCTTAATAGGAAATAGACGTTCCAAGGTTTATTTATGTATTAGATGAGATATTAGTACTTCTATTATTAAAAGGATCACACAGCAAACGGTCTCAAAGAAACGAACTAACAAGTACAAAAACGAATGATCACACAGAGCTCCTGTAATTTTTCCATGGTGCAAAGATGACTGACTCCGAAGCGATGCGCTTAGAGGATGGAGCCAAGGGCAATACAAGGAAGACCGGCACCGATGAGGTCGTTGCTGGCGGTGGAGGGTGAGTTGGCGCAGCAGGCGATGTTCTGCTTGCACTTCTGGTTGAGGATATCCTGGAGACTGATGGGGACAGCATTGATGATGGGGACCTGGAGGTCCAGCTTGGAGCACTGGTCGAAGATACCAACACCGCTGGCACCAGAGCCGGAACCGATGAGGTTGGAGAGGGTGCCAGAAAGGATGCTGGCGTTGATGTTGGTGGTGTCACCGGCGTAGACGGCCTTGTTGCAGCAAGAGAGCTGAGCCTGGTCACCACACTTGGCCTGGGCCTGCTTGATAGTCATGTCGTCGGGAACGGGGAAGCGAGGGTGGTCCTTCTCCTTCTTAAGACCATTGCTCACGTTCTCCGCGGGCATGGCAGCGGCAAGTCCAGCCAAGGCGAGGACAACGGTGGAGAGAGTGAACTGCATCTTGAAGGTAGGGTATAGAAAGATTAAAATCTTTATAAATATAAAAATGGAGTTGGGAGGTTTGGGAGATAGAAGATAGAGAGAGGCAGAGAAGTAGAGAGTTGATGTATAAAATGAACAGAGAGGACGACCTAGTGCTCGCCTTTTATTTCTAAGTCACAGTGTTTGGGCACAAGGTAAGCTCTCAGTATTCATGGCGAAGGCCAAAACAACCCTCTCATTTTTGCGGGTGGAATGTAAACACGCAAGGGTTTTAGTTCCGAGCTTGCTCCGGTGATCTCTACCTCCTAGCAATATCATTGGCCATTCCTTGATTCCGGAATTTTACAATCAATGAGATATTCCCCCTTGGCTCCTGGAGATGCATGGGTCCTGCATTCCGCCCTGTCAACGGTATCTGTCAAGGCTACCTACCCTACACCCTGGTTCGGTTCTGGGATGTCCAAATCTAGGCCTACATACTTTCTAACCCTGCGAGCCTCACATGGATTTCTAATTAAACGAGTATTGACCATACACATATGTTGTGAATCAGATATCCGGATTCAGGGTCCTTCTAGAAGTGATCAGGGTGTGGACAACCTACAGCCATCCCCGACGAATTCCCTACAATTTCCACAAATGCCCCTGTGCAAAATGTGTGACCAATTAATGCCTATGATGCAGCATATCACACGTCGATGGCGTTTTGAGGCGTTTGGGGACGCCCTTAATAGCAGGAATTGTCCGATACCATGCATCTTATTTTCATTACAATCATGATTGGAACAGCATGTCTTTGCGGCGCTCACCACCTCGTTGTCTCTTTGCATTCGTACGTACATTATACTGGAAATCCTGTTAAATTACTGTCCCTTATCCATACTTGGATCCACCGTCCACCTATCTCTCAATCCCAGGGAATTCGAGATCACCGGACCCACACCGATCCTGAGCACTTCAGATTTTCCACCCTGCCCCCAGGCATAGCATGCGATTTGACGGTGGGCAACCGCTGATCTACACTCTCCTTTCTCGATGCAAAATTTAAGCTTCACAGGGAGTGGACGTTAGTGTTCGTTGAAACTGCAATATATGGGCCTTCAGCATGTTCTCTTGGTTGGTTTGGTCTAGATCGAACGTTTTCAGGTCTCATAATTACAGGGCTATGAGGTTTCAGGTGAGATTCTAACGAAATTCTATTTGGTATTTGGAAGCCGAATTGTATGCTGTAATAGGGTTAGCTGTAGTGAGTAGCTTCCACTGTACCTTGTCTTAGCTGAACTACGGCTATTCCCCGTCCAAGAAGTCTATGATGTATGTATATTGTATGAAAATTATTGAACTGTTGCAATGTACAGATACATAAAAAGTAGACCAAATGATTAGAATTTGTGGTTCTTTTCTACCTGTCAGTTAGGTTTAGATCTAGAGCTTGGTAATTGTTTGAGCTGAATCTCGCACTCACGGACAGATAGCGCGCGGTTTTTGGGGTCTCTGTAAATATGAATTCGAAGACTGCAAATTTGATAAGACTCTCAATGGTCATAGAACCAAGGGGTGAATAGTTGAAACGTTTCCAATGTTGATAGTGTGCTATAATCTTGATGTAGATATATACCTCGAGCAAAATGCCGAAAACACAGATGTTATTCCACCCACATTCAGCTCTTTAAATAGCATATGCTTATTTCTATTCATATATTCTCAGCCATCCAGATCATTGAACGATCGAGGTTTAATGGAGCAGCAGTTCGCCCGCATCGGAGGGTTGTTCGTCCGCCACTAAACCACTTCCGGCCTAGCGTATTCCAATTGTGCTGGGCTTAGACTTCCCCGGGCTACTCTCCATCTAAGTAGGTATGTATACTATAACCTCACTTTGCTGTTAGGCTGAATCGGAGACGGATAGATATTCAAGGGTCAATATGAGTCCGCTGGAAGGATGGTACATACCGATCACCAGTATAAAGGATGATTGAATCCTCAGTGTTCTATCATCACCATAACAATCCACTTCGAGCTCTGTATACAAACAAACCTCAAGCTCCAATCTACAATCTGCAATTTACAATTTGAATTCTAAATCCTATACACCACCCAATCCTCCACATGACAACCATCGCCTTTTTCGGAGCAACCGGCGGCTGCGCCAACGCCTGCCTGACCTACACCCTTCTCAACGGCTACAACGCCAGAGCCCTAGCCCGTACCCCCTCAAAACTCACGACGCTACTCCTCTCACAGCCTGGCATAACACAGGAGATTCTCTCTCGCCAGCTCGAAATAATCGAAGGCGACGCAACAGATGTGGAAAGCATCACAAAAACCCTCATCACCAACTCCGACACCAATAGCGCAACCAGTGGCGCTTGTACTCTTGTAACAAACATAATCTCCGGCCTAGGCGGCGCCCCTACAATGTCCTTCACCAAGGAATCAAAATGCGCAAAGACTCAGATGCGCATGCCTGCGCTGCCGCATATTGAGCTCTCGAACCCACATATCACAGAACAGGCGACACGCGCGCTGCTGCAGGCGCTGGCAAAGATTGCTTCTGAGCGGTTTGCCTCGTTTGAGGCGTATCGTGCTGTTGCACCAAGAGTCACTGTGATCTCGACGACGGGGCATTTGCCTGGTAGTAAGGATGTGCCGTTCTGGTTCAGACCTATGTACTCCCTGCTCTTGCCGATCCCGCATGCGGATAAGCTGCAGATGGAGAGATTGCTCGATAAGGAGGTTGAGCTGGGGCATGCTGGGGTGCTTGCTGCTGGAGTCGTTGTTGTGAGGCCGAGCTTTTTGACGGGTGATCATCGGGTTCCTGTTCGTGAGGGAGAGGAAAGTGGCGAAGGGGTGGGACTGGAGAAAGTGAGGGTTGGGACGGAGAGGGCTCCTGCTATTGGGTATACGATTTCACGGGCTCAGGTTGGTGGGTGGATTTTTGAGGAGATTGTTAAAGGTGCTGGAGGGAAATGGGTTGGGGAGAAGGTTACTATCACTACTTGAGGTTCTGGCCTTCTCTTAATTTCATGAGGTTCATATATTTTTCGTTGTGCGAAACTGGTGGTTATATCATTTATATCTACGTTGAATACATGGTTGAAGAGTTTCACTTGTTTTGCATGAATTACTCAGATGATCAGTTGTATCAAAGATCAACCTTTTACACCCAAAGACACAAGCCACTGCATCGTATCAGCTAAAAGCAAAACGCCCACCGTAGGCCAGAGAGTAAAATCACCGAAAGCAAATGTCATCCCTATATGAGATCCAATGAAACTCCGAGCTAGCATGTATAAAACCAAAAACCAGAAAAAAGCATAATTAAAATGTGATGAGCTGTGCAGGTGGGGCAAAATTAAAGAAACGGTTTGATACAGCTGGACCAACGTTCCTAATGCCCATATCATGACGTTCGTAAGTGAGAACATGGAGATAGCTGTGATCAAGTGCCGCCATACGGCACTGGGCGGTCAATTTGAGCACTAGACCGCTCGATTTGGGCACTGGACCGCTCAATCTGAGCACTGCGGCGCTCCTCCTTGATCTTCTTCTTTTCAATCTTCTTCATGGCTTCTTCGGTCAGCTGTTGGCGGAAGAGCCGTTCAACAACATCCTTCTTTCGGGTTCGCCGATCACCAATCATGATCATCACACCACCCGTGATGTTACAGGTGATGGAGCAGCAAAGAATAACCGTCGTCAGAGCAAATGGGCGCTTATCGGGGTCCTCCATACTCCAGGTACAGGCACCAAGAGCCATTTGGAGTATAGAATGACAGTCGAGGATGACGACAATAGCGATGAGCAAACGTAGAGGGAAGGCGTGGTGGGTCATGGTTTCGTGCGGCTTGTAGAAAGTATGCGACTTTGCGAACTTATTCTGGTGATGCATTAATCGCAACTGTTGGCGAGCATCGAGAACAGAAAATTCGTGTTCTTCTTCCTTGACCGTATTGCCAAATTCAACGTCGACGTCCTTCTCTGGCTTCGACGGAAGATCATTCTTGTCCTTGAGGCCTGGCAGGGCTCGCTTCCGCCGAACCTTCCACGACAAGAATGTATAATGGGCAATGAAACTCATGTGATATGTATCGACAGCGCGGAAAGGAGCCAGTCCATCACCCATGACGGCGAACAGGGCAACCAAAACGTTATCTATGACATTGACAACATAACTTTGTCTTCCACCGACATTAATCCAACCTGGAGTGACTGTTAGCATACTAGCTGGAAATTATTAGGCCAAAAGATCTCACCAATCAAGAAAAGAACCCAGGCCAGACCGAACAGGGTGATCAAAGTTGCGTAGAGAGTTACAAGAAAGCCGAGGGCTAGGCAATATTAGTATTAAGCAAAAATGTCCAGGCGGGCAGTATCACTCACGCTTCCGTATGTATTGCCTAAATCCTTTCATGGACCGTTTGAACTTGGACCGCCGAGAATGAAGCATATGTCGAACATGATCATTGAGTTCGGCATAGTCTTCTCTAGACCATCCATCAAGCCCATGCCCTTCTGGGATAACGGCATACTTGGGACCACGTAACACCGAGGACATACTCGTGAATGTGCCGAGTTGTTCTAAAGTCGGCCGCTCTTTGGTCTTATCACCATCGGACGGTTCGCCCTCGTCTGTTGTAATTCCCTGTTCCTCATCCGAAGAATATTGTGGTCGTGTAATTGTATAGGTGGGCATGCGATTGATGAACCCACCCAAATTCGGTATGAAGAGAGAGTTTTGGACATTGGTGAGAGTGGAAAGGGCAGAGACCTCAGGGTCTAGATTCAGGTAAGTTAGAATTATGGTTTTTTGCATCACACTTGACACCAGTGCTTACCGATCACGTCCAGTACGTCGACCACGTGAGATCCATACTCATTCTGGCGTTGATCCTCCTGCGCGCTCAGAGTCGGTGCAGCTCCTGTCACTGTGGTTGCGCGGTTTCGAGTAAAGCGATTCAACGCAGCTTGACTAGTTCGCCGAAGCCGACCCGCCGGTCGCGCAAGTGCGGGAGGGACCTCGCCTAGCTCCAGATCAAGTTTTTCAGAGTCGGACTGAGTCTCTTGACCTGGCAATATTGCCGCTGGAGCGGGGCGTGTCGGACTTTGGGGTAAGGATTCCTCGGTCACAGGCATCATTCGCATGGGAGTCGCCACTCGCGAGAGGACATCAGGAGGGGGAGAGGACCATCGTCCCGGATTTGGCTCAGAGTTGCTGCGCCGTCGGCCTGCCTGCCATGCTTCATCCTCTTCATTGGGGGGAGGGGATCGGATGGGCTGCGGCTCGAAGGACGGTGGTGGTTGACTCCCTGGTTGAGACACCGGTTGATTGACGTTGTCTAGTGAAGGGATAGATGGAAAGCGAGACAGGCGAATACTCGGTCGTCGCGTCCTGGAGTCGCCTCGAGTGCGCAACGGGGCAGGCCCTGCTGGCCTGACGGGGCCAGACTCTGTGGGTTGGCCTGTGGGTTGGGTCCCCTGAGAGTTCCCATTAGGGGCGCTGGGGTCCTCGACCGGGTCGATACGATCCATATTGCTGGAGCGACAAATTCCGGAAGGTTGGGGACAAGATCACACACAATACAAGTAGCCCCCGAGACCAAAAGAAAAATATAAGTTAACCAAGGACTTGAAAGTCCCCCGTTTGAGTCCCTGCACGTTCTGGATCTCTGGGGTGTTTAAATCCAAGGCTGACTCAGCTCTCCCCGAATCTTGTTTTTCTTTTTTTCCTTCCACAGTGACGAGCCAGTGGAGTTCACAGTCCATCAATAACACGCTAAACTGTCGATCTTCATGAGTTGTTCTGCATTCCAAGCTTTCTATTTTGCTCTTTTTTTTCTGTTGGGTCTCTTTTCAAGGTTAAAAATCAGAGGTCCAACTATATAGTGATGTATCCACACAGTGGCAAGTCCTGACTAGCCAATAAACTATGTACCCAAATGGACTACGGCTGTAAGTACCAAGCTTTTATGTACACCTGATAATCAGGGTGTCGAGATGTCTTGGTTATGCGGCGATGGCAGTATCCGTGGACCATAATAGTAATAGGACGTCACCAGAAAATAACCGATGTAGATCTGTCGTACGTTGCACCATATCGTACAAGGTACTGTGTACCGTGTCTCCTTAACAGGCTTTGGTCCAGAAAAACCCCAGGTTAATTCATACCATGGTCATTCTAGGGTTATCGAATTATTTAATATATCACGCCACATCGTGGGAGATAAGGGGGCCCATGTTAGTCCAATCGTGAAGCTGTCAAAATATATATTCCTTAATACCAAATCGAATATGCAATATACCGAGGCAAGGATCTTTTAGTTGACTCTACAATGTACAAACAAGTGAATTTTTGTGCCATTAAACTAGACCGAAGCTACGCATAAAGCGGCCATAATGTTTTTGAAAGCAGTCCTACAGTGTCGCAAACCGGGTAGACCAGGGAATTAACTTGCAGAGATGAGCCCAAGGGCAACACATTTGGTTCTAAATCCGAGCTCACATTGAGGAGAGATTACTCGTAAGACGAATGTGATATTGTGCAAGGGAGCAAATATTGTCACTGTGTCACTTGTGCAGTCTGGACCAAGATTTTGAAAGTTGAATCCATGAATAATTCTGGTTAAATATCAAAGTTAGGACGGAGTAGACAATTGTATATCCATATCTACCATCTTCTACTTCGTACCACGAGAGATGAATTTAAAGGCGTGGAGAATATGAAGTGGAGATAAATGAGGAAGATCGGCCTTTGATTATTTATAGGACATGTCACACACGGGTACTGTGATGCACAGGTGCAGAGTCTGGATGGTATGCAGGTGTGCAGAGCAGAAGAGAAGAATAAAATAGAAGAATAGAGTGGAATGGTATACGGAGTAGAAAACAGAAAATAGAAAATAGGAAGAAGTTGGGAACAGATCACAATTGGTTCCAAAGGTCTCCAGAATGACATCAGGCCAGCTGTTCTGAGTCAGACTTTCAAAGTAAGGCGGGGCTGGGGAAAGGTGTTTTAGGGTCTGAGGGACGACCTCGGGAGGATTTGGGGTTGAGAGCCTAAAGTTAGGGGCTAGTTAAGGGCTGGTTGGGTGTTAATTGGGGGTGAGTCGGGGGGAGCCCCCAAGGAATCGAGGAAAAGTACCTCGATCGCACCTGCCTCGTCACTTCGAGCTCTCACTGGGCTAGTGCTACACCGCCTCTCCTTTCCCTTTCCATCTCCTTCTCCCATCCTCCTCCTCCCTCTCTTCAAGATCCAGTGCATCAAAAACTTCAATTCCATCTTCTCTTTTCAATTGGTATCTAGGGCACGAAGCTACCCTGCTCCTTCCCTCGCTCCACCTCCCGTCAAGTCTCTTTCAGCTTTAGGCAAATAAACAACCCGACACTTTTCATCCTTCAACATCTCAACCTTCAAGATGTCTGACGTCGACGCACTTGCTGACTCCGTGGCTGCGACCACTATGACCGATAAGACCGAAACCAACGGTGCTACCCCTTCCACCCAGGCTGCCGATGCCGCGGCTGCCAGTGCAGATGAGGGTCGTCGTCTTTACATCGGGAACCTCGCATATGCGACCACTGAGGAGGAGCTCAAGGAGTTCTTCAAGACCTACACCATGTGAGTATCTCCTGGGTTTATGGTTCATATCCAAATAACCCCACCTTCAACACACATTGGAAGCGTGTGAAACCATCATTTATTGGACCCTTTCTGACTCATTTCATCTCTCAGCGAGACCACCTCGATCCCGGTGAACCCCCGCACCAACCGCCCGGTTGGCTATGCATTTGTGGATATTGCTACTGCCGCTGAAGCTTCTGCCGCTATCGAGGCCCTCTCTGGCAAGGAGATTCTTCAGCGCAAGGTGTCTGTGCAGCTTGCCCGCAAACCCGAGCCTGCCGAGGCCAAGGAAGGTGCTGCCAGTGGCGGTGAGGGTGCCAGCGGTGCTGAGGGTCGCAAGCGTGCTGGTGGTCGCGGCCGTGGCCGTGGCCGTGCCCGCGGTCGTGGTGGCCGTACCGGCCGGAGCCGTGCTGTATGTGCCCAAACTCTTTCCTTGCTCGAATCCACGCACATCGACACTCTAAAATGGATGCTGACATAAAGAAAGGCCCAGGATGGCCAGGAAGCCACCGAGGCCCCTGTCAGCGAAACCCCCCTTGCTGACACCACAAACGAGAAGGATACTGCCTCCAAGGCCGGTGAGGCCCGCGCCGCACGCCCCCAGAAGCAGCGCGGTCCTCCCGAGGATGGCATTCCTTCTAAGACTAAGGTCATGGTTGCCAACCTGCCGTACGACTTGACTGAGGACAAGGTGGGTTACATCTATTTCTTCCGTCTTTTCTCCGCCTGGGGTTACATTGACTAACCATCCTTTTCTCCCTTTAGCTCAAGGAGATCTTCGCCGCCTACGAGCCCGTCTCTGCCAAGGTTGCCCTGCGTCCCATCCCCCGCTTCATGATCAAGAAGTTGCAGGCTCGCAACGAGCGCCGCAAGACCCGTGGCTTTGGCTTCGTCAACCTTGCCTCGGAGGAGCTCCAGGCCAAGGCTGTTAGCGAGATGAACGGCAAGGACATTGATGGCCGCGTCATCGCTGTGAAGGTTGCCATCGACAGCCCCGGTAAGGAAGACGATGATATTAACGCTGAGGCCGAGACGGAGGAGACTGCTGCTCCTGCTCCTGCCTCTGCTCCTGCTCCAGCTCAGGAGAACGATGCTCCTGCTGTCACCACTGAGGTTTAAATGCCCAACGCATTCCACTCGACCGAATGAGGTACTTGTTAATTGGCTTTGGGGTCGAGAAACAGAAGGGGAGGACTCAACGGAGGATCGTATCGATATGATCATAGTGCTCTGCAAACCACAGATCACCGTGAATATCCTAGCTACTCAACGATGACGGGGGAGATTGGGGAGAGCCTTGGAGGGGTTGGATTCATGACTTTTATCGGACAACATGGATCAGTTGACCATGCAGGAGAGCCATCTTAGCTGATGTGCTTTCCGTCCTTAACGACTTTCTTTTTTTTTTTTCTTCGCCTTCTGTATTGTACCTTAGCACACATTTACTAAATGATGACGATCTGCCACCTGGCATATTGGATTTAAGAGTAATCCCTCCATACGTACAATGGACATGCAGTCTATAGTGAGTGTGCCCGATTTGGTTAGGGATGACGCGAAGTGCAACCCTTGCCGATCAGAGGCAAAACATAGCACTCGTATTGTTTCACTTCTCTTTAATTGATTTTTATCCTATCATCGAGCCAATTGCATTACATTTGTGTCTTCAGTACCTTTCAATCTCCGCGCAACTCCATCGAAACGAGAAAAAGGGGTAAATCACTCAAAGTCGGTGCCGAGTCGGTCAACCTTACAACATCCTAGCGCACTCCGTTATTTGGATTGCGTTTCCTAAAGTCTCACCTGGTCGCCTTTTTATATTCACTAAATATGTCTCGCATGTGGGAGGTCGACCCGGAAACGAGGACAAAGGTGTGCTGCAAGGTCAAATCCCGCAACGCGCCATGGTCACTGACACAGACATGTGCCACAGCTCCTCCAAATCTCCAAGACGAACGGAAATGACAAGTGCTGCGATTGCGGTGCCCCATCGCCTCAATGGGTACGTGTTATTTCTCCCTCTCGCCCATCGCCCTGATAATGTCTTCGAGGAGCATTATCATCCTAAACAACTCACACTCACACCCCGCAAACCACACACCCTGCTAACTTTTTGCCTGCCATGGGCACATTAACTAGGCCTCCCCGAAGTTTGGAACATTTATCTGCCTCAATTGCGCCGGCACACATCGCGGGCTAGGCGTGCACATCTCCTTCGTCCGTTCGATCACCATGGACGCCTTCAAACACGCCGAGATCCAACGCATGGAGCTGGGAGGCAACGATCCCTGGAAGTCCTTCTACGACGACCACCCGGTTACTGTCTCAGAAGGCCGCACATTTGAAGACTCGACTATCAAGGAACGATATGAAAGTGAGTCGGGCGAGGAATGGAAGGAACGGTTATCGTGCCAAGTCGACGGCCGCGAGTACGTCCAGGGCCAGGAGAAGAAGAATAATCCCTCGCGGTCGAGCACGCCCTTGAGCTTGGGCGGTGCTGCTGGCGCTGGCGCGGGCGCTGTATCTGCCGCCCGGGCTGGGTCGCCTGCGGCGTCGTCCATTCGCTCCAGTGACAGCCAGCGGGGTGGTGTGTCCGGCAAGAAGGAGCAGAACGAGGCTTACTTTGCGAAGCTGGGCAATGATAATGCTAGTCGCGTCGATAGCCTGCCGCCCTCACAGGGTGGGAAGTTTACGGGCTTCGGGGGTGGTATGCCTGCGCCCTCTGCGAGTGATCGGCGCTCTTCGCCATTTGGAGGATTTGGAGGTTGGGGCGGCGGTGGCGGTGGTCAGCCGTTTGAAGATCTTCAGAAAGACCCGATGGGCACTCTCACTAAAGGATTTGGGTGGTTCACGTCGACGGTTGGCAAGAGCGCAAAACAGGTTAATGATGCTTATCTACAGCCAACGGCTAAACAGGTGTGTGCACGACCTCACTTGAGAATTTAATAATGTCTAGTTTCTTTGGGTGCAATTACTAACATAAATACCCAGCTGGCCGAATCCGACTTCGCAGCCCAGGCCCGCATCCATGCTTCAACACTCGGCCAGAACCTGCAAACAGGCGTCCGCGGTGCTGCCGACCAATTCAATAAGTTTGTTGAAGGAGAAGATGGACGTGGTGACGGACGCCGTAATCGCGTGGAGCCTGAGCGCCGAGACTTCTGGGACGACTTCTCGTCAATGGGCGACCAAGATACATCCAACCACCGCCGTAGCGCATCACAACGGTCTCAACGGTCTGACGTTGTTGGAACCGCTGCCATGCGCAAGGGCCCCACCGCTTCCTCGCTGGCTAACTCTACACCTGGTTTGTCTGCAGAATCCGGAGAGAGTAAGAACATAACGGCTTCGGCGACGGGCAAGGGCAAGGATGAATGGGATGAAAACTGGTAGCATATAAGCGCCTTATTTTGCTTCATGTTCTCTGATTGTTTGTGGGCCGCTCTTCTGGTGCCATGACTTTATGTCCTATGTTGTTTCTTTGTGTCTACTATGCCCTCTATCTGCTCTACACATATACCTCGTTAGAAGCTCCCTCTTTGGCAAAGGGAAGATCAGGTGCCTAGTTCATTTACTTCATATTAGCTTGGCCTGGCGTCAATTGGGGAGGCGGGAGAGAAAATGGCCGAAAAGTAGAACAATATTGGCACAGTGATGAGATGCTATGAGATGTGATATACAAGAAAATTCCTAGCTGAATCCGACGTTTAATGACTTGACGCCGAAGAGTTAGCAATCAAAATCCTCCTCTCAGCTCCGCGAGCACGGCCTTCTGCCTCTGACTAGACATTTTCTCAAACCGGTCAACACTCATGACAAAAGTGCCCCGACCAGCAGTCAAACTCCGCAAATGCTTGAGATACCCAACCATCTCCTTAAGCGGCACCTTTGCGATAATTGTCCGCGGCCGACTCGCAGCAACAGGAACCTCCGCGCCAATAGAAGGTGTCTCGAACGGGTCCGGCGGCGCATAAACACGGCTGTGATCAATGGGCGGCAGCGCCTCTTCTTCAAGTGCGGACGCAGAAGTCGGCGACGCGTCCGTGCCTGACAGTGGTACCTCCTCGTCGAGTGAGATAATATGTCCACCTCGGGAAGAGGAAATGTCGTGCACGACGGAGCCGAGACTCGCCTCATCAATGCTGATAATCACATTCATCACCGGCTCCATCATTACTGTCCCAGCGGCAAACTGCACATCCTTCAGCGCGGCGGCAGTGGCTTGGCGTGCGGCAGATGAGAGGGCCGAGGTGGTTGTTTCATTGCCGAAGAGGTCGGCAGCCGGGTCGATAGTTAGTGTGACGCGTGTATTATGAATTGGGAAGGTGAACTGAGGGCCGCGGGCGAGCGCCGCCACGGCTCCGTTTTGCAGCGCTGTGCGGAAAGCGACGAGGTCCATGCCTGGTGGGAGGAATGGGCTGGTTTCTTCTTCGCTACGGGAGGAGCGATCAACTTGTAGACCGGGGGCGCGGACGATGATCTGGTTGCCGTCGTAGGTTTCGACGAGGATCGTGGCTTCGTCCCGCTCTTGGGACTCGGTGTCTTCGTCCAGTGGCTCTGCGACTGCTGTGCAGCCTGCTTTACCCTTCCGCCCGGCGATCTCTTTGTCGAAGATCTTGGTTATTGGGCTGGAGGTGCCGAGTACGGATTCTCGGTAGCCGATCTCGATGCGGCCCATTGTGGCCTTGGCTTTGAGATCGTTGATTAGTCGATCACGGGCAATTTCGAGATGCAGCTCGCCCATGCCGCTTAGAAGCGTCTGGCCTGACTCTTCGTCTATATTAACGTGGAGACTGGGGTCTTCACGGAGGAGGAGTGCGAGTGATTCTTTCATGCGCTTCTCTTCGCCTAGGCTGTGCGGCTCAACGCTGGTGAAGAATACTGGTGGTGGAACATCAATTGGTCGGAGTTGGAGACTGGTAAGTGGCTCGGGGGGAGTGGCTTTGTTCCCTGCGTAGGACACGAGGGTATCGCCTGTCCGGGTTTGTTTGAGCCCGACTACGACTCCGATGTGCCCGGCAGGGATCGAGTCCACTTCCACGGCATCATTGGCGTACATTTTCAGCAGACGTGGGGCGCGCTCGGAGAGCTGCAGGTTTGTGTTGAAGAGAAGGCTGTTGCGATCCAATGAGCCGGAATATACCCGTACGTAGACTAGGACTCCACGCTTTGCGTCGTTGACCACTTTGAATGCCAGCGCACAGCTTTGAAGCTTGCTAATCGCATCTTTTGAGCTGGTCTGCAAGTCCAAGTTCTTTCTCTTTGGTTGCTTCCCTTTAGATGGCGCAGACGCCTTCTCGCTCTGCCCCACAATTAAGTCGCCTGACAGCAGGTCCCGAAGACCTCCTTTGACACCGCCAATGCTCACCTCTGGGTCGGGAGCTTCGGGTGGACTGGGGAGAAGATTCACGATAGAATCCATCAACGGCTGAACTCCCATGTTCCGGAAACTGGCACCTGCAAATAGAGGGACAATCCGACTCGTCTGATCCAACACACATCGGCGCAAGCTCTCAATGATATCAGCTGACGAGACCATGAGATGATCTTCTTCACATTCAAAGAATTTCTCAACAATGTCTTCGTCATGCTCACTAAGCAGCTCGATCAAGGCAATTCGTGCCCGCCGCAGCTCTGCGGCCAGGGCCGGCTCCTCTGCCTCTAATTGCTGAAGGTCGGCCACTTTCACAGCGCGGCCATCCTCACCTTCCTTCCATCGTAGTCCTTGGAGATGGATTGCATCTGCTACCCCGATAAATGGGCCGTTGCCTCCTTGGAACCACGGTATCTGGCAGACTGCTGGATAGACGCCCAGGCGAGAGCTGACTTCTCGCACCGTTCTGCCGAATGCGGCTCCGTCACGATCTAGTTTATTCACATAAATGACTCGAGGAATGCGATATGTGCTTGCCTGGTTCCAAACCTTCTCTGTCTGCGCTTCGACACCAGCAACACCGTCCAATATGCAGACGGCGCCGTCGAGAATGCGCAGAGACCGCATGACTTCGAATGTAAAGTCTGCGTGGCCAGGGGTATCAATCAAATTGATAGTATGCGGGTAAGCAGACCGCGGAGTTGGCTCATTCTGTGCCCCAGCCTGGGGGCCTGACGCTCCATTTACCTCTCCAGGAGGCCAATGGAAGGTAATGGCGGCCGACTGGATAGTGATACCGCGTGCGCGCTCAGCGGGAAGGAAATCAGTCACTGTTGAGCCTTCGTCCACATCACCAATGCGCCGTGTGAAGCCACTGTAGAATAACATGCGCTCCGTAGTGGTAGTCTTGCCTGCATCGATGTGGGCGATAATGCCGATGTTCCGGGTCCGGTCCAGAGCTTCATCCTGGCATGCAGATGCTGTGGAAAAGCGTTGGAGCTGTCTGTAATTGGACCGAAGACCTTTGAGGGAGGAACATGTATGTTTGCATGTAATATTGCTCGGCGTCTTATATAGATTAGAGCCCATACAGCGCACCCCGGGGGGAAAGCGCAACAACGGAGTCACGACCATTCCAAGGGGAAGCGCTCATGTAATATGGGACAAAAGGATGAGAAATTATGTTGAAATTAGCATTGGGCTGTATGTTATTGTTATTGATACAGTGGAAGAGCAAGCTCCAGAGCAAAGAAAATCGGACCGCAAAGCGGACTGGGGATCGCGAGGCTTGGCGCACGCATTCCTCCATCCGTAACTGACTCCGACACCTACCTCTTTTCAACTATTCAGATCCTTTTGCTCATATCCTTGCTGTTTTTTGCTCTCTTTGTTATGTCAATTTAACGAATCTTAGCTATTCTCTCCGTTTCAAGCTGGACGAGGTACGTCTTTGAGTGCCTTGAAGCTAGCTGGCCGTTGCTGTGGGGGTCTGATCTTCCGCCGTTTAATACTGACGCCTACCATGACCAGCCACTCCCCCTTTGTCAGCGAATATACTCCTTACATTGACCTTCAACCAAGATGGACTACTCTACCATCTCTACCGACCCAGATCTTCCCACTGGTACCTCACCCTGGGGCTCACCGCGTGTTGAGCGAGGCACCTTCCCCACTTCCAACAATGACATCCCGTCGTCCCCTTTACCCGGCCAGGAGCAATCGGCGGACGTTGGCAGGGTCCGCAATGGAGAACCCCAATCTCCAGACCTCTCTGCGCAGCTGCAGAGCGCACAATTAGGAGACCCGGACTACCCCGAGGAGCATCCCCCATTCGGTGTGCACCAGTCTCCAAACGTCCAGCAACAGCAATCTCCTACCCCCGCACAATATCAGACCGGAGCACGACAAGACTCACGGCCCCCAGCCCCCGCCTATAGGATCCAAGGAAAAATCACTGGTCTGGAGAGGACAGGGAAGAAAGACCCAATCCTACGTTTCGACGTCCACGTAGGTCTGCCCCTTCGAGTATTTTACGCCTATGCCGTGGCTAATTCCTGCTTTGCTTTGAAACCAGACCAATATCCCCAAGTTCCGCACGACTCAGTACCGCGATGTGCGTCGGACCCATTCCGAATTTGTCAAGCTCGCAGACCACCTAGTCTCCGCCAACCCGGAAGCTCTGGTCCCTGCCGTGCCATCGCCAGTGACGCCGGCCGGTGCAGGTACCGAGGAGGATGAGATTCGCATCAAATCGGCCATGCAGAGATGGCTCAATGTTGTGCTAAACAATGAGGTTCTCATCCAAGACGACGAGGTTGTGCTGTTCGTGGAGAGCGACTTTGGCTATAGCCCCGTGCTGCGTATGAAGCAGCCGGCAACAGGCGTGCGACGAAAGATGTTGAAGCAGTTCGCGCCGCCTCCAGATGACACACCTGAGTTGCAAGCTGCTCGTCCAACTGCGAAGATGTTCTACTTGGGTTCAATGGATTCGAGCCACAAGGTCGACCGAGTTGTCAAGGCCCGTCGTGGTACGTTATTGGAGTTTCAAGCCATTTCCGTGGCATATTGTTCTGATTGAATCTGACCGTTTTAGGACTTGGATTGGCGGAAGCCGATTTCGGCGTGAAGATCGGTCAGATGAGCGTACAGGAGACTCATCCCGGCTTGGGCGCCGCTTACCGTAAACTTGGCAAGATTGTTCAAACAGTTGGCGACTACCACGCTGTTCAGGCCACCGCCGAGGCTACCACGCTCGGCGAGCCGTTGAGTTACCACTCTTCAGATGCCTTCATCGTGAAGGAAACCCTGACCAACCGCCATATTCTCCTCCGTGATCTACTCCAGGCCCAACAAAGTGCACGGAGCAAACGTGCCGCGGCAGACCGCTTGAAGGTTAGCTCATCGGTGCGTCCAGATAAGGTAGATGAAGCGATCAACGCTCTTGAGGAGGCTCAGAACCATGAAGATTACTTGACCAAGCGGACCCAGCGTGTCACGTCGAACCTTCTCCAGGAGAAGCGCCGCTGGTTTGACCGGACCACCCAGGATCTTCTATTTAGTCTGCGTGAGTATACTCTCCGCCAGATCGAAGCCGAGCGTCGTACTCTGGCCACCTTGGAGAGTGTTCGACCCGACATCCGTGCCATTGACGCTTCTGGTGGTCTGAGCCGACTGGGTCGCGAATCCCACCCGGCGACGCGCCGACCAAACATGGCTTCAAGCCAGGGTCCCAAGGGTGACTCATGGAGCGGTGTTCCTCGCCGCAATGATAATGTTGGACGCAGCATGAGTGGCAGCTTTACTGCCCCCTCGCTCCCTGATGACGACGATGAGGCGAATGGCCAGGGCTCTAGTAAAGGGCGCAACCGAGCTTCTAGTCAGGTTGGGTCGATCGCAGAGGAAGACGATGACCGTCTTGATGCACGCAATGCAGCCAGCCGACTGGCCACCAGCACGTTCTGATCGGATTTTAGTACGCAACCAGTCTGTACATGTAGCCCCGGCACGAATTTGTGATTCCCCTTTGTGCCCATTATAACCTTGGAACCTTTTCGTGTCCTTCTTTATGTTATCTAAGCCTATGAACAATCAGTATCTCTTTTTCTGACCAATTCAATGGTTTCAAATTGATCATAGTTGCAAATTGTTTTATATGAACTTCCAAAATGCCATAGTGAACGCCCATTCCCCGCACCAACATGATGCCCCTCAAATGTTACCATGTCACAATAATGCTTTCCTCCACTTGTCCCATCTCTTTGCCCCATCCCCCTTGGATAATTCAAACCAAGACGCCTTCTCACTAAGAAAGATATGGTGGCTTGGCAGCGGGATCTGTGTATTCCCCTCATCAAGTGTCCCCGCAGCGATTGCGATGCCCTTCGGATCATGATGCTGGAGCATACCGAGAGTCGAACCGCATTGAGGACAGAAGGTACGTATAGCACCGTTGGTTACCTGGCGTTCTGTGGGATTGACATGCCATCGGATATCGTCAGTTGCAAAGAATGCCCAGGTTTGATAGGGTGCGCCGGCTTGTTTGCGGCAGGTTGTGCAGTGACAATTGACCAAGCAGGTTGGAGGAGTAGAGGCCGTGTATCTGATATAATGACAAGCGCAGCTGCCGGATGCCATTGTCAATATTATTTGGATTGTACGGCAGGTTGGAAATTGTGTGATTGGAAATGTGAAGAAACCGCTGTGACATCATGTGGGGTAGCTCTATGTCTATATATCTAGGAATACAAGATGGACGTGTCACTTCATCATTAGCTAGACTGATCTAGAATCTGTACAACGCAGGTTGGAAATAGTCCCCTCATCATCCCCCCACTTGGAGCTCGCGCCGAAGTTCTTGTTGATTTCAAAGCATTTCAACTCCCCGAAATCTGATTTTACTTGCGTTGTTTCACCTTTCGGTTTGCGCAATATTATTCCCCTTCCTCATTGTTCCAACATGACTCCCAAGGTTTTCCTGTAAGTCATTCCGGTGTAAACCGAACATTCGATCTGATAGATTTTGTCAGGACTGGCGTAACCGGCTACATCGGCGGTGACGGTCTGTTTGCCATTGCTAGCGCCCATCCCGACTGGCAATTCTCAGCCCTAGTCCGTAGCGAGGAAAAGGCTACCCAGGTCACTAGCAGATATCCGCATATTCGGACTGTGATCGGTGATCTAGACTCGTCCAAGTTGATCGAAGAGGAAGTCAAGAACGCAGACATTGTCTTTCGTACGTGTATTCAGGATCATGTATCAGGATGTCACGTCACTAACAACATATACACAGACTTCGCTGATTGCGATCATGTTGCTGCAGCCAAGGCCATTGCCAAGGGTGCTCAGTACCATAACCCCGAGCGTCCATTGTGGCTGATTCATACCTCCGGCACTGGTATCTTGACAGTCGAGGATCAGCGTGCTGGCACATATGGCATTGAGCGACCTAAGGAGTACAACGACTGGGAGGGTGTCAGTGAGTTAATCAACCTTCCACCAGATGCCTTCCACCGTAACGTGGATGAGATCATCATCGGAGCTGGTCAGCAGAACCCAGCCAGTGTGAAGGTCGCAGTCGTATGTCCACCTACCATCTACGGTCCTGGCCGTGGTTCTGGTAACACGAAGAGTATCCAAGCCTACTTGCTTAGCGCCGCTGTGCTGAAGCGCAAGAAGGGCTTCCTGGTTGGAAAAGGTGAGAACGTCTGGCACCAGGTCCACGTCCAGGATCTGAGCAATGTTTACTTGGCTCTGGGCGAGGCAGCCTCAGTGGGAGGTGGCAAGGCTACTTGGAATAATGAAGGCTACTACCTCGCTGAGAATGGATCCTTTGTATGGGGTGATATCCAGCGCGCAGTTGCGCAGTCTGCTTTTGATAAGAAGCTTATTGCTTCTCCTAATGTTGAGTCGATCGATGGCACTCAGACGACCGAGCTGCTTTCTGTTGGAACATATGCCTGGGGCTCTAACTCCCGCGGCAACTCAATCCGTGCGCGCAAGCTATTTGGTTGGGCGCCCCAGAAGCCTAAGCTGATTGATCTCATTCCTGAAATTGTTGAGGGTGAGGCTAAGGCTCTTGGCTTGCTGTGAAACTCAGGTCTTCCGTTGAGTCGTGAAAACTCTATATGAAATGAACTTATTAAAGAGCACATTATTTGGGACATTTAGATCGAAGGGTAGGTAGGCTATATTGTACATATGTAGTCAAGTATTGTTTTGGTGTGTTCTTATTCGTGAATGCGTACATATATGAATGGATGTTTGTAGAACTGTTAGATACTATTGATTACCATTTGAATTCTTCAATAATGACCTGGCTCCTCAATCAATAGCGGGAACAATAGAAATTAGAATTGATTGAGCCAGTAAGTGAACTTGAATAGAGGAATAAGTGAACATCCATGGATATCATCGACACCTCAGGCACCGTTTAACATATTGGGTCCATCCAAGCTTTGACCATCAGCATCTTCTATCTTCACCTTACACGCCTTCGGCTTCTCCACCACCTATTTTCAACGAACAATCCGTGCTGGTACGTTTGATATGCGCGTTATTTGACTTCCTTCTTTACTCCCCTTTATTTGCCGCAAGCGCTGACGTTCGTTCTTCTGGGCTCCTACAGAAACGACTGCATGAGTTGCAACCTTTCAGCGTCTCGTTCCACCGTCGTAACACCTCGCGTCTAACCCGGCTAGCTATCATGGCGCCTGGGTACGGGCATGGTGGCAAGCGGAAACGCATTGATCGCTCATGGTCCGGCGAGTCAGGGAGCAATGACCTGCGACCTTCACCCCATCGCCCTGGGACTCTCAACATGGCCCATCACCCTACCAATCCCGGACACCAATCCCCCACTCCCCGAGAGCAAAACGACACGCGTGACAGATCTCGCCGACAATCGCATCGCAGCCGGGCTGGTTCCCGCCGCGGATCCCACGATGGTCAGAATTTTTCGAATTCGCAGCATAGAGAACCGAACGCTATGTCTCCTCCCGCAATAAATCAGGCCAGGGAACCTGCCGAACACGTGCCGTATAATGGCGACTCAGCCACGTCAAGGCCTACCCCTTCTCCCGCGCCGAATACTCCTGCTTCACAGCCGCAACCTAACCCGCCGTCTCGAGCTGGCTCAGAAACTATCACACGCCAACCCTCTCTCCCACCCCCACCTTATGACTACGAATATGTGACCGACAATGCTGTTCAGGAATGGACTTCAGCGGGCAAGCAAAATGTAGTCGAAGAAGGGACTGCGGCTCGTCTGCAACAGGATCTGGCTCATCTTGCTTCTGTCTATCAGGAGCTTATTCGCTCCGCGATGTACGGTCGACTGTCACCATCGAATGCGGGAATTGCTGTCAAAGAGATCATTGGTGAAAAATCTGTGTCCCAGGATGTGGATATGGAGGGCGATAGTGGAAAGCCTTCGATGCAAGGAATCGATCCGCGCTCCTTGTTCCTCGATACGCTTTCCATCGTGACTGACGCTGATACCTCGAACGCGGCTCTTAAACCACTTGTATTCGCGACAGGTATTGATCCTTCTTTGATGCGCCTTCAGCTTGAAACCCCGTTGTTACAGGCCCTGGGTTTGGTTCGCGAAACCTTTGCGCGAATGGGAATCCGCAAGCAGACCAATCTGCTCTACCGACAGTCCAATTACAATCTTCTCCGGGAAGAATCCGAGGGATACTCGAAACTTATCACCGAGCTATTCACCACAAGCAACAATGAGCCGCCGTCGAGTGAAGTGGTCGAGGATACATTTGAAAGAGTCAAGGCTATGATTGGCGCATTTGACATGGATGTCGGCCGTGTGCTAGATGTCACGCTGGATGTGTTTGCTGCAGTTCTTGTCAAGCAATACCGTTTCTTCGTGAAGCTTCTGCGAGTCAGCTCTTGGTGGCCGAAGGAAGACACCTTTCACAGCCTAGAACAAAACCGTCGCCACGCCGGTATTCCGAATTGGGCACTTCCTGGATCAACTGGGTGGATCACAACCGACGAGGAGCGTTCCACTACTATGCGCGCGAATGAGGAGCGCGATAGCGAATTCTGGGATCGAGTGAGGGAAATCGGACTTCAGGCCTTCTTCGAGATTGGCCGCAAACCGATCTCGGAGGAGGAAAGGCAACGAAGTCTTTCAGAAACTAATGCTTCATCATTTGAAGAAGATGCTACACGATCATGGCTTGAAGAGACTGGCACTCTACCCCCAAAGGGCAACCGGGTTGCAGCACAGCTGCTTGGTTTCAAGTTGCGATTCTATTCTTCTTCAGCTCGAACCAAAGCCGACGTTCTCCCTGATAACCTCATTTATCTTGCCGCCCTTCTCATCAAAGTTGGCTTTATCTCCCTGCGTGACCTTTATGCTCACCTCTGGCGATCTGACGAGACCATGGAGATTCTGAAGACCGAAAAGATGGCAGAGAAAGCTGACAGAGTGAAGGCTGGCCGACCAGGTGGCGGAATCAACGCTTTGATGATGGCCGGTGCTTTGTCGGACGACACAATTCCCCCTTCCCGCTTGCGCGATGAGCCGCGAGTGGCGACCCCTGGCAAAGACCAAGAATCCGACAAGGGCACATCTAAAACGGAAAATGAGTTGCCGGACCCATCAGACCAGAAAGTGCTGCTCCTCAAGAGTCTCCTCGCCATTGGCGCCATCCCTGAATCCCTATTCGTCATTAGCAAGTTCCCCTGGTTGATGGAGGTTTACCCTGAGCTGCCCGAGTTCATCCACCGCATACTCCATCACTCTTTGAATAAGGTTTATGTCCAGTTCCGACCATTGTCATCTACCGGTGACTTCCCGGGAGCTCAATACATGGTGACCTCGGATCAGAACAATGCGAAGGGCCAGATTGGACTTACGCCCCCACCAGCGAGACGAGTTCTGCGATGGGCTCAACTGGATAAAGAAGACACTAACGATGGCACCGACTATCGATTCTACTGGGATGACTGGGCCGATAACATCCCCATTTGTCAGTCTGTCGACGATGTTTTTGCTCTTTGCTCATCTTTCCTCAACCTTTCTGGTCACAAGATTGGACAAGATGCGAGCCTCTTGGCGAAGCTTGTACGCATTGGAAAGGGAAGCTTGCTCCAAGACGGATCCGAAGAGAACAGAACACGTTGGCGCGATCTTTGCAAGCGTCTTCTCCTACCCGCTGTCAGTCTAACAAAGGCAAATCCTGGTGTTGTCAATGAAGTTTTTGATCTCATCAGCTTCTTCCCCAGAGAGGTGCGATACAATATGTACGCAGAGTGGTACTCAGGACAGACGTCCCGGCTGCCAGACATTAAGGAGGCCTTCGACCAGGCGAGGGCGGAGACCAAGGACACCCTCAAGCGACTCAGCAAGACAAATATCCGACCCATGGCCCGCGCATTGGCTAAGATTGCTTACGCCAATCCCGGAATTGTCATTAATGTCGCCATGAGTCAGATTGAGTCGTATGAAAACCTCATCGAAGTTGTGGTTGAATGCGCACGCTATTTTACTTACCTTGGCTATGACATCCTATCTTGGTCTCTCATCAATTCGCTTGGCCAGAAAGGACGAAGTCGAGTCCAAGAAGGTGGACTATTGACTAGTCGATGGTTGAACGCCCTCTCCACATTCGCCGGTCGAACTTACAAACGGTACTCGGTGATGGACCCTACTCCAGTCCTCCAGTATGTGGTGGAGCAACTGCGGCACAACAACTCGACCGATCTCATTGTGCTAGAGCAACTGATCAGCTCAATGGCTGGCATCATTTCAGACAACGACTTCAATGACGCTCAAATTCAGGCCATGGCCGGTGGTGATGTTCTCCAATCACAGACCATCTTGCAACTGCTGGATAAACGTCATGAGTCCAAGACCACCTCCAAACGGTTGGTCAAGTCTTTGACCCACACCAGACTCGCCGGTCAGCTGTTGGTTGCCATTGCCCAAGAACGACTGACTTGTGTGTACAATGAAACTTCCTCGGAGCTCAAATTGCTCGGCAATATTTTTGACGAGATCCACCGAATTCTCACCCAGTACCTTGACTTACTTCGCAGCAATCTCTCGGTTGATGATTTCGATTCTTTTGTTCCAGACTTTTCATCCCTCGTCACGGAATTTGGAATTCAGCCCGAAATCGCCTTCTGGATTCGGCGGCCCAGCATCGCTCGGAAAATCACCGACATTGAAGAGTCAAAACAAGAGAAAGAACGTTTAGCGTCTGCATCGAAGCCAAACGGCGACAACAAGATGGATACTGCCGAGGACGAAGCAACACCTACGAAGTCCGAGGAGACTTCAGCAGACAGTGCCATGGATGTGGATAAGGACGAAACTATAGTTACGATTCCGACCGAAGGACCCGATGCTATCCTTGTTTCTGCGGTCAATGCCGAGCCATTGGCAGCCAACCCCGTCATGCAAGATTTGATCGACGATGTCAAGTCTGCTCTTCCTGCCGAGACATGGGGGACCATCGGCGCACATTTCTATGCAACATTCTGGCAGCTTGCCCTTTATGATGTTCATATCCCGCAGAAATCCTACGAGGATGAAATTGACAGACTCAAGCGGCGAGTCGTCTCTATCAACAGTGACAGATCTGATCTTAGCGTGGCGGGCACGACACGAAAGGAGCACCTGAAGCGCCAGATTACTCAGCTACAGGAGCGCATTCTGGATGAGAATAAGAATCATCTGAAGGCATATGGGCAGACACGCTCTCGGTTGCAGAAAGAGAAAGACAAGTGGTTCGCCGGAATGCGTCTCAAGCATGACTCTCTCAACGTTGCCCTGTTGGAGCAATGCTTCATTCCTAGGCTACTCTTGTCCCCTCTTGATGCATTTTTCTCCTTCAAGATGTTGAAGTTCCTGCACAGCTCTGGGACACCCAATTTCCGGACCGTTGGTCTCCTCGACCAGCTTTTCCGCGAGCAGAGGCTCACTGCTCTCATCTTCTTGTGCACATCCAAAGAAGCAGACAATCTTGGTCGTTTCTTGAATGAGCTCTTGCGTGATCTTACTAGATGGCATGCCGACAAGGCAGTTTACGAGAAAGAGGCATTCGGTGCCAAGAGAGACCTTCCTGGCTTCGCGAAAAATGTTGATCCAGAAGGTGTGCCAGTGATGTTTTTGGAATTCGAAGACTTCCGGCGTCTGTTGTACAAATGGCACCGCTTGTTTTCCAATGCGCTGAAGAGCTGTCTCAGCAGTGGTGAATACATGCATATTCGAAACGCAATCAGTGTGCTCAAGGCTGTTGTAAAGCATTTCCCTGCTGTGAACTGGATTGGTCGCGATATCTTGAACTGCGTTGACCACCTAAGCAAAAACGACGAGCGAGACGATGTGAAGATTCCTGCCGCGTCTTTGATCGGTGACCTCAACCGGCGCGAGAAGAAGTGGATGCTGCCACAAGCTTTCTATTTCGTGGCAGCTCAGCCTGGTTCTCAGGCATCTGCCGACGCAGCTGGAAAGCCCGGGACCCCGCAGTCTGCTACAACACCCCTGAATGCCTCAGCCCTAGAGTTCAACCCCACTGGATCCTCAATGTAAGTGACAGCCCTGACCATCTCGACATACTCACAATGACTAACCTTTCCATCATCAGCTCTGATGGTATTGCCAAGCAGGAACAGTCTGGCAAGACTGAAGTCGAGGATGGTGAAATCGAGGATGCGAAAATGACTGATGTCGGTACAGGGAAGGGTGGTGAAGCCAAGCGGACCAGATCACCCTCTCGGGCCGGATCTACCACGCCTTCCGTGGTCACTGGGGATACCGGCCAAGACGCTACATCCGGTGAACAACCCCCTGTGCGATCTCGACCAAGTTCTCGTGCCCCCACTTCGTCCCGTCAGCCTGATATTCCCAAAAGACCTGATATTCGCCAACAAGTGCATCCTCCCGTTCGTCCCCCGCCACGACACAGCGATGGAAGACTGCCTCCCCGCCCTGAGGGATTGGATGATCGACGAGAGAGACATCCCGACTTTGGACCTCGCGGCCGTCATGGTGGTCCTGATCATGCCCGCTCCTTTGATGGTTCTCTAGGCGATGTTCGAGGACGTCTCAATGAGCATCTCAACGAACGTGAACGCGACTTCCCCATGAGACCTCCAGCTGATGATCTCATGCGTGGACCACCTCGCGATTCTCGTTCTACTCGCGAGAATGGTTGGCCTATGGATAGGCCTGGCCGCATGCGTGGACCCGGACCCAATGATTCGTTCCATGGACGCGATCCCTCTGTGCGGGGAGAGTTGATGCCTGACCACATGGACCGCCCAGTCGATATTCCTCGACGTGGAGATGCGTCCAGACCAGAGAAGGATGATCGGAGGCCCTATCCCCCACGCCCTCTATCGCCGCCCAGACCTGCTGACCTGCCGAACCGCCCCGAACGATTCCCTCCCCCCGATGACCGCAGACCTGCCGGATTCCCTCCGTCCTCCCGCATTGATGATCTCCCCAGAGGCCCTCGCACGGATCGACAAGCTGATCCGAGGGACACTGCACCAGGTCTTGATATGACTCATGGTCGGCTTCGGCAGCCGGAACCTCCATCTGAGATTCCTGCTGGCCCCCGAAGACGCGGTGGACGTAATATTCCTGGACAGGCACCTCCAATTCTCAGCTCAAGCAATGCTACATTACCCGTTCCAGAACGCCAGGCACCTACAGGCCCTGCCCGACAAAGTGGGCGTGGGGCACCCGAGCAACCCGTTGTTCCAACACAACCCGCGGGCTCGAGTAGTGCCCCAGGGATTCACCCAGATCGCCTCAGGAATCTTGTCAATGAACCTGCAGCCCCGGCTGCTGCTCCCTCGGGTCCTCGCGGATTAGGCCCACAACAACCACCGCGAGGACCCTCTGCGCAGTCTGGGCAGTCTGGACAGCCTGGACAAGGCTTCGGCGGGGAGCGTGGCCGTGGCGATAAACGTTTCGCTGGCCTAAATAATATGCTCCAGCAGTCTGGTGGCGGCGGCGGTGACCGGGGTGGGAACACTCCGCCTGTTCGCGGAAGAGGCGCCAATCGCCCATCAAGCACCATGGAGGCACCATCGCCCACGCCTGCAAACCGACCACCTATGGGCCCTGCAGGACCCCAAGAAGATCTATCCCGCAACCGGCCCAACGGTGGCCGAGGTGGCGACCTGATTGATGATGTCGTCCCTGAGGCGGGTCGCTCTGGACCAACTGGCAATCGCAGCCGTGAAACGGAACCCACTCGCGAAAAAGAGCCCGAGCGCCGTGATGGCAGCAGCAATGGTCGCAATCGACGTGATGGCCGTCGAAATGACCGCGAACGCAGCCGTCGAAGCGATGTAGGAGGTGGTGGAAGCCGTGACGAAAAGGGCACTGGCGAGCCTCGTGAGACCCTGCGTCGGGTTCAGAGCTCACGCGAAGAGCTGCGACGTCGAGACCGACGTGACCGCCCCGATGGACCGTCGGAAATGACTGGACCAACACCTAGTAGCAGTGAGACCCATGAGGCTGAAGGCCGTTTGCGACCCCCGTCCTCGATGGAGGCACCGCCACCACCGCCTCCTCCCCCACCTCCCCCCATGCCGGAAGGAAACGAGCGTCGTTTCCATTCTGGCGACCGGGGTGGCCGGTCCGACAATCGGGATCGCGAGCGCGAGCGCCGTGGCGACCGACGTGACCGGGATCACCAGCGCGAGGGTGGCAACGGCTCTGGAGGCTCTGGGCACCGTAAGCGTGGTCGACAGGGTCCTGACGATAGCACTGACGGTGGACGCGGCATGAGGATGGGAAATGATAACAAGCGTCCTCGTCGAGGAGCGTGATTTCCACCATTCACCATGATACCCTATTGAAAGGAATGATGGAACTTTGCTTTTTTGTTTCTCCTTTTTGATGTTTTCTTTGTTACGAACCTCAAGTTCCCCCCTACACTGGACTGTCTACTGTTTCCTATCTTGTCTTTGCATTTTGCCCGGTGTTTGGGGACAGACCACTTCACTTCTTCACATGTACTTTTTTTCTTCTTCTTCTAAATGAACGTAACAGAAATGCAATATTCAAGGATCTTCCATAATTACTAATTGCTTCCTTTCTACGTACTCGGTACTCCGTGTGTACTTTGTACTCTCCAGGCCCAGCGGTCCGACATCCGACATCTCTGCCCCGCCCTACCCTGCCGGGTAAACTTCGGTCTCGCAACTACCTCCGTGGCCCTTTGAGAGAGTAAGTGGATTATCAGTTGAATATCGTGGAATATCATTTGTTTAACCAACCCAGCATCTTCATATAGTCATCGTCATTGGACACTACTCCACAGCTTCCCCGCCTACACGGGTTGGTTTCACAATCTGACGCTTCTTCATACATTGGAAGACCTAACTCTCCAGCTTGGGGTATAAAAGGTTGATTCTATTCTTTTTCTTCTTTTCAGATACTGATTGTATTACTTCTCTCTTTTTGTGAGATCAACAACCTCAAGCTCATCATTGAACAGCTTCACTCTTGTCTTGGAGCAACTGAACAAGAGCAAGAGCAATTAATATACTCCCAAAAAGAGAAAAGAGAACTACATTATATCATGGCTCGAATTGACGTCGAGAAAGTCATCGAGGAGCTCACCCTCGGCGAGAAGGTGGCCCTCACAGCTGGTAAATCCGATTTCCATTGTCAAAGATATAATCCCAAGATTAACCTCACCCCACTAGGTCGTGACTTCTGGCACACAGAAGCGGTTCCACGCCTAAACATCCCTGCGCTGCGCACGTCTGACGGCCCAAATGGCGTCCGTGGCACTCGCTTCTTCAACGGTATCCCAGCAGCATGCTTCCCCTGCGCAACAGCGCTCGGCGCAACCTGGGATACCGAGCTGCTATCGGAGGTCGGTGCATTGATGGGTGATGAAGCGATCGCAAAAGGCACACACATCGTGCTAGGCCCAACGATCAACACTCAGCGATCGCCGCTAGGCGGGCGCGGCTTCGAGTCCTTCTCGGAGGATGGTGTCCTCTCCGGCACGCTGGCCGGCTACTTCTGCAAGGCAATGCAGGAGAAGGGTGTTGCTGCTACGCTTAAGCACTTCGTCTGTAACGATCAGGAGCATGAGCGGTTGGCTGTTAGCAGTATTCTTACTAACCGAGCGCTGCGTGAGATTTACCTGATGCCGTTCCAGTTGGCGATGCGGATTTGTCGCTCGCAGTGTGTTATGACCGCTTATAATAAGGTTAATGGGACTCATGTTAGCGAGAACAAGGCTATTATTGATGATATCCTGCGCAAGGAGTGGGGGTGGGAGGGTCTTATTATGAGTGACTGGTGAGTATCGGTGATGGTTTCGTTCTGTTAATTCTTTTGTTTATTCGGAGGCTCACGTTTGATTTTCATTTATAGGTTTGGTACCTACAGTACCTCTGATGCCATCATCGCCGGTCTAGATATCGAGATGCCCGGTAAGACCCGCTGGCGTGGTGAGGCTCTTGCGCACGCCGTCTCGTCAAACAAGGTGGCCCAATACCAGCTCGATGAACGAGTGCGCAATATCCTCAACCTAGTGAACTGGGTTGAACCCCTGGGTATTCCCGAAGGAGCACCCGAGAAGGCTCTCAACCGGCCAGAAGACCAGGCTCTGATGCGCCGTGCTGCTGCTGAGTCTGTCGTCCTTATGAAGAACGAGGGTGATATTCTTCCCCTTAAAAAGGACGGTTCTCTGCTGGTCATTGGACCCAACGCTAAGATTGCTGCTTACTGTGGTGGTGGTTCGGCCTCTCTGGCTCCGTACTACACTATCACCCCGTTCGCTGGTGTTTCTGCCAAAACCAAGGGAGAGGTCAAGTACAGCCAGGGCGTGTACTCCCACAAGGACCTGCCGCTTCTGGGTCCACTGCTGAAGACTGCAGACGGCAAGCCTGGCTTCACATTCAAGGTCTACAATGAACACCCCAACTCTGGCGAGGACCGACAGGTTGTGGACGAGTTGCATCTGCTCGAATCTTCCGGATTCCTGATGGACTACGTCAACCCTAAGATCAAGTCTATGACCTACTACGTCGATATGGAGGGAACATTTACCCCCGAGGAGAGCGGAGTCTACGACTTCGGCGTAACAGTCGTCGGCACAGGCCAACTCCTCATCGACGGCGAAGTGGTTGTCGACAACACCAAGAACCAGAAGCAAGGCTCCGCCTTCTTCGGCACAGCCACCATCGAAGAGATCGGCACGAAAGAGCTCAAGGCCGGCCAAACATACAAGGTTCTCTTCCAGTTCGGCAGCGCACCAACCTCAGACCTAGACACACGCGGAATTGTCTCCTTCGGCCCAGGCGGCTTCCGTTTCGGTGCCAGCCGACAAGTGAGCCAAGAAGAACTGATCGCCAACGCAGTCGAGCAAGCCAAAACCGCCGAGCAAGTCGTTATCTTTGCCGGTCTCACCCTGGAATGGGAGACCGAAGGCCACGACCGCGAACATATGGACCTACCCCCTGGCAGCGACGAGCTGATCAGCCGTGTGCTAGAGGTGAACCCGAACGCAGTTGTGGTGATACAGTCCGGCACGCCGGTCACAATGCCGTGGGCACAGAACACAAAAGCCCTCGTGCAAGCCTGGTTCGGCGGCAACGAGTGCGGCAACGGCATCGCGGACGTCCTCTTCGGCGACGTGAATCCCTCCGGCAAGCTACCAATCACCTTCCCCCGCCGCCTGCAGGATAACCCCTCCTACTTGAACTTCCGGTCCGAGCGCGGCCGTGTCCTGTATGGCGAGGATATCTACGTTGGCTACCGGTACTTCGAGAAGAGCGATGTCGCGCCAGGCTTCGCTTTCGGACATGGTCTGTCGTACACGAGTTTCACGCGCTCGGATCTACGCATCGAAACTGTTCCCGAACAGACCAAGTACACTGAGTCCGGTGAGCCTGTCGCTGCGTCGGTGACTGTCTCCAACACGGGCTCTGTGGCTGGCGCCGAGATCGTGCAGCTCTGGATCGTGCCCCCGAAGACTGATGTTGGCCGTCCTGTGCGCGAGCTCAAGGCTTTCCAGAAGGTTTTCTTGCAGCCTGGTGAGACTAAGACTGTGCAGTTGGTTGTTGAGAAGAAGTTGGCTACGAGCTGGTGGGATGAGGAGCGGGAGCAGTGGATCTCTGAGAAGGGGACGTACCAGGTTCTCGTTACAGGTACTGGGGCTGAGGAGCTGCGTGGCGAGTTTGAAGTTGGCAAGACGAGGTTCTGGCTTGGTCTGTAGGGCTGTGGTATTTTATGTATTTTGTCTTTATATAGGACCATGTCTCATGATTGATGTTATTTTTATCTGTGGATGGGGTAGGTGGGCTTGGCATCTGGCTACTCGAGATTTCTTGATCCAACATGGTTTCAGTATTCCGAATGGAAATTTTTATTTTATTCATTGTTGAGCTTCATAAAAATAGTACTTTGGTGAAGCAGACCTAGTGTTTTAACTATGTAGATAAATGTGTGTGTAATGTTCGTGTCTTACATCTCAGGCCAAGGCGACGCACCTATGCACTGTGGAACTTCGATGAAAAGAATGATTTTCGAGATGAACCCAGCTGATATGAAGCCGCAAAATAAAATAATAAAAACATATGGATGTCCCTAGAAACCAAGCACTAGACATGATACATGGTAAAAAAAAGGGAAAGGAAAAGGGTATATACATAGAACAGAATAGACACATATATATCAGAAGACAGAAATACGCCTCCCAGGGTAAAAGGAATCAAAAAACAACTGCTCAAATCCCTGTAATGCATATTCAAACCCCCACAAACCCCCACAACATTGAACCTTCTCATCAACAAATCCCATTCAAATTGTCATTCTCCTTCCTTCTGATCCTCAGCCCAGCCAACTTCCTCAACAAAATCGAAGCCTTCTTCCGCCGGTTATTTTTAACCGGCAAACCCGGCATAGCAACAGAGTAAACACTCTCCTGGTGCTTAAACTCATCCCCCAAACAAGAAGACGAGTAAGACATCCCGCAGCTGGACCCGGCAAACGTTTGGTACGGGTATCCGCCAGGCAAATCTTCCCCATTCGTCGAAGCAGTACCCAATCTCGGGTTACCTGTTTCCGGTCTCGATACTGTACCCCTTCCAGTGCCCAATGATGAAGCTGGTGAGAGTCTGGCGTAAAAACTCGGATCCCGATCCTCCCAGAAATTTTTCGTCTGCCCTTCACGGGAGTTGAATGACACTGTTGTTTGGTTGTAGGAACTGTAGAAGCGGGTCAATGGCTTTGTCTTGTTGGCTTGGGTTATTCTCGCTTGTTCTTCGTCGATGAGGCGCTGGAGGTCTCTGCTAGCGCGAAGCCAGGTCCTGCCTGCCCCGCCGGGAAATGGTGCTTCTTGTGCGGATATGGCTGGAGGGGATGTCTCGGGTTTTTTCTCATTGTTGGTGGCGTTTTCGTTCTGTGGCTCTGTCTCGAGCTCGGACTCGGTGGCTTCGAACTTTCTGTCGCTTTCATTGAGTGAGCTGACTGGGCTGTCGAGCGTCGTTGGCTTGGATGCCCACTCGCTGTTGAATTGGGGAGGACTGTACGGGAATGGAACCGGGCTTGTCGAGTAGGATCGCTCCCTTTGGTTATCTTCTTCGATTGTTGTTGCTAGGCTGTGGCTCCGGGAGCGAATTCCTGGCGATGGACTGTGTGGTGGTGAGGCGGAGGGTTGTTTGTTATAGAACCGTGCTGAGCTACCTGTGCGCGATACGCTGTTGCCGTATGGTCTCCCTGGTTGGCTGGGAGAATTGAAGCTCATACCAACGCCGGAATCATGTTTCTTGGTGCTTTCCGTTTCGGGGCTGATTGGTTTGGGCGCCGACAGAAGAATGACACGCTGTTTCAAAGATGAAGGAGCTGCATCGACACTAGGCTGACCAGCGGGATTTTGTCCATCTGTCCAGACTGGCACGGCGCTCCGATAGGACAACCCGGCTGGAATTCCACGGTCAATACTGTGAGATAGCATGGCGCAGGCATGCTTGATATCGGCTTCGAGGTCTTCTTCGATCTCTTGGCGGTCGATAAACGGCGATGTAGGGCGGAAGTAGCCCGGCTCATCTGTGAAACTGTAGCCCCCGTGGAAATCGGGGTCCCTGATGTCCCACGTTGGCTCATCGTGGATGGGAGACTCGGGATTTGTCGCTGACCGGGGACGACTGCTTGGTAAACTGGCTTCAATGGGCGAGACCAGTGTTGATTCCAGGCCGCGCGCGGAGCTGCTTCTGGTGAAGGTCAGACGGTGGCGTATTTTGGTTGCTTTTTCTGATAGTTTGCCCTCCATCTCGTAAATAGTTTTGTTTTTGTTTATGGTCCGATGGTTTCACGAAGGAATCGAACAATGAAATAGATCGAAAGAGAGATATTGGAGGAAAGAGCGCAGACAAACAATGAAAATGGCCACGGATTCGACTGGAGTCCACTACAGCTCGAACGACTGGCTCCAATGGACCTGGAAATCAACTCCAGGCAATTTCCCGAACTATGTGATGTCGTCAAGAAGGGAAGTTCGAAGAACCGTTGTCGGCACAACTGTCTGGTATGTGGGGGGAATGCAGGCCAGAATCACATACAAGAGAGACTCGGAATACTGGGAATACGGGATAATAAGTAAATCTGAAAATCAGAAAATGAAAAGGTCCTAAAATAAGGCTAATTCGTAGCGGCTAACAGGGAAAAGATAGTGATGTTACTTGAACTAGTCTGCATAAACAAGAAGATAGGGCTAGATCGGCATATCAACTACCAAATCCACCCGTGGATAACACTTGATATCCACTTTTAGGGTCTCCTTCTTTTCTTATTTTCTACAAAAAATTAGGAATACTGGAAATCTAAGTACTGGAAATCTAAGACATTAGCATCCAATCCTATTCAATTAAATATGTTATTAATGGCATATGAAAAGGGTCTAAGCGCCAAGTACACATGTAGTTAGAGCATATATGCTAGTGTGTTTGTGACTCAAACCGATTGGGGGCTTTTTTTGCGCCAGTGACATCTAGACAAGTCTTTTTTTTTTTTTTTACCTGTAGCACCATTTACACACTATGTTATAAGGAAATAAAATATATACGTATCTCCCTAAGTACTCCATGCACAAAGTAATATATCCCAATAAACGTAAATAATAGCGCCTTGAAAGCCTCGGGCCGCCACCTAATCTTGTTTCCGACCATTCAGCTCGGGCCAACTTATCTGAACAAAGTCCCAAACCCTTTTTTCACTTTCAAATTTAACCGGGGCTTGTTTCCTAGCCTCTACGTTGTACGGAGTATTGCCATGGCAGCGCTACTCAGTAGTCGCCGTGGTGAGCTATCCGATTCGAATATAAACTCCATCTGCCACCTTAAGAGATTCATGAATGCTTCGCTAAGGTCAAAACGGAGGTATAACCATACATGTATAAAATCTGTTATTTTCTATTTATTTTCTATTTAAATGATGCGACATGCGTGTCGCAAAGATAACCAATAGCTATCAATACAATAACGGACCCATCACCCCCCGGCGGAGTGAGTATCCTCCCGGAAGAAATTGACCCAGAGGGCGGGTCTGATGGAGAGCAGTTGGATGCTTCTTTGACAGTCTTCTCGGACAAGGACAAATGCCAAGTGAGAGACGGGAGAGGCAGTTGGATGCGCATCTCCCTGACTGGCGGAACGGAAAAAAGAACGGCAACCTACTTCCCCTGATGCGCCATGACATCTATCCGGTCGTGGACCCCTCGGCGGGATTCTGGACCCAGACTAGAACATGGGATTGGCTGCAGAAGAACTGCGCCTGACAATACTTTTTGATTTCAACGCTTTACCAAGCGGTGATGTCCTCCACCTCGGCCTCACCGAAGGTGCTGCTCTTCGTGAGCTTAGTGACACTGGCCACAGCAGCAGCACCGTCGGCGCCTGACTTTGCCATGATATCGGGCAAGACTTCGTGGAAGAACTCAACAATGTGGCGGTTGACTTGCTCAAATTGAAGCAAGAATGCGTCATGGCCCTCGGGGCTATCGATGCGCCTGAGGCGAGAATTGGGGATGCCAGCTGCAACCTCTTGTTGCTCTGCGAATGTAAACAGACCATCCGACTCGATGCCTAGAACTAGAGCTGGCTGCTCTACGCGTCCAAGGGCCTCGAGGACGGTATCCTCAGAGTCGGCGCTAGGATTGCCGCGGCGGCGGGAGACGTCGTGCGTATCGAGCTTGCGGGTCATGGCAATGTAGCAGTTGGCATCGAATCGCTTGACGAACTTGTCACCCTGGTAACGAAGATACGACTGTGCAGAGAAGTAGGTCGGAGGACGAGGACGGCCGGATGCAGTCAGCTTGGGCTTTGCGTCGACCTCTGGGGCAAATGTTTTGGTGCCAGAGAATTGCGGGTCCATGAACTGGACTTCGGCCTCATTCACAGGAGCCGGTGAGCCTTGTCTGCTCTCCGAGCGTGAAGTTGTTCCGCCACGGTGTCCGTCGTTGTGAATGGCCCAATGCTCGTTCGGGGGAGTGGGAAGCTTCTCGGTGCCGTTAATGTTTCGAGGCTTGGTGGGATCTGGCACATTGCGACCGAACCGAGACTCGAATGAGTTGCGGCTACGGTAAGTGAGAAGTGCCGACATGCGAGCTGCACCGAGGCCGGTGGATGGCGGGTCGTCGAATGCATAGTAGCCATCGTCATACTTCGGGTCACTGTAGATGCTCTGCCGCTGTGCCTCGCCCCAGCTGATGCACCATGCGGAATGACGCGCTGAAGTCGCAATGGGCACAATAGATCGCACATAGTCTTTGCCGAAAAATGCGTATTCCAAGGTGAGCATTCCACCCATGGATCCTCCGACCACCGCAGCAATATGCTTGACACCGAGGTCATCCAGGACGAGTTTGTGGATGTTGACATCATCACGGACAGTCGTGAGGGGGAACTCAGGTCCATAGTAGCCATTTTCAGGCTTGCCATCCTTGTAGGTCACAGCACTTGCACTTCCGTACGGGCTGCCCAAACTGTTGAGGCAGATCACGAAGAACCGAGAAACATCAAAAGCTTGGCCAGGACCACCAAGAAGAGGACCCCACCAGTCAGCGACATCGGCACTGCCACTAAGAGCGTGACAGATCACCAGCACATTATCACCATTAGGAGCGAGTGTTCCGCGCGTAGTGTATGCGACGGGGACATTGTAAAGGGTGACACCGGATTCAAGTTTGAAGGAAGGGATGACCGCAATGGATTGATCCTCGATCAATTGAGCGTAAGGGTTCTCAGGTTGCGAATCGACTCTCTCTACGGGATTTAGTAGCGGTTCATCAAGTAAGAATGAGGGAGATAGACTGACGGTATTGCCCAGTAGGGGCACTGGTAGTTTCAGCCATTGTGAAAAAGACAACAATATTCAAAATAAAGAGAGAAAAAATAAGAAATGGAGACTGGGAACAGGGTGTACTTGTAACAAAATAGAGTGAGTCAAAAACCCCGCAGCCTTGGAATAAATTGGCCTCCGGTCCCGCTGGCAGAAAACCTTGGAATAAAGCGGTGATTAGTCATATGGGGTCTGTCACGTGGGGCTAGGGCTCGCTCCACACTTGACCTTTTTTATCATCTGTGCGAATTTTCTACTTCCGTAGCCAACCATCCAACAAACCTTCTTACGAGCCAACCCCTCAAAACATTCAAAATGGTCAAGACTAAGAAGTCCGGTGACACCCTCTCCTCGCGCCTGGCGCTTGTGATGAAGTCTGGCAAGGGTAAGCAGGCCCTTTCGATCGCACAAATGAGCAATTCGCTAACAATTTCTCTCAGTTACCATGGGTACCAAGTCCACCATGAAGACTCTCCGCTCTGGCAAGGCCAAGCTGGTCCTCATCTCCGGAAACTGCCCTCCTCTGCGCAAGTCCGAGCTTGAGTACTACGCCATGCTCGCCAAGACCCCCGTTCACCACTTCAACGGCAACAACGTACGTTTTATTCCCCTTTCTTTCGGGTCGGCAGCCTGAAAAATCGGCTGTCGTACCTCGGAGCCAGCTACACTACTCAGAGAAGAAGTTGGTCAAAACTACCACTTCGGAGAGTGAAGTTGCTCAGCGAAGGGATCACCGCAAGGCATCCCGGAGAGCGAATTGGACTAACTCGCCCTATAGATTGAGCTCGGTACCGCTTGCGGTAAGCTCTTCCGCTGCTCCGCCATGGCTATCCTCGATGCCGGTGACTCCGACATCCTGAGCCGTGAGGCTTAAGCGTGTCGCCCTGTTGCGAGCCATAAAGCAAAAATAGAATCTTGAACCATTCTTGAACAAAATTTTCTCCCATGAATAATGATGAATTACGTATATTTCAAACTAGGCATCTTCTAGACAAGCTTGCCAAGACACTTGACCACTTTGTGTTAAATGCGCTTGTCTTCGGACTCTGCCATTTCATACAAATAGCCTAAAATGTAATACCTAAAATGCCTTCCATTATCATGAGTCTCCCGTCCATGTCCAACTTCGGCCTTATCTAGTCCCTATAGGGCTTTGTGGCGCTGATCTCAATTTCATGCTGGCTACATACTAGCCATAAGCTACACCTAGTAATCAACAGGGCCTTATTATCATAATAGGGCTTGCAGCTCGGGTAGACTCGAAAAAGGCCCGCATATATTGAAACTGAGCCCAGAGAGACTCGAAATTCACTGAACCCCTAATCCTAACAGGGCTCTAATGATACAACTATAAGCCTTGGAACGGGTGTCCACGCGTCTTATTCCCGATTTGGCAACTCAATTTGTTGTCCGGGTCTCAGGGAGCTTTTTTGAAGTCTACCGGAGTGCAACTTGCTAAAACCCTTTCTCAGTGGCTCTCTCAACATTAGGCATGAAGAAAATCAGCGTTGATGTCCGTGCCAAATGACCCCCACGCAACTCCGCAATCTTTGCGGGGAAGCACTGTAAGTAGATATAGCCTGTATTGCTTGGCTTGGACGGATCACTCATTTAGCCTGAAGTTTCTCCGAGAACTATGTTCCACCGGCGAGTCTCCCGATGTTCGCGGGCAGTTCCATATAAAGGGGGAACTTCCAAGGTTGGTCTGCAATGAGTGAGTAGGTATATGCCCCCCAGATCAGAAATTCTGGCTACAATGCGTGCATTCCTCTTCTTTGCCTCCTTGGGCTTTGCAGCCGCTGAGAACGGCCTCAATGGCTGGCTGCGATACGCATCATTACCCTGTTCAGGTCAATGCCATTCCAATCTCCCTTCGAGTATCGTCACCCTCAATGCGACTGAGACAAGTCCGGTGTATGTTGCGGGGACGGAGTTGCAGAATGGTCTCAAGGGCGTCTATGGGAAGAGCGTTCAAATCACACACAACAAGTGCAAGACATCCTCCTCGGTTGTTGTTGGCACTGTTGATCAATATCGGAAAATCTGTGGCGCTGCGAAAGGTGTGCCTGAGCTGGAGGAAGATGGCTTTTGGCTCGACACGAAGGGGGAAAACGTTCAAATTCTTGGACAAAACGAGAGGGGTGCTCTATATGGCACTTTTGAATACTTGTCGATGCTTGCTCAGGGAAACTTCTCCAAGGTCGCCTATGCAACCAATCCTTCTGCACCTATTCGCTGGGTGAATCAATGGGACAACATGGATGGAAGAATCGAACGCGGCTATGGTGGCCCCTCTATTTTCTTCAAGGATGGTCAAATCGTCGACGACCTAACCCGTGTTGCTGAATATGGCCGCCTTTTAGCCTCGATTAGAATCAATGCTGTCGTCATCAACAATGTCAATGCGGATGCTGCCCTCTTGAACTCCACAAACCTCGACGGGGTGGCTCGAATCGCCAATGTCTTCCGCCCTTACGGTATACAAGTCGGCCTATCGCTTAATTTCGCATCCCCTCAGACTTATGGAGGGCTTAGCACTTTCGATCCCCTCGACGCATCTGTCATCGAGTGGTGGTCGAATATTACGACTCAGGTCTATGATCGAGTGCCTGACATGGCCGGCTACCTCGTCAAGGCTGACTCAGAGGGACAACCAGGCCCCCAGACATATAACAGGACCCTCGCAGATGCAGCGAACCTTTTCGCCAAAGAAGTCCAGCCCTACGGTGGCATTGTTATGTATCGCGCGTTTGTCTACAATCAGCTGAACGAATCAATCTGGACGGATGATCGTGCAAACGCTGCTGTTGAGTTTTTGAAGGATCTAGATGGCGAATTCGACGACAACGTGGTGATCCAAATCAAGTACGGGCCTATTGATTTCCAGGTCCGTGAGCCAGCATCGGCACTGTTTGCAAATTTGTTCAACACCAGTATGGCCATTGAACTGCAGGTTACGCAAGAATACCTTGGACAACAGTCGCATTTAGTCTATGTTGCTCCCCTTTGGAAGACAATCTTGGACTCTGACCTCCGCGTCGACCACCAGCCATCACTCGTTCGCGATATCGTCGCCGGTAAACGGTTCAATCGCAAATTGGGCGGATCAGCAGCTGTTGTCAACGTGGGCACAAACACCACCTGGCTTGGTAGCCACCTGTCTATGTCAAACCTATATGCCTATGGTCGCTTGGCTTGGAACCCAGCAGACGATGCCCAGGACATTCTGCAAGACTGGATCAGACTGACCTTTGGGCTGGACCGCAAGGTACTCGACACCATCACTCGCATGTCCATGGAATCTTGGCCCGCCTACGAACAATATAGTGGGAATTTGGGCATCCAGACGTTAACAGATATTCTATATACTCACTATGGGCCCAACCCTGCATCTCAAGACAACAATGGCTGGGGCCAATGGACCCGCGCGGACCAAATCAGCATTGGAATGGATCGGACGGTGGCAAACGGCACAGGCTTTTCCGGCCAGTATCCGGATGAAATCGCTGCCATGTATGAGAACATTGACACCACACCAGACGATCTTTTGCTATGGTTCCACCATGTGAAATACACCCATCGTCTGCACTCAGGGAAGACCGTTATTCAGCACTTCTATGACGAACACCACAGCGGGGCCGAAACTGCACAGACCTTCCTTACGCAGTGGGAATCACTCCACGGCAAAATTGATACTGAGAGATACAACCATGTTCGGCACTTCCTAGACTACCAAAGCGGACACTCAATTGTGTGGAGAGATGCGATCAATGACTTTTACTACAATCTCTCTGGAATCCCTGATCAGGCCAAGCGTGTCGGCCACCACCCATGGCGGATCGAAGCGGAAGATATGAAGCTAGAGGGCTACAAAACTTACAGCGTCAGCCCCTTCGAAACAGCCTCTGGTTCGGTTGCAATTGTTACAACTTCCAACAGTACAGCCGGCACCGCTTCGACCAAAATAAACTTTCCCTCTGGCACCTATGACCTTGCAGTGAATTACTACGATATATACGGTGGCCAGTCACAGTGGAAGGTCTATCTGAATAATCGGGAAATCGGGCAATGGGTTGGCAATAGTGAGGATACGTTTAGCCATACGCCTTCTATCTATTTGGATGGGCATTCAGCGATTCGTATCAAGTTCCGGGGTGTCAAGATTCACAAGGGTGATACTTTGAAGATTGTCGGTATGCCTAATGGCATTGAGCCGGCGCCATTGGACTATGTGGCTTTGCTGCCAGCGGGTATTGTAGATTAGAAGCACTCTTGTCAAATGACTAGAGTACTGTGAATATATCTATGATGGCTGCCTCTTCAAGTGCAGTGTTTCACTCTAGCTGCTTACTAGTATGACAATTTTCTGAAAATATGTGAAGAATGGTAGTGATAACATTTTGGAAGCTGGTAGAAGTAACATCATGACTTATTCAAAGGAAATAGTGTATATTTTGTTCCACATGTGTAGCATTTGAAAACGTTCTATCCACCAGAAGTACCGGTCCCGAGTTAAGATCCCACTTGTAGATAGCTCCTCTCGTCTGGCATCGATGTCCTTTTTTTCCTGGGTGATAGTAACGACACTACTGCATCTTCAATTCTTGTGTATATATGATCTCGACCGCGTGGCCGCAGTTGCGGACAATATTAGCGAACTGCCATCCATGGATTGATGTAAGGTTATAGCAATGGTGGTTTACTTCAGCCGCATCTGAGTTATCAGGTCTCCATTACAGTGCTATAGATACATATGTAGTTAATTTGTGAGTTTGAACAAGACAAGCTATTCAAATTTTCTTTAATTTCTCTCAATTTGGTCATATTTTGTATTTAAATTACTTAAATTATTAAAGAGAGGCACCTAGGTACCTAGGTAGGCGTTGTAGTTTTCCTTTTGCATTGCCATGGATTGTTCAGACAAGAGTGGCGCTAGTCCATATGTGGCTAGCGTCCTACATCATCGGCGCGCATTTCTATCGCGTCCCCAGATTCAATCCCTGCGCTCCAACCAATTGTCTTATTCTTTCTGATATAAGCAACTGTTCTCATCTCATTCAAACTTCACTTTTTACATTGACCTTTGATGTGGAGAGTCTGCCATCATGAGTGACTATTCATCGTTGAAAGTGGCTGATTTGAAGGCCGAGTGCAAGAAGCGCGGCGTCCCTCAGACTGGCCTCCGCCTCAAGCAGCATTTCATTGACAAATTGATCGAGCTTGACTCACAAACAAACCAGGTTACGACTGAAGCAGCAGTTCCAGCAGAAGAACCCACCGAATCACAGCCATCTGCGCCAGATGCTGTTTCGCAAGCAAAGTCGCAGCCCGAACAACCAGAAAACGAACAGCTTGAACAATCAAAGGAAGAATCAGTCTCACAAACCGAGGAAACAACAGCACCTGTGTCAGTATCGGATCGAGCTCAAGATGGGCAAACGCGGGCAGATGAGTCGACCAAACGAGAGGCAGTTTCGCCAGCCGGTGTGAAATCGCAAAAAATTGAAGATGTCGCAAACCCTGTGGAGGAGGCACAAACAGAGACAATTACCCTTGAAAATCAAAATCCTGTGGCTGCAGCTTCTGAGCAACAAACGGATGAAGCAGCCCAAGATGCGAAGAACGAGGATTCCATGAAAGCTCAAGAAAAATCGATCTCGTCTGCTGCCCAAACCTCTGAGGTTGGTACCGGATTATCGACACCTCTCGCAGCGGAAGAGGCATTGGATGATACACGCAAACGGAAACGCCGCAGCCAGAGCCCGGCTCCTTCTCTAGAAGAGATTGCGAATAAGAAGGCTCGCGCAGAGGAAACAAGCCCACCTGTGTTACTGAAAGACGATGAGGTGTCAATTTCTCGCGATGAGGGGCTCGGCGATCTAAAGCCTGAAGACCAAAAAGCAGCGGAGGAGCACACAGAGAAACAACCCATTGAGACGCAAACAGACTCGCACAAAACCCCCACCAAGCAAGACGCTCGGTTCCGAAACCTATTTGCACCTGCCGGTGCATCCACCCAACCCGCCTCTCCCCCGAGAGATATCACGATGCAGGATGCGGACATCACCCCCGCGTTGCATGCTGCAACCTCTGCCATCTATATCGACGGCCTCATGCGCCCACTCCAGCCGGCTGCACTCCGCAAACACCTGGCTAGCCTCGCGTCCGCCCCCGAGACCACGGATTCCGATGCCATCATTGACTTCTATCTCGATCCTATCAAAACTCACTGTTTTGTGAGTTTCACCAGTCTCGCAGCAGCCTCGCGGGTTCGTTCTGCCGTCCATGGGACTGTGTGGCCCAACGAGCGCAACCGCAAGAATCTCCGAGCAGATTTTATCCCCGACGAGAAGATCAAGGAATGGATTCAGACAGAAGAGAAATCCCGAGACCGCGCTGGCCCTGCTGCCCGTTGGGAAGTGAGATATGAGACATCTGATGACGGAACCACCGCTACCCTCGCCGAGGTGGGCTCCGCTCCATCTGGACGACGTGAATCAGGTTTCAATCGTACTCCTCCCTTGGGCCCGCGCCGTGATATTGAGCAGTTTGACCGTCGCCCTTCCAACGCGCGTCCCGCGGCTCCTACGGCTCCCGCACCTTCGTCGCGACCTGGGCAGGGTTTCAAGCCTCTAGATGAATTGTTCGAGTCTACTACTACAAAACCCAAGCTGTATTACCTTCCCGTTCCACGTCCGGTTGCCGACAAACGTCTGGACCAATTTGATGAGCTGATTCAGAAGGGCACATTCCCACGTCGTGGTGGCGATGAGATGCGGCGAATTACTTTCGAAGATGACGATAAGTTCGTTGACATCGGCCCAGAACGATTTGGACCTGGGCCTCGATCTGGTGGTGGACCTCGTGGACGGGGACGTGGTGGACGGCGTGGGGATTCATGGCGCTCTTGAGCTTTCGAAGGTAAACCGTATTTTGCAGTTGGGCCATTGTTATTGGCCATGTACAATAGACTTTTAGCGACTGCAGAATGCTATGGAAAAAATCAAAATATCAAAGTATCAAAGTATCAAAGAATCAAAAAATAGGCAATCAGCCTTATTCGACCAATATATATGTTCGGGGTCCACCCAAAGGGGCTGTTAAAGAGCTAAGCGGATAAAAATAGATCTCAAACTTAGCCTTTCACCTTCTGACGATTCCCAGGAAATCGGCTGATTTTCGAGAACTGACAGGTTCTGCATAATCAACCAAGAGAACGCCATATTCTTTTCTTGCTTATTCCGCATGGAGATAGTTGCTTCTTCAATATTTCCTGTTTTGTTGATTTTTGGTGGCGTCTTCCCCTGTCGATCCGGATAAGATAAAGGGGGAAAAAAGGTTCACTTGTCAACAGTCCTCTTTGCCATTTCCACCCTAGCAACCAGCCACCATGGGCTGGCCAGTGTGCAATGCCACAGAGTCCGAAACCAGTGTGTTACCCCTCCCCCCGCCTTGAATATTTTTGCAGTGACTGATCGGAAATAGTTGAGGAGGTCGCCCTCTGGGATGGCGGCATTACATTTCATTCTCTAGCGCTCCTGGTGGGCGGCGCTTGCGCTATCATCGCGTGTGTTGTATCCGTGGCCCTGATTATGTTGCATGCCACACATTACAGCAAGCCGATCGAACAGCGACAGTGAGTCCCCTTCTCCAGGGTAACGGTTAAAGTGTCACAAGATCATTGCTGACAAGGTCCTCGTCTCCGTCGCAGTATTATCCGTATCCTATTCATGGTCCCCGTCTATTCCATTGTCGCATGGCTCAGCATATTCTTCTACCATGACTCTGTCTACTTTAAGGTCCTCGGCGACTGCTACGAAGCGTTCTGTATCTCCGCCTTCTTCTCCCTCATGTGCCACTATATCGCCCCGGATCTACACAGCCAGAAGGATTACTTTCGTGGAATTCAGCCAAAGGCATGGCTCTGGCCGCTGAGTTGGCTTCAAAAATGCTGTGGTGGCGAGCGCATCTGGCGGACCCCGCGCAGTGGATTGACATGGTTCAATGTAAGATGATGAACTTGAGCAGATGTCAAGGAATCTTAGATTACTGATCATTGTACAGATTGTCTGGGTTGGGGTTTTCCAATACTGTGTTATGCGCGTTCTTATGACCATCCTTGCGGTTGTCACTCAGGCTTTTGGGGTGTACTGCGAGGAGTCGCTAAATCCCGCATTTGCGCATATCTGGGTACGTTCTAAGTTGTGATCAAGTCTTGGGTTTTATCCTCTGTGGATTCGCTAATAATCTATTGATAGACCATTGTCATTGAATCGGTCTCCGTCACCATCGCCATGTACTGCCTCATCCAGTTCTACCACCAGACCAGCCAAGACATCAAGCAACATCAGCCATTCTTGAAGATCCTGTCGATTAAACTCGTCATTTTCCTGTCATTCTGGCAGTCGGTAAGAACTCTTAGCATCATCTCCTGATAAAGTGGTTTATTGACTCGTGTTTACATTTTAGACACTCATCAGCCTTCTAGTCTCCGAGGGCGCTATCGCAGCGACTAATAAAATCGCGCTGAACGATCTCAAAGTTGCGCTCCCGGAGCTGATGATCAACTGTGAGATGGCTATATTTGGTATACTCCATCTCTGGGCCTTCTCATGGAAGTCCTACACCCTCGCCAACCAGTCAAGTGAAGTGACCGATTTCTACGGCAACGGCAAGTCTGCATACCAAGGTGGACGCTATGGTGTAAGGGCCTTGGTTGATGCCATGAACCCATTGGACCTTCTCAAAGCCATTGGTCGAAGTGCCCGCTGGCTGTTCGTCGGCCGCAAAAGTCGTATGCTGGACCCCAGTTATCAGCCGCAAGACGAGTCACTCGGCCTCCAGCCACCCCAACATGGCAGTGAGCTCACCCAACATGGAACGGCTTACCGTGGCGCTGGAACGGCCATGTCCGGAGGCCGAGCAGGCCACTATGGCGAAACGCCCTATGAAGAGGGCGAGGTGCTTCTCGCTCACGCACAACCCAATCCCGAGATCGCGCTCACGGGCACTTCACCATACGCCTCGGATTTCGATGACCATGTCCAAAACCCGTCAACTAGATTTTACGAGCGAAGCCCGTCACCCTATGAGGATTCCTCGCTCCACAGTCATGACAATCTGCACTCAGAATCGCTGGTCCACCCTTACCCATCCAACGGTTCTCTCCGTGAGCAAGTTCCTATGCCCATGCCGGATCCTTACCATCCTCCTCCTCCGTACCCTGACAACCATCATTCATGATCTATGCCAATGATTAATTATGACTCGGGGTGGACATCTCATACTGGCAGGGCTTTGATATGCATGTTTCCCCTGTGATTGAGCTGCAAACATATTACTCTTTTTACCTCACGCTACCCACGAGCACTTCGAGATTTTGCGCTTTTTCTTTTCTCTTTTATGTCCCGTTGTTTGGATAGGTATGGATACCCGCCTGTTTGCATAGCGGCATGTTTTTGTTTTTATTTTATTCTTTTTCTTATTCACCTTTTTTTCCCTTTTTCTTTATCTGTCATATCCCCATCGTTACACATTCTACTAGCATCACTGTAGGTTTACATTTCTTGTATAGTATTCTGGACACGACCTCTAGTGTCACCGATTGAATGAGGGAAATGAAAAAAAATCATATCAAAGTTCGTTATCTCGTCTAAATGACCTTAGAATGGGCCCAGAAAGGAACACTGTCTAAGCAAAGTAAGTGAAAACCTAGGCCCAAGATCCGGCATATTGCGATTTGTGGGGGTATTTTCATGGGCTAATCGTGGAAACACTGAAGAACTGGCTGCTATCACGAATACATCCCACTGCCAGGACCTCCACGCCCACCATGGCCATAGAACTCCTCATTGAAGCTCCTTTGGAGCATGGCGGGATCCTTGCGCACGGTGGATACGTGACGCGCAGCCTGAACGACTGCAGATTTGCGGCCTAGTTCGCGCATGGCCTTGACGTTGTCGCCGAGTTGGCCAAGTAGCGAAATTAATAGGACGTCATTGCTTTGCGAGAGTACTTCGGTGGTGAAAGTGCTTTGCTCTGACGGAGAGAGGATGGACAGATGCGAGAGGAGAGAGTTGACGTTGCGGAGGATTGGGTGTGACAGCTTCGTGGCGGATGTATTGCCCTTTGATCGATCTGAGCTGAAATCCGCTTCTGAGAGACTGGAGAGGTAGGATTTGATGAGGGAGACGCGGGATTCGAGGGTGCGAACGGCATTGAGACGGGTGCTGAGGCTTGCGATTACTTTTCAAATCGGTTAGTATCCACCACCCAAGTAGCAATTATATTAAAACCATGGAAACTTACACTCCTCTTCCTCCTGTGAGAGTTCAACCTGCGAGCTCTGCTTATTTGACTCTGTCTTTTCTGTCTGCTGCGCACGCTTGGTTGGCTCCTGTGTCACATTCAAAGAAGCGGTGCCAGAAGCCTGGACAATAGTATCGATACCAATCATCTCTGATTCCCCTGTTTCCACTGAGTAGGGCAGCTCTCTGAATTTGATATTCAGCACCGGCTCCTCGCCATCGACCTGCATGTCCTTGCTTGCATCGGGGGCGGTCTCGCCTTCATGAACACTCTCGTACACGGTCAGGGGAAGCTTGCCGCCATTTGAACCTGAATCTTGGAGCTGTGAGGGATGGAAGGCGAGGAAGACGGCAGATTCGTTGTAGTCCTGGAGGATTTGTCGGTGGAGGGGGAGATGGGCGTCATTCGGCCCGGTCGATGGCGCGGTTGACCACCATCCAACAAGGTCGAGAGGGGGGTTTTTGTGCACATCTTTGACTGTACGTGGTCAGTTTGTATTCGCTAGAAGGACCCTAATCGATCTTCTGAGGGGTTCCGCGTACACTGCTGAAGACGTTCTTCAAACCATGCCGCCGGCAAAATAATCTCATCGTTCAGTCCGCAAGTAACCGGGCACTCGAATGCATGTTCAAGTGTTATCTCTCGTCCATTCTGCTGGCCTAGGAGAGCGCCAATTATCGGCCCATGCTGCTGTCGGGCAGCGTGTCGTGTAATTTGGTCGGAGACAGTGAGAAGAACGAGTGGGTGTAGCTGGATATGGAGACCCGAATCGGATGACTTCTGAGAAACCAGACACTGTGGAGGCTCCATAACTGTGGGTTGCAATCCTGGGATATAGAGGAACTTCTGATGAGGGACGGAGTAGTAGATACAGTTGGTTGATGCGGTCATGTTTGGTTGGTTTGATGCTGATGCCTGAGGCAGATCCGAGCTTTCCCCGCGGCGCAAAGAGCGAGCTTCACCCATCACGAAGGCGTCTATTTTAGTTAGTCTGTGACTGGTTTTTGGAAGAACTGAAGATATTCCAAGAAGTCACAATGTCAGTTCCATCGACATTTGATGCAGTGAAATCACACCTCGCTCAAGTCCAGGAGAACCCCTCCACGGCCTTGGACATTCCTCTCATCGACAAGTTGAAGTTGCAACTAGTCGAATCCACTGATCCTGTGGTCCCTGCTACTCTCCTATCGCAAATTTCTGCGCTCCTTCCTATCTTGCAAGAAGACCCTACGCCTATTACAACACTCGGAATCAGAGCTACTGCCTACTTCACCTTCACCGATCTCCAATCTGTCGATCCTCCGATCAATCTTGTCGCTGGCTTCAAGGCCCCATCACCGCCAATCAATCTCCTAGCTCTCTCACTATTAGCTAAAGCTGGGCAAAAATACAGTGAAGCTGCCATAGTTGCAGGTGATTCAGACTTGGTGGCTTCACTCGTGGAGCTGTGGCTTTCAACTTCTTCGGCCGAAGTCGCACAAGCTGCGCTCGACACATTATGGGCGCTTTTGGAGGTTGACGTTGCTAGTCACCTGGAAAAGGGAGAATATGAGCATACCGGTGATGAAAGTCATGCAGGACAGGGACTCTTGTGGAGGAGATTATTCACCGATAAGGATGTCTACGGTCTATTGTTCGGACTATGTAGCCTCCAGAGTGATGCCCCTGGTGGTCTTTCCAAACGCGAAAGAACGCTGGCACAGGGCAGACTAATGACACTCTTGGTGAAAGCTGGAAAACTACGCTGGGACATCATCTCAACAGCCCAAGTACCGGAGATTGAGGCTAAATACCAGAGCAGTAGTCTCCTGCATTTTGCAACCTGTCATATGGTCCAAGTGAGCGATGTCTTGATGCATATGACTCTCCTCAACTTCTTCCGCGAGCTGCTAGAGATTGATGGACCGGGCCTCGTCGCTCGAAGCTCTGTGCAGTCTACTTCGACTTTCTCGTCCCCTGCTCTCGACTTCCTTGTCGAACACAAACTGCATTCCAAAGTGCTGACTTATTATCTCGATGAGTCCAAGCTGGACTCGGTGGATCTTCTCTACCTATCCGGCCCAGTCATGGCATATGTAGCTCGGTACGCTGAAATGTATCCCAACCACTTGCTGCAGAACCCTTCTACCCTACTCGACGGAATTATCTCCCGCATCAACAGATCTCTCGCCATTCCTAGCGCACAATGGGCACATGACGAAGTACCCACAGGTCACCTTGCTATTTTAGCTTCACTCCCCCGAGTGCTTCTCATAGAAGCGGGCAAACATGGTGCCAACCCGGTTCTCGCAATTCCCACGAACCCTCCAAACGGCGAAGCTCTGGACGTTCTGGCGAAAATTTTCCACGGACCTCAGCGAACTGGACTTACTGATTCAATGAATTTGAACACATCCGGCTCAACTCCAACTGACTGGGACCGCGAAGCAGCTGCAGCGCGCATCCTCTACTTCATCTATGTCAACCAACACCCCACTTTCTGGGACAATGTCGTGGGCGCTGCCGATTTGCTAGTGATGAAAGATATTGCTTTGTCGGCCATTAATTTCATGGGGGCTATTACAACAGCGAACTGGAAACCCTCACCCTCAGCATCCGCCAACACCAATGCATCACGGTTCCAGCTGCCCTCCGAAGAGGGTCTGGGTCAGCTATCCCCGGCCACTAATGGATTTTTCCCCACCTCAGGAGCATGGGCAGTTCTCACTCCACCCGCCCTAACTACCCTTCTCCCATACCTTTTCAAGCCGCCTCGCTCCTACGCAGACTTCGTCGGGGGTGGTGCAGGTGATTCCCAGAGTGTCGTTTGGAAAGTTGCCACTGCGAAACATGATGTTCTCGTAGCGCTGCACAGCCGGTTACAAGAAACTGATGGCCAGGTGGAAGGGTTTGAAGATATCATGCGAACGCTACAACAGCGTGTGAACGAGGGTCCCTGGAGACCTGCGCAATCTGGCGGTACTCAAGTAATGACTGCAGACCTATGATGTCGCAATAAATTTGAAAAGCATGTGAAGCAGTTTAGTGATTCTCATGTAGTCTCATATTCAATTGAAACAGCTTCAAGTTCAATGGTCTATTGTGTACAAAGATCTGCGCCTTGTTATCTTAGCGTCCACGCGGGGAAGCATTGAGGGAATCTGCCAGCCCTAGTGCTGTTTCGGGCGGGCGGTGAAGAAATGTATTTTTCCGGAGCCATGATCATCTGTCCGCGGTTATTATCATGAAGAATGATCCATACATATTCGTTAACCCATTTTAATTGACGTCGTATTACCGCAATTATGTCGCGACGAGGGGCGCCAAAGGGCAAAAAGCCCCCCGGCACAGAGTTTACTTGGGACGCCGACCCTGGCGGGGAGCCTGACACAGCTCCAACGCCGTTATACCCTGTATGTTTGCTTCTTGGCCTGGCTCTCCAGGAAGTCTTCCTCTTTCAATGCACCAATCTCCATCATGTCGAAATCTACAGAGCCTAACTCCCTCTTTCCTCAGAAATACACTATCCCCTTTGCTCGGAAGTTAAGCCCCGCAGAACAAACCCAGGTAGACTACTACCGAGAGTTGCGCGAAAGCTTTCACGAGGGCCCCTACTATTCTGTTCTTGATGCGTCGTCTTCCAACGCCAAAAAAGGCAGCGCCGCGCGCTCCAACTTTGACGCTTTCCACGGCATGCCCACTTATTCCGGCCGTTATCAAAAGAAACGGCGCACCCTCCCCAGAATCACTGGACGGCCTTATTGTAAGCTCTATCTACCAGCATTGGGTTTCCTATGGCTGCAGACGACTAACCCGCATGCTTGAACCGTTCAGTCTTGAAATTCTTCCCCCGCGAGCTATGGCAAACCCTCCAGCCAAACTTCCGACCCGACGCGTCTCTGGATGGCTACCAGGCTCAGGCTTCAGCCGCTGGAGTGAAGCGCGGTTTTGAAGACGAAGAAGACGAAGCTGGACCTTCGAAGCGCACAGCTGGCGGCGAAGACGAGGATGATGGTGACGCAGATGCGGATGAAGCCGCATTGCTTGATGGGGACGATGAACAGGAAGAGGAAATTATGGATGATGACTTCTCCGAAGATGATGATGAAATGGGCGGCGATTACAACGCCGAACAGTATTTCGACGATGGAGAAGATGATATGGGTGATGAAGACGGTGGGGGCGGCGGCGGCGACGATGACTTCTGAAAAGCAGATTCACGATACCCTTTTTTTTCTTTCAATTTAGCTTTATTATGGCTCTTCAGCGGTCTGATTCATGCCTCATTGGCATGTCCTTTGTATCTATTCAATGACACAGTGAATTATTCGGTGTGTTCAGCGCAGATAACTCTCCAGTAACCCAAGCCGCTAGGTAATTTGAAGCAAATTAACCACTTTTCATAGCATATGACATTCACTATGTATACTCCAAGCGAAACGAACAGCAAGAACTCGCAACCTCTTCGGTGCCTAGTGGGCAAAATGCAGGACAAGGACTTTGTTCACTTTGAGTCAAGAAAAAGACAGTTCCAGAAGTCAACGTTGCCAATATAAGATATCTCGCAGTTGGCCCACCCTTATATCTGCACGACCTCCAGTTGGGCTCAATGCATCTGGCACGGTTGTTCAAAAGATGAAAAGCATACATCACCTCCCTGGGGTTTCATCCCTTTATTACCCTTCTTGACCCTACTTTTTTGACGTACTAGTATGACCACAGAATTAGTTTATCCTCTTCAATGCCCATATATTCAAAGCTTTCCACTTCATGAAACAATGTCCGCATCCTACAAGATCAACTTGTGTAAGCGGTAGATAGGGCGGTGGGTATTCGATAAGATTGATTGGTCTTTGGGTGACGTCAGCCGATTTTTGGAGGGGCAATGCAAGAAATGTTCAGACACTTCCACCAGAGCGCAGAATGGAGCGCAGAATGGGCGACACCCAAAGTCCACGTCCCTTAGAACGGTCCGTGCTCATTTTATATGGCTCCGAAACGGGCAATGCGCAGGAAGTGGCCGAGGAATTGGGTGCCTTGACCGAGCGGCTCCGTTTTGCGACACATGTATCCGAGTTGAATCAATGCAAGCCGGTATGCACTTCTCTGCAACGACAATGACCCTCTAGAGGCCTAATACCCATGGAATCATAGGAATCCCTTTTTTCATACACACTCACCATATTTGTGGCCTCGACTACGGGACAGGGCGATTTTCCGGCCAATGCGCGGTCTTTTTGGAAGTCGCTCTTGTTAAAGAAGCTACCTGCTACCTTTTTGAATGGCATAAATTTTACTTGTTTTGGGCTGGGGGATAGCTCGTATCCCAAGTATGGAAGCTATACTACTATCGTGGATTCCAATAGCTGATTGTGATAGATTCAATTGGGCGATACGCAAGCTCTATAAACGACTACAACAACTTGGTGCAAATGAGATCTACCCCACAGGCGAAGCAGACCAGCAACATCCAGAAGGGTCAGTACTATTTTGATCCTCACGCTAGATATCTGTTCACGACTTACATTGCTTGACATACAGACTCGAGGGAACCTTTTTACCATGGATGACGGATTTTCGAAAACATTTGCTCGGTAGACATCCTCTCCCTGCTGGACAGCACCCTATCCCAAACGATGTGCAGCTCCCACCAAAGTGGAAGTTGCAGTTTGCGGGAGAAAACGTTTCGGTCCCAACACCCCAAGCTGCCGTCGCAACTGAACATCAAGCTTCTACGGATGAATATCCGGGATTACACCATCTGGACCATGACTCCCGACCCATCCCACATGCACTCCGCGCGACATTGACTGAAAATCGGCGCGTGACTCCGCGAAAGCATTGGCAGGATGTGCGCCATGTTACCCTGACCGTCCCAGACTTTGTCTCTTACGTTCCTGGAGACATGCTCGCCATCACACCGAAAAGCTCTTCGGTTGATGTCCAAACCCTTATTGACTTGATGGGTTGGAACGATCAGGCAGATCGACTAATCTCTCTCGTTCCAACAGGAGATACTCCATCACCACCACCCATTCCTGACCTCGACTCATACCCCAACCTCACCCTCCGTGCCCTTCTCGTAGACTATCTCGACGTCAAAGGAATACCCCGCCGATCCTTCTTCTCCACAATTGCACACTATACCAACGATGAGATGCACAAAGAACGGTTATTAGAATTTACAAACCCTGAATATCTCGACGAGCTATGGGATTACACGACACGCCCACGACGTAGTATACTTGAGATCCTGCATGAGTTCGACACTGTCAAAATCCCCTGGCAACACGCGATATCTGTTCTCCCGACCATGCGCGCCCGCCAGTTTAGCATTGCCAGCGGTGGAAAACGCAAGCAGACTGCTGATGGCAATACACAGTTCGAACTACTCATTGCCATTGTCAAATACCAGACAGTGATCAAGAGAATCCGCGAGGGGGTCTGTACCAAATATCTCTCCATCCTCCGGCCAGGTAGCACCCTCCAAGTCCAGCTCCAGCCCGGCGGTCTCAAGTCTTCAGCCCAACAACTCACCGCAGCAACCGTGCTCATTGGACCGGGCACTGGAATTGCGCCCCTCCGCTCCATGCTCTGGGAGAAAGCGGCACTTGTGCAGGCTTATCGTGAGCAAAATCCCGGCGTCAATCCACCAATCGGCCCTACCATTCTCTTGTACGGAGGTCGAAATCGAGAATCCGACTTCTTCTTCGAGAAAGAGTGGACAGAGCTCGGCAAGCTCATCCCGCTGCAGGTACTTACTGCTTTTTCGCGTGATCAGCAACGCAAGGTCTACGTGCAAGATACTGTGCGTGAGAACTTCTCGCTCTTCTTCCGTGTTTTGCATGATATGCAAGGGTCGGTTTATATTTGTGGTTCCTCTGGTCGCATGCCTCAAGCTGTGCGCGAGGCGCTGATCGAAGCCTTCCAGCATGGAGGAGCTCCTTTACCGGGGCAGCCTTTCACCCGCTCCCAGGCCGAGGGCTATCTCATTGGCATGGAACAAATCGGCCGCTACAAACAAGAAACTTGGTGATGTCTGAATATTTTGTTTTCATCACAGCGGAATATGAGAAATTCTCCCTCCATGTGTACATGTATTTATGGAAAGATGTCCACGGACGAATATTAGATGAAGGTCACCATCTACGATGCAAAACAATCAATACCTTTTTCACTATGTAATGTCACTCTTATTCCTCAAGCTCGATGGGATTCGGCTTCGGTAGGGCCGAATCCGAACATCCGAGTGCACACCAGCCCCGGAGACAGCAGCGTCCCTTACACAACTAGCTTACTCCCGAGGTCATGTTACATAGATAGGATATCTTCTATCACAAAGAGCCAAGGAATTTTCCATGATAATGAGGGTACATATCCGAGTCTTTTGCGTATAATGCAGTTCATCAAAATTTAGCTCATTGATTAATCGCAGCAATACTCAACATAGAAATTTACCAGCTTCAAATAAGCAGCTAGTATACATATCTAAATTGATGTATCTCCCTGTCTGTCTTATCCATCAGGTTCAGGGAAGCCAGGGCTACAGGGTCACCGTCTTCCTCGAAACCTTCCTCGGGAATGTTGTCTCGCTTCTTGTTCTCCCAGATGCAATAGAATCGTAGTAATATAATGAGAACTGCAGAGCAAGCAAAGCAAACAACCATTCCCGCAAATCCAGAAGGATAGCTGGGCGCTTCTCGAGCGAACATGATCTGCGGTCCGACAATATTTCCGGCGCAGTATGCGATGAAAACCTAGCAAAATGCAATCAATGTCAAAAAGATGCCTTCAAGTTGGATAAAGCGAAGAGACTTACGACTGCTGTGACAGTTGATTTCTTGGTGAATCCCGCTGTGTTACTTGTGATCATTGACATTGTAAGAGGAAAATTGGCCGAGAAAGCAATGATAAGACAGTACCCCATGAAGCGAGACCAAATGTGCTCGGGATTGATCTGTCGAATCATGACTGTGCCAATCAGAGCCATTATAGTATTGAATGTCATCCAATATGTACGAGTGTTTTTCAGATAGGTGCTGCCGATGGCAGACACTACGACGAAAACGATTTGGAATCCGGTGCCAATCATTTGGACAAGAAGAGTATCGAGTGTGGTGAAGCCGAACCCTTCGACGACAATAGAGGCAAACTAGTGAAAAGAGAATAGGTCAGAGACGATTCCACGATATAATTGAGCTCTCTGAAAAGAAAAACATACTGAACCAACGCCGCCATTGGGCACGTTTTGCGTGAACTGGAACATTGCAAGAATCCAAGTCTTTGGGTCCAGCAGAGCTTCGATAACTTGATATCGCTTGATATGATGACTTTTAATCCCAGTTAGGTTATCCTGGACACGCTCCACGGCTTTGACTTGGTCTTCAATTGGAAGAAACCATGCGCCCATGGGGCTGTCGGGAATTGCGAACCAGCAAATCACCGACCAAACCAAGGTAATGCCCCAAAAAAGGATAAAGAGGGCCTTCAAAGGAAAATGCTATTAGTGTTCTAAACTTTCGAGGTAGAACATTGTAATGTTTTCTTACCTTCCATGCTGCAATGCCATTTATGTGCCCGACGCCGTATCCCAGCAGACCACCAACCAGACCTCCGATAACGTTGCCCATAAACCATGCACTTTGGCGAAGGGGCTGCTCGGATCGCTTATACCACATAGATATAATAAGACTCATAGAAGGAGCGATACTCGCCTCAACGAATCCCAGGAAGAAGCGCGCGGCCCACAAACCATGGGAATTTTTGCACAAGACAGTCAACATGAGGATAGCCGCCCAAAGTCCCCTGTTTTTTAATGACCAGATCAGTCTCATGCTTTGGTTTGGGAAATCGATATACTCACATAGCTGCCGACATGAAGCGGCCAACAGGCAGACGAATAATCAACAAGGCCACAATTCCCGAGGCAACCAGATATCCAAAGTAAAATAGACTAGATGCCCAAGAATAGTCTTGGCCCACAAGATGCATGTCTGTTCGGAGGCCCAGAATGGCGCTATATCCCATAGCCTGTTTGTCGAGATACTGAAACAGGTACGAGAGGAAAAGAAAGGGAATTAAGCTGGTCATGAATCAGTCTCAGTCCGAATTCTTGCGGAGGATAACACGGGAAATTTAAATACCAGATGTCAATTTTGCGAAGTATGCGACGGTCGTCTTCGGGAGACAAAGGCATACCCAGTCGAGACTGGTAGGTCTCTAGTGCCTGGAGGGTATCATCGGCATCTTTGATGTCAACTTTGGACATATCCTTTGTATCACTGGAAGTGACAGGCGGGACTGGCTGATCCAAACGATTGATCATGAGGGGCAGAATATAATTTCCTGAAAGTATGTTATGTTATTAGGGAAAGCGGCTGTTTTGTTTATTATGTGGGTTCCGGCGTGAGTGCACAGTCAGTAGTTTTATACTTCGTAAAGAGCACTGGCACTTCACGGCCATGTCCATTTAGACTTCAGAAGTGATTTGACTCGGCAACCGCACCTTGTCAACTGACACTTCCGATCTTTTCCCAAACGCCAATCTTCCGCCTTTGCTTATCTCTGCTGCGATTCGGCTTCGGCAGGGCCGAATGCCGAAGTCAAGCTGTTAAGGAAAGATAGACTGGTATTTATTCTCTTCGAGAAAAATGGCGCTCGGATAAAGGAAATTCATATTGATGGCAAGAAGCGAAACTTGGATTTTTCTGGTTTTCATGTACCGATGCTAATGACTACCGGATAGAGCACCGTCAACGGCAACCGAGTCAAGCCCCATCACATATATAACCTAACTTTGCTTCCGCAAGAATACGAGGGCATAATAATTACACCCTAGTGGCCACTTTCCAAAAATCACAGTCTCACAATCATGTCTACTACTACGACAACAGTATCTTCTCACAATCAAATACTACCGGAGCCTCAAAATGCACTGTATGTTCCACTGCATTCTTCTTCAATATCTTACGCTTCAAGGGTGTTTGCTGACTTTGATTTGATTTACAGTGCCAGTGCAAAAACTGGTGACTGGCTCGCCGATCTTCGTGATAATGGGTTCGCAGTGATCAAAGATGCAATCCCACAAGATCGGGCCATTGCCTATCAACAAAAGGCTCGTGAGTGGCTGAAGTCATTCGGGAACAATGAGCTGGACTATGAAAATCCAGAGACGTGGCTGGCGAAGAATCTCCCTGTCCAGAGCACGATCAACACCTTCAGTGCCTATGCAGTTGCCCATGAAAAGTTCATGTGGGATGCACGCATGGAGGCAGGAGTGACTGAAGCCTTTTCTAAAATCTGGGGCACTGAAGAACTACTAGTTAGCTTTGACAGTCTGAACATCACTTTCCCAAACCGCAAGGATATCCCGCGAAAGGGTGCCTGGGAACATGTGGACCAGAGCCCCTTCCGACGTGGTATGCATTGTGTCCAAGGAATCATCAATCTCTCTACAGCTGGTCCAGATGATGGAGGACTTGTAGTCTACCCTGGGTCCCATCGTCTGGTGGATGAGTTCTTTGATACCCAAACAGACACTTCGACATGGTCAACCAAAGATCTGTACTGGTTTGACCGGGCCAAGCTCGACTGGTTCAAAGCAAGAGGATGTTCTCCACACAAGGTCTGCGCGGATATTGGCGATTTGATCGTGTGGGATAGCCGCACTATCCATTATGGCGCTGAGCCAGCGGAGGCCAGCAAAACCATCCGTACTGTTATCTATGCTGCCTACTCTCCTGCAAAATTTGCATCCACAGAAATTTTGCAGTGCAAATCGGAGGTATTCTCCAAGTATGGAGGTACCACGCATTGGCCTCATGATAACGTCGTTATTCGCAAAACTTATGCCATGCTTCCTGACGGAACTAGAGACCCAAGGGATCGTGAAGAGCCCCTTGAGCTTCCCCAAATCAATGACCGGTTACTGAAACTGGCTGGACTCAAGTCATATTAGACCCAGTATGATGCTTAGGATATCATTGTCTATAAATCAGCAGTAGCTAGCCCTGCGTTTGTGTTTTGCTCTAATTGATCTGTGTATTCTGTCGGTTTTGAGTGTTACCTATGGTGAACCACAGTCTAGTGCCAAGTTGAGAGTAAATTGACGAGTCTGAGATCGGACTCTGAAATTTACTTAGCCTGACTCCGAGCGCCCTCATAAAGGCGGCAGCTAGAGTTACCTAGGTAGCTAGGCCATGATGATATTGCTTTTCCTCTCGAGTCCTTGGTATTTGACGCCATTCTTGACCAAATTCTACACAAGGCGGTTTGGACGAGTGGTCTAAGGCGATTGACAAGAAATCAATTCCGTTCACGGGCGCATTGCAGCCGTCGTTTTTCTTTCTCGTTGTTTGAGGCTATTCCAATATTTTTTTCATGGTTCAAGGAAGAGCCTGGAGGGTTTTATTGTTTTCTTAATATGTATAATGGATAGAGGGCAACGAAAGTACCATCTACAATCTATCTGGGCCAGGAATCAACCTGCCTGGTAGCTCACTAGAAAACAACAGGAAAGACATATATTAAGGCTAGGTCTTGACATAACTATACAGTTTATAACCATTTCAACAAATTACAGTAGGCTATTCTTCTCAGTCTTGTCAAATGCAAAACAATATTATCACAATATGTAGGCTGTATGGTTAACCTCGGCAGGCTCGGTGGTGTGAATGCGGCGGAGAATTGCGGCCATCAGCAACCCAATATCACTTCCATAGCCAATTGCCGTCATGTTCTTTTCCATTGGGTTTATTCGCGTGTCTTTTTCTTTTTTCTCGTTATTTTTTATGAAAACTTGTTACAATCTCGAACTCATATTTATTTTGATACGGTCTACTGGGAGAGCAATTGTACAATAAAATGTATCATGGTCGGTGATGTATAGAGGAAGAGGCTGTCAACTGGTAGTATATGATAAAAGTAAGCTAGAATACTAATGTAGTCAAACACTGAATGAGTATACTTTGTATACTACTCCGTACATAGTATCCCTGCTGTAATGCCCCCTTGTATATTTGCATACAAATGCACTCCTCCATATCTATTGAATGCCGCGATATGTCATTCTTATAGAAACATTGTACAATACAGTTTTCTAGCGAGCATTGCTACTAACTGCTGGTCAAGGGTAGACAACTTGAAACAGCTCTTAACAAAAATCAAGCTTTAGCAACACAAATCCGAGAAGAATGCTCGATGCCTGTAAGATGCACCCGGCTGATGCTCCGACCCCAAGCGCTTGTTGTCATGATGGCCGCAAAAGTTTACGGTACGATGAGGAGTCCGTGGTGCGACGAGGGTTAAACTCGGGCCGCGTCGGCGATTTTGATTTCTTGGCACTCCGTCACCGCACGCTTTCTCCCTCCGAGCCTCCAAACTTCCTTACATCAACTCAGGAATTGGCCGTTGCTCGACTACTGATTACACAAAATGAGTGGCCTAAGGATATTGGTGCCCGTCAAGCGCGTGATCGACTACGCGGTAAGTCAAGTGCCCGTTCAACCATGGCCCCTCCAGGTGCATCTCCGGGCGAGCGATGCTCGGAGTTGGACCTCTCAAACAACAGGGTCTCCATGATCCCCCACCACTCAATCTGGGATTGGGATATATCGACTGACACCCACATTCGAATCTGACAGATCAAACCCCGCATCAACAAAGCCCAGACCGGTGTCGAAACCGCTGGTGTCAAGCACTCTCTGAATCCATTTGACGAGCTCTCAATCGAGGAGGCCGTCCGCCTTCGCGAGCGCAAGGGCCCCATTAAGGTCGAAGACATCCTCGCGCTTTCCGCCGGTGGCCCGAAATGCCCTGATGTCCTCCGCACCGCCATGGCCATGGGCGCTGACCGAGCTTTCCACATTGAAGTACCTGACAAGGGCGATGGTGGCCCAGAGCCGCTGACCATCGCGAAGATGCTGCAGGCCGTCGTTAAGGAGCAGAATGTGAACCTCGTGCTGCTGGGTAAGCAGGCTATTGACGGTGACCAGGGTCAGACTGGTCAGATGCTGGCTGGTCTACTTGGGTGGCCCCAGGCTACGCAGGCCAGCAAAATCGACATTAAGGATGAGGCTGGTACCGTTGAGATTACCCACGAGGTCGATGGTGGTGTTGAGACTCTCCGCGCCAAGCTGCCTATGGTTATCACTACGGATCTGCGGTTGAACGAGCCGCGGTACGCTAGCTTGCCCAACATTATGAAGGCCAAGAAGAAGCCCCTTGAGAAGAAGACTCTTGCCGATCTCGGTGTCGAAGATACACGGCGGTTGAAGACTCTGAAGGTTACTGGTATGTGCTTCCGGTGGTTCTGCTATTTGGTTTGTGGGATTGAGCTAACGTTCTGTAGAACCCCCGCCACGAAAGGGTGGTGGCAAGGTCGAGGATGTCGATGGCCTTGTCTCCAAGCTTAAGGAGCTGGGTGCGTTGTAAATGCGCTAAGCTTGTTCTTGATTGCACTGCGTTTCTATACCATCGCCTTTGAAATGTTACCCACTAGCTTTGGATCCGTCTTGCGCATTTCTCCCATGGTTTCTGATGGGCATGCTGTGTGGCGAGGCATGTGTGCATGTATTGGATGCTAGATCTTCATATAAATGAAAAAAATCCTCGTTATAATTGATAGTCTGTACTAGGCCCACTAGTTCTAATCGGTTGGCATTGTGTTCAGTTAGGCATCCTTTTCTCTATGCATTTATAGTCATAGTTCGCAGGGGGCCACACTACTGCAGCATCGTGGATCACAACCCGCCACAGCGGCGCTAGAGTGGCTAGATCTCGTCAGCGGTCTAGGAACTATGTACGAAGTAATAGCCACCCCAAATAGGTATGGCCATATGTATTACTCTTCCGACCCAACTTTGGAAGGTCTTTTCATTGAATCCTGACAAAACTACCCAATCGGAACTCTATAGCGCCCAAGTTCCATCTCAGCCCGAGGCAATAATACACTTTCATTATCAGCCACAGTGCCCAACTCTCCCTGATTGGCTGTGATGAAAGGTTCCGAGAGCCTTGCAGCTAGAAGAACTCTCCTAAGGATCGATTAACATTGCAAAAGCACCAAGTAGGTAAGAATATGATATATAATGCTTGAATTTCCCCATCAGGCCAAGTACATTAGCGTAGATGTGTTATGAGATCAGCACAAGAGACCTCGGGATGATCTTGCATTATTATATGGGGATACGCTATAATATGCGTTGGCAACATTTCAGCTGAAATGATATCTAATCTCAAATCACTACGGAGTACTAGTACGGATACGGAGTGGAGTATAGGGAAAACCGAGCCGACGGATCCGTACATTGCCTAATAGTGTGATCGATCTGATCTGTTCTGCCTACGGGATCCACTGGGGCTTGAAGATGCAGCACCCGGTCAAAGGGAACAAATTAACAATAACAATGTGTTTCATGTTTTGAAGGTATTTTGTTTCCAGGGAATATGTATGAAGTAGATGAAAAAGTCTAAGGAAATTCCTTGACACGCGTTCTAGCCCTGGAGGCCAGGGCTTTTAATTTTTCCCGGTGGGGTTGTGAGGTATGTGCAGTGATTATCTGGACTGGTCATTTCTGAGAGTCGGATGTACAAGATCTCAGATATTATTCCAAATGTAATAAGCAATAAGTTCAATAAGTAATAAGTTGAATGTTCTCTACAATAGCACATATGTATGTACTCCGGATAGATACATAAATACAGTATAGAGAAAAAAAGAATGAAAAAAACCAATAAAACACCTGATCCATGGATGATGACATTGCCTCTTCGAACCTTGGAACCATGGAAGAGCCATAAACGGTTTTGTTCTGGTCCAGGCCTTAGATATTAAACTCCGTCTGACCCCGATTAGAAATCTTTCAACTTCTTCCTTTTACCTCTTTCTCTATCTCTTTCTCTATAATCTCGACTTCCATATTTCTCATAAAGTTTCTATACGTTCGCAAACGCATTCCTCCCCGCATTCCTGGGTTACTGCAGATCCCACCGAATTCTTCGATCCTCTCGATCCAAGAAACATTCCCGATCACATTAAGAATCTGTCGGGATTCATGCCGTTCGCGGCGCAAGTCGTGTTTCATATAGTGCCCTGTGTATAGATCGCGCCTTGATCCGCCTTTTGCGGCGCGAAGCGCATCCAAATTTTTGCTACTTCTTCAATCACCATATAATAGCGTTAAAGTCTCTTTTGCCTGGAAGTCACTCGCCATGTCTCCAAATAAGTGGGAGAAGACCAAAAGCATCTCAAAAAAGGGCTTCGACAAAGCATGGGACACCGTCGACAAGCTCGGCGGCCCCGTCAACCGTCTATCGCATAAGCTGGGATCCGAAGCCTTCTGGCCCATGACGATCGACAAGGAAGCCGACAAGGCCGCGCGCATCCTACGCAGCTTCTGCAAAGACGGCTTCTATGCTCCCGATTCCTCAACCGGCACTGATGAGAAGGGCAAGATCAATCGCCCCAAGGGCAAGCAGCGCGTTATCAAGAAGATCCCAACACAAGTCGTCAAAAATGCCAAGGGAATCGCCATCTTCACGACTATGCGCACAGGTCTGTGGGTGAGTGGCTCTGGCGGTAGTGGCGTGTTGATCGGTCGCCTCCCCGAGACCGGCGCATGGAGCCCACCATCTGGTATCATGCTACACACAGCCGGGATAGGCTTCCTCGCTGGCGTTGACATCTATGACTGCGTGGTAATCATCAACACATATGAGGCGCTTGAAGCATTCAAGAAATTCCGCTGCACCCTCGGCGGCGAGATCAGCGCAACCGCGGGGCCCGTAGGTGTGGGTGGCGTCCTCGAATCCGAGGTGCACAAACGACAAGCACCAATTTGGACATACATGAAGAGCAAAGGGCTATACGCAGGTGTCGCAGTCGATGGCACGATCATCATTGAGCGAACCGACGAGAACGAGCGCTTCTACGGCGAGCGCATATCCGTCGACGAGATTCTCTCCGGTAAAGCCCGGCATCCACCCCGCGAGCTCGAAACCCTCATGCAAACATTGAAGGCCGCGCAGGGCGACTCTGACGTTGACGAGAGTTTGGTCCCGCCACCGGGCGAAACACCTGGCGATTTGGAGCTGACGGAAGACGGACAACATGTCTTCGGCGTACCGGCTGTGGACGATCCCGATCCGTATGGAGTGAAGGCGCTGGAGGCGGAGGGGCTTTTCATCCGCGAGGCCGGTACAAAAGTAAGGCCAAGCCATGAGATATTTGAATTTCGACCCAACTTAGACAGTCCGATTTATAGCACGTTTTCTCGGCGCAGCATGGATAGCTCGCCGCGCAATAGCTGGCGCGCGAGTGTACAGAGCTCCAGGAGTTATGCTAGTGTCGACCGTGGCACGCAGACGGATGATACCCTGCCAACTGAACCCACCTCAGTGAGCCGTGCGTCCTCTCGCAGCGCGAAGGGATCGTCTATTGGCCGTCCATCGATGAATACTTGGGATGAAAACGAGGACTCTCACTGGGATACAATTGATATCCACGGCGGGGAAGAGCAGGTGGTGGTCCGCCAATTGGAGGACCAGGAGGCGGAGGACAGGAGAGCGAAAGCGAACGCCTGCGAAGATGCACACGAGGACCCCGAGTTTGAGGATGAAGACGAGCACTTTGAGGTCCACGAGGTTGGAAATGCCATGGTTACTCCAAGGGAGAGTGTCCCGCCCTCGCCCACGAAGGTGGAGGACCAGACAACAGACCGTGACACCAAGCCTACGTCGCCGAGCTTCACCCGAGCTCGTCTGGTCACAATCCCGGCGCGCACCCCACCTGCCTTGCCTCCGCGGCACCCACGCCACCTCCCGGGCTCTGGCTCAAGCCGTGCCTCGACATCGCCTACGGCGCTCTCGTATTCAAGCCATAACACCTCACCCACCGACGTCACCGAGGCGGCGGAGAATCTGGAACAATTGAATGAATCCCCCCGCGCGCTTCCATCCCCGGAGAAGGCCAAGAGATCTCGTGGTATTCTTGCCATGAGCGATGATGAGGAGTTTGTTGACACGAAATCGGAGCCCCCGACCGAGAAGGACGAGTTCCACTCTGTCAACGGCGAGTCGGAGATTGAGGATAATATCATTACCCTTGAAGACCACACTGCCACCGAGGCCGCCGAACAGGAGAGCAAGACGGGCAAGGAAGACGAGCAGGAACTTGAACCTGAGCAATCTCCTCGACTTGAAAAGTCTCCCGATGTCCCCAAGCTTGCACCCAATATAGAGGATACCCCGGAGGTGGAAGTGATCCTCGACAAAATCGAAGCCAAGCTTGAAGCCGAGATCAACCAGCCCGAAGGGCAGAAGTCTGAAAAGTCATATTCAGATATCCTTGCTGACCGTGAAGAACACGAAGAGTCCCCCGGCGGGACTAAAGTCGATACCACCTTGCCCCACGCTAGGGCTGAGTGATCTTGGGGCTTGATTAACAACTGTTTTTCTGCTTCCTCTTTGCGCTTGCCTTGGCCTTCTCGTTTCCATATTTTTCTCGAAACACACCTTGTCACGATACACATCTGACTCATTTGGGAGTTCTTGGGTCATCCAGGCTCCACCTTTCTATACCTCTCCCATCCCCATCTCTCACCTCCAAAAAACGGTTTTATGCTGTTGGTTTCCTGCCATTGATTTTAGCGTATCTGCATTTTAGCGAATGGGGGGTATTTGTTTTTGTTCCTGCGTCAGGTCGATGGGGAAGAGGTCTTTGGGTTCCTTGCTCTTTATTTGGAGCTTTCGCTCAAGTTGCATTATATCCTGTTTCCCGGACTTGGAATACACTCCTTTAGGTATTGATCTTTGGTTTTTATCTTCATTTAGTCGGTTGAATTCTTTTACACCAATAATTATCTGCGCAGGTCTATTGAATGGTTACAGTAGCATGTCCCATCTGAACATTATCCCGAAATTGTACATATATTGGTGCCTTGGTGCCTTGTCGCCTGCAACTTTAGGCCGCTGCTATGCTTCACGTCCTTCTCTGCAGACTCGACAACTCTTTCATTTTCGCTTTGTGTGTTGGGAAACTGGGACCTCTGAGATCTTCTTTCGTCACATTACTTCAACCTTTCTAATTCGACTTGTTGTTGGCATACTGTTGCTATTGAAGCTTTTCTGTCGCAGGACTGGAAAATAGCCCTAACTAAATTTGATGTCTCATCTCAAAATACCTATAACTTTCTGCGAATCTATAATCCTTTTCCACCGAGGGGGAAAATGGAATCTAGTTCTACATATAGCTTTTGGAAAATCCCAAGGAGCTTCAGTCTTGGGTTTCAATTGACGACTCACCTTGTCATTGTCACAACCAACTCACAACAATTTAGAAGAATATAACATCCTCCTCTTGGGAACAGCGTGAATAGACCGCACAACCCACTTTTGTATAGGTGTGCTGCTTTGGTTATGCTACTTTGGTTATGCTACTTTGGTTATGCTACTTTGGTTATGCTACTTTGGTTATGCTACTTTGGTTATGCTACTTTGGTTATGCTACTTTGGTTATGCTACTTTGGTTATGCTACTTTGGTTATGCTACTTTGGTTATGCTGCTTTTGATTGCGAATGCTTCGGTTATGATAGTCAAGTCTTGTTGAAGTGGAAGAAACTTTGAAGACACCAAAACATCTACATACATGTGTTAGATTGAGCCGATAGAGAATGGGAAAAAATAAGAGACAGCTTATAGGAGAAAACTACCAGAAGCCACAGTGAAAGTGAGTCATTGTGTAGCACAAATGTTGAGGAAGATAATCTGTGAAGGGTCAATAGCTGAAGTTGTTTGTTGGCATTTGTTTGGTAACATGTGACCGGCTTCAGTCCTACTACATATAGGTTGTTTACTTTCCTTTCCTCTTTGACCATCCTCTCTCACCATCCATCCCCTCTCACTGTCCCTGTCCATCCCCTCTCACCATCCATCCCTTCTCACCATCCATCCAAGAGATCTCATCTCAATATCTATCCCCCAGACTACGTAATCTTTGCATAAGTTCATGTGATATCACAGTTTGAGAGGACTTCGAGCACTCCCTCACTTCAGCCTTGTCAAGTACGGTCTTCCCAAGCGAATGTTCCAGGTCTCTTGGGCGTCCCTCAAAAAGCAAAATGGCTCAAAATTCTGTGCGAAGCTTGAAAGGCGGCATCAAAAAGTAAGTATTATGGCTGAAGGTTTTTCTTTACTGCTACGTACTAAGTTGACTCAGCATTCAAGGACCGATAGTGACAATCTTGGTCGGGCCCTCAAAGGAGCCTTTCCATGTTCATGAATCAACAATATGCACGTCCTCACTGTTTTTCAAAAGGGCCATGTCTGGGCCGTGGAAGGAATCCGAAGAACACACTCTCGAACTCCCGGAAGATGACCCCCAGATATTCGCTCTATATTCACACTGGCTTTACGTTGCCAAGATCCCTGTGATTGCCGAAGCTATCGAAGGGGCAACAAGGGAAGAACCAGAAAAGAACAGTGCCCAGGAGTATTCTGATCTCTTCAAGGCATATGTGCTTGGTGACAAGTTGCTCGATGCCAAGTTTCAAAATTCGGTTATCGACGCGATTGTCGAAAAATGCTCTACACCTGATGCACAAGATGGGAGATGTTACTATCCCTATGGAGATGTGATCAACTACGCATACCAAAATACGACCGAGTCCGCTAAAATTCGCAATTTACTTGTGGATATTTACGTGGACAGTGCGCTAACCGGATGGCTCACCAGAGAACTTCCACAGGAATTTCTCTATTCGGTCGTTAAAGGTCTCATCAAGAAAAGATCCCCTCACACCAAGCACATCAGAGCACCCGAGTATTATGTGCACCCCTCGGGAAATTGACCAAGCAGGCATTAGGGTTCAATTCCAGCACCTCTATGGCTTTTCGAGTGTGGCAACGTCACCAATCTCCACCGGGCCTTTCTGACTTCACTCGTCTTCCAACTTTGTTATGAATGAACTCTACTCAGCTCTGCTTTCCGGGTTACACATCTCTATCGGACCTATGGATCTGCATATAGAGAACTGAGCTTGTGGCTGAACTTCCAACAACTTTCCCTTGAAGATCAGGTTTCCCACGAATCATCATGTTGCATTTTCTTTTATCTTCTTTGTTTCTAGCCAGCTTCTGAGGCAATACCATTTTCTTCTGTCTGATTTGGCCTTGATTTGAGGTACTGGATCGTCTGTTCTCAGCAAACACCGACAAGAGGGCTCATCATGCAGAGAACTGAGATCAGTTTTCGATTTGTATATGCATATCTGAGCTATCCCCGATTTAGCTAAAATGCAAATGCCGGCTTAACCCAAAAGCTCCTAATCAGTAATTACAAATATAATTACGGCTCTACTACGATGTCTTTTTAATGTCTTTTTAATATATTCTTTATGGCACCTTGGGCTAGTCTTGGCATATTCCAAAATTAAAGACCCGAAAACAAAGCGGCACTTGGACATGGACTATCACAATCTAAGCGTCTAGTCCGATACTGCCGCGGTCAAACATCCAATGTGGGTTAGGGCCGTGTACGGTAGCCACTGGTGTATGCTGGCCTTCTTCCTATTGGCGTTGCCAAGTACCCCGTCTTCTAACTAGTCCGATGCTGCTATCACCAAGTCATTGCGCTAATGTTTTCTGTCAGCTCCCCATTTTCGTCAGGCACGAGCCACTCAAAACGAGTTCAATCCAACCAATTACCCCTCAGTAACTCCACACCGACCGAGTTGGTCAAATGATAGTCCATATTGCATATGATTATTTCTCCGCTATAATAATAGAGATGATTCCTGGAAAATCTGACATGGATTCTTTTGCAATTTTTTCCTTTGGAATTTTGTATTCGCTGAGCAACCTTGGAACATGGCCGGTCTATTAGCACTGGGAATAGGTGGTTTGGTAATATATATTGCCGTCAAAAGCATCTATCGGTTGTATTTCCACCCTCTCAGCAAAATTCCCGGGCCAAAACTTGCAGCTATCACAAGCGGCTATGAATTTTATTTCAATGTGATCAAGGGAGGAATGTTCATCTGGGAGATGGAGCGGCTACATGAGATATACGGTCAATACTACCAGGCATATTCAGTATCATCAGTCTAATTTTTCATTAGGACCCATTATACGCATTACCCCTCTTGAGGTGCATATCAAGGACTCAAGCTATTACGATGAGATATATGCCTCTAGCAAGCGCAGACGCGAAAAGGCCGCTGACTTGGTCGCTCGATTCGATCTCAAGGATTCGGGGTTTTCTAGTGTCTCACCAGAAGACCACAGGAAGCGCCGTTCACATGTTGAGAAACACTTTTCAAAGCAAGCAGTCTCCAACATAGAGTATTTAATATATGAGAATATTGACAAACTCGACAATCATTTCAAACGCGCCTTTGAATTCCATAAAGTCATTAGCCTCGATGCAGGCTTTGCTGGGCTGACTTCCGATGTCATTCACAAATATGTCTATGGTTTCAACAGTGGGAACCTTGACCACGATGACTTCAACACGAGTGTGAGAGATGGAATCAATGGACTTTTCAGATACAGTCACGTCTTATTCTTTTTCCCGGTTCTTCAAACTATCATGAACTCGCTTCCGTTGTGGTTGCTCGAAAAGCTTGACCCATTCGTTCATGCATTAGTGAGCCAGAAGTTGGACCTTCTTCGTCGGACAGAGAAATTCCTGCAAAGCAAGTCGTCAAGCGCGGAAATTCGCTCCGTCATGGAAGTTATGTGTGGTCCCAGTATGCCGGAGGACATGCGCGGTGCTGTTCGTCTCAACAATGAGGGATTTGCTATGATCATCGGTGGTACGGAGACAACTGCGCGATCGCTGGTTATTGCGGCATTTCACCTCCTGGAAAAAGAGTCGATCAAAACCAAGTTACGAGAGGAACTGCGGACGGTGATGCCCACTTCTGAGTCTCGACCAACATGGAGGCAGTTAGAGCAGTTGCCGTACCTGGTAAGTACTCCCTTATATGGCGTAATCATGCGTCTTTTTGGGGTCCTATTATAGTCTTAATAACTGACGGATTCCTTTTTGTAGTCTGCAGTCGTGTCGGAGGCATTACGTATGTCTACTGGAATTGCAAATCGATCGGCTCGTGTCGCGCCTAATGAAGCTTTGGTCTACAAGAACCACACCATTCCTGCCGGAGTATGTGAAATCATTGTTACTAGCTCCGATCCCAGAATTTATATTGACATGATCGAAATCTAGACTCCAGTCAGTGAGACCAACTACTTCGTTCTCACGGACCCCGAAATATTCCCCGATCCGCACACATTTGACCCAGAACGATGGCTACGTGCCGCTGCGAAAGGGGAGCATTTGGATAGATATATGGTCAACTTTTCCAAAGGCAGTCGGATATGTGTGGGCATGAAGTATGTTCCTTGAATCTCTCTCCTTCCTTCCCAATCTCTAATCGACGTGATGCAGCCTGGCCTACGCGGAGCTGTTTCTTGTACTGGCGGCTTTTATTCGTCGTTTTGACATGGAACTGTTTGAGACAAGCGAAAAGGATATCGCTTTTGCGCGCGATTTTGGAACCCCATACCCCGATAAGGGAAATGCCCGTGTGCGAGTTATGGTCACGAAGGTGATCGAGGAGTGAGCATTTTTCACCGTAATTCAATGTCAGTTTCAATTTGCAAGAAAGAAGAGGTCAAAGGAGGATAACAAGGCTTAGTGTCCTCAAACCTAGAAATATGAACTATATTATGACCCACTGAATAAATATTGAAAGAATCGATGCAGTGTTAACCGATACTCGAGACAAGTCATGCGCAGGTGGACACTGAAACGATAACCCGTATACAATAAAACCGAAAAGGGGAAGAGAACAACGTTATCTCCGCTAAGTCCGAAAGCTTGTGCAACTTTATTTTGGAAGGAGCTGGGCATTTGGGCACTGGCATTCCTTGTTCCAGCAAAAGGGCACATTCCCCGAGTTCCCATCTTCCATCCTTTCATCGCGTCCTGGTTCAAGACATCCAAAATGCCTTCGGATAATCACGTCAAAGCGGCCTTGTCTCTCATTGAGGACAAGTCCAAAGTCCTTGGCTTGACCATTGGCACCCATGAGAACGTGCAGCCAGGAACATACCTCCCCCGCAAGAGTACGGACCAGTCCATTCCCTGACATCCTTTCCCCTTCTCTATTCCCCAAGTCGTGTGACAGGCAATCGGAATATGAACTGACAAAAACCACAGCAGCTCAAGAGCCCCCGAAGCTCTCTTTCACCGGCGCCAATCCCACTAGCACCTACCTGGTCGTGAGCTTGGACATTGACGCTCCTTTCACTTCCTTCAGAATCCTGAGCCCCATCCTTCACTGGATACAGTCCGATATCAGGGTCACCAGCGAGGGTGCGCTCGAGTTCGACGCGCCCTTCGTCGCCAATTACATCGGACCTTCTCCCCCTCCCCTGAGCGCACCCCATCGGTACCTCTTTTTCCTGTACGAACAGCCTGCAGACTTTGATCTCACGGCCCATGCACCTGCTGGTGGCAAGAAGCTTGGCAATTCGAATCGCATCCGGTACGATCTTGATGCTTGGGCAGAGCAGATCAAGCTTGGTCCTCTTGTGGCTTTCAACTATTTCACCTGCAACTAGCCGGCTTTTCATCAACCTTAATCGGATTGTGGTTTGATGAAGTTCGAAAGGGAGGATATGGCGTTTCTTGTGGCCGTTTTCATACCCAAGTTTACGGGGACAACCTGGTCTCACTAATTGTCAACCAATGGATGTTACTTTGCTTTGGTTAAATTAATCAACAACTCTCAATTTTCTAACTCAAGACACTATACTGCAAATACTGAAGGATCCACACATGTATCTTCTGTTGTTTCTGGTATTTGGCTGTAATAGATGCACAAAGTGCTTCTCGATGAGCCACTTGACCTGTAAATTTGCTAGATGTTTTTGGGTATGTATGTGCTTTACATCCCTCAGCCTCAGGGCGTCAAAGGAGAAGTCCGGGAGCTTGAAATGGCATCTGATCATCTCTTTGTCGATTGTTTGTCTGACAATGCCATTATTGCAGTGCCGTCAATAGTTTAAAAGGGTAATCCGCTTCTCCCACAACGATGTTCTGGGTTTAATTTCATGGGTACTTCGTCTTTGGTTCTCTTTTGGATGCCCTCATAGAGCTAGAATTAGTGTGGATCTTTTTTTCATCGGGGAAAATGACTTCCAACAAACCGGTAGACAAGCTGGCCGACAATCTGAAGGGGTTGGTCATCGGCGCCAGTGGTACAATCCCTGGATATCAACATGGTATGTTTTCTTCAAATCAAAGCAGAGTCAAAAAGAGAGAGAGAGAGAGAGAAAGAGAGAGGCATTTCCTAGATATCATTTGATGAATGACACCTCGTTATGTAGGAGAAATCAAGCGGATGGTCGAAAAATGTGGCGCGAAGTTTGCATCGATGAACATCCGCGAATGTACTCATTTGGTGACAACCGAGGAAAATATCAAGAGAAAGTTGAAAAAGAGTTAGTAGCATCAGGTTTCGCATATCCTGATATAAGCGTCAACTAACAGGGTGGTTTCGTTTCAGTCAATCGGGCTCGTGAACTAGTAGGCTGCCAAATCGTGAACATTGATTGGCTGCTCAAGAAGATTGAAAAGCACATTCCAGAGAGTGTTCAGAAAAAGATACTCAAGAACGAGAAAAATCAAGGCAAAAAGCGTGAACGGGAATCTTCGCCTGGGGACGACAATGGCAGCGCTTCAAAGAAAACGAAGGATGAAGAACAGATCAACCTCAAGAGGCTGACTGATTTGGTTGACGAGAAATACCCAACACCGAGTTAGTGATGGGATATAGTATTCTTATAAGACTTGAATGTTTAACATTTTTGCTCTTAGGTAGTGCGCTTTCCGTTTTCCAGGACGACACGGGATTGATATGGGATGCCACGTTGGTCAGACCTGGTGTGGAAAAACAAGTCGAAGTTGTGCGCATCCAACTTCTCGTTCATGGCCAGTCACAAATGTTCCACACCTGGGACTTGCGTTACCAATTTGGATCATCTAAGGAATCAAATTCAATTGGAAATGTAGGAAGCCTCGACTCGGCCAAGCGCATGTTTAAGGCGAAGTTCAAGTCGCTCAGTTATCTAGCTTGGGAAGTCCGACATGCTTTTCCCCGTCCTAAAGCCTGGGTTTTCCTCGAAATGCATCACAGGGAGGTCCCCATCTTCACCAGCGAGACCAGCCAGTTGCCTGCAAGCGTTGAAAATGTTTTGAAAATCATCTTCACATCAGGAAACTTGAAGAACTACGTCACTTTCCTAAACAATCACGGACGCAACGTTTTGCTTGAAAGCAAAGTGGACATGAAAAAGCTTCTGGTTGGGATTGAAGTTTTGGGCAAGCTGATGGAGCTCACCAACCCTCAGCTGGCACCTGGCGACCACCGTTCCAAAGCGAAGAAGAGATTGTGCACGATCTACGAAAGCTTGATTCTCACAAACCTGACTCTTTCAGACACCAATGATACCGTCAGACAGGAATTGGAATCCCTCGATCTCTTACTCAAGTTGCACGATGCCAGCGAGATTCTGGAAAAGAAAACCCAGTCTTCCTCATTGGCCATGAGCCAAATATCCCAAGTACTTGGTCTGGCAAAGATGCTCCCAGGTATCTATTTTTTATAATTTGTTGAATGCTTTGCAAAAGAACCAAGGCATGAAGCTAATGCTTGTCCCTTGTTGATAGTGAGGGGGAATTCCACAGAGTTCAAGATGCTCCGGGAGTACCTGGAAAAAACTTCCAGTCCACTCCACCCGTATCAATTCAAGGTAAGCTGCCTTCAAATTATATTGGTGAAAGCTCAGTCTAACGCTTTCGCATTTCTAGGAGGTCATCGGCGTGTTCCGTCTCGAACGTGCTGGGGAAGCAGAGCGCTTTGCCCAATGGGAAAAGGCAAACCTTGCTAATACTGGAAACCGGCGACTTCTATGGCATGGCTCGGTGTCTAGCAACATTGCAGGGATCTTGAGTCAAGGACTGCGTGGCGATGGAATTGTCAGTACCGACGGGAAGGACTTCGTTTCTGGGGTATACTTTGCCGACATATCCACCAAGTCGGCGGGATATTGCCGACAGCAAGGGGAAGCCTTGATGTTGCTATGTGAAGTCGAGCTGGGCACAACCTCGGCCATTTCAGTTCACTATACTGGCAGCACTGTCCATAAAGCATGGCGTGATGCTGGATACATTCACTCGGATTTCAAGGGGTCCTGGGTGCCAGATGTTCACGCCGGAACAACCACTGCAAGCGACAGTGATGGCTTTAACCACTCTGAGTATGTCGTACAAAACCCAGCACAGATTCGTCAACGGTATCTGTTCCACGTCAAGATTTTTTGAAATGTCAAGGACTTTAGGGTGAAGATGTTTGAGGGTTTTGATTTGGGAACTACAGAATGTTAAACTTTTCCTCTCCGAATGTGTCTGAACTTATGCTAGTGCAATACAATGTTGGATGTTCTCTATTACATCGGGTAGTAGATGAATATGCTGAATGTTGTATAGGTATAAAATAGCTAGGGCATTGAATATCAGGTGGTTATGTCTTGGCACTTCCGAGGTTCCCCTCACCCCGCTTACACTTGGGATCTACAACGTACATTTTCTTCCAAGGTTGTGACTCTTCTCTCGGGGATTTTTTTTCCACTGTCCCCGATTTGTTCACGCCATGATTCATTTGTGTACCGCAGCTCTGGTAGTAACTGCTGCGGCGCAGTACTTTCCGCCCATACCAGATGGGTTGAAGGTAGTTGAATCGCAGCATCAAAAGGGAGTAAAGATTTCATACAAACAGGTGCGATTCCTTCCAAATTCCTATCCAAAGATGACATGGGCGTTTATATCACAAAATCTTCTACTGATAAATTGCACAGCCTGGGATCTGTGAAACAACTCCCGGGGTGAGATCATATTCGGGTTACGTCCATCTACCCCCAGGCTCTTTGGATGATGTAAATGTTGATCAAGACTACCCGATCAATACTTTCTTTTGGTTTTTCGAGTCTCGTCATAACCCAAAGAATGCGCCACTGTCCATATGGATGAACGGAGGTCCAGGAAGTTCCTCTATGATTGGCCTCATGCAGGAAAATGGACCCTGTATAGTCAACGAGGATTCCAATTCCACAGAGCTCAATCCCTGGTCCTGGAATAACTATGTCAATATGCTGTACATTGACCAGCCAAATCAGGTCGGCTTCAGTTATGATGTCCCGACCAACGGTACCTTTGATCAAGTTCAAGGTGCCTGGAACTTGTCGAAGTGGGTCGGGGTTCCCAAGCAGAATAACACTTTCTACGTCGGCACGACAGCTAGCCAAGATAAATCAACGGTAGCCAATAGTACGGCGAACTCCGCGCGGTCACTATGGCACTTTGCTCAGACCTGGTTCACCGAGTTTCCACATTACAAGCCCCATGATGAGCGGGTTAGCATCTGGACTGAGTCATACGGCGGTCGCTATGGCCCATCTTTCACTGCCTTCTTCCAGGAACAAAATGAGAAAATAAAAAATGGCAGCATCCATACCCCGGGGGAATCACACTACATTCACCTGGATACACTGGGCATCATCAATGGCTGCATCGATCTCCTCGTACAGGAACCAACGTATCCAGTAATGGCATACAACAATACCTACGACATCGAGGCGATCAACAAGACCGTATATGACCATGCCATGGATGCATGGAGTCGCGCCGGCGGATGCAAAGACCTGATCACGCACTGTCGCGCGCTGGCTGCAGAGGGCGATCCGCAAATGTACGGCAACAATGAAACCGTCAACAAAGCGTGCCAAAACGCCGACAAAGTCTGTAGCAACAACGTCGAAGGTGCATACATAGAGTATGCAGACCGCGGCTACTACGACATCACCCACAAGAACCCAGACCCTTTCCCACCGTCCTACTACTTGGGTTGGCTGAACCAGCACTGGGTGCAAGGCGCACTGGGCGTCCCGATTAACTTCACCGAATCAAGCAATGGTGCCTACAATGCTTTCCAAACTGTCGGAGACTATCCGCGTTCCGACGTGCACGGCTACCTCGAAGACCTGGCGTATGTGCTCGACTCCGGTATCAAGGTCGCTCTCGTCTACGGTGACAGCGACTACGCTTGCAACTGGATTGGGGGTGAAGACGCCAGCTTGCTGGTCAACCATGCTGGTGCTTCTGGTTTCCGCTCTGCCGGGTACACGCCTCTACGCACGAACTCCTCGTATATCGGCGGCCAAGTCCGGCAGCATGGCAACTTTTCTTTCACTCGTGTCTACAATGCTGGTCATGAAGTCCCGGCCTACCAGCCACAGACTGCATATGAGATCTTCTACCGTGCGCTCTTCAACCGCGATCTGGCCACAGGCAAGATCAATACTGCAGGTAATGGCTCATACACCACACAGGGGCCTGCATCTACTTGGCATATCAAGAACAAGGCCTCGGAGAGTCCAGATCCGGTCTGTTATATCCTTGCTTTGGAGTCGACTTGCACTGAGGATCAGATTGCAAGTGTGATCAATGGCACAGCTGTTATTCGTGATTATGTCGTTGTGGATGGAAAGTTCAAGTAGATTTCATGCAAGCTTTGTGCACATTATTGTTCCTTGTGTATCTTACTAGCACATGCATAAAATGACATATAGAACCTTGTATTCTTCTATAAGTGAGCTCTTGTGTGGCCATGTCCTCGCATGTTCAGTATTCAATACGCTCTTCGCCTGTAGCCAAGGCACATATCTCGAAACATACTTGGTCGGATGGCTCGATGATGACTCGGTCAATCCAAGAAGGTCAAGACTGACACACAATTGAGTATCTCATATTTTGAACACGATAGGAGGACCCGGGGGTTTCACAAGCCGTCACAGCCCTGTAGGTATTGCATCGCATGGAGGTTCGCGTCGTGCGGGTTCGGCCCGAGCCGTTGTGGCACCTGATTCGACGAATGGCGGCTCTGAAAACCGGGTCCCTGGATTCCGCCAAATCCCCTAGTAACGTCTCGTGAGTTAGCGTGAGTTTCGGACATGATCCTTTGTGTCTGAATACTTATCATCCTAACAGGGTGTCCACCACCAGACAGTGTAACAACCCCCATTGTTATTCTGGTCGTCTCCAAATCTGATCGTATTGCTTTTGATCTCAGTAGAATAGGGAGCATAGTCATGGAGGATGACGTCGGTTCTCTAGCCGTGGTCTTGTTCGACGGCAAAGATGGTTGTAAAATGTCGAGACTGGGGTAATATCCTAGGTCCGTGACTTTGCCCTAGGGGGCATTCAGAATCATCCCAGTAGTCTGATTCGATCCGAACAAGAGCCCTCTTCGGAGGAAGTGCTTGCGTGCCCTATGGAGTACTCGATTCAAAGTCCAGTCCATGCATTGAACAACGACGCGTATCCCGTCCCCTACTAGAAGCCATACAAAGCAGGTGTAAGGCGGCAGGCAACTCCGAGTGGACAATCGGTCAAAACAATATGGGACTCCCTCATCAATCGGTGCACGTCGGCGAGATCGCAGTGAGGGTATTGGATAATAAGGCCTGTTTGATCTAGTGGTCAGAATCTGCCAAGTGTTAGCCTATTTGCTCATGAGATGAGAGGATCAATCCTTTGGTGTGAGTCAATCATAAGGGCAACACTTGCCTGAGACATCAGGTAGAACATTGAAACTTGAAGAGGGAAGATGTACTGTATGTGACTTCCCAAAGCAATTATTGAGACCAAACTGCATCCATGGATGTTTAGAGATAGACTAAGCTGTGATATCATGAGGCTCATAATGAGGAGACACCCAAGTACCCATATACCTGCCCCGATCATGTGCCTTCCCTTTCAGTCAAAAATCGTCACCTACCCCAGTTTCCTCGTCCTTAAGCCACTGGGAAAATATAAATACCTGCCCCCTCCCCCCATCTCTCTCTCTTCTTTCTTTCTTCCCTCTTCAACACTCCGGGCCCACATTGCACTCCGTGGTTCCCTGGACACCCACTATTTTTTTGAACTTCCTCAGCTCTCAGGGTCATATTCAACATATGTCTCCTGTTGTCCGGTGAGGACTCTGACGGGTCTTCTGTAGGCGGCCTAGGCTAGGCTGCGAATGGCACGAAGCATGTATATGCGGGCTACCTACACGCTATCTTCGGATGCTTCCGGTGCTTTGCTATGACCTCTGCGGATACAGACTGTACGTGTCTAGGTGCTCCCGTTGTCCGTCAGGAGCTGAACCAAGGGGCTCTGTTCTCATCTCCTTTTACGTGCTCTTTGAGCCAATTTTTCGTGCTTACCTTACAGTATAGCTCTCTCTGTTGTCCAATGCCTATTCCCTCTTGTGTTTGTCCCTATTGTCTGTTCCTCCTTTCTTCAAAGTTCTTCCCCCCAACCCAACCCAGCTGCACGGGTCCTGTGTGCGGCACCTGAGCAAGACTTGCACCTTTACGTGGTGCTCAGGATGAGTAGCCTTTATGGTGAAACCAAGCAAGTCCTCATTATCTAGAACTGCAATAGAACTTAGTATTGGATACTTCAATATGTACTGTGCTTTTGTAAATGATCATGTAGTAACCTATGGACTGGTAGTTTGACTTGCACTGTGTAAACAACCTTGGCCTGCAATAAATATAAGATATTTGATGGTGCCTACACTTCCAAAATTTCACTTAAAAAGTCTGTGTTGCGTCAAACCTGGCTACAGACCTATGTACTCCCAGCTTTCATGTCAAACCCCTGTCCCTACACTTGTCTTTTCAAATTCCCGTTGCCACGACGAACCGATACACGTCTTCACTAACACCTGATTTCTCTCACAGTGAGTGTGCACAAATCGGTCAGACCCCTTCTATTCAACCAGACTCAGACTCCTGGAGTGTGGCACCTCGACCTCGACAAGCATCTCCATGTAGGACCTGCTAATGTTGGATATTATAGACAACGAACCTTCCTGCATCTAACAAATAAAAACGACCGAAATGGCATTTCCACGCCGGTTTGGCTGGCTCGCAAGACCGTCGCTCTTTGCTGATCCTCAACAGCTCCGACTGGGCCCAAACGCGAAGGCAGAAACCAGAAACCAATGAACAAACCCAGCCTCGACCATAACATATAACAGAAATCAATGCCCGGCATGTACTTTGAAGTATCCATGGCCACTTTACCGGGTCTTCTTACAAAATGGTGGCGAAACATGCCATTGTGCAAGGAAAATGAGACCATGAAACCATGACTATGGAACTTCGACCACCTCGACACCAGGCATGACTTACGCAAAGCACCCTCTTGTACAAATGAATTCGCTCTCATTTCAGAATCTGCATTTACTGACCGTGGGACCCTTCTGGGCGGCAAGATACCATTCTGAAGGTGTGGCAGATTTGTCAATCACTTGTTTGGGAGCTGGCGTGATGGTCTTTTGCTTTCGGGCCTCTGATGATGTACTATAAAGTCATCAAGATCAATTCTCACATAATTGCAATCAAATCTTGCTATCACTCTGTCACTTCGTATTCTACTTGTGTATACTGCAATTCAATCCAATGTTGTCACCATGATATGACGACAACCTAGTGTCATGCAACATCACCTAATTGACTACTCTAGGAAACAATAATGTTTTACTTTCCCCTTTTCGGAACTACACGCACGCAAAGCTCTGGTCACAGGTCAGGTGCCACTCACTTTACTTACATGTGTCATATGTGTGCACCCTAGGAAAACATTTGGAGCCCTACGATACGGCGGAGATGCCCCCTCGCTTCTTTTTGATTGACATACATACACAACTGAGTGGTGATAGGTGGAAGACTAGGCTGTCTTATCATCAACTGGCGCTTTAGATGTACCGCATCCAACTAAACGGGGGAAAAGGTCAATGCTAGTGAATAAACCATCCAGTATCATATAAACCATTCATTCTTTCTTGTCATGCGCAGTCTCAGCCCGTTTATTTCCTACTCCAGACGACCAAGCAACACGAGCAAGCCGCCAAAGCACCCACATGAACCCAAGAGAGATAACCACACAAGTGCCAAACTCGATATACTTACCCTGGAAGTAGCCATCCTCGCCCTCAAGTCGTAGAACCGGCACATCGATCTCCTCAACAAGACGGTCACTCGCAGGCTGAAGCTGGTAGAATAGGGTCCGCGGACCGAACAAGCCGTCCCAGCCGAGATTTGTGCGGTCGAAGGGGTTCACACCCATCTTCGTGTCGTCCTCGGTAGTACAGGCCCAGAAGACGACAGGCCATGGAATGTGGGCAGTGCAGTGTCCTGTTTCGGAGGGTGGCAGGTAGCGCAGGTGTAGAGGAATAGTGGCAGTCCAATTTGAGGGGTCTGGTGTGCTGGCCACGTCCTCGGCTTCTAGGGGGGTTGCTAGTTCAAGAAGCCAGTTTGAGCCCCAGCGCTGTACAACCCAGTCTGGGGCTTCAAGATCCATTTCGCCTGCTAAGGCACGCAGGCCTACGAGATTGTGTGACTCTAGGAAGAGTGGATCTGTTGTTGCGAGCTGGTATTGATCTCCGAATATGACGGAGGGGAGTGTGAGGTATGTGTGTAGAGCGCAGGTTGCGTCGCTGGGTGCTGGGGGTCGTTTAAGGGATGATCGGGGCATGGATATGGACATTGTTGGATGGAGACCAGTTGGGGGAGCGAAGGAGACGGCGTAGCTCGATGGTTCAGTCAGAGGTTGGTGGCGGGAGGGGAATGAGAACATGGTTGGTTCTGTACAAGGGTTAGTGGGCCATTCCGGATAAGGAGAGTTAGACAAAAGGCAAGCGATATGAGAAACGCCGAGGGCACATACTTAGCTTCTTGTCCTGCCCGACAACCGCTAACAGCCCGCCCATCTTGATATCCTCTGGCTCAAGCCCTGCGTCGGCGCCCAAGAGACCGAACTCCACTTGATCGGCAGCGGATGCTGGCTTCTGAAACTGATCCGTCCAACCGCCTGTCGGTGGACTGGTCCAGAGCCCAGACACAGTTAAAGCGTGTGAAACACTGTCATAGTCGACATCGACCGAGTCCGCAGAGAGGAGAGCATCGGCCCGGGTGTGGCACTCGGGGCCATCTGTACGACTCTGGTCACAGACAGTGTTCTGAATATAATTGACTAGAGGCTGGATCGAAGGGAGGTGGGTGTAATATTGTAGAGAGGCCGAGGAAGCGAATCGTGTCGAGAGAAGCGGGGGGATAATGAACGAATCCTATATAGCAGATTCCGGGTTAGATGGAACACGTCCAAAACATGGCCAGGGATTATCCCCGAAGGAAAAGGAACAATCTCGAAATACCTCCTGTTTCAAACAATCCTTATATTGAGCGTCTTTGTTGGGCGCGACTACCGTGCGGAGCAGCGTGCACAATGCCTCCCTATCGATAACCAAATCAGTCAATCGCATTTCCCCCAAACCCAAGATGTAGAAATGAGCTCACGAAGATGATTCCGGCTGGAGCGGAGTATAATGCACATGGAGACCAGGCGAAACCCGGCTACTGAATGGCACGACAGCATCAAAAGACCTCTCGGAGGCCCAGCGGAGGTGGAGCTCATGAGATTGCTCGAGGACAGCACGCAACTAAACGAAACAAAATAACCAGATTAGCGTTGCTCAATTCTCGACAGATTCTGCGATCGACAATCCCTTCTCACCTCCTCTGGAAGTTCGTGCAGTCCGACCGTAATGCGGTCCTCCCGCGCGGCGTCCAGGCCGCGGACGGAGAGGGATGATGCGGTTAGCACAGCTTGCTGGGGGTCAAAGCCGGCATCGACGCGCTGGATGAAGGTGATTCTTCGTTTCATGGTTTATGTAAACAAATCAAGGGATATCGGGTAAAACAAAAGTAAACAGAAGTGACGAATTCCAGGGTTGATTTCTCCAAGGTGTCACTGGTTTCTCCGCATTCGCTCAATTGGGTTAGACTGCAACTCATGGTATATTACGCTATTTGAGCACAACTTCACCTGCCCAGGTCGGCAACCTTGTATTCATATTCATACATAAAAACTAGCCTGTCTAATAAAAGGACCTATTAAAAAACCTCATACAAAAGTTTGTTCGTGTCATTGTCATTAAATACTCCGCCCCCTTTCACCCCAAACGCCAGGTATATGCAATTGGATTAGATCCTTTTAGGGCAGCACGTCCCGGAGAATGTCTTTTTGGGAGCTGGTCAAGCTAGTGGGGAAACTAACGTTGGCGCGGATGACCAGGTCGCCGCGGTCGCTGGGGTTCTTGGAGTTCACCATGCCTAGACCGGGGTAGCGCTCTTCATGCCCGGGCTGGGTTGGACCGGGCTTAGACACTCGGATTGACTTTCCGTCGATGGTGCGAACAATGCGGTCCCAGCCTGTCAGTGCTTCCTTCAGGCTGAGATCGACCGTTGTGATAAGATTATCACCAGAACGCTTGAAAGTAGGATGATCGATCTGTAAGGGGTTGTTAGTAATGATTCATCAAGTGTCTTTGGCACAGCCAGGAGGAATCTCATACCTCTTTTACAATCAGATGAACATCCTGCCGTCCCCCTTCTTCCTGATCCCCAATATTTCTGTACTTGATCTTCGAGCCAGCACGCAGTCCAGGCTTGATGTTGGCTTCCAAAGTCACCTCCTTGGTAGTGAGCTTGCCCGTACTGTCAAAAGCCTTGCTCTTCGTCTTGACCTTTTTAGATGTACCACTGTAAAGTTCCTCCAAAGTTAATGGCAGGTCTTTCTCGATGATAGTTGGCTCAGGTGTAGGTGCGCGTTTCGGTTTCGAGTATCCCGGACGGCTGCTACGGAAGCCGGCGCTGCCGCCACCGCCGCCCATTCCTCCGAGCATGGAGAAGATGTCGTCTTCATCCATGCCGCCCATACCACCCATGCCGCCGCCGTCCTTGGCAAAATTGCGGAAGGTGTCGTTGGCATCGCTGAAACTGAACCCACCCCCAGGACCGGTCGAGAAGTGGAACTTCCGGGTTCCTCCACCGCTGGGCATGCCGAAGTTGAATCCTCCGGGCATGCCGCCTCCGGGCATACCGCCGTCAAAGCCAGTTGCGCCGCCTCCGCCTCCCCCTGGCGGGGGCGGGGCGGGGCCGCCGCGCATCAGGTATTCGAGGCCAAACTGATCATAGACCTTGCGCTTTTCGGGATCGGATAGGACTTCGTAGGCTTGCGACACCTCTGTCGTGAAATTGTTAGTTACGTGTTGAATCCCGAAACTGTGCGGGGTAACGTACCTTTGAATTTATCAGCAGACTGGGAGTTGTCTTTGTTCTTGTCCGGGTGGTGCTTCAATGCTGCCTTGCGGTATGCTTTCTTAATCTCATCTTGCGTGGCATTGGGCTTGACGCTCAAGGCGTCATAGAGCTTGGTCTCGGCAACCATAGTGCGGGGTAAGATTGGGTTTTATGTTTTATGGTAAAAAGGAAAAAGCAGTTCAAAAATCGTGGGCCTCAAATCGGAGGTGCACACTTATGAACCGACGGTGATTTCTGACAGGAAAAAAGAATCCCGCGTGGGAAGTGGGAGATGGTGCGTTGTACTTCGCGAATGATGTAGAAGGTTCGAAGCGGAAAGGCGGATCGTGCGTAATGGAGGGAATTAAGAATTAAAGGAATCTGGAAAAGTACAAGTTGAAGGTCATGAAATTGAAGAAGAAATAAAGCACAAAAGGCTTGTAGCAAAGAAATGTACTTGAATGGCAAGTTGTCTCGAGGAGTGACGTCAGGCTCAAGTCTTGACGTGTGTGACCTGGGACCATCGAAGTTTCGAGAAGCTTCGACATAACAGCAACTCGACTGATACGACTAAACAATATCAGGGGAAAAGTCTCGATAATGTTAATTTTGCTCTTTTTATTCTGCATGAGTTGAAGTCGGAGACTTTTTGAATGCGATCTACACTTCCACCGTTTGTGGAGTATATCAACTAGACATTTGGAGATACCTATGTCTATCTATTCTCTCCCATTTACCATTTATCCCTTCATGCTTCACAATGCTTGCTGGGGTAAAAGAAGGATAAGAAGAAGAAGAAGAAAGGGAAGATGAAAGAAAAGGAAAAGGGGGGGGAGGGTTTATACTGGTTGGCCCGTCGGAATCAAGAAAGAAGGGTTTTTGGTACTCCCCGATGGCAGGAGCAATTGGGAATTGGGGGTGCAGATTGCACCGCACCAGGGAAACTCCGATGAAACCACCTCAAATTCCCATCTCAGGTAACGGCCATGGGACATCCGTCATTAAAAATTGCTCTAGATCAAAGTTCTGCAGACTAGGCATATCAATCATCAAATCACCTAGCCACGAGAACTCTGCATCTGATACCAGTGCATCTGGCGCAGCCTGCTCCTGCCTTTGGCTCTGCTCGGCTAACGCTGTCCGTGCAATGTGCCTATCTTTCTGGTCGTCCATTGGGGCAGCAGCAGCAGCATTGACCCGCAACACCTCGGCAAGAGCACGGGTATCATCCTCCTTTCGCCGCTGGTGCAGCGCAATAAGTAGATATGCCGTAGAATACGCCTCACGCATAGAAATTGTATCATAGGCAGCGAGAACTTCACGCAGAGTCCGCATCGCATCAGCGAGCAGCGCCAACGCAGCCCGATTGTCAATCGCTAGAAGTGAGCAGACGACCTGAAAGGGGACGTTGGCAACTTGGTGCCAGGGGCAGGTGGAGGCAACCATTCCTCGTGCGGCACGGAGCCCGCGGCCTGCCAGTGCAAGGACGCGGTCAAGGAGGTTAGAGGATAATGGGCCGTGTGGATTTAGAGCGCGGAGACGGCGATAAATGCATAGCATTAGGTTGCATTGGACTAGGATTAGCGACGGTTCGGAGTAGAGGAGGTCCAGGACAGAGGTGAGGGCTGTTTCGAGTTCTGGGAGATCTTGTGGTGACGGCCCTGTTGGGTCGAGGTTTTCGGAGAGTGGGAGGAGGTGGAAGAGGTCTGCACGTGGGGCTCGAGGTGGTGCTTGCTGTGGTGGATTGCGGGATGGGGATGTGCTTGTAGGAGAGAGAGCTGTGGCGCCGTGAAGGACAACACGGGAGCGTCCGAGGTCGAAGGAAATCCATGTGTTGAGGTGGCGAGCCATGCCAAAAAGCCTTTGCCGGGTTTCGGGGTTGCTGGTGCCCTGTCCTATATCGTCATCTTGGCTACCGCGTGTCTCGGGCGGTGATGGTTGAAGCAGGCCTGCTGCTTCTGGATCTGAGGTTTCAAGGTGCAATCCTGCCGCTTCGATGAGATGCATCAGTGTACAGCTGGCCATCCATGCAGCATGTGGTGAGGCTGTCATGCGTAGATACGCAGCACGCAACACCCAGCCTGTCACTATGTCAACCGATGGTGTTTCCGCTGTGAGGATGCTCTTATCCAGTAGAATGCGCGCAGTCTCAATGAGTTGAACTTCCGTTGCGATGATCTCGCGCCGAGAAAATAGATACCCAAAGGCAGCCACGCCGCATAGTACTGCATCATAGGGCTGTTCCGCCGAATCAATAGGAGATGACGAAGACTCCCAGCGCTTTACGATTCGAGTAAAGACCACCTTACGGTCCAAAAATGTATAGCATGGATCGACCTTCTCAAAGTAAATCGCTGCTACCCGCCGCATCTCTTCCTGTGGGATGATTTTGGTGATAGTCGTCGGCGTCGGCGCCGTGACAGGCATTGAGGGAAGCGCTGACGATAGTGTTGGCGACATCCGTCTCTCACCGACGTTCCAGGCAAATAATTGCAACCTTGGTGCGTGCGCCGGGTCAATTTTGAGCCCAAGTTTACGAACAAACGCGGCACCAGAATTGGCCTGTAGGGAATGGGTAGCGCCCTCTAAGCTGCTTGTATGGCGGGGGAAGCCTGTACCGTAGCGCTAGCTGCAGCGCTGATAGTATTTGGGACTGCATCGGACCAGCCATCTGTAGGTCGTTCACTGAGTGATAGGCTCGCTCGGTACAGACTATGGGATCTGGCGCGTTTCTTGCGCGCACTGTATTGGCACTCCGCACCAGTTTGGGCGCAGGTGCTACAAGGCTGCCCACCTGAACATTTGCGCTTTCGCGACTGACATGAAGTGCAGGCTAAACGTGAGCGCTTGCGAGGCGTTGACTCGGACATATTTGGAAAACTACGGGGAAAATTGCGGGGAGTGGGAGGGTAAATTGGTGCCAAGCAAATTAGACATCTTCCCTTTTTCAATTTGAACTACACGGAACTACATGTACGAGGTACACTTAGTTTTTTCCCCCTAATTTCGCCATTCTTGGCTTAATCCTTGTATTTGCTTCCATCCGGATATCCCATCATTCCCTCGATCTCCTTCAGATCTGGCATTCCCGCTGGCCCCGGCATATACTGGAGATTGTCCCGAAGGGTCGTGCCATTCCACCATAATTCGTTCTTGTGCAGTGCATCCATAATCATCGGTGCGTCGATATACGTGCGGATCTCGACCATCTGGCCACGATTCCAGCGTGTGAACCAGACATTGATGATATCGAACTTGTCGCCTGTAGTGGGTTAGCAAGTCAGCAATGCTGAAGATAGGAAGATATCTCCTTGCTCACCAGAATTCATCACGCCTTTGAACTGAATCTCCTCCACTGACCATTCAGCGTTACATCCGCCATAGATTCCCTGGGGGTGGATCTCAAACAGATCTGTATGGTCAACAAACAACATGCTGACTCGACGCAGGGCATTGACGTAGAAGTGCATTAGGTCGTAGTAGCGGCCGGCGATCGGGTGATGCCCGACAACGGTGAAGCTGACATTTTTGTGGATCAATGTAAATAGCTTGTTCATATCTTTCTCGAGGTCCTTGAATGAGTCCCAGATGTGCGGTTGAGACGCATATTTGCAATCTGTGGATGGGTTCTCGAACTTGAACCCTTCTCGGTCATGGGGTATCGGGTCGTCCACAACCCCAGTGCCATTGCATTTGCCATCTGGGTCAACAATTCCAGTGCCATCATCACATCCTGACTTCAGAAGTGGGGCCTGGGTGCTGCCTCCAAAACTTGAGAGAATGGAGCGTCCAAAAGTCGCCGAGGGCAGGAGGAATGCCAATAGGGCATAGGATAGATATTGAGATAGAATCATTGTTTTATTTTTGTGAGAACACCAGAGGCTACCTGTCTTGATCATTTTGCCTTGTATTCAAACTGGTTCTTATAGCTGGTGCTACCTTTATTTCAATAATGTGCCGTGATGTTGCCCTTGGCCGCCAGCGTTGCTTCCCTTGGAGCACTACGTTGTTACCCTGAGCCTAAAGGAACCCTGTCTGTGACACCACCAAACCTACCGAGATTTTACAATTGAACGGCGAATTTCCCACACAAAAGACTGATAATTGAGCATCTCCTAGTGGCCAATGGCTCGGGCAAGCTGCAGGGCTACTGCAATGTGGCATTGGGTGGGGCAATAGTGTGGTGTACGGTGTACAATCGACAAAATCCAGGTCGCCAAACTGCCTCAATGATTGATATTACCTATCTTTCAATCGAATTTATATAAATCTGATGATCCCATTGAAATGAGTAAACAATTCTTTGTGCCATGATAGCCCTGGAGATATCATTGTCCAGGCCGAACACGGTGGGTGAGTCAGATCTCCCTACAACATAAACCGATAACAGAATTTTGACGCGCTCCGATTGGCCGACATCGGCAAAGTCGGTGAGAGCACGTGCCCACGGAGTCGGGGGATGAAAAACCTCTTGTTCCCCTTCTTTCCCGTTTTCCTCCCCCATTATTTCTCTATCAAATCACAACGCAAAAAATATCTCCATGTTGCGCTAAATAGCGACCCTTCATCTCTCTCTACCATACCCTGACTGCCACCTGCTCAGTCGCGCTTATGTGTTTGGCACCCTCGATCTTCACCTCCCAGGACTATATCTCGGACCACCTCTGGAAAGCCAACATCAACTGAAAAGCACAAAGCTTTCTAGTGATTTACAACTGTTACTTATAAAATAAAAATGATCTCCAACCTCTTCAAGGCAATGCCTCCCCGGGCTTCTGCCTTCGCCTCCATGAAGCGACCTGTTCAGGCTCGCTTCATGGCTACTGTGCGTCAGCGTGCCGCTATGGAGCCTGCCACCTTCACTATCCGTGATGGTCCCATGTTCTCGGGCAAGTCTTTCGGTGCCCGCTCCAACATCTCCGGCGAGGCCGTCTTCACTACCTCCCTGGTTGGATACCCCGAGTCCCTGACCGATCCTTCATACCGTGGTCAGATCCTGGTGTTCACCCAGCCTCTGATCGGCAACTACGGTGTCCCTTCCGCCGAGAAGGATCCCAATGGACTTTTGAAATACTTCGAGTCCCCCAATCTCCAGGCGGCTGGTGTTGTTGTTGCCGATGTTGCCGAGCAATACAGTCACTGGACTGCTGTCCAAAGTCTGGGCGAGTGGTGTGCCCGTGAAGGTGTCCCTGCCATCTCTGGTGTCGATACTCGTGCTATTGTCACGTACCTGCGTGAGCAAGGCTCTTCTCTGGCCCGTATTACCGTCGGCGAGGAGTACGATGCCAACGAGGATGAGGCTTTCACTGACCCCGAGCAAATTCATTTGGTGCGCCAGGTCAGCACCAAGCAGCCTTTCCATGTTGCTGCTGCTGACCCTCACTCCCACGTTGCTGTCATCGACTGTGGTGTTAAGGAGAACATTCTCCGCAGCTTGGTCGGCCGTGGCTCCAGCGTCACTGTCCTCCCCTTCGACTACCCCATCCACAAGGTCGCCCACCACTTTGATGGTGTCTTCATCTCCAACGGCCCCGGTGACCCAACCCACTGCCAGGATACCGTCTACCACCTCAAGCGTCTGATGGAGACCTCCCAAGTCCCCATTTTCGGTATCTGCCTGGGTCACCAGCTTCTGGCTCTGGCCACCGGTGCTAGCACCATCAAGCTGAAGTACGGAAACCGGGCTCACAACATTCCCGCTCTTGACCTCAGCACTGGTCGCTGCCACATCACCAGCCAGAACCACGGTTACGCCGTTGATGCTTCGACTTTGCCCTCGGACTGGAAGCCGTACTTTGTCAACCTGAACGACCAGAGCAACGAAGGCATGATCCACAAGTCTCGTCCCATCTTCAGCACCCAGTTCCACCCCGAGGCCAAGGGCGGTCCTCTCGACTCCTCGTACCTCTTCGATATCTACCTGGACTCTGTGCTGAAGTACAAGAACAACCAGGTTGGCCTCTACCCCCAGCGTGACAGCCGTCCCAGCCCTCTGCTGGTCGACCTGCTCGCCAAGGAGCGTGTGGGTGTTCAACCCACCATTGGCCAACAGAACGTGGTGGCCGCTGCTGCCGCTGCTGCCATTGCCGCTGCTGCCTAAGTATGTCGACGTACTTCCAGTAGGAGTTCTGGTTTTTGAAGGTTCAATTGGTTGTTTGGGTGGATATTCTTTCGTGTATTTTGTTCATAGTTTCATGGATAGTATATGAAATCAACAGCATTAAAAACATACTTTGATGCCCAAGCTCTTTGTAGTCGTGTCATCTTCATCATTGCTCTCGACCCCTAAGTTCTACTTGGCCACTATGGATACCACATCTTCATCGGAAACCATATGTGACAATCCTACCCGCTGTGGAACATGTCTCGCGCTCGCTCCCCACACCATCGCATACTTGAATGTGTCCTTGATTGTGCGATGGATCTGGTCACAAACATCCTCGATGGTAGAGTCCTTCCGAACGATGAGCGCCTCATCGAACTTAGGATCTTCTCCCTTTCTATAGATACGATAATCGTCAGACACCAATGAAACTAAAAGTCATGAATATATCATACCGTTTTGTGTAAAGCCGCATTAGTCTCAGTTCCTTCCAGATGCGTTCGACAACGTCTTGCACGCCGAGGTCAAGTTCACAACTCATGACGGCTGTGTAAGGCTCGCGGGCAAGGGCATCAAGGAATTCGAGGCCGATGCTGTCGACCTTGTTGTAGACGTAAAGACTGGCAGAAAAGGAGAAATATTAGCATTTGCTAGTTAGATATCAATTATCATTAGTGTCAATCTTACCAGCGGATGTACTTCCGGTGGTCCTTCATAATAACATCGATAAAGTCGTCGATCGTAGCTATAACGGGGTCGCAATCAGTAATTTGGCCTGGTTGTTGTATCAAAGCACCACATACCATTCTCATCTCGCACGAGTACCTCGCAGTTAAGAATTTTGTAATCCCGGAGCACGTTGTAAACCATCTTTTCATCCAAACTCTTTGGGGGAGTGGCAAAAGAGATCTTCATGCCACCGGCCTTCTTGATTTTCAAGTAGATGTTACTGGGGTTGTATCAGTATTTGAATCCGCGCAAAACTTCGAATGATGTATGACATACGGCGGCTCCTTGTTCAACCGAATGCCCACGGCATCCAGCTCGGCCTCGAGCAAAGCTCGCTGTTCGGCACGCTTTGTGGCGTCCAAAATCATCAAGATCAAATCACTTGTCTAGAAGCAGAAGTTTTGTCAGTGTTTCTGTACTCTTTCCCATCGAAAAGGCTAGCCCGCTCACCTTTGCGGCCGAAATGACCTGCCGACCACGGCCTTTGCCCTCGGAGGCACCTTCGATAATACCTGGCAAATCCAAGATTTGAATCTCAGCACCACCATACTCCAACACTCCGGGAATAGCCGTCAGCGTGGTGAAAGAGTAGGCTGCAGCCTCACTCTTGGTCTTGGTGATTTTAGACAGAAATGTAGACTTTCCGACAGAGGGAAAGCCAACAAGAGCCACTCGTGCATCGCCGCTCTTGCTGACATCGAATCCCGCGCCGCCGCCAGAGCCAGCACCTCCCACTGGCTCCAAAAGCTGGGCTCTTAGCCGGGCAAGCTTTCTGAAAACGTTGTCAGTTTATTTGAAATTCAAGTCAGAGGATGGAGAGAGACTATACCCTTTCAATAGACCCAAATGGTATTCTGATTTGGAGATTTGAAAATTAGATCAAACCCTCCTTCAATCAAAAGGGTATCTTACCTGTCGCCTTATTCTCTGTGGGTCATTAGCGGGGTGATATATGTTTAGGTCTGAGGATAAGAACACTTACTCTGCGTCCGACGCATCTCATCTTCGATCCTGTAAAAGATTAGCAAAGTAGGACATTCAACAATTAACAAGAAACATACTCCTTAATCTTTTCCGTAATGTTCACCATCGTGTCGGTTTCTAAGGCTTGTCGCCTGCGAAATCACTAAATCTTTTTCTGGTGCTTCGTTTTGCCTCCAGAGATGAAATCCCGCCGATGTGCCCGCGGCACCTGCCAAGCCTTTTAAGGTTACGTAAGCACCTCAGTCAACGGCCCAGGACGTCAACCTTTTTTTTGAAGCTCAAGCTTAACCTTCCAACTCAACCTCTCCAACACACACACACACCATGGCAGATACATCGGTTGCTGAGCCAGCAGCTCCCACTTCTATCACCACTCCCGATACCCTTGACCCCAATGCCGAAGAGATGATTGTGGCAACAACCAGCACCGCGGACGACACTCTGCAAGGAGATCAGCAGCTCCAGTCGGTCAAAAAGACCAAAATTATTCGCAGGAAGAAACGCCCAGCGAGGATACAAGTCGATGCGTCAACCGTTAAAGCCGAGCCCGCGCAGCAGCCCGGACTTGACTATAACATTTGGTACAACAAAAGCGGCGACAACGACGACAAATATGGCCTCAGCCAGCCCGCGCCTAGTCGCTGCAATATTGCGCGTGACTCGGGATACACTCGCGCTGATCGCATTCCGGGCTCATTTTTCTGGTAAGAAAATCTATCCTTCATGGCTTCATGGCTATCTTGCGCGTCGCAGTAGACATTTGCTAATCCTTTTTCCATTTTATCTAGCATACATTTTGCGCGAGGTGTTTGCGTGAAAGGTCAAGACTGTGAATACCTCCATCGTCTACCGACGATTCATGATATGTTAGTGTGATTCCCATGCCATACACCATTCGAGGATTCTTTCACTTTGTTAGACTCCTCGGATACAACACAGCCCGGCTAATCAAGTCATTTATAGGTTCAATCCGAACATGGACTGCTTTGGTTAGTGTCATTTCCAACCATGCTGTTGATAATTAAAAACGGGCGACTGACTCCAGACTATAGGGAGAGACAAGCACAGCGATTACAAGGAAGTGCGTATCATGTCTTTGTGATTGGGAGATATTGGTTTGGTCTGAACATATCGCTAATGCTACTTGAAATAGGATATGTCCGGAGTAGGTTCGTTCACGCGCCAAAATAGGACAATCTACGTGGGCCGGATTACGGTTTCGTGAGTACCTCGAAAAGTTATACTTCATCTTCTTGCTAATCAATATCTAGCGATGATATCGAGGAAGTGTGCTCAAGGCATTTTGCGGAATGGGGTCAAATCGAACGAACAAGAGTACTTACCGGACGGGGTGTCGCTTTTGTCACCTACTCGTCAGAAAGTAACGCACAGTTTGCGTAATATCCCCTCCCCAGGCTCTCTGTTTGTACCGAACTAACACATGAGTAAAGTCTAGTTGCGATGCAAAACCAGAGCTTGGACCATGAGGTAAGTTCAATATTTTAACCCGCGAGATGCGATATATGATACAAAGGAACTAACACACAAGTAGGAAATTCTTAACGTACGATGGGCAACGGTCGACCCGAACCCAATGGCACAGAAGCGCGAGGGACGCCGGCTAGAAGAGCAAGCTGCCGAGGCTGTGCGCCGGGCTCTCCCCGCGGCTTTTGTAGCAGAGATCGAAGGCCGAGATCCCGAGGCTAAGAAGCGGAAGAAGATCGAGGGAACTTTCGGACTACAGGGCTATGATGTTCCAGATGATGTGTGGCATGCCAGAACTCGTCAATTGGAGGATGCGAGCCAGGCCGCTCAGCTAGAGGCGCCTGAACAACCGATGATGATCGAGTCTGCTTCGGTTTCGGCACAGGAGCAGCAGCCACAGAGTAATGGCATCTTCTCCAGCTCTGCGGTTGCAGCCCTACAGAGTCTTAATGGTGGAAGGGTGACAACCCAGGCACCCAAAGCTACTGCTGGACCGTTAGTCACCTACGGCAGCGACGATGAGAGTGACTGATTTACGTGCAGTTTGTGCGGCACCTTAATCCATCATGATTGCGAATTTTTTCATGTACAACAGCAACGATACCTCTGTCAAAATGTTATTTCTCTCCCTGCATCTCCATACGAGATATTCGTAAATATTATTTCTGGGCGTCATTCATCACTACATGTATGGTATCATCCCGAGCACTCGCTAACTAAAATACAGCAGTGAGAGTGTCAAACAAAATGAGATACATCCACCCATAAAACAAATGCAAACACCACGAGTCCCAATGATCTGAGACTTATGCTTAACTTAACTCCACTTCGTCGCTCTTTCCCCCATGAGATCAATCAGTCGTAAATTCATTTCTCGCTAGGGTCCCAGGTCATAGTACACGCAGGAGCCTGTACGGTAGTTGTAGATGAAAGCATTCGTGTAGCTTTCTGTAGTATCATTTGTACGATTCTCCACGGCCAAGTCAGTGAGTAGCTCGTGCACTTGACTGAGATACTTCCGCTCTGTCAGCGGTGCGTTCTGAATCACACTGCGCCAGCTCTCTGCGTCGGAGAGACGCGTGTCCCGAATAGCGTCGAGAACTTCGTCGCGGGTATCGATGGCGGCGACGGGGCCGTTGCGGGCGTTTTCGGCTACTTCCCGAGAGGAAAGTAGGGCTAGCACGCAGCGTATCAGTTAGTATATTAAATCAATTGAGAATGCATTCACTTGAAATATAAACATACCTGACTCAACAATGTTCCTTCGGTTCGTCTTCTTGCTTCGATGCTGGGGGACGAGGATGCGCACATCATTTGCCCGTTCCTGGAACGCGAGAGCTTCCTGCTGGCTCAATTGACGGGATTGGCGGGGATCAGCAGTTCCCTCTCGATGGTGGCGAGCCTGCACTTCTGATCGAAGCCACTGCACAAGTTCAGCGGTGCGGATATCGAATTCTTCCTTGCGCATCAGGTTCCGAACTTTAAACCCACGCTCTTTGCTATCTTGCTTGGCGATCACAATGCACCGGTGATTGGAGTCTTTGTATTTTGCTAGAAGCTCTTCAAGTGACGAGGCATCGACTGCAAGCTCCGCGCTTATGTTGTTTGACCAGAGTTCTTCAATAAGTTTGACTCCTGTTGTTCGGAGGACGGTTGGGTCAAAGCTAGCAACAAGTACATCACACTTTGTTGGAGGTCAGCAAAAACTACATCAGACAGGTTGAGATGGAAGGTCACTTACCCGACGGGCCGCCCAGTACAGCTCAGCGCTTGTCTCGGAATCCTTCGACGGAGCCTTGGCCTTCAGGTAATCGATCATTGATGACCGTAGTCGATCCGAACCGAGGTTGAAACCCACAGCATGCGCTTGTGGTCGATTTGATAGGACATTAGGTGAGAATTCCTGAATCAATCGGTCGTATCTGCCACCAGCAGCAAACACATCGCGTCGCTTGCTATCAAAAATACACTGGAACAGTATGCTACCGCGGTAGAACTTGTCATGAACACTGCTGAGTGGGTTGATGTAGATTTTTCGTTTCACGCCGAAACTCTGCAAATAGGTCATGAGCACGTTCAAGCGAGCGAATATTGGTGAAATCCGCTCTGCATATTCAGTTCCTTCCATGATGTTCTGCAGCCTGCGTTGTGTATCCTTCAACGAGTCTGTATTATATTCATTAGCGTATTGTCTCCGATCTGAGAAAGTAAGCTTAACTACCTCTGAAATCGAAACGGGCAAGGTCATCCAACGAAGTTGAAGCAACACCAATTGCCGGGGCCCGGAGTTCACTTCGAATCTTTTGCATGGTATATTTTCCAACATTCAGCTTACTGAGAACCTCCTTGGCCTTTGGAATTTGGGTAGGCGTGATGCGACAGAATTCCATGATAAGTTGGAGCAGATCGGAGTGGTTGACAAGGAAGCACATCGGAGTAGACCTCAAAGGTGGGAATTCCTCAATGATTTCATCCAAGACCTTGATCACTTCTGCCTCTTTTAAGGCTAGGTCCAGGGTGTTGTGGGATACAATATCAAAGTCAACTTCGCGGTGAGTTCGTGGTTCGCTGCCATGGGGTGAATCTCTGTAGACTGTGCCGAATGCAAACGTCTTCTCCAGTGAGCGATCTTGTCTTGGAATTGCTCGTGCATTTGGAAGTGTAAGATCATAAGGCAGCTGTAAAAGATTTCCGGATGCATCCAGCACACGTACTGCACCGTTGTTGTAATGCTGGGATCGGGGAAAGAGCATTTGCCTTGTTGACTCAACAGCGCCATGTCTTCGAAATATTGAGGTTAGCTTCTTCTTGACCAGGCCCTGGACAAGTAGCTCGTTGGCGGCGGGTACCGCATGCGAGTCTATGTCCCAAGCAATATCTTCGAATTTCTTAGGCGACTGAGAAAAGATGGCTGATAGAATCTTTTTGTAGTCGGGTGAATTTGGATCCGAGAGAAGATGCACAATAGCCCGTCTGAATGTCTCTTCCTCAACCTGAAGAGGTATCTTCCCACTAGACAAAAGGTCGGATGCTGTGGGGCGTTCGCTCGGGGTATGGCTCAGAAGAGATTCAATGATCTGGCCTTGGAGCAACTTATCAGATTGCTGGAAAGTGGGCGGAAGAGTGTGGTTCTTTTCTCGGATTTCTCGAAGAGTTTGATCTCGTTCCATGCCAGTTGGCAATGGATGACACATCTCGAAGAAAATAACACCGAGCGAAAACATCTAGAATGCGTGAGCATATACTTGTAGTGCCAATTGTATATTCACTACTCACATCCACCTTCTCATTGTAGTGCCCCGAGACAACTGACTTCATCTCCGGTGCCACATAGTAGGTTGTACCCAAACTGCGAGTGAAATCCCCCTCGAAGTCGGCGGCTGCGGACGAACGCACGGCCGTGGTGAATTGACCACTTGTTGCAAGACCAAAGTCACCAATACGGGGATTATTTGCAACGTCAATGAAAATATTGTCAGGCTTCAAGTCACGGTGTATGATGCCGTGACTATGGATATGGCTCAAGCCATCGAGAATTTGCCGAAAGAGACGCCATGAACGCTCGGTATCATCGCACAAATCATCCCTTATTAGATCACGCAAAGTCTTGGGCAATATTAGTCTAGAACAGCGAGCAGAGCGAGATTAAAAGACTTACATGCTTTTCACAGTACTCCATCTGGATGTAGAGTGTGGTTAAAATAGGCCTGGCATAAGAGCCAGATCTCGCTCGGCTGAGCTCAACTTCCTCCACACTTCCGGAAGCAACGCGAGTGTCATTTACCCTGTTCCTTTCTGGCGTCTCTGGGTGAGCAGGGTCAGATAACGTTCCTTCGTTTTCATCATCGCTGTCTGATGCGGCAAACTCTATTTTCGGATACCCGCTGGAGCTGATGAAATCGAGGCCACCTGTACTGAATCCGTGGTGATCCTGGCTAGCGTACGGGTCACCTTCGGTGGAGGACATAGCCTCTTCCTCAATGTGATTGAAGTCCTCTTCAAGCCAAGCAGTGTAGTATCGGACAACATAGGGATGATTCAGCCGGGACAGCAACATGGTTTCGGAAAGCGTGTCTTTCAACGCTGCGGCCGATGTTTGAGAGATCTTCTTTATTGCATACAACCGACCATCGAGCTTGTTCCGGGCTTTGACTACCTGTCCAAATCCACCACGGCCTAGCTGACCTGCCTCATCGAAGTCTTGGTGGTATCGTGAGAAAGCTGGCATGGCTCCAAAAGAGTCTAGGCGTGGTTGTCTCTGAAGGGACAAAGATCCCGACGCTCTTTCTCGCATCTTTAACGGCGCATCCACCCGGAAAAACTCGGACGGTTGGAGTTGGAAAGCAGTCGGACGCTTCCTGGGATCTGGGCGGAAGAATTCACAAAGCAAATCTTGCAGGGGCGGCGAGAGCCCCATAGACACCATCAACTGATTGGCGGAGGTGTACCTGAGGAGAACATCCTTTCCAAAGCCCATCTGAAGCAGCACAATTCCAAGATCCCAGACATCGGTCTTCATGGAGGGAGGAGAACTGTCCTGTGTCAGCTCCGGGGGTAGCCAAAGTGGTGACTTTGACGCCGCGAAAGAGGGCTTTCCACAGGGAGAGTCGGGCAAAGCTTCTTCGACGTTTGACTGCAGTTTAACGATAGTTTCACCAGAAGGAGTCCTGAACAAAAAGACTCGGCCACAATGAATGTTCCCATGCACAAAACCGCTGCGGTGGTAGAACTCCAGAGCCTCGAGTAACTGAATCATCCAGCCGCGAAGCATGTCAACAGCTACGGTCCCCACGATATCCAGGAGCTCGGAAAGGGAACCCTTGTTTGCATATTCCAAAAGCGCGAAGACGGTCCAAGAATTATCGGGTGAATCGAAGTCGATAATTGGGCGATTGATTTTAAACCCCACGAATTCAACAAGATTGGGGTGTCGCAATCGCTTGATGCCCTCCAACTTATCCTCACTGGTGCGCATCTGCTCACGGAATGTCAATCCTTCAGAATTATTCTCGTTGAGGCAAAGCTCCTTCAAAACAAGCAGCGGGACATGGCATCGGTTCTCGGACACAACAGGCCTGACAGTGAAGGTCTTTTTGCACTGTTTGCTTTGCAACAGGGTCTTGCCATGAACGGCGCGGAAGACCAGTGGCTGCTCATCGGTGTCATTGACGGCCAACGGAGGATCAAAACAGATGGCACCGGGTGTATTTTCCACAAGATCGTCTACATAACTCATATCCGCGCCGCCAGTTCGACTCTTTCGTCTCAAAATGCGAGCCTTGTTGCGCTGTCGCATCTTGTCTTGAAGCATTTCTTGTAGTGCGCGCTCTTCCTCGACAGCTGCAGCCTTTTGTTTGCGAAGTTCCTCTTGTTTTTCTAGGTCTGCGCGTTGAAGAGCAGCTGCCTCTTGCTCCATACGCTCCTCTTCAAGGCTGGGTAGGTCTTTGTCCTGTGCTTGTGCCTGAGCAACATCCTCCAGAACATCTTGGATGGACACCGCCAGCTCGTATATCATCTCACTCCCGAGCAGCGATTTGGGTTTGTTACGTAGGATTTCTTGTATTCGGGAACGCGCTCCATCGCGAAAGCCGTCGAGATTTCCCGGCGAGAGATTGGGGATTGTTTTAGGATATGTAGCTGGCAGTTCGACTAGCAAAATGAGTAGTACGTCTGGATTCGAGGAGGATCGCAAATGGAGCTTGAATGTCACATCGGAGGATTGCTAGAGTGCACGGGTTAGTGACCACGAGGGGCGGCCCAAGCAGCTCGAAGAGTGCACCCACCTGCCAGGCCGACCGCCTATTTTCTACTTCTTCAAAGTCATCACCATAGATTGAACGCAGAGCTTCCACCTCTGTCTGGTGGATTTCTCGGTAATTGGTTGTAAATATGGGGGACGTCACGGAGGAATCGGAGGTTTGGTTTTTCTGGCGGGAGTGCTTCTTCCTCTGTTTGGGAGACATCGCGGGGCGTGGCGAGAGCTCGCCCTACATGCGACCCTGAGCGTCGTACGACATGGGGGCTGGTGATAAAAGATGAAAGGGTTATGGGAGGTGGAAAAGGAATTGGGCAGTCTTTTTTTTTCCCTTCCCCTCTGAGGCTAGAATAAACAGGCGGTCAGATCATACGCCCTTCCATTTATAGAGTGGAGATGCTTAGTATAAATGACGTCCCCGTTTGGTTTAACTGTGGATTTATGAATTTATGGATTTACTGCTTATATTGAACTTTGACTTAATTGCATTTCATGATTCTGGCACGTTGTGTTTACTTCAAAGTCCTTCAGGAGATATCCCCATGTGTCTATTGACTCGAGATTGAGTGTATCATCATCGTCAAGCCAAAGAACCATTCTCCCTGCCCAATAGTGGACCCATATATCATGAGATGGTGAGGTGGTGAGCTGGCATATACCGAAAAGGGTGGCAATTATTGTCACCGCAATAGTCGATCATTTCTGCTCGTGTTGTCTTTGTTCCAGCTGTGACCATCACACACGATCGAAGACACCGAGCAACAAGCTGCCAGCCACAGTAATCATTGGTGCGTATCCCCAGTGATTCCACTGTCCTTGGCCATGCGTCCAGCAAACATACCCATCTGCAAATGCAACGCTGCTAGCGGCAATCAAGATCCAGCCCAGGGTTGAACGGGCGCCGAAATACGAAGCCGCATATATGGCAGCCCCCATGAAGATGTCCCGGACTCCATAGATTGCCATTAGACTGTCAACCATCTGCTTGTCCACTACAGAGGTAGGTGGCTGGAACTCGAAGAAAGTGAGAGCATGGTTTGGACGTAGGATAGCGTTGATACCGAATCCGACAAATGTGGTTGCAATGGCGGTGGCAGCTAAGCGGAGAACAACCGCATGGGAAAGAGGCATCTTGTTGTGCCAAGCCAGTCTTATGTTTGATGTTTGCGTAGTATCTGTAGTGGCTTGAAGATTTCAGGGATTTAAGCGCTGTAAGGAACCACAGTGTAGTCTTCGAAGTTATGGGAAAGACAAGAATTCAGGGGTTCTTATACAAGAAGAAAGCATATTTGTAATATGACTTTGAGGGCAGTCGGAAGCCGAAGACGAAGAATTCTAGGCTGCAAGGCTGGTAGTTGTAGGCTCCAGGGCTGATTGTATGCCAAGTACCCCAGGGTATGTCCTTTGTACACGCACGTGTGGACTCCGTACACACCCACACTTAATGTATGGGAAAACCAACAGGGGCCTTCTAGCAGCCAAGTCGAATACCTTCCAAGGCAAATGAAAGAAGAAGAAGAAAAAAAAGTAAAACCAATCTCCCCAATCTCAAATTCTAAAAAGTCCCGGGAAAAGTGCCAAGTGTAAACAAAAGCCAGAAGCCGAACAGCTTATCGATAAAGTGATCGGCGCTTCTGCTTTTTCCGACCGCGTGGACCATAAACATTGAACTTCAACTTGGTTTCAAGGCATTTTGAGGTTTCTTCCAACCCTGGCAGTCAAAATGCTGGACTGGATCAAGGGGAACGAGCAAAGCGCACAGGCTACAGGTGTGGTGATTATTTTGACCTTTGAAGCTCTTGCTCTAACGTGATGCTATAGATGACTCCAAGCTGCTAGAACCCCCTGAGACCCCAGGCCATGTCTTTGCGATTCGTGCGTTCAAGAGTGCTCTGTTTGGCACCCCTGGAGCCGAGGAAGATGAAAACAACGCGTCCCAGAAACAGTCCGGTCACCAACGAAGCAAGAGTGACACGATAAAACTAGCGCCAACAGAGATCAAGACCGACGCGAAACCAGACGACGCGACTTACAACCCCACGGGATCCCCCACGAAAAGCATACTTGTTACACCCGGAACCGCGTTGCGTCGTAAGACGGTATCCTTTGGCGAAAGTGTCATCGACAATGAGGGGAAACGCCCTGGCTCGGCCAGTAAGCCAGCCAAGACTCCACCAAATCCTTCCGGAACCCTCAGTACCCAGTGGATGTCCGGATCATCAGATGGAAGTGGCAAGCCGAGGAGCAAACTCACCCAGACACTCATGAATGCGCGCGATAACGCATCCAAGAACTCTGATCCGGCCAAGTCTGATGAGAGCACAGGAGAAGCGAAATCCGCCATAGTCTCTGGGTCGAAGGATACCCTCGACAATGAAGATATCACTATCAATCTGGAGGACCCCCACTCAGAGTCAGGCAAGTACTGGAAAACCGAATTCGACAATTACCGCGTGAGGACCAATCGAGAGATCAAGAAATTGATCCACTACCGCTCGATTGCCAAATCCTACGCTCGCAAGAAGGATACAGAAGCTATGCGGCTGGCCGATAAGCTGAAGGAAGAAGAAGAAAAGGTCGCCGAGATGGAAAGGCAGGTGTCACGGCTTGCTTCTTCGATGGTCGGGGAGGCATCGACAGGCGATAAAGAGCACCTGGTTCAGGGTTTAACCAAACAAACCGCTCTTGCATTACAATACAAACAGCAAGTTACCTCGCTGCGCAACGCCTTGGAACGGCATGATGTCGTAAGCGATGCGGCAAATCTCACACAAAAGAAAAGGGAAGAATTGCCTTCAACCGCCCCAACGGACGAGCTTCGCAAAACACAGCAAGAATTGGAACAAGCCAATGCCAAGATCGAGGAGATGAAAAACCAGCAGTCCAAACTGAGCACACTACAGGACCTCGCGCAGAGCTCAGAAAAGAAAGCCCAAGCACTCGAGAAAGAGAACAACACTTTGAAACAAACTCTGGCCCGAGTGAAGCAGGAAATGTCCCGATATGAAGGCCGGCGAAAGGACAAGGAAACAAGACTGAAGCAGAGAGAGACCAGACTGGAGCAGCGGATCCAAGAATACAGAGAAAAGCTCAAAACGGTCTCCCAAGAGCACCGTGCCTCGGAGGAGAATTTGAGAAATTCTTCCGATGCAGAGCGCCGCCACATGCAGAAACAGATCGACCTTTTGAAGCTGCGACTTGGTTCTACTGAACGCTTCCCGGCGCTACCTTCCACAGAGCGGCAATTCCAAAGTCCTCGCAAAGACCACACGGGCGTGCAGGTATTTGACTTTGCCGGCCAGGATTTTACCGGTGAGGACCTTGAGAAACCTGAAGAAGAACCCACAGAAGATATAGAGCTTCCTCCAAGCCCGAGTCCACGCTCCAAAGTACGCGATTCGCGACCTGCTTTGCGCAGTGCCACTTTGGGTACACTTGGTACGAGGCCGAATGCCCGAGATATAGCCGCAGATGACGACGAGGTCACCCATTATCTGAACGAAATTCTACTGAAGCCCCGGCACGAATCCCATAATGCTATGTTGGATGAAGTCCCTCCGTCATCGCCTCCAGATATTTCAGCCCTGAAGTCGCTGAATCGCACGTTCTCAAGACGCCGACTCGGTGAGGGCCAGCGGTCATATCGGAATCTGAACCTCCCTGCTGAGGACGACACTCGGCTCAGCAACCGACAGACACAACGTGAACGTACTCACATCAAATCTACCCTTGATTCAATGTCAGGTCTCCCATCTCGCGGCCGGTATTCAGGATACACCGTTTCAGCGGGTGAACGCGTGGGCAAGCGGTACGGGTTGACTGATTTTCAACGTGAAGCTCTCTCTCCTGAACGAATTGCCGCTGCCAAGTCACGGCTCAGGCAGAAGGACAGTCGAAAGATCAAAGCATTTGGAAAGGAGAATATTTGACGTCTTTCGTCACGTTAATTGTTTGGATTTGCTTTCTGATTTGGAAATAAGGAGTGGTTTTTAAGAGCATTATGGGATGGTGTTCAGGTTCATAAGCGTTACTCTTTTTCATCCCCTTCTTGCTATCTACGTTTTCAACGGAAAACTATTGTTGAATTATTGCTCAATAAGAGACTCTTCTCTAGCATCAGGACTGCTCGTAGGCACTGTTCCCAAACTCTCCAAGCCAATGAATGGCTGGGCAGTGGTATCTCTTATGGCAAGCCTCTTCGCTTCTCTCGTTGTTAGAGCGAGATTGGTACATGGCTATTGTATCATATCACACCTTTATTCACAATTCTAGATTAGGTATTAACTCGTCTACTTCTAGCTGTGATACTTTACTAATCTAGTTCATCTACAAAGGTTCCATATTGGCATATTCACCCAGTGTGCAACGGAATAAGTCTACCGTAGAACACGGTCGGTCGTGCCTAGTGCGCTCTCAGGCCTTGCCGTCAGAAAGCGACACGACTGCCCATTTCCCGCCCCAGGCCCACTTGCGAGACTCAGAGCCGCCACCTCCAGGCAGTGCGCGGAGCTTCTCGTCCTCGCCAGCGGGGAGACCGACAACAGGATCAGCCTTGCAAGTGCGGAAGGCTAGAACACGGATCCCGGACTTGGGGCCAAGCGGACCGATGGCTTCTGTGAAAGGAGTGGTGGGATCCCATTGGGCCTGGATATTGTTAGCAAGAAATCCAAAACAAAGAACGCCGGACTTACATCATTGACCAACTTTCGATAGTTCAAGTCACCCTTGAACAAAACAAGCTCGCTCTCCTTCAAATCTTCGAACAGCTCCGGTGCCACGGATGGCATGCGCCAGTAACCGCCCTGGGTGGTCCAGAAAGCGTGTGGGCGCAAGATCAGCTTACCATCCTGGTGGAACTGGCTCCACTGCTCAAAGAGGAATTGCACGTTGGAAACCTCCTTCTCCGAAAGAGGGGGGAATGTCTTGCCCGAGTCATCGGCCGCTGTGTAAAAGGCCTGCGGGTCGACCATGCTGTTGAGCAGATCGGAGAAATCCTTTGGCGTTACATCTGACACGAACCATGGCATGCGCTTGGGGTGGAGCACGACGCTGGTTGCCAGTCCGGCGGACAGCAAGTATCCACTGAGAATTAAGTCAACGAATAACTCAAATCCGGAGTTGTCTAGGACGATGTCGACGCGGCGCTCGCCCTCCTTCTTCTCTCTCCGCGCCTTTTGCATTGCCTCGAAAGCAGCATCAAGGTCGTTTACAATGATGTTCTGCTGCGATGCTTTGCGCGCCTCGGAGCCCTGTAGTTTCTGGATATCCTCGTAGGTAAGAGATGTCAGAAGTGACAGATCGGTGGCATTACCCCATAGGCAGATCTCGCACATCTCCGAGAAGAGAAGCTTCTCTGCCTGCTCGCTTTCCTCTGCCGACTTGTTTTCTCTTGCTTTTCCCGACTCTGCCTCTATCGCTAATTCACGGTATCTCGCGGCCAGTTCTAGTACGGCGGGACGGGACGACTTGAATGTATCCATCTTCTGGCGGGCGAATACATCATAGCCCTTCCAATGCTTAGACAACGCAAAGAGGGCTTCCATGCGGCGGTCTATGATGGTCGCCTGGTCAGTATTGCCATAGTTTATCTCATTTCCTGTTGACCGGGGTATTAGGCTTACAGAGGTAACACTCTGAATAAAGCCAGGCCACATCGTGCCAGTGGGGGTTTCCGCGCTCTTCCAGCTCCTTGTTATACGAGGCGATATCCGGGTGTCCGTCGTCATCCAGGGGGCTAGCCACAATAGACATGTTAGATGAAGCTCTTTTGGTTCTGGCATAGAGGATGAAAAGACTCACGTGAGTTGTCGGTCATGCTGAAGCTCATACTTCAACTTGGCCAAGTTGGCAATAATGCTCTTGCCTTCATTTGCCTTCTCGTTGTCATTGACACCTAAAACAGTGCGGTGAAGATCATCAATAGCGCCAGTCTAGAGTCGTCACACATATTCAGCAATTGATCCCCCGGCTATCGATTGTCTGCCGCAAGCTCACGATAATGACAGGCCACCGCTCGTTGGCCGAGATCGAGGCGAAGCTCGACTTGTCGGAGGTGAGGTATTGAGCTGCTCAGATTAGTCCGTTGTATTTTATGGCCGAGCAGGAATACTTACGGGTCTTAGGATCGAATTCCATGACTGCTATGCAAGATGTATCTAGACCGAGGACAAAAAGAAGTCAAAGTGGCAGAATTGAGGGGACGGCGCGGGGCAAAAGCGGTGTGGTGTATACAGTTGGCGACGTCAGAGCTACTCAGAGCTACTCGGAATACATCATTCATGCACATAAATACATTTGGAACATCAATTCTAGGTAGATCTCTTGGGCAACGCCGCGCTTGAAAACCAAATATGCCATCACATTCCCGAAAGAATAGAGTTATTCGCGTATGCCTGGGACAGTTAGCTGGGGGAACTTGATTATGTAGATGTTTTAAGGTCATAATCTTACCATCGGTTTGATATCGGGGTGTGGCACTGCCTCAAAGACTTCATATGCAAGCTCGAGTTCAGGGCCGATGTTGATGTAAGCACCCTTATTTTCAGTCGAGTCGCAGTACTTGGGAGCGGAAAAGACGGTGATGCAACGACCATCGTGCTCGACTTCGTAACCGCCCATCCGCACCTCGTGGGAGCGAATGATAGCCTCCAGGCCGTTGTTTTCACAGAAGCGCTTGGTCACATCAGGGCCAAATTGGAGACCGACACCACGCTTGCTGGGGCCGCGACCAGCCTCGGTCTGCGGGTCTGTCCAGAGCATCTCCATCATCAGGCCCGCTTGGCCAGGCTGCCGTTGGTTGTGGCGGTTGAGCTTGCGGATATCATCCAACTTGATCTTGTCATCGGAGAAGAGACCACCGTGCAGGACAAGGTATTTGTCACCAATCAAGGTGGCCAGCGGCAGAGCCGAGAAGGACTCGGAGAACACCTTGAAGACCCGCTCGTTATATTTAGCCTTGCACTCGCCTTCGAAGCCGTAGACCTTATTCATATCATCCGTCTCGTGGTTTCCACGGTTAAGGAAAAGACCGTTAGGACGCAACCACTTGTATGCATAGAGCAGTAGTGCGATTTCGCAGGACCAGGAGCCACGGTCAACAAAGTCACCGTTGAAGAGGTAAGCGTGGGTATCGGAGGGGGCACCGTTTCGTCGGAAGATCTCGAGCAAATCGAAGTATTGGCCTGTTCAATCAGCAACTGCTTCACTCGAACATAGACAATACATACCGTGCGTATCACCGCAGACTGTCAGCTTTTTGCCCGATTCCACACCAATTTCCACCATCGTAGCCTCGTTGTATACGAGATCCTTGACAGCCTTGATGATCTGGAAAACATATTTGCGATGGATCTTCTTTCCATCCTTAAAGCGCTCAATCATATCATCGATGAACTCCTGCGACATTTCCTCGCCAAGTCGCACACCATCATAACCGTCCTCAACATTGATAGCATCGATATCCAAATCTGCAAAAGCAGAAGGCGGGTCTGAGATCTCAATGGCCCGCTCGAACTCTCTACGGCGCACGAGCTTCTCACACTCGGCAGCCTTCAGCTTGGCATTCTGGTTGGCCGGTTCGCGTCTAACCACGGCCTTGAAGTCCTTCAAGGCCTCCTTGTAGCTTAGAATGGCGGTATTGGCGAGGGCACGTCTCCAGTAGGCCTGTGATAAATGTGGATTTAGCATATATCTCCACTACTGCATCTGCAGGCACAATTTGTCTCTCTTGTCGGGTAGGGATACCGACTAACCTTCACATAGTTGGGATCCAATTCGATTGCCTTGGTGGCGTCCGAAATAGCAAAGCCGAAGGCTTCAAGCTTAATTTGAGCCTGTGACACCAAACAAAAGAAGACCGTTAGCTTTGCCGATCCTAACGAACGTGCACACGACGCTTGGGAATGTGACACCATGATCGTCGGGAACACACCTGGGCCCGGTTGGAGAAGAAGGATGGATCCTTGTCAAATTTGGCAATAGCCTGGTTATAAAAGTCGACTGCGAGAGGCCAGTCGTGCTGAGCAAAAGCCTTGTTGCCCTGCACCTTAAGTGCAGTGGCCACTTCTTGATCGGTAGCCATTTGGGCGGAGAGAAAATGCGAGGGGCACGAGACAGCGATTATCGGTGCGAAACAAGGGCGCGGAGGAAAAGGTGACAATTATACGAGCCGGAAGAGAAAGGACACAAATGCCTGAAAAGAATAAAACTCCTCTAAATCCACTATAGACTAAGAGAGAGAGAAGCGAAAAAAGAAGAAAGCGTGGTCAAAAAAAAAAAGCGAGAGAGAAGAGACTCTTGACCCTGGTTCTCCCATGTTCTTTTTCCCCGATCGCAACGGGTCTTGGCATCGATCCAGACTTGACGGCTAACTCCCATTCATAGCTTTCTTTCTCTCTTCACATCCTCATATTTGCTCCATGTCTTTCTACGCCCCTCCAAACCAGCAGCGCACCCTGCGCGCCTGCATGGTCTGCTCTGTCGTCCAAATTCACAATGTAAGAGCTACTGCCCATCTCCGTTTCCGCGGCGACTCTAACGACCCCGATTACTCCAGAAATTCATGCGTGAAGGCTGCCCAAATTGCGAGAGCACCCTCCAACTCCGTGGGAACAATGATGCTATTCAAGAATGCACGTCACAGGTCTTTGAGGGCCTGATCGCTGTTCGGGATCCGGCTGCGAGCTGGGTCGCTCGTTGGCAGCGGTTGGATAACTACGTGCCGGGCACATATGCGACCAAGGTCACGGGAACAGTAAGTGCATACTTGATTACTGGAGAGATGGGACTCTTTTGCAATTCCCTAGAGCTCTATTATTTCTCTTATCAAGCACCAAATAGCTAATTGTGTCTTTCACATTGACAGCTTCCGGAATACATTATCAACAGTCTAGAGGACTCTGGCATTAAATATGTCCCGTACGTGTTCCTCAAACTCATCCCACTGAGATATCTCCCTCATCATACTAACGGTTGCTTGTTCCAGGCGAGACGGAAGCACTGGCGAGGAGGATGCATGAAGCACCTACCCTTGAGTCTTTAACGCTACACGAACCCACCCTTGCCCGTACAGTCTTGGTTCTGGATACCCCTACGGCGCACACCATTGATTCAATCAAGACATGCAATATGAGGGTGGTTTCAACAATTTTGCTGGTCGTTCGGAGTTTCGGATTGGAAGCATTACCTATTTTTCTTCATATTATTTATTGGACTACAAGGGCATACAGAGCAGATTTGGATTACTTCTTAGGAGTTTATAGTTCCAGTTTTTTCGGCTGGGGACATAAAGATAAGAAAACGGCTTGCAGAGTATATGTCCGTACTCCGGCCCCAATGATTCGGTTTGAGTCATAACCCAATTGTGTGTAAGCACAATGTCCAGGAATATACATGGCATTTTTGTAGTGACATAAAGTCGTGGCAGGAAAGGGAGAAAGGTGAATTCTCCAGAAAAAATAAAAGAAAGAGGGAAAAAAACGCTCATTAAGCCAAATTGAAAACACCCAGGCACTTCTAAAGGTCATTGCCGGCATTTGTTTAGAGGACCTGGACGATCTGCTCGATCTTCTCAAGGAGGATATCGGCTGTAGGAGAAAGATATATTAGTAATGGGTCTTGGGCACAATGAGAGAGAAGGTTAACATACCGTGGTGCTTCTGGAAGACCAGCATAGGACGCAGACGGATAGCAGAGGGGCCACTTCCACCGATGTTGATACCGAAGGACTTAGCCTTAGCGACGAACTGGTCACGCTTGGGTGTGTCCCAGGCGATGAAGGTACCTTGGTTCTTACCACGGAGGTTCTGGAAGTGCTGGGGGTACTTCTCGGAGAGACGGGCGAGGCCACCATAAAGGTAGTCACCAGTGGAGCGGGTGTTCTCAACGAGGCCGAGACGCTCGATCTCCTCAACGATTCCGCGGAAGATCAGGCAACGGGCTGGGTCTCCCATCCAGGTATTGAACTGGCGGTAGGGCTTGTTGGGGCGCAGAGCGGGGTTACCGAAGTAGTAACCGGCAGTCTGGGCCTTCTTGGAGAAGGTGACCATGTCCGGGGGAGAGGACAGGTTCCAGTGATCGTGAGCCCAGAATTTACCGGTGGCACCAACACCGGTCTGCACCTCGTCGACGATGAAGAGGACGTTAGTGCGCTTGGTGATGTCACGGAGACCCTGGAAGAAGGCGGGCGAGGCGTGGTTGTCACCACCCTCGGACTGGATGGGCTCGACCATCACAGCAGCGACGGGGTTGTGGAACTCCTTGATGAGACGCTCAACCTCAGCCAGGCAGCGCTGCTCCTCGGCGGCGTTCTCCTGGACGTGGTCCTCCAACGGGTACTTCAGCTGGGGGAAAGAGGCCTGGGGCCAGTCAAAGGCGGGGATATCCAACTTGTGAATGGCCTTGCTGCGGGTGGTGGACAGGGAACCGAAGAGACGGCCGTGGAAGGCAGACTTGAAGGAGAGAATGGACAGCTGGGGCGAGCCGGGACTCTGGTTGTTCATGGTGGAGAGCAGCTCCTCCTCAGTGAACTCGACTTCGGGGCCACCACGCTGCATCTGGCGGTAGTACATGAAGGCCGCCTTGTAGGCAGTCTCGTTGGCATCAGAGCCAGCCATAGCGGTGAAAACCTGGTTCAGGCCCTTCGGGGCAGCACGGAGGACGCCAGTCTTGAGAACGTGAGCCCAGTCGGAGGAGGGGAAGTTACCCAGGGCCGGACGGTTAATCAGGGCACAAGACATCTCGGACGAGGCGGCAATCTTCTGGAGGTGGGGGTTGTTGTATCCAACGGGAATAGAAGCAATCTGAGCATACCTACTGGGGTCAGCTTCTCTATTTCCAATGGACTAGTGGCTGGTGACTTACACATCAAGGAGCTTGTTTCCATCGAGATCAGCGATGCTAGAGGCGGGGTTAGTCGAGTCTTGATAGTGGGTTGGGGTCTGTCATACTAGTTTCCCACGGACTGGTTGTAGTCAGTCAACATGTTCAAGCTGCGAACATCGAAGACCTCATCGAGCTCGGCGGCGGCGGCCTGGTTCTTAGGTCCGGGGATTGTCCCCGAGACGGAGGGTGCGGTGGGCTCATTGGGGAAGTAAGACTTCTCCGCTGCACGCAGACCGGCAGTGGTAGAAAGAGCGCGAGCTGCCGGGAGGCGAGCTGCAGAGCGCAGCCGTGTGCTGGCACGGAATACCGAGGACATTGTGATTTTGATGTGAAGGGGGGGGTGGAGGGGACAATATGAATGATGCGGGGAGAGAATAGCGGTTTAATGAGCTATCCGGTGTAGAAGAAAGGAACCCTAATCAATCAATACAGCCGTGTGGAAGAAAGCAAAATATGTAGGTTAGATGAAATAGAATGGAACCCCAACAGGCGCAGGGTGGCTTTATACCAGGTGCAGTTGGAGAATGTTATCGGCCTTATCCTGGAGCTCAATAGCTTCTCCCCGCGTATGTTGCTTTTGTGTCGGTGATATTGACCAATCGGGGGCTGTTCTCGACAGCGAAACGCCGAGCGTCCGATGGAGTATGTGGACGGATTAAGAAAGTCTACGCTGGTGGATTCTTGGTCAAATCTATATGGTAAGAGTTTCCATTTGGACGTCCCGGGGAGGTTATTGTATTTATCTCAATTGGGGTCGAGTCGCGCACAAAGAGCCAAAAAAAACCCAAGTCAAGGTCGTCATGTCCCTGCTGTAGATCATTGCGATAAGCTAACTTTAGTCTTGGCATTGTTTCTTATCTGGTGCGTGTATGTCCAGGTGATGTCTTGACTACAAGGTCAAAGTGCGGAGGTCAAGGGGGGCTTTCACCGCAATTTATAGTACATATATATGTACGGAGTACTGGATCCTTTGTAATTTGGTATCGTAATGGGCTCAATTGATCATATAGGTCTTCCAAGGTTGTTTTGTAATCTGGGACCTCCTGTGGAATCTTGATATATATCAGTCAGTGGACGATCCCAATAAATACATATGTAATATAAATATATTTTATTATAAAAACACGGAGAATAGAATACGAGAGGAGCGACTAATAAGTTAACCTATTTTATTTACGCTGATCTGAATTGAACTTGGCTGTTGACTTGACCTTTACTCACCACCAAAGGTCTGTCTGGCTATTAATGCACTATTATCCAAAATCAACCAATCAATTGGGCTTGTGGTTTAGTGGTATAATACTCCCTTAGCATGGGAGTGGTCCGGGGTTCGATTCCCCGCGAGTCCATTTTTTTTGTCCACATTTTCTTTTTGTGATGCGTCGTGTCTGGCCATCCATAGATGTCACCCATGGATGAGTAGATAATTCTTTTTCCTTGGTTGTAAATTCGTAGGTGGAAAATTTGTTCGGGGATAAAGCAAAAAAAGTGGTCCTTTTAACTCAGTTGGTTAGAGTAATACCAAAGCCGAGGGTTGTTTTTTTTCCAACACTAATACTGTCGTTGGATCTAGATTCGTCAATAACACCTTGCAGGTTATGTACCTATAGTTATACCTACCCGTGGACATATGCAGTCATACCCCCAATATACTACAATGGATAGCCTCAAGATGAAGTATATATATCTTTCTATGTGTTTCACCCGCAATGGCAAGAAGACAACGCCTTGAATACAATCCCACCCAAATATCTGGGATAGTCTAGCCAACTAACACTTGCTGTTATATAGTGGATCACTCAGAGTATGTACATATAAGTAGTCAATGGAGATGATTCAAGAGAGCACCACGCGCCCATCATAATCCACCCCATATTAAAGGTTGGAACTAGCGCAGGACTCGGCGCACGATTGAACTGGCAATGGGACATGTCAAATCCGGGGGCCGAGGCTGATAATTGCTTGGAAAATGCCCCGCGAGATCGCGTATGATCTACATCGAGTGTATTTATATTGTAGCAGATAGATTACATCCTTGTATACTACAGGAGGAAAGTAACTTCATGTTGAAATTATTGAGGCTAGTCGTTGTCCATCTGTTGAACAACCTAGGAAATGACCATTAGAGTCATTACAGTCTCAAGATTAGATGTACAAGGTAAATCGTTGTTTGTGTGAAGTGTCCGTTCCAGCTCAATAAAATCATCCAGCTAAAGTGACATAAATGTTCGTAAAAAACAGAAATAAGATAAGAAGTAAGAGAAGAAATGGGATGTACTAAAGCAGAGCGGTTAGCGCGACTGCCGATCATTGAAAGGAAAATGCGTATCGCTTGGCCCAGATGCAGAGAAGCAAGTACTCGTCGGAGAAGCATAGACTATGCCCATCTTCATCTCATGGCCCATCTTATCGTGGCTTGCGAGTCGTGACTCAGCCCAGCTCTCCATCTCAACGGTGCGCATAATCTCAAATCTATCGCTGTTGTAGCCCAGCTGATGTGAGTTATCGGTAACCAGACGGGATGATCGAGAGCGGCCGTTTGAATACCAGAGCCTGTGGGTGCGATTCCGTTGGTTGTAGGAGGAGCTGATGTTGCGGTTTGAGCTGAGGAAACGGGGTAGAAAGGCTGCAATGAGAGGGCGGAGGGCTGGAGCTGAAGAGCAGATCTGTTGATTATTAGCATTGAACATTCTAGTAGCGAGACTGTTGGTCTCTTACCAATGCCAGGCTAAGTTCCACTGCGGCAGAGACCAGTCCCGGCCATCCAAGCCAGGTCCCATCATAGCCGGTTATCATACTCTCCCACACGTATACGGTTCGTACACAGCTGGCTACGTTAACCACGACACCGAGGGCGAAGATGGAGATAACGGCGAGTCGTTGACGAGCGGGCATTTTCAGACTCCAGATCAATGGCATTGGGAGAGCCGTGACCAGGAAATCGGTAAAGATATTGATCATACTGGCGGAGAAGACAATCGCACCATCGTTCATGCAGTAGTACGACTCGGTGGTGTTGATTTGCCAGTATGCGTGGATAGGCCTATAGGAAACATTAGCAACGACCAGAGACCATCACGACACAAGACTACCCACTCACGAGCACTGAAAGATGCTGATAATAAAAAACAGCAAACTAGAAACCCCGACGAAACCCATGGAAATAATAAACGCCCAGTTATACAGCACGAAGTTGCCCTTCCCGATGAGTCGTCGACAGAACCATAGCAGAGAGAGCTTGGTGAAGCAAGACGACACCACGAACGATAATTGGAAGCAGAGGTTCAGTTTCCGGACAATGATGAATCGAGACAATTCAATATCCCAGATATGGCGGTTCATGCCCCAATTTTCAGTGGCGATTGAAGTGACGATGGCCATTGCGATGGCGAAGATCAGACCGATGATAATAAGCACATCGTCGACACCGGCGCTGTATGTAATCCATACTCTAGTGTACAGACGGAGGGAGACGATTAGGAAGGCCCAGGTGAGACAGACGACGTTTACAATGAGGACGCCGTGCCCGCGCGTGGGAGGGTCGATATAGTTTGGGGTTGGCCACGACTCCGCGATGGCTGGTGGAGGGAATTGCATAATCTTATCCGTGCAAGGAAGGGGAAAAGTTATATTTGGGGTATCAAAGTGCAAAGAAAATAGGTAAGAGTGTCTAGGCAAGTGCCATCGCCACAACCCAAGCCAGCAATGGGAAAAGTCAAATATCAAATGAAGAGAGACAAGGGAGCCAACTCATATGGGTATATTGCGTAGATCAAGGAAGTAAAAATAGAAGGTACAATCTACTAGGGACATGGGGTAGATATAATTTTACAGGGATGGCCGAGACCATTTATTCCCAATACAGAACTATAAGTAGTAGATCAAAGAACATTGAAGCTCCCGGGAAAAAAAACCCACACATATGATTCGAAAGAGAGTTTAGCGCATATCTGCCTCGTGATTGAAGATGACCCCTAGATACAAAACCAGAAACCAACATCCACGCCATATCAAAAATGGTAATACGACCGAAGGTTGATGTGGAGTGGGATGGACAGTGATAGGTACATATAGAGCCCCATTTGTTTTATCTTCGGCCGCACTATGCCTTTGGAACTGTGATCTACCCCGGAGAGGCTTGTGAGAGGTTAAGCATGATACTGGCTTGCTTCAGGTACGAAAGACTGAAGTTAGTGCAAAGTTAAAAGCAGTGACTCCGCGTGTGCCCTACGGAGACCGATGCCAGGTGGTCCCGGCCTCGGGCGAGCTGAGGGGCCAGCCGAGGCTCGCTTAAATTATGAGGTTTTGAATTTCAATATAGTTACTACCTTGGTAAATTGTATGAATAATAAGTAAACATCGAAGGCTAATTACAGAACAAAGGGATTGATATATACATGTATGTAGTATGTGCCTGACTCACTAGTTAACTATATAATTTGTACAATGTGCATAGTCCACCGGTTCATCTCACGAGGATGCGGGGTCACCGTTTGTCTTGCCGCGTTCTCCACTTGGCTTTCGCACCATTCATGCAATATCATTTAACTCTGACATCTTGCGTAATAATAACCTTGGAATGAGTAACGTATTCGGTAAGCGAGCCGCCACTGTAAGCGAGCCGCCACTGTAAGCGAGCCGCCACTGTAATCGAGCCGCCACTGTAAGCGAGCCGCCACCCCAACCCTACATATTAAATTTAAATGCATTTATCTCAACCAAAACTCCATTAAATTAAATACACTAAAATCATCTATCTGGCTGAACATCTATTGATTTTATGCCCTATTTCTCCACAACCACTGCACTTTGGTGGCCCCCGTGTACGTGGTTGTAAAGCCGGTAAAGGGCTTCTTCGTGGAGGGGAGGGAGGTGCTTCAACTGCTACCACCGGCTCAGTAATCAATTGAGAAGCTTCCTATACTGAGAGCCCTGCTTCAGCTGGTATCTGACTTCGGGATCGAGTGCGCTTTTGCTTCTACTTCTCGTTAGCGGCGCGTAATTCCTTGTTTTCTTTCGCAAGGAAGATAGCACCTTACATTGTAAGACGGAAGCCTTTCACAAGCTGGTTTAATACACGATCTGACGGGCTAGGTGGACTTCGAGATCTTGTATGAAGTAAAGCTTTGATTGATAAAGCCTACCGGCGTAGTTCTTTCTCTATAGCTAGCGTTTTTGGAAGAAGTGACGGCGCATGAAGGAGAGAAGAAGAGAAAGATCAGAAATAAGCAAGGGGGGTCGAATTAGCAATCCCCATGTTTTGGACTTCCAAACCGCCCAGAAATATGGAGTTACCTAAATTTGTATAGAGATCAAAAGCTTCATCTAGGCAGTTTGATGTATTAACAATTTACAGTACACTGTATTAGGGCGGTGTATAAAGCAGTTCTAAATTAAGGCACGCAGGCATAAAATCCCCCTAAAAAGGGGTTTTGAACCCTGGCCCCTATACGTCTTCGTAGTAAGCGTAAAAGATAAGGGGCTCCACAAAAATTGCCTTTTGCCTAATTTTCCGTTTGGCTCTTTTTTACAAGAATCGTCATTGGTGCCTTTAACAGTGCATGCCAACAATCTTGAAGAATATCAAACACATCTCGACAAACTGTATCACACGATTACATCTCTTCTAGAATGCCGGGTTCATATATTTTGTTGATTCGAGATTCTTGATAGATATAATGGTTTGTCACCGCCAAAAATAGAGACCAAAATGGCAACGGAAGGATCCCTAAGAGTATAAAATTGGACATGATCTCTAATGTTCGTGGAGCACATGTATAAGTAGGCTAACGGATAGTTAGTTCCAAAGTTTCATTCACCAATAGTTTACCTATCGCCTCCGGCTAGTTTTGGAAATGGTTTAGTTTGGTGAACATTTCAACTTTAAGACCTGGCATATGTGCTAGTCTTGCTCTCCCGCTTGATAGCTAGATATCTTTATTTGATTACTATCGAGTATAGCAAAAATCCTCTGGCAGAAACAAAGCATGTGCACTAAATGAGGACTTATAAGAAATGACAGGGAGCACTTGGTTTAAATCCAAAGCAACAAGTGTAGGAACTGCCGTGGAACAGTGCACCACAGCCTTGGGTCCAGTCCATGGTGTAGCACAAAGCGCTATGGTTTTAATGGGCCATTTGAGATAATGTACATAGACTTGTAGCTGTCCGGGTATTACATAGCGGCTGAATATGCATGCTGACCTGCCCGTTATTGGACAAATATATGCAAAGATCACCATGCATTTTCCTGGCCAACCATATACTCGGCAGGACCGTGAACCCTTGCTGATACCATCAACATTCCAAGGTTGCAACAGTATACCATTTTAGCTCAAGAGCAACGCACTAAGCGGGTCAATATAAATTGCGGGGACTTCTGCTTGGGAATATACTTTATACCACGCTCCTCTAAAGTGGTGCAACATTCTCATGATTTGAGTAATCTTCCAGACTCCTTTCGTGTTTCTTTGCTGACTGTATAAGCTGAAACCCTTCGACCCAAAGCCATCGACCGTGCTCGCATCCAAAAGCTCTATCCCCAAGGCCGTCTTCAGCTAAGCCTTGGTCCCCTGCCCAATGGCGTTGTATCCAGAGCGGCCCACACGGACCTATCCAAGGCAATAACCCTAAGTATCCTCAGAATACAAGGTCAATAGTAAGTGGGAGCGGGACGCTGGGGATAATGGATGGATTATTATATCTGTAGCACCTGCACACTCACACAAAGGACCAACAAGGCTGCCAATCAGTTAGTTGATGGCTTTTTGGTTGTCTGACAACTTTCCCCCATCAATCCTTTACTAGCATAGGTAAGAGCACGTAAGTACATACATAATCCAAAACATTTTTCTGCTTGTATAATGACTGCCATCTGAATTTGTATCTAAAGCTCTTTCCGTTTGCTTTTCATCCATCGTAATTTTCTCTCCTTCACCTTCTCAACCTTTGAGCGATCTTCAGAGCTCGACTACATTTCATCAACTTTTGCAACAACATTCAAGCACAGTCTCTCTGCTTTGATTTTTCTCATCATAGGAAAACTGTCACGCATCAAAATGCCCGATCCAATCGGAAATGACGCGGTTGGGGGGTATGTAACCACACAATGACTACCGTTCTATCCCAAGCTCTGATACTGACCCATCAACTAGAATGACTGAGAATGTCACCGGGGAGTAAGTAACTCAGCATGGATCTGTGCTGGTTGAGGTGACTCTTGTCTTTGGCTTCAGGTCAAACTGATATGCAATAGGATCAAAAACCCCCTCGCCGGAATCCCCCACGATCAGCTTATGGCGAATGTGACGGCTTATGCTACTGAATATGACCTTGAGAATATCTTGCCCTTCTTGCAGAAAGGTGCCCTGGTAGCTCAGTCCCCAGCTGGCATTGAAGAAATTTCCGAGCTCAATGATGATGACCGCCATGTCCTTTACGAGGAGTACACTCGGCGCTGGAAACACCCGTTTGCGTTGTACTACACCATCATTCTAAACTCGATCTCGGCAGCTATTCAAGGCTGGGATCAGACTGGTCAGAATAGTACTCTGTTTATGAATTCAGGTCTAGTCTTGGCTGATGATTTTCATAGGTTCGAACGGTGCTAATCTGACCTTCGATGTCCAATTCGGTATTCCGAATAACTCGCCTCAATGTCCCGACCCGGAGACTTGCAAGCGTAACCAATGGATTGTCGGTTTTATCAATGCGTCCCCATACATTACCATCTGTCTATTGTGAGTAATATAATTGTTCTACATTCGAGCAATCTTCTGACGTATATATCACCCTACAGTGTTGCTTGGCTCTCCGATCCCCTGAACCATATTCTCGGCCGTCGTGGTACAATCTTCCTGGCCGCAATCTTCAGTCTTCTAGCCCCCCTGGGCTCCAGTTTTACTCAGCATTGGGGTCAGCTCGTTGCCTGTCGTGTTCTTCTCGGACTTGGCATGGGCCTCAAGGAAGTCACTGTTCCTGTTTACTCGGCTGGTAGGTGCTTTTGATCTATAAATCCCAGACAGTCATGAGTACCATACTAAAACTAAGCTGGACCCAACAGAAAATGCACCCACAAACATTCGTGGCGGCCTGGTTATGTCATGGCAGCTTTGGACGGCCTTTGGTATCTTCCTCGGAACGTGCGCGAACCTCATTGTGGCCAACACTGGTGATATTGCTTGGCGACTACAGCTAGGCTCTGCATTTATTCCAGCTGTGCCATTGCTAATTGGTATCTGGTTTTGTCCCGAGTCTCCACGATGGCTGATGACCAAGAAAAACCACAAGAAAGCCTTTGCGTCTCTTCTCAGACTACGGAATAGCCCTTTGCAGGCCGCTAGAGATTTGTACCGGATTCATGCCCAGCTGGAGATGGAGAAGCAGTTGATTGCCAAGTCGGGATTCTCCAAGAGCGACAACATGTTTGTTCGTTTTGTGGAATTGTGTACGGTGCCCCGTCTGCGTCGTGCGGTTCAAGCCTCTGGCATTGTGATGATCGCCCAACAGATGTGCGGAAGTAAGTACAAAACTCGAGACAGGGGAAGAATTGAACTAATTATATAGTCAATATCATCTCGTTCTACTCCTCGACTATCTTTCAACTTGCCGGTGCTTCCAACATCGAAGCACTTCTTGCATCATTCGGGTTCGGCCTTATCAATTTCGTGTTTGCCTGGCCCGCCGTGTGGACGATCGATACATTTGGCAGACGAGGTTTGCTACTTTTCACCTTTCCACAGATGTGTTGGACACTTCTCGCAGCTGGGTTCTGTTTCTGGATTCCCATAAGCAGTAACGCTCATATTGGATTGATCGCATTCTTCGTCTACCTCTTTGACGCATTCTATTCTCCCGGAGAGGGACCCGTTCCGTTCACCTACTCTGCCGAGGTGTTTCCGTTGTCCCACCGTGAAGTTGGAATGGCCTGGGCGGTCGCAACCAATAACTTCTGGGCTTCTGTTCTCTCTCTGACGTTCCCATGGATGTTGCGAGCATTCACTCCGCAGGGTGCCTTTGGATTCTATGCCGGCTTGAATCTCGTTGCATTTGCTTTGATATTCTTCTTTATGCCAGAAACCATGCAGCGCTCCCTTGAGGAACTGGACTACGTGTTTGGCGTCCCGACCCGAACTCATGCCAAATACCAACTTACCCAGGTTCTCCCGTGGTGGATTAAAAGGTATGTCCTGATGCGCAAGGATGCGGTCTGCCCGGAACTTTACCAGGTCGCCCGGGATTATGCCGCAGGCCCCGGGACCGTTGGTGTTTCAGAGAAGCATGCAGCCGACGAGAATGAGCGTCATGCCGAACATGTTTGATCGCAGCTCAAGATGCAACTCATGATTTACAAGATCAGAATACTGCATTTTTCATTTTCGTATGCTTATGAAATCTTGTTTCCCGTGGATTTTAGATAGGGAGGTTCGCCCATTTAGGGCTGAACTATGACCCTTCTGGCCACTTTATCAATTGCTTTTAGTTTACTTCAATTAATTTTGCTTCAAAACCTCTCTATTCCACATCCTCAATTATATGTAGTCTTGGATTGACCGCAACTAGAAATGTCTAGCCCATATTCTTTCCTCCGCCTCATCGCAAGCAAAACCCCGTGTTCTCGCAAAATGTTCAACCTCCACATCCCTTGTTATGTGAAGCCAAACTCCTCTGCTCGCCGTACAGGTATTACAAAGGTGGGCATCGATAAAGTCGAGATTTCTGTGGCTGCTGTTCCACGCGACGGAGCAGCTAATATTGCAGTGTCGCACATCTTCGCAGAGGTGGGAATTACCCTGGATGCGTTTTCTTACTTCATCTTGTCTATGGAAAAAAGACAGAGATTTTCATCTGACCATTTGCTAGATCTTCAAAGTTCCAAAATCGAGCGTCGACGTTATTCGTGGCGCGAAATCACGAGAGAAAATGTTGTGTGTCGCCAATCTGGAGATCGGAGACGACGGCGAAGCATACTTGCAGCGTGCGACGCAAATATTGAAGGCCGCTGTCAATACACGAAACTCGTAGCTTGAATATCGAATCTGGACCCTCCAGGGCTGCTGATTCCCACTCGCTGGCTCATGTTTTTGACACAACTCGATTATTGTTTGATCCCGTGACGCAGAATCCCGTCACTGTTTTTTTTTGGGGGCGGAGCTCCGGCCAAACCTCCGACCACCCCGAACAGTTCAGAAAATCAGCCAGTATGACAGAGGATACACATGGCGACATGGAAATTGACACCAATGTCCCTTTAACGGAGCCTGCAAAGCGCAAAGCGCCAGAGCCAAAAACAAAAACTCTCCATTTCACGTCGCGCAATCCACCCTGGACATACCTCAAGCTCAAGCTGTAAGCTATTCATCCACTTTTCTTCGTTTTGACTCTAGATAGGAACTTCCGGTCGGGAATCAAGCTAATCCAGAAATATTAGTGTCTCCCAACCAGGAAGTGCACCACAACCCCTCGATCCCCTCTCCGCACGAACCTACCTCTCCTCCGCATTATCGCAATTCCTCGGCCTTACAGGAACAGCCATTCCGATCGACATCCTGAAGATCGAGAATGGATCTTCCCCAACCACGAAGCACGACATTGTGTGGATTCGCGTCCCTCGCGAGGATGCCTCGGCCGTCGTGAGCGCATTGAGCTCATGGATTGGCGGCGGAAATAATTCGGCAGGCTCTGCGGATGTTGCATGGAGGGTTTGCGCCAAGGGAAACTTCCTAGGCGCCCTGGTTGCCGGCTCTGGGGCCGATTTGTTCGTTCCTTAGGCTTGTTGGTTGTACTACTGCTTCAAAGCGGGTACTATGAGAAACGATTGCGAACTATGGCTAGTCTATATATTTGACTCTTTGTCAAATGATCCCCCTTGGGTCATGACGACGCCCATGCGACTTTCATCGCAGTTTGCACGTGCCGTCGTGCATACTGCGTGGGACCTGTGGCGTGGCAAGGGTGTGGCTGCAGGGCCGCTGCAGTAACCCCCCACGATACATGCGACGACGATGCCAGCTCCAAATGGAACGAGGTTGACTTGGTCTGATACCATGAGCCTGGCAACAATCGAGTGCCTGAGACTGAGCTTGTGTCGCCCAAGGCTCCCTCGGACGGAATGAGACACAGACACTTGGCCTACACCGGCGGCTGAAGACATAGCACTTTTGGCAAGTTCGTGTACAATAAGGAAGAAAGGAATCGATTTTGGAGCCAATGTCAATCTATGTACGCAAGGGCGAGCAAGCGCAAGCCAAGCAAGAACTGCTTTTTTTTTGTGGTTCGATTTGGAGTCAACATGACTCAGATGAAAACGCCATAACTCACACGCTGGTCAACTATCAAACAATTTGATGCCGCTTATATAAATGCACAATTAATTCTCATCCCCTGCCAAGAAGATTACCTTTTGTATTTCCCCCTGGTTGTTGGTGACAAATTTTCAGGGAAGATCAGACTGATGATGCGGTGGTCTTGGGGCAAATGTTTTCCACAATTGTAGATGTATCTGATGCCGCAGACGACGGGCTGACAACCATTTTGGTTCTTAGTGCACCACGAATATCCTCGACGCTCCGCTCTTTCCAGTCAGGGTATCCTAGCTGGCTAAGAGGGAATAGAACGAGGTTTTCAGCGCGCGACATGAAGTCATCGACATTTGGTCGGGGATTGGAAGTCATGATATCCATTTCCACGGCGATCTGTCGGCAGTAGGTGTCCAGTGGAAGATCATTCACATCCTGACCAAAGGGGTTCTCAATTTCACTGCCGATTGTAGCCAAACCGAGGATGATATAGGCAGCCACTTCACGGTCCGTTAGAATTGCTCTTGTACTTGTGTAAGGGAGATGATTCAGTGGTTCTTACCAATTGATGCTGGGATGGTGATCATTTCCAAAGCATTGTAGAGCTGGAATGGAAGTACCAGGATGTAGATCCATGAAATCTGGGCAATGGCAATGCTGTATGCGGTCGGCAAGGGGGTGTCCAGGACACGTTCTGTGCCGGTCAAAACCTCATTCAAGGTGGACATCATGGTGACTTTTTGGGTTAGAGTTGGAGCATCACAAGATAGGGGGTTGAGGACTTACTAGCTTGTCCCTGGTGCAGAGTTGAAGCCATGGTACCGTTGGTTACACATGAATCGATATACGCGGACAGATGATTAAGGATCTCCAGGGGCAAATGTCCAAGAGGCTTCTTGGACCGCTTGATATACTTCCGAGGGTTTGACTCGGCGAAGGACACACCAAGGTACTCTCCTGCGGACTTCCAAATAGATTTAGGCGGAGGATTGACAACCATACGGTCATGGGCATCACGGGCAAAGGTGTCAAGGTGTCCAGCCAGGCCAGCCAGATCTTCGTACGCGATATCGGGTTCGAAGCGGAGCTTGTGTTTAAGGGAGACGGCGAACGCCAAAATGAGGTTCAACGCGGAGCTATACAGAGCCTGTTAGTATCAACAATACCAAGATACACTCCCCTGGGGTATCGCGTACAGTTTTCTCAAGATGTCATCTTTTCCTTCTTCACCTTCTCTCTCGCCGGTATTGATCCAAATTGTACGCGAGAGGTTGCGAGACGTTTGAATGAGCTGGGCCCAATATTTGCGTCCGTCTGCCCATCTGTAGTGCAAGCCGGGTTAGTGTATGGCTCTAGTCGAAGCTAAAATGAAGAAATAGTATACCTCTCATATGCAGTTGAGCTGCGGAATGACAAAGCCAAACCCACCACGAAACCCAGCACGGTGAGCAGGATGTTATTGATACCAACTTGTTCGAGTCAGAATGTAATTCCAAGTAATTTCTTGATCCATCACTTGGGGACTACTCACGGTTATGGACCTTTTTCGAAAAGACAGTAACAGCGGTCGACCAAATAGCGACAGTCAAAATCGGCATGATCATCTTCGGCATGACGCTGCCGTGCATTCGCATCATGATGGGCCACTTGGAATGCTTCTCCATGTTTCGGGGGCCATGCTAGACCAGAAATATGTTAGTTTGTCAATCTATTATCCTATAACATGTTTCTGTTCTTCTGTTCTTCTTCCATATAGACCATCTCTCCATCCGATTGACTTACAAAGTATCGGTCCAATTCGCTTGAATCCCGTCGGTCAAGTTGGAACTGCGAGTCTCGCGAGGTAGCCAGATGTTCCAAGAATGTTGGCCGAGGAGTAATGCGGCCAATGGAGGAGACCTGCTCCTTCTCATGGGTCGGTGCCGTATGATGATGGGCGTGCGAGCGCAAATCTGCGGGGACTGGCGCAGCAGTGCAGTCTGCTGCTGCTGCTGCTGGTGCCGGCGCATCAGCTGGAGGGGCACTGTGGCCGTCGGTCATGGCGAGGCGATAAAAGTTGGAAAGGAAATGGAAAAAAAAAGAAGGTGAATGAAGCCGGAACTGGGCCGGTTCTGATGTCAATAAATTTAACTAGAAGAAAGGAAAGATACAAGCGAACGTAGGAATATAGAAGAAGAATAAAAGCCGAAACAAGAAGAAAAAAAGGAAAAAAAGAAGGGAAAGTCAAAATGAAATAGTGAAACACCATTCGCTTGACAGGGGCGTTTCAACGGGATCTAGACTGTGGTGGAGTCGACGGACACGTCCGCATGTTTAATTTTAGCCCTTCAGGGGAACCTTGGAACCATGGAAATTTCTGTATTTCTATGTTTCTATTGGTCTATGCGGAATTTCACGGGGAATTGCTCGCAAATCGTCCAGATCGCGATTGGGCTGGGGGCTAGTGCTACAGATTATAGATCCAAGCCCTAAAGTGTACCAGGCGGAGCAGACTTGTAAAAAAAGAAAAAAGCCCGGAGCCAAAAAAAAAAGAGGATAAAACTTGAAACATACGTATTGATCGTCATCTATGACATATTCCAAGTGCTCCAATGTAAGTATACTCTCTCCTTAGGCCATGAAGTGGGAAGAGGTAGAATTAAACCCAAGCATTTGATAGTTTCAAGGTTGTTTATAGATTCCAACTGTTCGACAAAGCCAGCTTATATTGTCCACGGCGTACGGAGTACTCCGTACTTTATAGTACATCGTATATTAATTCCCAAATTGGGGGCTGACGGCTTCGCACTAAACCCGAAAAGGAAAAAGGATCCGGTTCATCTGTACCCCTGTTTTCCTGACGCCTTTTGCTTTTTCCCACTTTGCGGAGTCATAGGGAAATGGATGAACAAAAGTCAGTCGGGGCATTGCTCAATTTAGATGAGATTGAAGATGCCGCCACTAGAATAGTGAACAAAAAGGCATGGGCCTATTATTACTCGGCATCCGACGACAAGATCAGCAAGCACCAAAATACCGAGGTCTTCCGCTCCATCCAATTAAGGCCAAAGGTCTTTGTCGATTGCACGGAATGTGATTTAAACACAAAATTATTAGACAACCATGTTTCTATCCCAATTTATGTTTCCCCAGCCGCTATGGCCCGGCTGGGGCACCCCTCTGGCGAAGCTGGAATCGCAGAGGCATGTCGCAGTTTCGGTGCTTTGCAGATCATTTCAAACAGTGCGTCGATGACACCCGAGCAGATTGTTGCGGGCGCCGCCCCAGGCCAAGTATTTGGCTGGCAACTATATGTGCAGAACGATCGAACCAAGAGCGAACGAATGCTGGCTCGAATCAACAAATTGAGTGCAGTCAAATTTATTGCTCTGACATTGGATTCCCCCGTGACCGGGAAAAGAGAGGACGACGAACGCAGCGGCAACGTCATCGGTTCCGAGGCTCTATATCAGAGTGACAACAATGACACCGTGCCAATTATCCAGACTGGAGACCCAGTATTCAAGGGACTGGATCCTTCTCTTACATGGACAGAGACCCTCACTTGGTTGGCCAAGCACACCGATCTTCCGATTGTTCTCAAGGGCATTCAAACACACGAAGATGCGTATATTGCCACACAATATACGCCCCAAGTCAAAGGAATCATCCTTTCCAACCACGGCGGTCGGTCTCTCGACACGGCTCCTCCTGCTGTCCACACCCTGCTCGAAATCCGGAAATACTGCCCCGAGGTCTTCGACAAGATTGAGGTGTGGGTCGATGGCGGGGTCAAGAGGGGAACTGATGTGGTCAAGGCTCTTTGTTTGGGCGCACGAGGCGTTGGAATAGGAAGAGCTGCGCTCTGGGGCTTGGGGGCCGGAGGGGTGGACGGCGTAAAGAGAACATTGCAAAGTATGATCAGCGAACCTCAAGGTTTTCTGCGGAGTGACTTACTGACAGAGCTTAGTTTTGACCGACGAGACCAAGACATGCATGCGACTTCTCGGGGTGAAGAATATTGATGAACTTGGGAAACAACACGTACGTCTGCATATGCGCCCCGGCTGTTTCGTTTGTAACCTTTGAATACAAGTGAACTGACCGCTATAGATAAACACTCGACTGGTAGAGAAACAGATCTACGATGGGCCATCTGGTCTCGAAGCCTGTCGGACAAACTGCCGGTCGAAACTGTAGAATACTTCGAATTGCTGCATGGAAATATGCCCAGTGAAAGAAACCCCGTTGTATTGCTATTGTGTGGTTCGACCCATCTCTGCGTAGATTTCTGCTCAGCATTTAGCCTGTCTCCAGACCTGCTTCGTCTCTCTTCTGCGCAGTTTGGTTAGAATAAAATACCCTCAAGACGGCGACGCCTCGCCAAAAATTACTGGTGGTGGAGATGACTAATTTTAGCTACTTTACTCGGCGGCGGCCTGTGGTTTTGAGAAGATTGTGCGAGCTTGCCTGGAGGCCGGGTGCAATGCAAACCGCAGGCTGTACGTTAGACGGTTTACTTGTACTTTCAGTGTGGATGCTACCAACCGAGCATCTGACGGCGGGTATAATTTGACGCCGCTAGACTGGGCCCCTGGGAGAGGCCACTTTGAAGTTGTGCGTCTGCTCGAGAATGATGGAAGTTCCAACAGGGCAGAAATCGCAAAACCAACCACATTATGAGAGCCATGCTCTCGTATTCTTTTGGATTATAGAAAATGTCATAGAGCTGCCTATCTGGGTAGTATGTCGTGTATGTATGTAAGCATGAGTGAATCGTGGATATTGTAAATGTCATATGAGCTATCTAGAACAAAAGAGCACTGTCCAAGCTGGAGAATCCTGCGGCTACGCCGCCTTCATTCACCTCTTTCCCTTTAGTCCTCAACAGATACCCGCCTTGTTCATTGTGTAAAATCTTCCCAGTATTCTCCCAAAGAATGGTACCATAGACACCAAGCTCAGAGATGACGTTTCCTCGAATGACCTCGCCATCATTCCGCAAGGCAACATTCTGGGCATTGGCTGCAGGGTTGATGAGTTCCATAAGCACCCAGCCTCTCCAATCAGATTCTGGAATGGATCGCAAAAAGTCTGGAATATCGGATTTGTAGACATTGTTGCCACCCCCTTCACGCTGTGGTTTGAGCACATGGTTCAGGGCTGTATCTGGATTGAGGGCTAGATCGCGACCCTGACTGTTAATCGACAGGTCATATTGTGGGGCGAAAGTACCCCGAACTCTTTCAACAAGCGTAGTATCAATGCCCTTCAAGAAGCTTGAGAGATGATCTGGTCCTGTCGGCTCTGCTAAGATTTGCTGGACTTTCTTGCAGCCAGACAGTTGGTTGAGCACCGTGGGACACTTGATCGCCGCCGAGCGTTCCAGATGAGTTCGGGCCAGCCAGTCACGGCTGGATTTGTACTCGTCTGGTGCATAGTAAGCTCGAAGATAAACAGTTGTTACCTCGAAGGTTGAGTCGGGAGAGTGAGGGGGCTGGTATAACAATGGTCGCGAGGAGTTTGAGCTGGGAATGGATGTCTGATCCAAGACATCGACGCTGGCTACACGGAAGACTGGAATGTTGTGAACTGTCTTGAGCTGTGTCGAAAGTGCATGCTGATCAAAAACGTTCCGTTCTGTCTCCTGGACTACAAAGAGAACACAAAGAGGGAGGGCCGGGGTGGACTTGGACACCCCGTAGGCCTCATGGGCTGCTGCCAAACCTGCTGATAGGGTTTCCACTGCGGTATTTTCTGGTGGAATCTCGGATTGTAGCAGAGGATGGGGCGGATAATTGATTGATGAACCCGGCGGCGAGGCAAGAAGCTCGGTGTGCATTTGTCGCACAAGAGCTGAAAGTCCCCCAAACGATGACGAGATCGTGTTAAATTCAACCTGCTTTAGAGCCGGGACACCTGTAGGCAGAACATGGGCCATGTAATCGGACCGGAAGAGGCCCAGTGATAGATTTTGAACATATCCCTCCTTTTGCACATCCAGATGAACCTTCCACAAGTTCGAGACAAAGTCATCAACTTCGACGAGCCTGCAAATGGTCAATAATGGGCAATTTACCATGCTGGAGCAGATAGGTCCTTACTCTTCCACAATCTTCCCCAGCCATTCTTCATTGCATGTGATCGTAGCATAAAGTTCGTTGTAGATCTCTTGGAGAGCAGTCGCTTCCTCGAAGCAAGTTCTGGGAAACGGACTGGGAAACAACGTCACTGGCGCATTTGTAGCCAACACCCCATTTGAATCTACCCCAGTTGGGATAATTGCTGGGGATGGTCGAACAGCGAGACCATTTTGAATAGCCCAGTCTTTCACAAAAGTGACAAGAAACTTTTGTTGAACTGGGGACAGGTCTGGCGGATAGTTTGAATAAATTGATTCTGCCATATCGCTAGTGAACAGGGATTGATTTACTAAGGCACTCAACGACCTTCCCAAGTTAGACTTTTCAGTGATTCCAACCTCACCGAAGCTCCGGGGCAACTTTCTAAGGAATTCTGGGGATTTGTAATTGGCGGGGCATTTATTGACACCTGAGGCAGAAAGACAGGACGTGGACGCGAGACCGCCCGTATCTCCCGCCTTCCATTTTGAGTATAATTCCCCTGGTCTAGCCGAAAATAGCTCACCGCCTATTCAAATTCTGGCACAAAAAAAGAGCTTCACGTATAGCACAGATTAGGAAGGAAGAGGGTGGTGGACGTGGTTTGTTTTGATTGATGTCCCCTCTCTTCTCTTTCTTCTCTTCTCTCCTCTCCTCTCCTCCTACCAAAACTCTTTCCTTTCAACTTTTTTTCGCCCACTTGCTTTCACATATCCTTATAAGGTTATTCCATTGATTCATCAGTTGTTCTCATTGAACTCAGGTTTTCAATACTTGCATCTGAACTGAATTTACCTGACTTGTATTGGGGGCCTTGACATGGCAAGCCATCCATCCGTCCCAAACTTGACCCTTGCCCAGTCGCGTCCTTGAGACAAATGCGCGCCTGGCACGTCTGAACAGCCCGCTAATCCAGTACAGGCCCCCCCCAGAAAACATGCCTTCAAGCAAAGACCCTATGTACTGGACAGTCGATGATATTGTCATGTTCTTCTGCCATGACAAGGCTGGTGACTGGTCCCACAATCTGGCTTGCCCAGATCTTATTGCTCTCGAGAATTCTCTCCGAGAACAATGTGTCACAGGCTCAGCCTTGCTCGAGATCACAGACAAACAGGTGAAAAAAGACCTAGGCATAAAAGTGCTTGCGCAGCGCCTGTATGTCCTGAAAGCCAGTAAATGGCTACAGCGACGCTCGCCAAAGTTCCAATTGGACAATCTGCAGCCTGCTCCCAAGGTACTTCTCAGTGAACAGCAAAATTCAGCAGAACACCTCGATGACCCCATCAACAACACCCCCCTACTTGATATTCCTGCCGACATTATCACCTCCCCTGATGGTCTTCTCATCTCAGCTCCACTCCTTGATGGTCCTCCACTGTCCCAAACAGAGGGAAAGAGACCTCGCCGGATGGAGACCACTATCATTGAACGACCACCCACATCTGCTCTCCGAGAAACAGCTCATGAACTACCTGCTCCGAATTCCGCCTTTGGGAAAGATGACTTTTTTGCTCATCTTCTCGAAACTTACCCCCCAAACGATGCGGATGTTCTCTCACTTCTTGGAGACTCCAGCTCCGAAAGGGGATACGACACAGAGACTCGCGAGGAAATGGAAGAAGATGAGAGGCAATCCCGCCCGGATACTCCCCTGGATACTTCTGGAAACGTGGAAGATGCTGAATTCAACAAAACCGTCGATGAATACATCAATGAACGGAAAACCCAGTTCATCGAAATTCGGCTGCCGAAAGAGCTGCCGAAAGGATTTCAAATTTGGACCAGAGGCCAAGAGTTCCCAAGCATGAAAGCCCAAATTTCGACACGGCTCGCCCACCTGGAGAAACGTTGTCAATCCCTCCGCAAAGCACTCGCCGAGGCACAACATTCATTCCGCTCGTCCTTACTTCAAGCATGTGCATGCCTCGACCCCACCGTGGTCGACATTTGCTTGAATCAATGGAAGCTTTCTATTCTCGAGAAAACTAGCCCACCGCCAAAGGTTGCTTGTCCGCCACGCACCCCACGGCCAGAAAAGCCCAGTGTGAATTCAGACGGCGAAGAGACTCTGAGTTCGGATTCGGATTCCGTGTGTGACACCGGAGAAGCGGTAGATGACCAATCACCAGAACAATTGGAAGACGGTCTCGACCTTGCCCTTGTTTCTGATCTTGAAGAGAGTGAGATTCTACAGGACGAAGAGGAGCCACGTTCTCGCGCAGCTCATCAATATGGACCATTCCTTGACTACTCTTCAAGCGAAGGCGAGGACCTCGGCCATCATTTCTTCGAAGAAGAGCGTTACGAGTCCCCGGCTGCCAAGAGGCGCCGCCTTGAGAAAAATAGCGTTCACCAAGATAATTCAACTTCATCACTGATGCCGATGACAGCTCTGCCGTTTGTTCGGGACGTGGCGCTGCCCTCGGAGGAGTGTGAAGCCGAGGGTCAGATGGAGGCAAATATCTATCCTGTCAACCCGACGCACCTCAACACACATGAGTCTGTGGACTTGGCGAGTGACAACCTCAGTGAAACTGATGAGGCTGTGCGTGTTTTTGACGATGTCTATTCTATGATGTGGGCAACTATCACCGAGGGTGGAAACCGACTTCACCTGGTAGCGAAGGCCCTCACAGGTCTGCCGAACAACCGGATCAATCAACTTTCTCAATTTCTCGGCCCTTACATGCCCTGTGTTTATCGAGATTATGCGCTAGATGCGCTGAAACACATGTCTGACGATTCATCGGTGATCGAGGAAATAGATCCCGAGGAGAGCCATTCCGCAATGTTAATGACCGCGTTGTTCGTGTCGTGGATTAATGTTATCCAAGTCCCTCATGGCGCCTTTACAGCAAAACAAGTCAAGGCTGCGATTGTGGCGATCGGAGAGGACCTCGATATAGGTCAATTCGCACCATTCTTGAAATGCTTGAATGATCTTATCAGGGGTTACAGAAAATGGTCGACTTTGTCATCTCGTGTCCAGCCTCATGAAAAGATACCCACTCAGCACCAGTGGCCCAAGCGAAAGAGACTTTTCGCCACAGTGACTCTGAATCAGGCCCAAAAGGATGGTCAGCAACGACAGGCAGATCAAGATGAGGCCATACGTGCCTTCCGATCCCGCGTTGACTATGAGGACATACCCGCAAAACCAGTTTCGTTCCGGGATCCTGTTATCCAACTTGATCCATATATCGGCAGATGGATCCAGCCACATCAGCTCCATGGGGTTCAGTTTATGTTCCGGGAAATTGTCGAGAACAAACGACCAGAAGGGTGCTTGTTAGCCCACACCATGGGGCTGGGCAAGACCATGCAAGTGTATGTTCTGGTAATTGATTGACTTATTGGCTCTCGGCTAACTCCTGCATAGGATATCACTTCTAGTTACCATCTCCACTGCTGGGGCTTCGCAAGATCCGGCCATTCGAGCCCAAATCCCCGAAGAATTGCGACAGCTCAAAACTCTGTTACTGTGTCCAGCATCGCTCATTCAGAATTGGTGGAAGGAGTTTGCAATGTGGTCCCCTGACAACCACAATCTCGGCAAGGTCCGCGCTATTCTGGGAAAATATTCGACAACTGGTCTTAACCGAACTGAAGAGATTTGCGCGTGGAATGACGAGGGTGGTGTACTGATCATCAGTTACGAAATGTTCCGCAATCTTGCTGGGAACAATGTGGGGCAGGATGAGGATCCCGGAGAACAATCGATCAATGAATCTGTCAAGAGTTGGTTGCTGGAAAGCCCGAATCTTGTTGTGGCCGACGAAGCTCAGGTGCTACGAAACATCACAACCAAGGTTGCTCAGACAACCTGCCGCATCCGCACCCGGAAACGGATTGCCCTATCAGGGACTCCACTATCCAATGGGTTGAAAGACTACTATTGGATGGTTGATTGGGTTGCCCCTCGATACCTGGGAACCTTTGCTGATTTCAACGAATATTTCATCAAGCCAATCGAAAATGGCTCACATATTGAAAGTACGCGGTTTGACCGAAGAGAGGCACTGCGGCGCCAGGAGCTGTTCCTTAGGATCATCGACCCAAAGGTACAGCGAGCGGACATCTCCGTACTGACAACCAAATTGCCACCCAAATACGAGTTTTCCGTTTACTTCGAGCCGACGAGTTTCCAAAAAGCTGCATACAACGTCGTCATTGAAGGTATACTACTGAACAAGACTGCGAATATGAGCTCGAAGCTTCTGTCCTGGCTGTCCACTATTAAGCTCTGCTGCAATCATCCGGGCCTTCTCAAGGAAAACCTGGAAACCCGAGCAACCAAAGGCGTGCACGACAAACAAAAAAGTCCCAGCATTGATGATCATGGTCTCAATTCTGGCTTTGACGCTGCCACCGAGGAGGTAACCCTTCCACAGTCGACGTTGTCTGAACTGGGCGATCTGTTCAGTAAGGTTCCTGACTTGCTGGATCCTAGCCTATCCAGTCGAGTGTCGATACTCAATGAGATTGTCAGCCAGGCAATTGCAGTTGGGGATAAGGTCCTCGTCTTTTCATCCAGTATTCCGACTCTGAACTATCTGGCGCAATTGATGGACAGAACAAAAAGGAAGTATTATCTACTTCATGGCACAGTGGCCCCGGCTGAGCGTCCTCAGATGATTCACAAATTTAACACTGATCACTCCACTAACGTGTTTCTTATTTCAACTAAAGCTGGTGGTACCGGTTTGAACATCCATGCTGCGAACCGAGTTGTCATTTTTGATTTCTTGTTCAACCCTACATGCGAGGAGCAGGCAGTCGGACGTTCCCACCGCATTGGACAGACAAAGCCGGTATTTGTGTACCGACTGATCGCCGGTGGAACGATTGAGGAGCTGATGTATGGAAAAACCGTCTTTAAGAGCCAACTTGCGTGTCGGCTTCTCGACAAAAAGCATATCGCTCGGCTGGGTTCAAAAGCCGATGGCAAATATCTGGTTTCCTGGAAACAGAGTTCACAGAAAGGCGGAGTCCAGGAAGTTGCGTTTGCAACTGACCCACAGATGATGGGAAGACTGAAATCGGCATGTGGCGACTCAGTCCTCAGTATCAAGCTTTGTGGCAACGAGATTGATCCAGACGACAAATTGACGGTGGAAGAACAACAATCCGTCGAAGACGAACTCAACCTCAGACGCCTTCTCCTTGAGTCAAGAGGATTATGATTTTTCTTGAGTGACTTTTTTCTTTTTTTTTTTATGTTTGTTTGAGTGATACCCCCATGTGTATGTATGCAATGATATGTAAGATTCTTTTTATCACCCTTTTCCTAGTAAACACAGACGCATTCAACTTCCAATATGGGATTAAGAGAGCAGTTAGGGTGCAGTTCATGATGCCTTCCATGCACAATTGAGTTTTCACAGCCAGGTTGTAGTCGCAGACGCAGTAGAGCAAACGATTGCCATCGATGAGGTAGTTCCGAATAATTGCCTCTAGCACCACAAGATCGGGACAGGCGATGTTATAGGCCAGTGGACCCGGTTCATCTCGGCAAAAAAAAACTTAATGACCTCGAGAACTGTCCACTTGGCTGGGTCGTTATCTTCGGGGTAGATGTTCAGGGGACCGCGAAAGCGGCGAAAAGGAGCAATGGGGCCCTACGTAATTAGTGTGCCGCTCCAATCATTGGGCGTGGATGTGTTTGCATTACCCGGTCAGAAGGGCTAAGATCGAGTACATTCAAACTCGAACGCGGAGGTGAGGGTTGAGGCGAGAAAGACTGGCAGGTGGTGGTTGAGTCAACATCTGACTGTGTTTGCGTTGATGGGTCATGATCCTCAAGGCGAAGCTGGTCAAAGCTGGAACACAGACCCGGAGGGTGAGGTGGAAAAGGCTGGTCATGGTCCTCAAAGCAAAGGTGACTGAAGCTTAAACACAGACCCGAGGGATGAGGAAAAGCGGATTGGGCCATAATGGAGGAGTCAGTGCAAAGGGATTGTGGATGTTGCATGGGATGGAGTACATGTAATTGAGAGAAAGGAACAGTGGAAGAGAGGGAGGGAAGAAGAGAAGGAGAAAAGGAGAGAGGAGAAAAGAAGGAAGATGAAACAATTCACTTGTTATCTATGTCGACCACTAAGTACTAAACAGATGCAGCTGTCATGCGACTGCTCTAGCACCCCGCCGCGTCTCTATTTCAAAAGAGACTCAAGATCTGCAACACGAGTACCTCTATCCTCGGCTTTCTTTTTCGCCGTCTCCCGGAAAGCAGCCTGCATAAGACTCCTTTTACGCTCTTGAATCGCCAACACTCGCTCCTCAATACTATCCTCCATAACCAGTCTCCACACTGTCGTCTCCCGCTTCTGCCCAAGCCGATACACCCGATCGACAGCCTGATCCTCAATAGCCGGTGCCCACCAGCTGTCACACAAAATGACCTGGTTCGCTGCAACGAGGTTGAGACCAACACTGCAGACGCTCAAACTTGCGAGGAGGACGGTACACTCAGGGTCGTTGGAGAATGAGTTGATGGAGTTGTCTCGTTTCACAGACTGCATCTTGCCATCTACACGGGCGAACTTGATCCGGCGCTGCTCAAGGTGTGGCTCGATGAGATTCAGAAATGAGGTCCATTGGCTGAAAACTACGGTCTTTGTGCCTGGTGCCTGGCCCTGAGCAGTCAAGATCTTAACCAGGGTCTCAATCTTGCTGCTTGGACTGTCGGGGTCAGCCTCAACGGTGTCGGTGTCTTCACCTAGTTCCACCGCTGGGGAGACAAGCGTGTTGGTTTCGTTGATGTCTGCGCGGCAGAGTGGACACTTGTGCTGGCGTTCGATAACCTGCTCGATGCAGCCCCGACAATAGGAGTGGGCACAGGCGGTTATTACGGGTTGTTCAAGGTTGTCAAGGCAGATGGCACATAGTTCTTGACTTTCAACCTGAAGTTGCAACATATCCTGCAGAGCACGGACGTTCTCAGGTGTCAGAGGTACGACTTTGTGTTCCTCCAGCATGCCCATGAGTTTGTCAATGCGGTTCTTGCAGAGCGCCCAGTGATTGCAGACTTGGCGAAGACGGAGAAGAACCTCGAGGAGGTGAGAGTACTTAGTCTTGCCATCTTTGTCCTTGAAGTCGAGAAGAGCACCTTGGGCTTCGGTTCTATGATTTTTATTAGCAAGTTTGTTTTCACTGTGTGAGTAGTCACTTGATACATACTGGAAAGCATTGTACTTCTCCTCTTCATGGGAATTGAACTTAATTCGAATGATGCGAGACGTCATCTCAGGCAGCTTCAAATTGATGAAGCCCATATCCTTTCTACGTCGCAAGCAGATGGTCCCCATGAGAGCCTCAAGAAGCAGCCGAGCCTCGGGCTCTCCTGCAGTCAAGGGTCGAATTAAGACACTGTTGAAAATCCCCAGGTCTTCCAAGCCGCCGGAAAACTTTAGGAAACGAATTTGCGCATACAAGTCCTTGAGAGTGTTGATTATGGGCGTTCCGGTCAGGGTCCAGCGGGAGTCGGCTCGCAAACCACAAGCCGCAAGGGAGGCCTTGGAGCTAGGATTGCGGATGGTATGGCCTTCGTCAAGTACGACACGACGCCAGTGCGGCGAAAAGATGCCTTTAGCAGGGGCCTTATTGACGACATTCGAATTGAAATCCAGGGCCAGGGCTCCATAGCTGGTGATCACAACATCGTACTTTGTCAAGTTCGCAGCTTCCTTCTTCCCAGAGCCGTGATAGATCAAGACACTCGGGGCGGTCTCTTTGTGGGCATGGCTCTGGATCTGATTTCTCCAGTTGCTCATGACACCGACAGGGGCAATGATCAAAGTGGTCTTAGAGGAGCCTTCAGTGAGAGGCTTTGCATTTGCAAGAATCAAAGAGATGATCTGGATTGTCTTGCCCAAGCCCATGTCATCAGCAAGAATGCCACCGCTGGCAAGGGCTGGCTCCGTGGCTGTCGCATAATTTGTTGCGACATTGAGAAATTCATTATTTGACCGTTTCCACAACTGCACGATATTGTCGGAGCCCTTTGTGGGAAGGCTGGGTGATTCTTGCTTGATCATCCAAGCTAGGCCCTGGCGCTGATACGGAAGCAACTGGGTGGAAAGGCCGGCTGGAGTATCGACCATCGGCATGTTGACCAGGTCAGACTCCTTCTGTCCGAAGGTTTCCACAACCTGGCCAATATCTCGGGGATTGAAAGTGGAGCTCTGGTTAAGGAGTTCCTCCAAGCTCTCATTTTGTTCGCCACCAAGTCCCGTTGGTGTTGAGAGGTTCGCATACTCTGAATTCTCGTTGGCTTGCCATTTTGATGCGGCTTTGCCAAGAGCCATGGCGCGAGCTTTCTTTGCGGCCTCCTTCTGCTGTTTCTCAGCTTCTTTCTCTGCCTTGCGTTCCTCACGCTCCAATTCGTTCAGTTGGCGAACAGGAAGCTTGTCATTCTGCATTCGTTGCTTCAGATTGGATCGTCTGGTAGGATCGCGACTTCCAAACAGCTTCAAATCAACCGGACATGTATAATCTCCGATCGCACCAGTCAATGTGCCTTCAATAATAAGATCGCGAGCATCCTTTGATAACAAACGTTAGCAATGTCTCGGAAGCAGTACGACTGGAGATTTTTTACAATGTATGACGCCAGCTTGGCTGCCATCTGTCGTGGAATATGACCGATTTGGGCGCCCATGACATTATCAACCCTAATAGCATTGCGATCAAATTTATTATTGGCATCCCGGTTTATGATGACCCGTTCATCTGGATTGGCACGGCCCCTGTAAAAGCGTACACCAACGATCTTTGTAGAAACAATACCTATTTGGTGTTATTTAGTTTAGTTTCTAGAGCATACGCAGGTGAGGAACCGAGGTTATTGAAAAGGAGCATACCATAAAGGATGGAGCTTGTTAGAGAGGTCTCATCCACTTCTTGAGATCCTTGAATCACATTGAGCGCTTCTTCATCTTCTTCGTCGGCGCCGACTACTTGCGACAACTGATTTAGTGGAATGAAATCGGTAGACTCGCCGAATCTCTGGCCTGGGCTAGTATCCTGGTCCAACGGAATGTAATCAACAGTCTCGCCGAATCTCTGGCCTGAGCTGGCTTTTTCGGGGTTCAAAGTTGGAGCGGTGCGAGACGATTTTGGCGCACGCCCAGACTGCATGTACAAGGCATCTTCGGTAGAAGCGACATCAGACTTGCGTTTTCCTGCCATGGTTCTCCGGCTTCATCCAACACAGTTGATACAAGCTTTGGCAATGATGAAGATGGGGAGATTGTGAACTGTTGGAGAAGGGCAAATGTATCCGGGGCTCTACGTTGTTTCTCAACGATATCCTCGTGATTGAGAATTTTCAACAGCAAACAACCAATGAGCAAATAATAGGAGTTGTTTCATTTCAGGGCTGTCACATTACGCCATATAATCGCCAATTGGGTTTAGCGCCCGACGCGTCAAGACACGGCTACACGTGACCTATGAGAAAAAGCGCTAGTCACGTGGCCCAGGTCACGCAGAAAGATATGCTGATAACTCGCCGCCCGCTGAGTGGACGTTCCGGTACAGGGCGAGCCCCACGGGGGGTCTTGACAAGGTTAGTTGATATATGACCACGATAACAAGCTGATCATTGAGATAATAATTTATTAAAAATATTCGTGGATACCCCAAGCTCTCGCAATATATCAACTCATCTATACTATTCTCAACAGAGTCTGGATATAGCCCTTTGTCGTGCGGAGAAACCCCGACGTTTACGTGGGGTATGTCCCGTCCCCCGGATTTTATCCGTTCCTTTGAAGGTTCCAAGGTTGTCGGGAGGTTCCCACTAATGCATTGACAGCCATATTTCCCTACCTCTTTTGTTACAATCATGTCAGTTTCGCAGGTCAGAGTGATGTCGTCGTATCAGCCATTCCAATGTCTCGTCTGCCAAAGTCGATTTACTCGACATGAGAACCTCAAGCGACATTCAACGCTACACTCCCGCTCTCAGGCCGAAGCGTCGCTTCCCTGTGACTTTTGCCACGCCACCTTCTCCCGTCCCGACTTGCGCAATCGCCACATGAAGAGGAAACATCCAGAGCACGAGCAGCACCGAGTGGCGAGGAGGACACAGCGCCAACCAGCACCCAGACAAGACAGGCTGCATTCTTCTGTATCGCCGACAGCGGTTTCGCCTACAGGAAGTCACGGTGGCTTCCCTTCTCCTGGATCTGTACATTCGAGCCCACGAGAGGAAACGAGGTTCGATAGTGATGCGAGCTGGCGCCCAGTGATGCGTTATCAGCAGCAGCAGCAGCAGTTTGACCGTCGCCACCCCTCGGAAAACCCAAATATTGCTTCGCCGAGGACCGGGATAGCCAAGACGCAACTGACAAGAGACCCGCTACAACACCAACCGACGACGAGCGACTCCGTTCTCATCGACCAGATTGTCCAGGATGCTACAGATCTGGAGCGGAGCTTACTATTAGGGACATCCTTTCTGAAGCCCACCAATCACCTTGACAACCAACTACATCCGATGGTGACCGCACAAACCGAGCCACTTAATACAAGTCTAGCCGATTACAGTTTCAATCACACGATTTTGGATAGATTGTCGCCAAATGACATTCCTCAACTCCAAGACGATTGGGCCCCCACTGCCTTACAAGTCTCACGAGGCTGCAGTCTATTTTTCGCTTCAGTTTCTCATTTCCTTCCCTTTCTCCATTCCTCGACTTTTGATCCGACACAAGTTCCTCCTCATTTGGTCCTCAGTATACTTTGCCTCGCCTATCAATATGGGGAGGACCCAGAATGCGGGGACCAAGAAGGCTCAGGCTCAAGTTTTTCCATACGTTGCTTTCATAAAGCTCTAGCTCTCCTTGCTTCTGATGAAGAGAGGCCGGATGCTTCAACAATGATCACCACACTGGTTCAATCATACTTGCTTCTTCAAATCTGTGCCATGATGTATCTTTGTGGCGACAACTCAGCATGCGGCCTCAAGATGCATTCGCATATGATCTCTCTGGCTCGCGCTGGGCGAATGACACAACCAATGGCCGTTGAGTCGGGTGCGACGGCAGATTTGGAGTCATTATGGCGGGAATTTGTGAAAGCGGAGTCGCACAAACGGACCCTTTTCGCAGTGCATCAGATCGACGCGCTTTGGTACCAATTCCTTTCCATTCCCCGCTCAATCTCACATCTGGAAATCAAGCATGATATGCCCTGTCCAGAAGACCAATGGTCATCATCCTCTGCTGCTGAATGGGCTCATCGACAACTTGTTGCAAGAAATGCCGGCCCCTCGGTCACATATACCGATGCTGTTCGACGCTTTCTTTCCTCTGATGACGACATCACCACCCTTCCGGCATTTGACCCATACGGTGCCATCAATATTGCGCAATTTCTGATCTCTAGCGCCCGCGAAATCTCAGGCTGGTCTACAATGACGGGAATACTCAGTATGGAACGATTCGGCGCATTAAGATCATCCCTCGTCATACTTAGCCCGTTCATATGCCCCGGAAACCACACAGCGCAGACTGAACACGCGACTGCATGTGCTGCAACTTGGGAGACTGCCATGATCGAGCTACAGATGTGGTCACCATCCCATACTGGCGGCATTGTGGAAGGAAGCATAGATGCCGTTCTCAGTCAGTCAACATACTTAGGACCGTCGCAGTTCCTGTGCGATACCAACACAGCCAAAGCTATACAGCCACATGTCAACTGGTTCCTACGATATCTCGATGAAACACTCATACTGGACCGTGAAGCGCCATGGGTTACCCTGTATGCGTATAAAACCTTTTTGATTGCCTGGCAGCTAATACATGATGGCCTACCTGGCGCAATGGAAACTGTGGGCGTCCATGATGGTGATATGGAGGGAGCTCTGATGTGGGCGAGAAAGGTCTTTCAACGAAGACAGAAATGGCAGATTGGGAAACTCATCGTGTCTTGTTTGGATGAGTTAGACAAATGATTCACAGTCTTCTTATGCTCTGATTATTTACGAATATGTGTCTTGCGTTTTTATTTCGTCGCATGTTTGAATATTCAATCATACCCAAGTATATTCCATTGTTATATTCATTTTCCTAAGCTAGAATATACCATAACCATAAGACACAAACTCATATACCGATCCCAGCAAAAAAAGAGTAACATAATACAAAACAACGTAATAATTGATCAATACATCTCGTAGCGCCAGTTGAGCTGTACCATTTCTTCTGTGACGCCACCCTTGATCACCTTGGCTATTTCCAAGGTATCTCCCGAGTCCAGACGTTTGTTCTCGCGCAAGACGAGCCAACGGTATGCAGTGATCGTGAACCCGAACAAGACAGCAGCACCCATAAGCGTGCCAAAGGCAGCATAGAAATGGGGCTCTCCAAAGTATAGGTATGAGGCCCAAATGTTGGACGTACCACCAATGGCATTAACCAAAGCAGAGGCAGCCGCTCGCTTCGAGATGGGTCGTGCAAGGTGCAGGTTGATTGTCTTGTAGAGGAGGAGCTGGGGACCGACGGAGGCGAAGGGCAGGATCATCATGGAGAAGTAGCGGGCGCCGACGTTGGTACTCGCAATCGGGATGATGTACATCGGGATCGAGATGGCGATACAAAGGAGGATAATTGGGTACACGGTATTCTTGCGATCGGAGTAGAACATCAGGACGTAGTAGACGATGCCGGCGAGGATATAGGGGGGTGCTGTGAGAAGCAAGCTGACGGTTCTGGAGAAGTTGAGCGAGGCTACGAGAGTGGGGAAGTAGTTGGCGATGGAGCCCTGTGTTTGGGATAGCATGTTGCAAATGATGAGCAGCACCAGCTTGGGGTCCGAGAGGGCTTTGCCAAACCCTTTCCACACGCTCTCGTCCTCTGTGCCCTCTGCGGCACCAGATTCAGACTCGATACGCCACACGGCGCAGTCGCGCTCAATCTGGGAAAGGATACGGCTGTTGTGGGGGAATTCTGGCATGATGCAGGCGCAGATTATGCCAATTCCGACAGTGGCACTGCCCTCGATGATGAATAGCCACTTCCAGCCGCGGATGCCATGGTGCCCATCAAGTTGGAGGATAGCTGCGGCGAAGAGACCCCCGAAGGCATTACCGACTTGCTGGGCAATGTATAGCCCGGCAATACGCTTCCCTAGCTCCCTCTTTGTGTACCAGGCAGAGAGGTAATAGATGGCACCGGGGAAGAAAACGGCTTCAGCGGCTCCGAGAATGGCTCGAACAGCGAGGAGTTGACCATATGTCGTGACCGCCGCCGTGCAAGCCGAAATACAACCCCAGACCGCCACGGCACCACATATGTACATGCCTGGTCGGGAGAACTTTGTAATGATGAGGTTGCTGGGAATTTGGAAGGGCAGATAGCCGACAAATAGAATGGAAATAGCCGTGGCGAATTGCTGAGAAGACATGTTCAGATCTTCCATGATGCCCTGAAGTTTAGCGGCACTCAAGTTTTGGCGATCGATGTAGTTGAGAATATATAGGATGCCAATGGTGGGCAAGACAAAAAGGTCAACCTTACGGACGACCTTCTTGTTGAGAGCATTGAAATCATCGTTGCTGAGTGCGCGAAGGGACTCTGGCTTGCGGTTGTAGGCATCGACTTGCCCTTCTGCCGACGAGATATTGTCTTCAGACAGGACAGACTCTTTCTTGTCCATAGGGAAGGACATGGGGAGGAAGTAGTGCTTGTGCTGCTTGCCAAGACCACAGCAAGTATAAACGATGAAGAGTATGTTGCACAGAAGTGTTGCGGGTTGCAGGCTGTGTCTTTTAGACGATACTTGAGCTCCCCCTATATAGCTCAGCCCAGTCTCTGCCTTTGCCTGCTTAGTGGAGAGTCATTACCAGAACTCTTTTGAAAGAATCACGAGGCATTGATTGGTCGAGATTGGTCGAGATTCGGTCATTCGTAGTTGATAAGTGAGACGGGCAGATAGGCCTGAAGATAGGCGTTCGAAGGAGCGCCCAATGGTTATCTGTCCAATTGGATTCGATTACCCCGGATGGAGAGTTTGGTTGAAATCTGGGGTGCATTGAGTTAGCCTTGGGAGGAGCTCTCGCATGTTCCGAGGTCGATAAGAAGTTTGGGAGGTGCAGGTGGGCTTTCCTTTGAAGACAGTGGCAATTAGAGACCATATAGACAAAACTTACAATTTCTGAGGCGCGTCCCGTACAATATCGGACAGTTTCAGGTGGGCCGCTAATCTTAACTGTCAAAGGCGATAAGCCACTCCCAAGATTTGCCACTAGTCTGCCCTAACTACATGCAAGAGCTCATGTTTACCATCTCTAAGCTCCTCATTTTAGTTGGATCTTTTTGATCTTCAGTCTAGATAAATGAGGGGGTTTAGGATACGTAAACCAATAAATATACTTAAAACAGCCATCTTATCGACATCTCTCGTCTTCATCTCACTACTCAAATCCCCAACAGACAATTCCAAATTATCGTCTCTATATTCTAATACCTCTACCATCACAATGGCCTACCCTACCGCTCTCACTACCTCAATCGATAATTCTCGATTGAGGCTTCTCAACAAGATCAAGGCCGGCGAGTTCCCGCTCATGACCTTCATGGCCATCCCCTCCATCCGCCAAGCCCAGATCGTTGCCTTGACCGGTGTCGACGGTATCATCATTGACTGTGAGCACGGCCACATTGGTGACGATGCTATGCATAACTCTGTCGCTGCCATCTCGGCCCTCGGTGTCTCCCCGGTCATCCGCATCCGTGGCCCTGCCCACGATATCCTCAAGCGCGCCCTCGATACCGGTGCCCATGGCATCATGGTTCCCCAGATCAACAATGCTGAAGAGGCGGAACAAATTGTCGCTTCTTCCAAGTTCCCTCCCCAGGGTGTGCGAGGCCAGGGCTCAGCCTTCCCCGCAATCGGCCACGGCCTCACAACTCCCGAGTACATGAAGTCCGCCAACCAGACCATCATCACCATGATTCAAATAGAGACCCGCGCCGGTGTCGAGAACGTCGATGCTATCTGCGCCGTGCCGGGTGTGGACCTTGTCTTCATTGGCCCCAACGATCTTGCCCAGTCTCTGCTTGGATACACACCTGCTCGCGGCGATGAGCCTGAGTTTGTTTCTGCTATTGATAAGATTATTGCTGCTGCGCGCAAACACGGGAAGTGGGCCGGTCGCATGGTCAACAATGGTACGGCGGCTAAGGAGGCTCGGGGGCGGTATGATACCGTTGCTATTACTGGTGACACTAAGGCGATCCAGAACTGGTACATGGCAGAGTTTGATATTGCTCGTTCATGAGAGGGTTAATGATTTTATGGTACCTTATGATTGACTTCCATATATAAAATTTAAATAGACAAATTGGGTTTCAATACTTCTTTTCCTCTTTACAACAAGTTTTAACAGAAGCTTGACTACATGTAGATAGTCACACACAACAACACATGATAGTTTCAACTCCTAGTAGTACATACACTTGACACTTAATTAAGGTAATATCTAGTTGTATACCAGTTAGCATTTACGTATATTGGTTACTCCGCTCTACATAATGTGGCAACTTGTTACTCTCATCGAAAAGAATTTTAATTTTCGTCTATATTCTAGCCATTTAACTCCTAGTAGTACATACACTTAACACTTAATTAAGGTAATAGTTAGTTATCTAGTTATATACAGTTAGTTAGCATTTACGTATATTGTTTACTCCGCTCTACATAATATGGCAACTTGTTACTCTCATCGAAAAGAATTTTAATTTTCATCTATATTCTAGCCATTTTCATAATATCATAATTTAAGCTTGCGCAATACACTCAATCTCAATGACGGTGCCACTTCCAGGGGCAACCGCTTGAAGACATGAGCGCGATGGCATGGGCTGTGGGAGGAAATCGATGTAGGCTTCGTTCATAGCGGCGAAATCCTTCATATCGGCGAGGTAGACATTGTACTTGACGACCTGCTCAAGGGAAGAGCCGGAAAGCTCGAGGACCTCCTTCAGGTTTTGCAGAACGGTTCGCTGTGTAAGAGCAAAAAGAGTCAGCCAATGCCTTAGTGCCCGATAACTGCTTGTGCAATGAACTTACAGTAGCCTGCTTAATCTCTCCTGTGGCAGTTTGACCTGCGCAAAAGACGAGCCCGGGGACTTTGACGGCAGGGCCTATATAGCTTGGTCAGTGATTTTCTTTCTCGATGTTTTGCATGCAGATACTCACAGTTATGAGGCTTAGTAGGGAACTTCTCGCTAGAGATGAGTTGACGAGACATCTTTGTTGATGGGTTTGAAGAGTATCGGAATTTATTGATGATAAAGTTTTTTAGAGTGTGTCAAGAAATTTGAAATTCAGAAGTACTAGACAATGAGCTTGTTTAAATTGCTCAAGCTACCCCTCATGCCTCTCTATCCGAGGCATCTTGCCAATCAAGGAGAGGGGCAATTCTCATTATCGCGATGGAGGAGCAGTGTTTTTTTAGTACTAGTTTATTCGTTATCACTCTTCTAGGGGGTATGGCGGGAGGAGTGGGAGGAGTGGGAGGAGTGAGAAATGGGAGGAGCACATTATTTTGGGTAGATTATTGCGACCATGCTCCTCAAAAGTTCTATCGGTGCCTAAAGCCCCGCCCAGTAATCGAAATTGACTATGTGGCCGCAATCTACGCTTGTAGACCTCTAACTTTTGGGCAATGTCCAGTTGTAAATTCTTCCAATCTAGGTCTAGCGCCAACCTTATAATTTATGCATAAGGTTTAACGCTCATAGATGCGGAAGGCAGAGGAGCCCCCGAGGTCCCGTTTACGATAACAGAAGATGGCAGGCGAGCTGAGCCATCAGGAAAATGCGGGGAAATGTGACAGGGAGCATCCAGCATGATGATTATCACGCCCAAAATTCAGTGGCGCACTAGCGGAGGTCGATAATCCTGCTCTCGTCTCATCTAATCTAACTGAATGAAGCATGCCAGACTTACCTCCCCGGATATCGGATACACAGATAGGGTTTCATGTCTCATCATAAGATTAGTATAAAGATATATAACTCGATCTGATAATCTTCCATGTATCGCCTTCAGCATCGACCACAACATTAAACATTCTTTGCACATTTATTACCATGGCACTTTCAGCTCCCTTCAATCCTCCTGCGGCTGACCTGCCTGGCAAACCTTTTGTCCCAACATGGGTTCCCCCGCCGGTCACTCAGCAAAAGGAGAACTTTGCTGAGCTTAGCTCCATTGATCTTTCTTTGTTGGACTCGGATGACCCTGCCGTTGTTGAGAAACTTGTCCAGCAGGTTAAGTACGCCATTCGGGATGATGGATTTCTTTTCCTCGAAAACTACGGAGTTTCCCTAGAGCAGGTAAGTCTTGGTTATCAGGACATATTCCGAAACCAACGTCACTAATAACGTATCTCTTTCAATAGCTCCACCGCCAATTCTCTCTTGCACAGTATCTGTACCAAAACATTAGCGAAGAGGACAAGAAACGCCTTCTGTTCGATCCTGAAACAGGTGTTTGGTCAGGTTATAAACACCCCTACGGATTCAAGGTAAGAAGATCTCCTTCATGCATGAAGAAAATCCAACACTGTACTTACTCTCCCTTTTTGTGATTAGCGCGAACGCGGACCCGAAGACGGCATCGAGCAATTCAACTGGTACAAACCGGACTGGAACGACATCACCCGTGTGCCCACATGCCTTCACCCCTTTATGGACGAGATCGAAGAGTTCTCCAACTATCTGACCAAGTCCGTCAACCGCCGCCTCCTGACTCTGTTCTCCCGAGTCCTCGAGTTGCCTGACGACTATCTCTGGGACAACGTTCAGTCACACGGGTGTCCAACCGGTGAAGGCTACTTCCGCCATGCACTTTTCCGCCCCGTCCAGAAGAAGACCGAAGAGGCATCCAAGGGCCTGCGCATGCACGGTCACACTGACTTCGGTCTAACAACTTTGCTCTTCTCCGTCCCCATCTCGTGTCTCCAGATCTGGGGCCGCGATGAACAGTGGTATTACGTACCCTACAAGCCCGGTGCGCTCGTAATTAACATCGGTGATACCCTGGAGATTGTTTCTGGTGGCCATTTCAAGGCTACTCGTCACCGTGTTTATAAGCCTCCTGTCGATCAATTGGAGCAGGAGCGTCTCTCACTGGTGCTCTTCAACAGTTCTGTTGGTGATTTGCGCATGGGTCCTGCAACAGGTTAGTAGATTGAGATCAACGCACGTGGGTTAATCACAAGGACCACGCTAACATCATCTTTTATAGATTCTCCTCTTATTCAAAGAGTGGGCTGTATTGAGGAACAGGGTGTCTACAAGGAGTTCAAGAGTCTCACATCCCAAGGAAAGCTTGTGCCTACCAACCGTCAATGGCGTGAAATCCAGATCGCTACCGCTACGGATCCTACGGATCAAGAGCGCAACAGAGTTGGTGCTGACCAGGTTCTCATTGACGGCAAGATTATGCACCAACGAGAGTACATGGGTGTCAAGGTTGTCCTGCCCGTCTGAAGTATAATGTAGGCAATGATTGGAAGGATTTGTTATTTTGATTTGATTACCCCTTGTTTTTTTAGATGATTTATGCCAACAGATTGTATGCAAGATCCAGATATATGTAGCGTTTCAATTTGACAACTCGTTTATTCATACATTGCTATCGCCTGATATTTCCAACTATGTTCCGACGGGCGCTGATCATGGCTTCGGGGTCTTTTGGGAACGGACGAGCGAAGATCGTAGTGCTCGAGTGCCGACTAGTCGTGTAGTATAGGCTATCTATCTCGCCCACGAGAGTCTACGCCTACGGTACCTCTTACACCTCCTTACAACCGAGGAAGTATTCAGTTTTGTATAGAGTCGTCCCCGCTTCTTAGTGTTTATAACTAGCCGATAACTATAACTATAGATAATATCTACAAGAATAGTCGGCCGCTTATGCGGCCTCTGTCCTTGACGATCTAAACTTTATTGATCTGATCTATTTGGACCAAGATGGTATTAGAGATGTTAATTGTAAGAGCCCTCCAATATGCTTTTTGGATGTTCGTTTTTTGGGTCGTTTTTTGGGTCGGTTTTTATGTCTTTTCTCATGTCTTTTCTCATGTCTTTTCTGATGTCTTCTTAAGTGTATACGAAGGCGGTAAAAAAGCATACTTCGTGCAAGAGACTTTTCGTATGTATAACCTTTAATTAAGCATTCCTAGCCAATATCCTTAATACGTAAATTTTGATACATATGGACTGAGTAAACACGATCACACTTTCCCCTAAAAGTCCCTATACAGATATGACAACTGTATCTCATCACATAATGTGGTTTGTTCCTGTCTTCGAAAGTAGTATTTCTGAATTGTAATATTCAACCTCGGCGTCCGATGACCACCTTCAAAAGGCCAGTGTAAAAGAAAAAGAAAGAGCGCTGTTGAGGTTCAAAAATATGTAAATAAAATTGTTCCTAACTCTAGAACCTATTTCAACCCTCCGGCTAGGAGGAGACTCTGGCCCGTCATGTACCCGGTCTTCACTAGCATAGTAACAACGTTCGCCGTTTCTTCTGGAGTTCCTAGCCGCTTTAGAGGAATACTCTCTACCACTTCGGGGAACGCCGCGGCAGAGGAAAGCATGCCTGTATCACCGATCATAGCTGGGGCGACGTCGTTGACACTAATGTTGTACTCTGCCAGTCTGGTTGAGAGGTTCTTCATCATACCGGTCAGACCACCCTTGGAGGCTGCGTAGTCTAGAATGGGAAATCGAATCAGCAATTGCTTCAAAAAAAAACAAAAGGCCAATGGATCAAGGGTAGTGGATTGACTTACGACAGCCGTTAATTCCTCCACCATGAGCGGCGATGGAGGACATGAAGATGATCCGCCCCCACTTCTGGGCCTTCATGTGCTCTACCACGCCTTTGACAAGAATGAAGCCAGCGCGCAGGTTGATGTTCATAGTGTAATCAAACTCCTCAAGCAAAATATCCGACACATCGGGAATTCGCTTGCCATATCCGGCGTTTGATATAAGAATGTCTGGTCGTTGGCCGTGCTCAAGATCGATTTGTTGAAACATAGCCTCGATTTGATCGCCAGACCCAACATCAACCTGGTGGATTGAAATGCGAAGGTTTTGCGTGGCATTCTTAGATTGTATATCTGCGACAATTTTGTTCAAGGATGTCAAATTGGTCGAGTAGGTCAAGGCGAGATGAACTCCATGTTGTGCAAGTTGGTGTGCGCAAGCTGCACCGATTCTAAAGTCAGAGAATTGACGCGAATTAGTTTCATGTCCTTGCATAAACGGTCGGTGTCATGCTTACCCTCCCGATGCACCGGTTATTACGGCCAATTTACCTCGAATGTCGTTAAGTGTCATTTTTGCGAATATCAGAAGTGCAAGTATACTGATCCGGCTAAGAGATTAAAGATGGCATGACAGAAGTTATTGAACACTGTGGGACCCCAATATTACCCCGTTATCGAAAGCTGTTCCTGATAGTCAAGCTGCAGGTCATCGATTGCCACGCATAATGTGGAGTATATCCCATAGAATAAGAAAAGTGGGTAGAGTGGGTTCGTCAACGAAGGAGCTCCTCCCAACGTTTTCAACATCCTTCAACAGCCCTAAGGATAGATAGTGACGGGGCCATTCAAAGTCAACCTCATTATCTGTCCAACATGTTGATCCCGAGTTTCGCGTTGATTCTCCAATCTTTTTTTTCTCGCGAAAATAGTCGGTGGTTGTAGTAAGGGGAAGGCCCGATTTATTGTGGCCTAAGGCATTAAAGTCACTACTTCAAGGCACGTGATGATATATTTCCTTTTTTTTTTTGGAAACGTCACCTCCAGGGCCACATTTTCATGTTATATATTGCCCAACATAATTCAATCAAATCTTCAGTTCATCGCCAAAGATCACTCAAGGGTACTGGCCTGTGAAAGGCGTTGGTTCCTCAAATACCGAATCGGTGATTTTTGGCGTATCCTCAAGTACACTCCGTACTACCGAGGCATCACAGTGGCGCCCCCGTGTTCCACATGGCCGATCCCCGCTATGACTCCTACAGGGATCTGGCCAAGAACTATGAGAGACGACTGGATACCCTACTAGAACAGGGGGTCTTTAAGCCGATTTTTCTATATCATGTTGTCATTCTCAGCATTTTACCTTTGATAGGTATGGTCATTCCTCACAGCAGGGGTGGACAATATATTCGAAAGGGCCTTTTCGTGCTCTGTATTGCAATTGCAATCGAAGTTTTACAAAACCGACGGGCAATCGTCGGAGGAAATGGCTATATGCTTGGCCTGGTGACCGCGTGGTGGTTAGTATGGAATGCCACGTTATTTGTGTTTACAGACCTTGAACATGATTTCAAGCGCATTGAACGGAAACCTGTCGATATCAAGTCTCAAAATGACGCCAAAATTGAGCCTAGTACTCTCAGAAAGTCGCTCGACTCGAACAATCCAACATGCACACAACGGGACAGTAACCTTTTTGTTTGGCGGTCATATCCCGAAAAGTTTTTGCATCGTCTTGAATGGTCTGCTGGACTGCTCTTCAACCTGAGGGGGCCAGAATGGAACTGGCGGGCTTCCCATCTAGGTCCTCTTCCACAACCAATTCACGACCAATTGCATTCAGGTTTCATGGGCAGAATCATCGCACATGAACCCTCCACATATCCCAGCGGCAAATACCGCCTGCAGGCTGCCTTTCGGAAGTTCTTCTTATCTTACCTTGTGCTGGACATCTTGAAAGTCATAATACTGATGCCGGATCCCTACTTTCGAGGCCTCACTCCAGCCGATTCACTGTCACTATTTCCTTTCTTCTACGTTACAAATCTCACATTGCATCCTGCAATAGCCCAGCTCTGTCGTCGTTTATACAGCGTCATAAGTGTGTATTTCGCTCTCGAGTTCGTGACATCGCTCAATCCAATCTTCTTCCTGGGGCTATCCCTCGCATTCCCCAACGGGGCCAAGAAGCTGACTGCCGCACCGTTGGGTGCTTCATGGCTGTATGCCGATGCATTCGGGCCATTCTTCACCCCGGTCCTTGATGAAGGACTGGCGGGCTGCTGGGGACGTTGGTGGCACCAAATTTTTCGGTACGGATTTGTAGCTTCAGCACGCTGGATCTTATCCGTGCTTCCAGCCAGCTTGGCTTCCAATCTGCAAGTCCGTCGTGTCACTTACGTGGTGGTGGCTTTCTGTCTTAGCGGCTTTGTACATGCCTGTGGAAGCCGAACTCAGATTGCAGATACATCCCCTGTGTCCGGGACATTCCTATTTTTTGCATTGCAGAGTGTTGCAATCATGGCAGAGCAGTTTTTCAAGACATCGATTCTCCCAAAATTGCCTTTTGCTCGTACGCCGAGATGGCTGGGACGAACGGCAAACTTAGTGTTTGTATTTTGTTGGTTGATGGTCTCAGGTGGCCTCATCGCGGATGACTTTGCGAGGGGTGGCTTATGGTTGATGGAGCCGCTTCCATTTAGTCCACTTCGTGCATTGGGATTTGGGCTACAGGGCCAAAGTTGGTGGTGCTGGAATGAGCCCTGGTTCCGGTACTCGAGTGATGGTACATACTGGGGGAGTGGCATACGGGTGTTATAGAGTTGACAGATCCAGAATTTCAGGTTACTTCTGAGGTCCTTAAGTCATTGATTGCATGTGCATTAGATAAATCACATGATCGACCGTTTGTAAGACATATAATTACATCGTCTATCCTTCCATTGTGACATCGTCATCCTCTTCGTCGGTGTCAGAATCGATATTCAAAGTGGGCAATTCATCATCGCTATCATCAACAGCCTCCTCTGTAGCCTGCGGGGTCGCGGTTGTAGATGCGGTGGACACCTGCGTTGAAAGCCTTGGGGCCTCAGCCTTGGTGATTGCAGGAGCTGGCTGAGAGAAAGGTTGTTGGCTCGAGGTGCTTGGGATAATTTCGTCGAATCGCGCCTTTTTGGACTGAACATCCTGCTTCTGCGGTGTTGGCTCCTCGGCTGTGGGTTCCTCGGTGTAGGTCCGCTTGTGGAAAGTAGGCACCGGAGTTGCGGCCTTCGGGTGGTCTGACTTCGGTACTTGCAGGGGCACCGACACAGGTTGCTTCAGAAATTCGGCAGTCTTTGGGGCGGCGTGGTATGAATCATCTGCCATGTCCTCGTCTTCTGCTTCTTCGTCTTCATCGACATAGGCGTCAAGCTCGGGCGCAGTCATCATGACAGGCATCCTAGGACGAACCAGAGCCTCCACCTCCATCTGATCAGCATAAGGCCGAGTCAAGAATGGAATGATACTCGAGCCCGCTCCACGGCCCTTCACTGCCGGGACAGGGTTGAGTACGCTAGCAAACATCGCATCCTTGTCGGATGTCAAAATAATGGAGCGGTCCATTTCAGCCCTAATGGAGGGCGGAACAAGCTCGGCGGGGATAGAAACGAACACGGCCTGCAAAAGCCCGGATGCATTTTGCTGAACGTCCAAAAATGGAGAGGCCGCTTGTGCCTGGCGAGATTTCTGAAGATCAGGGTTCAAAAAGGCGTCCGCATTGGCTGACCCTTGTCCGCCCTTTGACTTGGCTTTAGAGTCAGAGCCCGAATTTCCCGTGGAGCTGGAATCTCCAGTCGGCGGCAATATATCATTGCAGCAAGAGCGTAGGACGTTCGTCAAAGACACCACGCTCTGTTTCGTCATCGCAGGTCCGTTCACCGGCACCAGAGAGCGAAGCAAACCATAGACTGCCGAACGCAGATCTCTATTGAACCTTTCGCCCTTGAAAGTCCAGACAGCCTGCTCTAGAATGGTCTGCGTCACCGAGGTTGCGCTGGTTGCCATGATACCGACAACGTTGGAAAGCAAGCCCATGCATGCAATGTGAATGCGAGGTAGCTCCATCCAAAGTGCCTCTCGCTCGTCACGGCTAATTTCCTGGTTGAACTGAATGCCAGATTGAGACGATGCGGCCCCATTGGGCGGAACAATGACAGAAGTAAGTCGGGAGGTTAGATCGAGGATAGAGCCCATCGGAAGGGCAACTGCAGCTGCGGATGGCATCGAGATGAAATCGGAGAGAATCTGCAGAAGTGCAATCAACCTATCCACGCCCGAGTGCAGTCCGTTCCAGCCTGGAAGTCCAAGACCATCTGGGCCCCCGTCACCCATTTCTTGGCTATAGTTTGGCCGTGCGTGCACCAGAGTCGCATCGACAGACTCCCACTGCTCTACAACGGCTCGGAAAACATGGTCTGTGGTTCGGTGGATGGACAAAATCGTCGACTTGCAATCGTCTTTCCATCCGGAACCCGCCTGGTCCTTGGGTGCGCACTTGTGAAGAGAGACAAGCAGCTGCTCAGCTGCGTCGATCACATGCCCCGGGAAATACGCAGGTGAAGAAGAGCCAATTACTTCGGCGAGAAGAGTTCGGAGCTGGGCACCAAACGGACGGAAGATGGTAATGTGTCTTGGGATCAATTCAAGCAAGGCGTGCAGGACAATTTCCATGAAGGGAGTGTTGGGCTTTGGCTTTCTGATTGAGCCCGAGGAAGTCTTCGTGATTGTAGAGACCAAGTTCAAGGCGGCGGTAATGAATCCCGGAAGCTGCGGGGTTGTGATCTCACGGACAAGTGTTGGGTACTGATATGTGAGGTGGAAAATGCGAGTTAGTGTGATAATACACATCTTTCTCGTGGAGATTGGATCGGGTTTCTAGAAACGCGTAAGTCAATGGAGCCAGCATAGATAACGGGGTCTAAATCAATTGATACCGCGAGGATGCTGATCAAACTGCGAACAATAGGCTCATAGCCGCGCAGAATTTCCCATTGACCAGCTTCAACTGTAGATTTTACTAGAACAACGGCGGTCCATCTTCCCTCAACACTGCGGTCCTGCAACAGACTCGCTAGTCTAGTCTTCAGTTTGTGGATCTGGACGGCATTATCGGAGTCCGATTTGCCAGATTTCTGGGTTTGAGGGGTAGAGAGCAGCTCAGCGCAATCGCTCAATGAAGTCGCAAGGAACGAAGCTATCGAGGGTAATTGCTCGACCGGGGTAGTTGTCAGGCGATGCGTGACGGCGCGCAAAGTAGTGGAGGACATGGCGATAGGGACAGACCTATATAACAGGTCTTGACTCAAAAATCAGTCCAATTAATAGAAAAATTAGTGCAGACAAAAGGTGAAAGTCTTATCGATAACTTTTTTTTCATCAAAAAGCTCGGACCAACATAAACTGTCGGTATCCAAGGTTAAATTACCGTCACGTACGTAATCGCTCTCCATCCCTGGACGATCAACAACAGGCTTCACACTTGACGACCTCGGGATGTTGGCGAAGCTTGATTGCTCTTCTCCCTTTTTATATCATTCACAACTCTCCTGAACCATGGCAGTAAGTGTCCATCTTGTGTCTCCTTCAATATTTGCTGGTTTATATTTCTTCTAAATCATTGATACCACCCAGTATTTATGTTGACACGTGCGAACCAGGGAGGCAATGCCGAGAAGGGGCAGGGCTACATCGCGGCCTTGGACCAGGCGCGGAGTCAGGGCAAATGGGATGAGATCCCCGAGTTGATTCGGAAAGTCACAAAACACGCACCACAAAAGACTTGTACGCCACTGGCCCCTAGTTTATTGATCTCAACCTAACCGGGCTGTCTCTAGGCCTGATACAGACCGCAACAGCGGAATCGCGTGTGATTGTGTATCTTCAACAAAAGTCCTCCGGCGACTCGTCTTCTTCCTCGCCCAATCTCGTCGAGCTGATCCCGGCCCTGTTGATGACAATTGAGAATAATGACGGATCACCACAAGAATTATTGCAAGCGCAGGTCTGCCTGGGGTGGATACATTGGGCTTTGAACGAACCTGGACTTTCGGCAGCGCGTCTCCCTAAGGATTTTGCGGCAACACTTGATAGCTTGGCCAGTGGAGGAGAGCAACCTACTTCATGGACCGAGGTCTGTTTAGTGAAGGGATGCTACATCAAGGGTATGTTTACTTTGTTTACTTCCGGATGTAGCCAGTTCTGGATCTGACAAAAAGCCAGCTACCGCACAATCTACCGCTGCAGACATTAATGAGACACTGGAGACATTTGCATCTCTAGTTCCGTGGCTACGCGGCGGTAAATTAACCTCAATCACCACCCCGCAATTCCTGAGCTGGTCCGAGTCACTTCTGGGAAATGGTGCTCTTTTGGCTAGTGATGAAGCGACCAAGCATACACCCTATTCAGATCCTAGGCATGCAGATATTGCCTTGCAAATGCTCAGGTTGTGGGCGGCTCATCCTGCCGTGAAACAGGGGGTCACTGCTAACAACCCATCGAACGTGGATTCCTTCGGCCCGGCTCCGCGAGCTTTGGTATGGACTGCTTATTACAGGTTTCTCACAGCAGTTCTACAGGGCGGGCTTATATACACAGGCCCCAATGATGGACCGGACCGCCCACAGCTTTGCAATGAATTGCGCCGCGTAGAGACTATCTACGAACGCAATCTTCTCTCTGGAGTCATGTTTCCTACAGCCAGCTCGCAGAACTCGCAAGTCGAGGAATGGGTGGAGCAGGTGGTCAGTAACTGGCAAGTCTTGTGTGGTCCCGAGTGGCAGGATTCGGACCTCGGCGAGGGAGGCCAGAATGCGGTTGGTCGTAATGTTTTAGAGGTGAGTCCAACAACAGATCTCATCAAATAACATGTACTAACACTTAGTGTCCTAGATTCTGTACCGGGCAGCGACAAAGACCTATCACTCTCATTTGGTACTCCGGCGTCTCTTCCATGTTCATTCTGCTTTGGCAGACTTTGACCTCGCTGTGAAGGCGCTCGATTCCTACATCGAGATTGTCACTGCAGCCAAAGAAAGGGCAGAGAAGTCTGCCGAGTCCGGGGAGCTGGAAAAGGATGAAGTATTGCTGCAGACGCTCTCTGAAGGAGTCACATTATTGAGCTGTGTTGGCTCGTTCGAAGAGGCAGAGAAAGCCCGAGATCTGACTGAAATGATAAGAGAGTATATCGACAAGCACAATACGCCTCCTACAAACGGTCAGGTCAATGGCAACACTACTAACTTGCCAAACATCCCCCCCTCCGTGCTGGCCTCCTCCTACCGAGCCATCGGCGTTGGACTTGCCTGCTGGGCAAGCTGGACTCCTGTGAATGAATCACGCGATGAGATTAGAGCTGATGCGATTCAATACCTCGAAAAGAGTCTTGCTCCAGAATTGGGAAGTAGCACAAGCTATTCCTCACTTTATACCCTAGGCCTTGTCTTGGCTGAGAACAGAGATTTAGACACTGCAATTGACTATGTCAAGTCAGCTCTGACGCCAAACAGCTTGTCTACTGCGGTATCTGATGATCTTTCCAAAGAACGTGACTTGGTATCTTTGTGGCATCTGCTTGCGCTGCTTCTGAGTGCGAAGCAAGAGTTCGAGATTGCTGGGCGTTCATGCGAGGCTGCATTCGAGCAGTTTCCCAGAGAATTATTCTCGAAGGGTCATCGCGAACGGCGTTCATCGAGGCATTCGCAAAACCCCAACCAGCGCCAGATTGTCAGCAGATTGCAAGGTAGAGAAAAAGAACGCATCGTCCAAACCCGCATTACACAGCTTGCGTTCATCGAGCTCCTGGAAGGGCCCGAAGCTGCTGTCAACCACAGCACACAATTATTGAGTCTTTTTGGCACTCTTTTCCAGGACCTGAACCTCGAGGCTGGGGAGACTAAAGCCAAGGCAGACCACCTAGTACCACCAAAGAGCTCTGCCGGAACTACCAAAAGCATCCGTGGAAGCATTTTCGGCCGAAACAGAACGACTCAGTTACCAGATCGCCGTGCTGATCAGAGTAATGGTCCTGATGCCATCATTCCACCCACTCCGGCTATTCCCAATGGTCATGTGACGGATGCCCCGTCAATCCAAGTCACGGATGAAGATCCTCACAGCCGACAGGGAAGACCGCCAACGATTGGGAGGGCAGACTCCAGGAAATTGAAAAAGCGAAGTTCAAGCTTTCATAAAAGCGAGAGGCCGCGTGTTGAAGAGCCCCCGCTTCCTAATGGAGGTGAAACTTCCGCAGAATTGGTCGGCATTGCATTTTCTGGCAATACATCACCAGAGTCCGCGATCCATACTACCAAAGGCAAACAGCCACTGCCGGCGATGGCACACAACATGAACTATAAACAAGAAGCTCCTCCCGCCGGACATGGGGAACAACCCCCTAAGCAGGATATCCGACTCCCAATCGGTGACCGTTTCGACTCTCCGACAAGCGCTGTCACGAAGTTTTCTTTAGTTCAATCCCAGAAGCACGCCTTAGGTCTTCTCGTCAAAATCTGGCTTGTTATTGCTGGTCTTTATCGCCGAGCGTCTCTGTTCGACGATGCCCGTGAAGCTTGCGAAGAAGCTTCGAAACAAGCCGCGCGAGTGGAAGCACTTGTTGCATCACATGAATCCTCAGCTCGATCTTTTAACAAGCGCGGCTGGGGTTCTTCAAAGAGCTCTGAGGAGCTCTGGGCTGATGTCTACGCTGAACAAGGTCTCTTATCCCAGGCTCGATCGAGCCCCCATCAAGCAATCAGACACTTTGAGGACGCGCTGCTGCGCTACCAGGACCACCCAACGGCAACTATTGGACTTGCCAATCTTCTCTTGGACATTTGGGACCAGAAATTGTCCCCAGAGCCATTGAATGCTGACGTAGATCTTAACGCCTCGCGTCTGTCATTGCTGTCAGAAACCCCCAAGCCCAAGTCCGCGAAGGCCATCTCGACCGACGATGTCAAGGTATCAAGTGTGACCCAGAATGCGGGTCCCGAGGAGGCTCCTCTATCTGCACAAGATGTGGAGCCTAAGCAACTGCACCGTCTCGCGGCCCGCGATCGCGCCTATGGGCTTCTTTCGGCGTTGACAAAGCTGGGAAGCTCCTGGGACAACTCCGAGGCATGGTATGCGTTGTCGAGAGCATATGAGGCTGGTGAGCAGGTCGAAAAACTGAAAGAAGTGCTTTGGTGGTGCATTGAACTGGAGGATCGACGGCCAATTCGGCACTGGTCCAATATCGGCTCCGGTGTCTATGTTCTCTAATAAGGCAACAAAATCCTGTATCTTCTTGTATCTACCTCATTTGCCCCCCTGTAGGAACGGATTTTTTTTTTTCAACGAGATATCTTGTTTATACCATGAGGACTATCATTATTACTACAATTTTCATTGAAGTGCAATTTTTGAAAACGGACTTTCTTCGTAAAAAAATAAGCACTACTGGCAAAACGACTTTATATACAGTTCCCAAATCAACAAATGAGGTGTCAATGGGCTAAAAAGGAAGAACGGGATCAGCTGAACAGCAAGGCAAGTGGATTGATTCTGCTACTGCAAATAAATCTACCGCGGAGCAGCGGTGGGAGTCCAGGCAGTGATCTTGGGCCGGGTGCTAGAGTGGCATTAGTCGATACACGGGAAAGGCCGAAATAGCGCACACAGGAACATTGCACGTACGTGGAGTAAGTCTTGAATGCAGCGCGGCTCAGAGTTGGGTTGGCGCGGTGGTCGGACAGCTCCCAGGGACGGAAACCGGACTGCATGACCTTGTCGGCGTGCGGGGGCCCATCAACGAGGTAGGAGATCCAGGCGTGCCTTAATAGGGTTAGTTCCACATCATCGCAGGTCCATTGTTGACCTAGTGTCTCGAGAGAAGCGCTTACCAGCCAGGCTCAATGTGGGATGCGTCGTATTCGGCCTCCTTGTAGTCGACCCATCGTGTTCGGACTAAACGGGGAAGTACCATTAGAACAATGCGAAAGTATGAGCGGAACAGTCTTCTTACGAGGCAACTCCTCCAGGTTCTCGAAGTATTTGTTTCCGAAGCGGTCCATTCCGATCAGAGTTCCGGCCTTGGTATCACCTGTAGAAGCGGGTATTGTTAGTCAACTGCTGGGCAGACATCAATAGAGTGACAACGTACCAATATTCTATATCGCAGCGAACAGGGACATAGGTTAGTCTTGAGATCGTTCAATGGACCTGCTGTTCCGGGGGAAGCGTCCGTAACCTACCTGCATCTGGTGGGCGGCATCCTGTACAAGTGTGTTAGCAACCGAGTTTCTGTAGAGAATATCGCAATTATACGAACCTTGAAGCCGACCCGGCGAAGGTTGCGCAGCGTCCTCACAATAGTCGACATATTTGCTGGTATATTGTGCTAGAGCGAATGGGACGCGAGAGATTGGCGATTTGAGGTTGCAGGAGGGCGGTGTGTTTGCATTGTTTGCACTCTGCTCTACCATGGATATCCCGATTCAGAAAACCCTCGACCTTGGATATTCAGACATGTTCGGTCGCGTTGGAGGGCAAACGCTTCGTTGCGCTGGGCGTCGCCCAGTCGCACGTCGGAGACTGTGTGCGCGCCAATTTTCTGCGCATACCGGTACAGGAGCCACGACTGCAGCATCCGCTCTTTCACCTCTAGCAGGAATCACCGCGGAGCTAGATCGCATTGCTCCCCGATTCGAGGTGCCTGCGTCTCAGATTCATATCATTGACTCTCCGGCCAATTTCTACTCTACATTGAAGGTGTGTTCTGTCATGTTTGTCTCCTTGAAATAATTTGGAACTAACTCCCAATTCCGCAGAATAAAATTCGCAATGCCCGGCGGCGCATTTACCTCTCTACATTGTACATCGGCAAGACAGAACACGATCTTATCGACACCTTGAGCCAGGCTCTCCGCGGTAATCCGGATCTCAAAGTTTCTATTCTCACAGACGCTCTGCGCGGCACACGGGAGACGCCGAATGCTTCATGCGCATCACTCCTTTGTTCATTGGTTGAAGAGTTCGGACCTGAACGAGTCGAGATTCGGATGTTCCATACTCCCAATTTGACGGGTCTAAGAAAGAAGTGGGTTCCTTCCCGCATCAACGAGGGCTGGGGCTTGCAGCACATGAAGCTGTACGGGATAGACGACGAGATCATTCTATCGGGGTATGTTATCTGCGGACTGGTACAAATATGGGATATTAATATATTTGCAGAGCAAACCTATCAGAGGAATACTTCACCAGCCGCCTAGATCGATACCATGTGTTCGACTCCAAGGTGCTGACCGAATATTACGCTGGAATCCACCATGCAATCTGCAGTCTGAGCTTCCAGGTGCTGCCGGACCCTCAAAACAAATCCAGCTATATTTTGGACTGGCCTGCCACAAACAAAGCTCTCTCTCCCCCTTGACGATCCTCAGAAGTTTATTGCATATTCTTCGACGTTCTTGAGCCCGCTCATTCAGGCTTCTGACAACAAACCTGCACTTCCCTCCTCATCAAGTCAAACCTATGTATACCCTGTATCGCAGTTTACTTCTCTCATGCAACCCGATGACACATCTACCGAATACCCTGCCGTGACAACCATTCTCCATCTCTTGTCAAGCTCATCAGTCTTTGCCGGTGCTCGCTGGCTCTTCACAGCAGGTTACTTCAACATGCACCCTGTCCTTTCCTCCCTCCTAATTTCCAGTACAACCACCGCCTCGAAGACTCCTACCACCACAAAGGGTACCGTTTTGACGGCCTCGCCGTGGGCAAATGGATTCTTTGGCTCCTCTGGAATCTCAGGAATGCTTCCAGCCGCATACACACATCTCTCTGCCCGCTTCCTTGATCGCGTCGCTGATGCACACGCCACCGACTCCGTCCAACTGAAGGAGTGGCGCAAGGGCACCGTTGGCACGCCAGGCGGATGGACCTACCATGCCAAAGGTCTGTGGATTACACTGCCGCGCGAGGAACACCCCAGCCTCACTTTCGTCGGTAGCAGCAACTTCACAAAGCGCAGCTACAGCCTAGATCTTGAGTCCGGTGCGGTGGTCGTGACAAACGATCCTGACCTCAAGCAGAAGCTAGGTGAAGAGACGGAGCGGCTTCAGAAAGATGCCACCCCTGTCTCGAGAGATGACCTGATGCGAACGGAAAGGCGAGTCGGATGGAATGTGAGACTTTCCATGTGGATTGTAGAGAAGGTTGGCGGCGCCTTCTAATTCTCTTCTTGGTCTTTTGTATAAATATGTATCCTTTGGAAATAATAGCAAACCTGTAATATACTAGAGTATAGATTGATGTGATGGCTGAGGCTATCACACCATCCAAGAATATCTCATCTGAGTCATACACTACATCAACCATGGAAGTTTTTATATGAATCCCTCCTATTTCGATTACACCAAAATCATCTCAGAATAGCCACAGCCTGAAATACCTCCATGTCTATCCAAGAAATTGTCGCTTCAAAGTCCTGGTTCGGCTTCGATCTAGATGACACGCTCCACGAATTCCGAAGAGCCTCGGCCAATGCCTCGGTCCGCGTCTTCGAAACAATACACGCCTCAAACAACAAGACTAGCGTTGATATCCTCAAGAACACATACCAAGATATCCTGCGCAGTGCAACCGCAAATGCCTTCACGGATGGCAAGACCTCAAGCGAGTATCGGCGCGAACGGTTTGAGCGTCTTCTACAGGCGCACGGGCTCATTGATGACTCTCTGCTGGGTCATCTGTTAGAGGTATATCGAGACTCTCTACGCGAGAACCTGACTCTCAAGCCGGGTGCATTGCATCTTTTGCAGACTTTGCGAGGGCTGGGAAAGAAAACCATCGTCATCACTGAGGGCCCAGCGGATGCGCAGGAGTGGACGGTCCAGGAACTCGGCATACGGTCTTACGTCGATGTCCTTGTGACGACTAACGAGGTCGGCAAGTCTAAGGTTGATGGGCTGTTTGGTGTTGTGCTGGAGAAATATGGTATCGCCGCTGAAGATATTGTATACTTCGGTGATAATGGGATTCGCGATGTTCAGGCTGCGCGGGAGGAGGGGATCCTGGCTGTTCTTTATGATGAAAAACAGCAGTCTCGCTTGTACGATGTCAGTGCATTACGAGTGGATTCGTGGGCTGTTGTAGAAAAGGTACTCGTCCATGGAGAGTAAGGATATACAACAGAGCATCGAGACATAAACATAACTTTTGGTCTAGCCATCAAGAGATATCAACCCTAACGCACAGGAATGCCGTAATAAAATAAGTAATAAAAAGCCAAACGCCATGTCATGACTGGGGGTTCCCATCGTCTCATATGCAGTGCAAATCTTCATCTAAGCTCTTCCAGGGACTTTGCCCTTCTCGGCTTGGAGACGAGCTGGGCCGAGACCGGATCGCACCTCGTCGAGCATTCTGATGCCAATGGCCTCGTTACCGTTCCTACCACGCTTGTGCTTGGCGCCGTGTCGCTTCGCCTGTCCACTAGTATTGGGGTCCCAGCTGGAGAGGAAGTCGTCCATGACGTTGTTGAAGGTGCTGCGGCTGTGCACGGCTTCACCGTTACCATCGATCAGACTGGGGGCCTGGGATGATGCAGTGGATATGCCCGTCATGCCGGTTGCACCTGTCATTCCGCTGATCATGGACATGCTGTCATCGTATTCGTCCTCCTCGTCAAGAGAGTAGAGCTGCTCAACCTTGTCAAATCGGTCATCGAGGAGACGGTGGCCGGCAGTACGAGCCAGAGCGGACGACGTCATTGAGTACGCAGATGGGTTGGTCAGAGCACCCTTGCGCTTCTTCCGGCGAATTGGTGTTCCGCCAGCAGTGAAGGCGGTCGATGCCATCGTTTGCGATTCTGCGATTGTAGGTGCAGCCGGTACAGGAGCGTTGCCAGCCTTAGCATCTTTCTTGAACTTGGCGAACTCGCTCATCCAACTCTGGTCAGTGGGCTGCATATCGGGAGCCGGCATATCATGTTCAGGCATCTCGCCGGGGTCCATTGGTGGCTTGACAGGCCCTTCTGATGGCTCATCATCCATTGAGAGATGAGCGTCAGTGCTGTCTGGCTGCACGGGCGCTTTCTCCGTAGCATCCGACTCCCATCCATCATCCTCAACATCGTGGTCGAACAGAGAATCCTCCCAGTCGCCCTCATCTATTTCCTCCGCATTGGCTGTTAATTCGCCAAAGATTCCGTCAGCGTCGCCCTCCTCCACGAAGGCTTCGTCCTCCAGCGCCTCCAACGCCTCTCGCAGCCGCGGGTCCATGTCAGGCTTGAATCCAGCAATTGCGTCTGGGACGTTTTGCTGGTCCTGATAAGTTGGCTTGCGGATAAAGGACGAAGCAGTTGAGCGCATATCGCCATATTGCGAACCATAAAGACTGGGAGCAACCGAGGCGCCCTGATCATAGGTATCTTTATCCACGAGCGAGACCTGTCGCAGCGCATCTTCCAGCTTCATCCCTCGACCAGCCCTGCCCTTAGCCTTCTCAGCCTTGGCTTCCACGAAGTACGCATCTCCGCTGCCGCTTCCCAGCTCGCGGAGATGCTGCATGTAATCGTAGCTGGAGTCATCGTAATAGACGCCGTAGTTGGCAGCCTCGCCCTCATTTTTGCGAGCACTGTCGCCGTATTCGGACTGGAGGTCAGACAAATTTGGCAATGTCTTCTTCGAGGTGTTCGATGCGGAAGACGATACGGGCGCAGGCGCGGGGCCTCCGACCTGGTACAGGAAACGGTCGTCCGCACTGGTATCGTGGATCAACGGGTCATTTTGAGACCGGTGAAAGAGCTGGAACTTGCTCGCGTTCTTCTTGTCACTATGTGCATATTAGCTTTGACGCTATAATGATCCTCGTGCGATACATACATCCACTGTTTGGGCGGCATCTTTCAATGTTGGTTTTGGTCAGTTTTTTGGTATCGCAGGAAAAAAAGGGAAAAAGTGGGATTGATAGGGTCACGTGTAGCTTATCGCCCCTCGTTCTCCGGGGTCCTCAGAATCTTTGAACTGTACGGAGTATACGATGTTTAATGGGGGTTTCTTTTCAAGTTCCACTCTATTTCGTTTAATTTTGATTTCACTCATTGTGCAACTTCGCTTGGAGACTTGGGTATTCATTGGGCTCGGCGCTTGAAGGAGGCCCGCATCAATAGTACTACTATGTCACATATTAGACCATGCCCTAGTTATAGACCATATTGTCACTTATATATGGCTTTAGTTACTATATATTCTTATAATTTACACCATATAGTACGAATAGAACAATTTAAACTGCAAAAAGGCACCAAAAACATGGCCATATACTTACCTGGATGGCTCTGGGGAGCGGGCCCATCGGATAGAGGGGGCTGAGTCAGCGTTATCTTATCCGTCTGAATAATCCAAAATTCCCTTTTTCAGGTGGGGGTAGTGCCTCTCGACTTGATTTTTTACTTCCTACAACTTTTTTCAATTTCAGGGAATCCAAAGTCATCGCCATCATGGTTTTGGCTAAATCCAAGAAATCCGTGGGACTGGGTGCCAGTCTCATGAACGATCGGTTCGGAAAGGGCAAAGCATCCGCTCAGAAGAAGGTCTCTCACAACAATGCCATCCAGCGCACAGGTGTCAATGGTGAAACCTACGTCACCAACGAGGCAAAGCAGGACTCATGGGTCAAGATGCGCAGTATCACTGAGCAGGCAGCGCTCGACGAATTCCTGAGTACCGCTGAACTGGCCGGAACCGACTTTACCGCTGAAAAAATCAACAACGTCAAAATCATCCACTCCGATCAGAAGAACCCCTTCCTTCTCACCCCCACCGAAGAGAAGAAGGCTTTCATTAAGCACCAGAAGAACAAGGACCGCCTAACTGTTCCCCGACGACCCAAGTGGGACCAGTCCACGACTCGAAATGAACTAGAAACGATGGAGAAGCAAAGTCTGTTGGACTGGCGACGAGGGCTGGCCGAGCTGATTGAGAACCACGATCTGCTGATGACCCCATTCGAGCGCAACTTGGAGGTCTGGCGCCAGTTGTGGCGTGTTATTGAGCGGTCCGATCTTATCGTGCAGATTGTCGATGCGCGAAACCCATTGCAGTTCCGTTCAGAGGATCTGGAGAGTTACGTCAAGGAGATTGATCCTCGAAAGCAGAACTTGCTGTTGGTCAACAAGGCGGATATGTTGAGTCTGAAGCAAAGAGAAGCCTGGGCTGCGTACTTTGAGAAGAACAACATCAACTTCCGTTTCTTCTCTGCTCACCTCGCTAAAGAGAAGAACGAGGCCCTCGCTTTGCAGGAGGAGCAAGAAGATGACTCCGATGCTGAACTTGCCCAGTCGGCGCAAAAGATCGACATGCATGCCAATGAAGACGATGGATACAACAAGGAGGATACACTGGAGGAAGAAAGGGCTAAGCTCGCCGATCCTGAGCGCTCGCTTGGGCCACACATTCTGGACACCGACGAACTGGAAGAGCTTTTCCTGGCCAACTCCCCAGAGTCACTACCGCAAGATGACGAATCTGGCGAGACCAAGCGTAAGACCACAATTGGTCTGGTCGGTTACCCCAACGTGGGTAAGTCCAGTACCATCAACGCCCTTCTTGGTGCGAAGAAGGTCTCTGTCTCTGCCACACCCGGTAAGACCAAGCATTTCCAGACTCTCTACCTCTCGCCCGAGATTATGCTGTGCGATTGTCCCGGTCTCGTGTTCCCCAACTTCGCCACCACTAAGGCCGAGTTGGTCGTCAATGGTGTGCTGCCCATCGATCAGCAGCGTGAGTTCACCGGTCCCGCCGGTATTGTCGCCAAGCGTATCCCCAAGCATTTCATCGAGCAGGTATACGGTGTGAAGCTCAGAATGCGTCCCGTCGAGGAGGGCGGCACTGGCATCCCCACTGCCAGCGAGATTCTGCGTGCCTATGCCCGCGCCCGTGGTTTCTCCACTCAGGGTATTGGTCAGCCCGACGAGTCCCGCGCTGCACGTTACGTCCTGAAGGACTATGTCAACGGCAAACTTCTCTGGGTCAACCCTCCCCCAGTTGCCGAGGATGAAACTCCATTCGACACCGCTGAGTTCAACAGCGAGCTATACGATCTCGCCCATCTTCCAGAAAGACGCCGAGCTCAGCTCACACAAGCCAAGATCGGAAAGCATACCGCAGTAGAAGAGGTCACTGCAGAGCCCGCCGGTGAAGTCGACTTGGAGAACCCCTCTGAACCAGCCAAGCTGTCTGTCGAGCCGGAGCTCGGTCGCACCTCCCGCAACCTTGATACGGGCTTTTTCGGCTCAGAAACTGGCCCCTCTGCCGGCCGTCTGACTCTCCCCTTCCAGTCTCGGTACACCCAGCAAGGTCAGGAGATGCGCAAGGCGCCAACAGGCCGGAAGGAGCGCATGATGGTTGCTCTTGAGCGTGGCGTGGATGTCTCTGAGGTGAAAGGCAACACCAGCACGAAGAAGCACTTCAAGGCAAACAAGCGCCTGGCCAAGGGCAAGCGCAACAACCCTGAGGATGACGACTACTAAAAAGTGATTTTCTTTATATTTCCTTTGTTGCATTGTTGCTTGCGCTCGCAGGCGAGTCGAGGGAGATCGTACCGCTCTCCCTCTGGTCTACGAGGTATCACCCTTGGGCCCATGGGGCTTGGGGGTGAATGAATTGATACGTGATTCGACATATGGGATTTTCATATCATGTCGGGATTGAATTTTTATGTCCATGTTCATGCTCATGTTTGTTGAGGAACCATCTTTTTGGCGTTGGGTTTTTACGAGTTGAATAACGATTTATACCAGTCATTCATTCACTTGATTATTGTGTCGCTTCTCGTCCATCGTAAGACCAACGCGTCCAACATAGACTTTAATACCACAGGCAAGTAAAAACGGAACAATGTTCGTGCATTCTTATTCAGCCGAAGCAAGCAGCAGACTATATCGTAAACTATATTTTTCAATAATCTCAAAGATGGCTCTTAGGCTTGAACCCAGAAGCAGCAAGCAAGCGATCAGCCTCCTCACGCTGCCAGTTCAACTTAGCAGTAACCTCATCCTTGCGAGACTTGTTCTCGCGCTTACCGAGCTGCTGCAAGTGAACCTCATCAGGACCATCGGCAATGCGCAGAGTACGAATACCAGCCCACAGGTACGCAAGCGGGGTATCCTGGCAGACACCGGCAGCACCATAAGCCTGGATGGCACGATCAATGATAGTAAGCGCAGTCTGGGGAACCAGCACCTTAGCCTGAGCGATCTCCTTCAGGGCGCTCTTAGCATCACCCTGATCGATCTTGATAGCAGCGTTCAAGACAACGAAGCGGGCAGCATCGACCTCAATGCGCGACTTGGCAATCCACTCGAGGATGACGCCGTGCGCGACTAAAGGCTTGCCGAAGGTCATTTTGCGCTCGTCGTTGACACGGGCAATCAGCCACTCGAGCGCGCGCTCAGAGGCGCCAATGGCCCGCATGGCGTGGTGGATGCGACCGGGTCCGAGACGGCCCTGAATGATCTCGAAGCCGCGGCCTTCGCCGAGGACCATGTTTGCTGCGGGCACACGCACGTCCTTGAATGTGATGTGGCCGTGGCCGTGCGGTGCGTCGTCGTATCCGTATACTGTCAACATGCGGTGCACTGTGATGCCTGGGAGCCCGGCTGGGACGAGTATAACGGACTGCTGCTTGTAGGTGTCTGGGTTGGTGGGGTCGGTCTTGCCCATTACCAGGTAAACTGCGCAGCGGGGATCGCCGGCGCCGGAGGACCACCATTTCTGTAGTTTGGTTGTTAGAAGTTGTTTAGGATATGAAGTGGTTTTGTGGGAATTGAAGAGGTACACACCGAGCCATTCAGCACGTATTCATTACCCTCCCGGCGGATGTCAAGCTCAATATTTGTCGCATCGCTAGACGCGACGTCGGGCTCGGTCATCAGGAAAGCAGAGCGGATCTTGCCCTCCAGCAGGGGTGCAAGCCACTCCTTCTTTTGTGCGTCATTACCGTACTTGGCGAACACCTCCATGTTGCCGGTATCTGGGGCAGCATTGTTGGTAGCCTGGTGATAATAAAAAAAATTGTCAGTGATCATTCAAATCAATTTGGAAGATCTCCCCAGCGAGTAAAACAATGCGGCAGACAAAGAACAGAATAACCCACCTCTGAGGCAACCTTGCTCTTGCCGAGCAACTCGGCCATTAATCCGTACTCCAAGTTTGAGAATCCAGCGCCCTGACTGAAGTGGTTCTTAGGCAGGAACATGTTCCACAGACCGAGCTTCTTGGCCTTCTCCTTCAAGCCCTCCAAGACGGCGGGGGTGGTGGTCCATCGCTTCTCGCCTTCGCCGAGCTGGGCCGCAAAGACGGTATCGGCGGGGATGCAGTCTCTTTCAACGAATTCCTCGACCTGAAGTCATGTTAGCACTGGGTATTAAAATAAACCAAACAAGTAGGTTCTTGGTGGTTCCTGTCCTGTAAGAGGTAGGGTATTGGGAATGAATTACCAAATCAAGGGTCCGCTTGGCCTGTTCGCTGACGAACGGCTGGGCAATGGGGGGAATACGAGAAGAGGCGGTCATTTTGGATGTAAAGAATGATTAATTGATGCAAAATATAAGCAGAATCAACTGAATATAAAGGAAATATCAAGAGAGGAGGTCAGCCCATCCAGAATTGCGGAGAAGGTGGAGAAGCCGACGGATTTTGTCCAGGTGCCTCGGCTCCCGAGGTCAGCGACTAACCGGACGACTTGGAGATGTTTTTGTTGATATCTCACCATATTCAGGTAAATCGGCCAGATCTCCGAGAACTTATGTATCTTATACAGATATCTCTTTTGGAAACTACATATGTATGTATAGGACTAAGACTATTGCTAATAATCATTGTTTAATCTTTCCATAACTGGCTACTAGATCTAACTAAAAGCTGGCCATGGCAAGATATTAACAAGAAAAAGAAAAGACAGCTACAGTCATTTCAACAGGAGATACAAAAAAGGGAAAATTAAAGTAAGGAGTCAGAAAGGCAGCTATTAGCTACCGTTGTAGCCACCGTAGCCCTGCTCCTTCTACATACTCTTTCCCAAAATGGCAATTTCAACATCCGAGGTCTGTTTATAGAGTACCTAGGTAGACCGAGGAAGCATCAAGGGTGTCAGCCTGAATCACACATTTTACACATGCAGCTACATCAAAATATAATATCAAAGCCCAAAAAAAGGTTGCATTGATTCCAATGTGCTCCATGAGATATCCCATTACAGTTCCATCCATCCCATACCCCGTACACACAAAAAAAAAACAAAGGCATTGCAGGTCATCACACAAAAGAAAAAGAAAAACATATAGAAGAAGAATTCCAACTCAAGACCTGGTCATATCCAAGATCTCAAATCTGCCTTTCCTCAATGCATCCGACACAGCGACCGGCGCCGAGTAAAAGAGATTGAAGGAAAGACCATAGAACCAGAGTCTGTGAAGGGAAAAAGAAAAGAATAAAAAAAAGCCAAAGCTTCTCAAAAGACCTGGATCTTTTTAGTTCTCAGTTCGGCCCTGCTCGGCTGAAGATTGCTCGTAGCTCTTCTTGCCGAGCTTAGCGAACAGCGACTGGGGCTTGCCGGCACTGCAGTTGATTAGCTTTGAGTCCAAATTGTATCAACTCCAAGGGATATCACATACTTCTTAAACCGCTTGCCCTTGATATCGCTCAACTTCTTTGTACAGGGACTCATGATATCGTCTGAGGGTGAGACGTAAGAGGTTGGTTGTCTGTTATGATAGGTTAGTTCCCTGTATCATATAACTGAAAAGAAGATTTGAGAATACTCACTCCTCGCCCGTTACTTTGCCCTGCAACACCTGGCGGTGGTAGTCCATTGATGAGAGATCTGAACCCTTCAGATCGGTCTTGTCGCTGCTGGTGAGGTGGGTGTTGGTTGAGCGGTCGGCCAGAGGCTGAGCTTGTGTGGTTGCGTCCATTTTGTGGATGTGTAGGAATTTGAAGGGATGTGTAGGAGTGTATTGATGTGCAGTATTGCGTTCGGAGGATTGAGAGAGAAGAAGGTTAACAAAAACAAATCGGATAAGATGAAAAACGTGTGTGTTGGGGCTGTGATTGTTGGCTGGGCAACAAAGTATGACGCCACAACATATTCCCCTTAAAGGAACAACTTGGAGATTGTTACTATTACAGGCTTTTATTTATGGATCTCTGAGTTTTGGTCAAAAGAATGCAAATAACTCTAATGACAGTAATCACAATAGTAAATAAAATAATAAACATAAAATTAGACCAGTGGGAATCATATCGTCGTCCAAACATACACGCAATAGGGTACAAAGTACAGTGTACAGATGCAAAGCGCTAGTAAATAAAGATCAGAATGCAGGTGGGTCATAAAGTATGGCTACAGCCATTATAGCCATCAAAGGAAGGATCACAGCTCAGGCGACCGTGGATTATCGGTACCCAGGTCGACGTCATCTGGTGTAGCCATATCCAGGTCAATAGGGCGCCCATTCAATACAGGCGGCGTACTCTGAGAACGGGGTTGTGGTGTCGCCAGAGTAGGCACAGACATAGACTCGGGAGAGACAGGTTCTTCCACCTTGTTTGTCTCCTCAACATCTTGTTCCGTTGGAGAAGAAGAAGAAGACGTAGGAGTCGGCGGGGCATAAGCCGCGGTCGGACTAGCGCTATCTTGGTCGGATGAGTCAGAAAGATTTCTGCGATGGCCACTGTTCTCACGGTATGAGGACGAAGTTGGGCGTGTCGATCCCGGGCTAGCCGATGGAGAGGCAAAAATTGGAGATGAAGAGCGCAGACTGTAAGACCGAGCGACCATTCTTTGAACGGCTGGGAACTCCATATAGTTGTTTCCCGACCCCCGTGAGAACAGGACGAGGGCGAAGCAGCAGAGGACCATGATGCTCTGGATCACGGTGACTCTCTTTTGGAAGACTAGTTCGTCTGCAAGGACACCGAGCTGGCTGCTGAGGGAGTGGACTTCTTGGTGGTACTGCATCCGCTGGTGCTCAAATTCAAGAGCAACAGACTTCCAGACGTGGTCGTACTGCTCGCGGAATTCTTTTAATTCGTTGAGAACTGTTACATTGAGGTTTTCAAGGAAAGTGGACGTCTTTGCTAGCTGCCGCTTCTCAACCTTGTTGAACGCATCGCGCAAGATGCGAGACTGTTCCTCAATATAGAGAAGAGACAGGGTTGAGTTCGACTCAAGCATCTGGAGCCGCTTGTGGACAGATTTGAAGAAGGATTCTTGAGTCGTGGGGTTTGCAGATGGCGGTTGAGTGTTTGTAGGTCTCATCGACTCTGGTGGAGGAATGTTCTGCTCCTCTTTGGGATTGGTGGTGGCTTTCCCTGTGGTCTCGGATGTGGCGTTCTGCTGAGCAGGCTCCGAAGACACGCTTGAGGCATCCGGAGCAATCACGACATTTTTTGCAGGCTCACCCTGCTTTCGGGTATCATCAGCTTTCGGGGGCGCGGATGGTCCGGCATTGGTCGCGGAGGGACTGCTTCCGGCTGCAGCAGTAGAGTTCTGTTTCGGTGGTGGATTGATCTGATCCGTTGTGGCTGACGTCGACGGAGTCGTAACAGGCGGCCCATCATTAATGCCGCATATGTCTCCATCATTGTATTTCGCAAAAGGCGATACAGCCTCTAGTAGAGGGTTTGGACATGCCTCCTCAACTGTAAGGCTAGGTTCCACCACAGTAATTAATTTCTCGGCCGGCGCCTCGACAGGCTTGGTCTCCAGATCTTCGGGAAGCTGATCAGCTTCACTGGCCTCCAACTCCTCAACCTCAGCGCGTTCAGAGCCCTCGCCATGCTTGTACTCTTCCATCATGGTGGTACCATGCACCCGAATTAAGCTGACAGGGCAGAAGAACTCATGCCCATAGTGCGTGAGGAACTCAACTCGAAGGTATCGAGCCCAAATAAGCGAGTTCTCTACTGCGAAAGCTTGCACCTCACGAGTGTTGCGTGCCTCATAGACCCCAAGTTCTTTCCACTGGTCCGGTTTCGCGGGATACCGATCCGAGACACTAACCCGGAATGTGTGGAAGATGGAGCTGAAGAACTCATAGTTTGCAAGAACAACCGTATCAACCAGAATATCATCGCACAGTTCCAGGATAAGAAATTTGTTCTGAGCGCGACACTCATTGAGCATATAGCTATCTTTATTCTCAATGAGCACAGAAGACGAACCCTTGCACTCAGGATTCGTCTTCAGCACCGTAGCCGCGCAGTCAAAGGACGCATAGTTGAACCGCTCCTTGCAAGTAGTGCCAGCATCCTTACGGCGCGACGCATCTCTCTGAAGCGCATCCTGAGCGTGTACATCCACATTGCCTCCTCTATCCGCGTTCCCCGCCTGTCCGGCCTCACGCGACGGAATATGCGAGCCCCAAGCGGTAGGACTAGCCTCGGGCGTCTCAGCGCCGAATCCACCAAAGTCCAACTCGATCTCGGAATCGTCGCCCAGCGAATCCAAAGCATTATTGATTCCTGTCGGCTGTCGACGGTCTTCCTTTCCAGCTGCCGCGGCACGTCTGCTCCCTCCAACATTCTCGGCTGATTGCCCGACCTTTGCTAGGTTCTGCTTCTTCCAGTCCTCAAATGAGAGGAAACTAGCACCGTCCAATAGCGAGTCTGTATCTTGGTCTTGTTCTGCGTTCTGGTCGGAGGTCGTTCTTACCGTCTCTTCTGGCGTCCCGCTCGAGACAGCAGATGGATTAACGACCGAATCGTTGGCTACCGCACTTGAATCGGGTGATACCGAAGCAAGGTAAATATCGCGACCGGGTCCCCAGCGCGTCTCCAGGCACGGGGGCAGGTAGAAGAGCTCCGCCTCCGTCTGCCAGGTACTCTTGGCCGGACATGTTGTTACTGGTGTCGTGGGGAGACCAGCCTGCGCCCCGTTCGGGGGTGGCTGGGCGGTCGCATTGGAGAGCGCGCTGTGGCAGAGAGCCAAAAGGATCGAGGCACGGTATATCCAGGAAGTCAATGACCGGCCCGCAGTCAACATGCTGTCGGTTTTATGATCAGATAGTCGCACTTGTATAGCTCCCTCGGTGAGTTCAAGCTATGAATTCGACCTGCGTGCGATGCGCATCGTGGCTGGGGATAAGAACAGTCGGGGAGTTTCTCGTATTTCACTATGCGAGAGATTGCGATTAAGCAAACCCGAGCTTGTCGACAAATGGCGGTCTCCAGAAAGAAATGGATCGAGTGGAACAAATGGCAGGTGCAAGTGGACCAGTGGCATCTTGGCGGGTTGGCTCTGACCGCCTTTCAGGGGAGCTGCAGGACTAGTACACAGCAAACGTTCATGACTCAATAATATAAGACTAGATAGATACAACTACAGACTACTAGTAATAATCCATAAATTTACAGAGAATCAAATTCTTCGCGGATGATGATCAATTTTCCCTTTGGACTGTCCCATATAACTAGTTACAGTATAACACAATCAAGAGAAAACGGCCGCGGTTATTTCACCAAGTCATCCTACCAGGCCAGATCGACTTCTCCGCAACTCATTCCACCTTTTTCCCTGAAGAACCACGCTAACCGTGTAGTTCGTATGCGAAAGCCTCCCGTCAGAATCAAATATCCACCAGCGCATTCCGAGCCAGCCTTCTAACCTTTTTGTGGTTTTTCGTATTCGTCGTCTCCGCCAGTGTCCGTGACCCTCGGTCTGATATTGTACAGGAAGAAAGAAAGAAAGAAAACAGTTTGGACGACCAGGGAGGGTGATACAATGCACGTGGCAATGGATCGTTGAGGACAGACGGAGACAGACAAAACACTCATTCCGAGAACAAAGAGACATAAGACAAGAAAGCGGAATATTAATTTATCGTGGGTAATTTTGAACTTTTTTCCCAACTGAATCGAAACATGCAAGCAGACATCAACATGAGGGGAGAGTATAGGGTAGGGGTGAAGTGAAGTGCGAACGAATACCGAGAACCCTAGAAGTGAGTGTCATGCCACCCACCGACGAAATCGAGATCATCGTCAACGCTTCCATCTACATGAGGTAGGAAGGTTTGGGAGACATTGCTGCGCCAATCCTGCCGTTCGAGCAAATGACGGCGGCGAGCGTCCACAGGCGATGGGGGCTTGGATTTGGTCTGGTGGTATCCGGAAGTACCTCGACCCCAATCGTGTCGCCGAGCGTTGGCAGCAACAGCCTTGGGACCAAACACCTCACGCGACTTTCGAGGCTTGTACTTGCGCGGTTCATCCTCGGGTTTGTACTTGCGTCGCACGTCACCAAGCATCGACCACTTATCAGCACTAGACGGCGCATCTGGGGGGTTCTGCAAGGGGCGAGGCGTGCTACTCGACGCACTGGAATCGCTGTCTTCGTCCAGGGAAAGATCCCCAAGTACATTGGGTTCCATCTTCAGATCCACATCTGGGCCTTGAGAGCGCTGGTTGAGGGAAGCGGAGTCCGGCTCGCGCAATCTTGGGAGGGAGCTCCCTGACTCTCTTGGCTCCAGCTGCGAGAGTTCTGCTCCCGCCGTTGGGCCACGGCAAGATCCTCATTCTCAGACTCCTCTTCGTCCCACATGTCGCACCAGCTCTTTGAGATCTTGTCAGCACCTTTGTTGCCAAAGACCATTGACAAAGAAGGAAGGGGCTTTGTTGCATGAGACGGCAGTGATCCGGTTATGGAAACCGGATCAGAGCGAGGAAGAGACGGCACCTCACGCTTGCGAAGGTTGAGCAAGACGAAGGATTCACTGAGCTGAGAGTCCAAAACCGAGGCGACTGATGGAGTTTCCATGCGGGACGAGAACCACGAGGTTCCCGCAGCTTCGGAAGCCGGGAACAGATCCTCGGTGTAGCTCTCGTTGTCCGGAATGGCAGATAGTTGTCGGATAGCCTGGGGAGGGCTCGACTGGAGCGCCTTTGCCCATGGGAAAGAATCTCCCTGGTTAACATGGGGACTCTGGAGAGACGGTGTGCGAAGGGGTTCACGGTTGGCGCTAGCAGGAACCACCTCGCGGTCTTCGGTGCAAAACTCATCGAGAGATTCGTCGTCGGTAGTGAAAGAGACAGCGCGGAGGATGCAATCACGCACGTCCAACAAAGACCTCTTAGAGGGATCAATGGTCAAGGCATGGGTCAGGATCTCGTAAGTGTCCTGAGACATGTTGGGGAAGATGTCGAAGAGCGACTGGCGATCGCGCACATAATCCGCAAAGAGTACATCGGACTCAGTGGGGGTGACGAAGGGATTACGAGCAAACAGAATGTTCAACAGGCAGATACCCACAGACCAAATGTCAGCCTTAGCGGGGGAGTATCCCGTCATGGTCGGATCATATTGCTCGGGAGCCATGTAGCGGTCGCTACCAACACACGCCTCGTGACACCACGAGTCTTGCGTAGCGAGACCAAAGTCGCCTAGCTTCATGGAACCATCCTGTGTCAGGAAGATATTCTCCGGCTTGATGTCACGGTGATACAAGCCATTGGCATGCATGAAGTCGACGGCACTAATCAGCTGTAGCATGAAGTCCCGAACGTGCTCGGTCTCCAGTGGACCACGGTTAAGGCGGATGGCCTCGTATAGATCTCCATTGGCACAATACTCCAAAACAAGGTATTTATGAGTCTTGGTGTCGAATGTATGAATCAAGTTGACCAGGTTGGGATGGAAACCAAACCGTCGGTGACACTCGAGTTCTTCGAAGCGATCGTCATGAGAATTCGTTGGGGCCTTAATCAGACATTTGATGGCAACATCTTGGCCCGTCTCGGTATCTGTGGCCAGGAATACCATTCCAAAAGACCCATTGTTGAGGGGGGCCACAGTTCGAAAACGACCATCCAGAAGTTGGCCTTCAACGAATTCTTCCTTCAAGCACTCCATGGTCGACATGTTGGCCTGATGATCCCAAAAAGAACGAATGCAGAGATGAGATGAAATGGGGCAACGGACTGATGTAATGCTCCAACAAAGAGATGAAGTGAAAACACGTCTATGAACCGCTCAAAAGAACACTTAAGCGTGTGAAGAATGCGTCGAAGTGTGATAAACAAAAAGCAACCAGGCTAATGAATATTAAAAAACAAGGAAGAGAAGTATCAGGCGCGGGATCCCAAGGTAAATAGAGATGGGCGAAAAGAAGAGCCGGATGTAGTCAGGAGATTGAGATGAAGGGAATCCTGACTGGCTCGAAATGTCATATAAAAAAAATGTACTGGTGAAAGTTGATGGACAGATGAAAATAGGAGAGAATGATAACGCAGTGGCGTAGTTGAATGAACCCAGGAAAGGTTGTTGACGCTAAGGAAATTGGTAAAGACCGTTATGTGCTCATTTGTATGTCGTTTTTCGTTGGTTAAACGGGAAAGGGTCCCAGGTGGACGACACGAATGTGTCAAAAAGAGATGGACAAGTGTTTGAAAGTCGGCCTGATACCGGATGAATCGAAGAGAGTCGAGATAAAGCGCTGCGTAATATCGTAATTTGAAAAAGTCAAAGATGTATAGGAGAAAAAACAGGAAAGAATCCTATGAACACCGGGTTCAAGGTCGAGGGCCGTGACTCAAGTTGAAAGATAATTGAGATTAGTGAGTCATGAGGCCAGATGGTATTGTTGGGGCAAATTGGTTGGGCGAATTGAGGGATCCGGTAGAGCACCCTTCTAATCCAAGGAGGAAAAGTAGAGATACTCTATGCCAGGTTGCCCCTGAGGTATGAAACTCCGCAAGTGCTCTCACGAAAAGGCTCAACTGAAGAAACGTATGATTACCCACAACGCAGGGAACACCTTCGTGTGGATTGAAGTGACGAAGGCTGGAGGTATTGATAGCACAATGGCAATCCGACAGACCGGGATTGGGGACCCTTTTATCAAGTTGATGGAAGTGAGTCACCCGAGCTCAGGGTGGACCCGGAAGACCGAGGAAAAGGGGCTTAGGACGGAGAGTCGAGGTAAATACTCTTCTGCCGAAGGTAGATCAGGATCAGACCTTCGAAGCTTGAAGTTGTCGATAGAAGAGTACAGGCCGTCCAGGGTTGACAGTGTCTTGATATAAGGGCAAGCAGACACGGCAATCTTGGTAACCTTGGAAGCGTTGGAAGTAATAGAAAGGTGACGGATAAGTGATGTGCTGAGAGAGGATTCGGAATGGTAGAAAGGCGGAAGGAGAGATGGGGTAGAGGAGAGCGAAAGAGAAGATGATAGGGAAGGGAGGATGGATGGTGATGGTATAAGGGGAGAGAGAAGAAGGAGCCAGGGAGAGAGGTGTTGTAAAGGCGTGAGGGGAATTGGAGAGGCAATATGATTGGCCATACCGTCTGATACTGTAAAATACAAGTCTTCCCTCGTGGGCGGTTCATCCGTGTGATCTGCATTGTTCACCCAATTTGACTGGCACCCGAAGGTCCTTGGCCCGTTTCCGTCTCCCGGGGAAACTGGTAACGTATGGAATGAATACCGGTATTGACAATGGGTCCAATCATCCAGCTCTCCAAGTTTCATGAACCTTCCAGGCATTCCTTATCCTTGGTCAAAGACGTCAAGGTCTACGTGATCCCGATTATTGTCAAATGTTCAATGTTGAAATCAGTTTCTACGATAACGCAATCACGTTGACTTCCATTTTTGGTTGCCCATTTCTGAAGTTTGGGTTCATCACATCATCTAAGTCCTATCTTTGAGATTTCAGACTTCAGACTTCGAACAATCCCAAACTTTCGAGATTCTGGTTCAAAGACAAGCCAGTCACAATGACGGTCGACATCAGCAGGGGCTGCCCTTTCTCTTGGAGTTTCGTCGGCCGAGGGCGGATCAAGGTGGCGCGCTACTCCTAATGCGTATAATTGCGCAGCCAATTTTGGGAAGACCAGCCAATCAGAATAGAGTATCTGGCCACTATTTACAGGCTGCATGACGCGATAGAGTGGGATGGCGTGATCTCTCCTGATTGGCTCACCCCGGATGCCTGCTGCAGCCGGTGCAATTATGCTCTCTCTCCCAAGGTTATGTGTACTGTGCTATGCCTATGGGAAGGTACCCTTCCGCAGGTACTCATGCACAGCGGGATTCGTTTCGGATGGTGTGGACCATCTTGGACTACCCTGGACTAGCTTAGGGGTTTGTATTCTCTAACAATTCTCTAGGTCCCCAGTTACACCACTTGCTGCACTCTTAACGTTATTCTTTGCCGCGCGGGATTTATGAGACAAGATTCGTCTGACCCATATTATCGACCCAATATGGTTTGCGGGGTTTTGATAATGGCGACTATCTTCGATATCAGCGGAAAACAATAATGATGATCATTAGTCGGAAGTATGTTGTATGGATCGAATGTTACTGATGTTTCTCCAACACAAGGGAAGTTGGAGAACCATCTCAACCCAAGAACTACGAGACACGTATGTTGTATGTTGTACTTCGAGTGGAGCGTGCTCCCAACTTGTCATGAGTCCCAACCACCTTTCAGACACCCACGCAGCCCTGTCAAGCGGTGAAGGAAACGCCCTCGCTGCCCAGGTGGTCTAGCCTTAGATCAGGTTTGACCGCCTCCTGCGGCCTGCAAGGTCAAACCTTGTAGGTCTCAACTTGATAGGTACAATGTATACTTTTTTTTCCATCGAAGCATGCTCAGAAGTACATAGTGCCCGGATTACTCTTGAAACGATAGAGTTGTTGTGGAGATGTGGCACGACTTCGGTGTCCGGCAACTCCTGTGCATCACGCGACGTCCCATCCCATTTGCGTCTATCATCACCCCATTCTGGTCCCATTCCTGTCGAAAAACTCAACTGTCCCAATTGAATTCTTGGGCTGTACATTGTAGATGGACATATCCACCCCCTTTCGGTACAATGTTCCCTGGGTGCATCGTACCTAGCATATCGTATATCGCACGCAATATGGTGTACACAACATACTACTTTGTATGTACGGAGTATTGCAGGTAGATCTGCAGAAAGGCGATGTGCACGGCTCAGTCTCTGGTCCTGATCTCCCCCTCCATCAGCCATCAGCCATTGCCGTTGGCTGCGTGATTATCATTCCCGTTCCCTTTCATGCAGTCTCCTCGCCGAATACAACGTATAACGTCAATAAGAACGTCCGTACACGATATGCTGCATATATAAAACCGACTCCGTAGTCTGGTCTACACTAAACCCTCCCTAAGAAGCATTCGTCATCTAGTGTTGCTCATGCATCAGAAGAAAGCGATCAGCGTCTAAGATGTGACCCCAATGATAAATTTCCCCCCTTAGACATGGGTTGAAACGTGTCTTCTCTAAATTTACTTTAGGGGTAAATGGTTTTGCCTTCGTAGCCACGTACATGACTACATGATGTAACATGTAGTGATAAACATGATAACTACCGAGGGGCTGGAGTTATCTTCCGAATCCGGTATTTGCGATATGATATGAGATATGAGATACGAATTGCCTTATCAGGTCCACGGAGCATACTCCCGACTTCGGGAGTATAGACGTTTCTGGGCGATTGAGAGGAAGTATCCTCCGATAGGGACGATAAGGGTACTCCCCCAGACCCGAGAAGAACAAGATACATGGAATAAACAAATAAGAGACGTCCATGGTTCAACCATAATCATCATTATCGTAGACTATCATAGACCAACTATCATAAACTATCATAGATTATCATGCCATACCCCGCACGATCGTCATTCCATGATCATATCCGGACGAGTTCTGAATTCTGAGTCCATGTCAGACGGTATTTGAAGGGTCATGATGGTCCCAGTGCTATGGAAGTCCGATAATGGAAGTTGGTATGGCATAGCATTGGACTAGTATAGTACATTATGTATGGATATAGCAGTACGGAATATACTTATGTCCGTTGAGATAATGAGATCATGCTTATCGTATACGAGAATGGGAGAATTGACGGAATTGACAGAATATGGACATGCCAAGTAAAAAGAGGGGGTCAGATAGCCGACCAGACTGAGGAGCCACTTCCCCGGATTTTGGTCTCATCTGATTTTCCTCAATTGGACTAACCTCGTATATTAATCGAATATGGTATACTATTAAATATGTACAGTCAAGCCATTCTTTCCCTTCGCTCTATATACACGAACCGGAGCCAAAGCTTTTTTATAATATAAATAGTTTCAGTCCGAGTCTGTAAGCTCAATGTGACTTGAAACTAGGATGCGTTGAAGGAACCGGCGCACTGCATATGGCCTGTGCGACTACGGAGTACGGAGTACTATATGTACATCTCCAGGACATCAACATGCATTTGCATTGCACGATGTACAGAGCACATCGTAGGGCGATCCCAGCCTCCTGTAGGTCCCTTTTTCTCCGTGTACGACTCCGCGCTGCTGCAGGAAAAGAAAACAAATATTGGAATTTTCAAGGTCGATGCAAGGGTCCTTATGCCTGAGGTTTTTTTTCGGATCGTAGCGAAATAACTTTCAAGCTGTGTTAGTACAACATATGTTCATACTTGACAGGTCGAGTTCTTACCCGTTGCCGAGTCAACACGGGCATGTCTCCCCTCCTTTTTGCCTTACATATCGAGTTTGTCGCCTTGTCAGCAGGATGGGGTTTATGTCTACTAATTGGCTACTACGATGTGCAGCATATCGGCCCTCGACAGCCCCGCTGTTGTTGTTCAGTAATTGGGTTATCCTATATCTTGATTGTACCTAATATAAGCTCTGTTCGGTGTTCCCATTATAGCACCATAGTCATCATCTGGATTTGTATTTTCGAGGTTGGCATCTAAATACCACTCTCGCTTATAACAGTCAAGCCGCGTTGTTTTTACTATAGGTTTCCTGATAATATGGGTGGCAACATATAGGTATAGAAGGTAGCCATAAACAAAACCCCGTCCCCGGCCTCTTAATCCCATGCCA